TATAATATTTAAAGTATAACCCGACGACTCGATATACTAAAAGATCCTAAAATAGATAAAAGAATATAAAGCACTAAACGGATGCGATATAGGATATTTAGAAGTTCTAATATATAAAAATAAAATCTAGATACTACTAGAATTATAAGATAAAGTTATATAAGATATACACGAATATCTAATATATAGATATTAGGGAATCCGAAGGATAATAGAACGGATTAGACGATAATATAACTTCCTATAGCTTAAGGAAGCAATATAAAAAGTTATTAAAGAATATAAACTTTACGCACGAAGCAAAGCTAAACGATATAAACTATATAGAGAATTGCAACCGCTACTAGTACTAGAGAAACCATAGGATTTAATAGCTTTCGACTATATTATAAAGCTACCACCGTTAAAAGAACCTATAACCAACGTTAAGTACGACAGTATATTCGTTATTACCGATAGACTAACGAAGTACGGATACTTCTTACTATATAAAGAAGCAAGCAATATAGAAGAGCTAGTATATATATTCCTACGAACAATTATTAGCAATCACGGACTACTAAACGAGATTATCTCTAATAAAGGAAGTATATTTATAGCTAAGTTTTAGCAAGCTCTTATAGTATAATTAGGGACGAAATATAAGCTTAGCATAGCTTATTACCTATAAATAGATAGATAAATAGAATAACTTAACTAAACGCTTAAATAATATTTACGATGCTATATTAGCTACGAATAAAACGATTAGGTTAAATAGCTACTAATAGCGCAACTAGCTTATAATAGCTTAGTCACGGAAATAACTAAGCTCTTACTAGCATACGCTAATTACGGATATAACCTAGAAGCATTTAAGGTTACTCGATAAGGACTATAAGCAGAACGAGCGATACTATAAGCAGATTAGCTACGAAAATTGCATAAAGAAATATAATAAGAACTTTAATTCGTTAGAGAACGAATGTCTACTTACTATAATCGGAAAAGATTATAGGGACTAATCTTTCGAGAGGGAGATATAGTCTACCTTATACGACGAAATATTAAAATAAAACGACTAAGCAATAAATTAGATTTTAAAAAACTTAGACCGTTTAAAGTTAAGAAAACTATTTTAAAAGTTAACTACGAACTTTCGCTACTAATAATAATACGGATATACCCGATATTTTATATCTTATTATTAGAACTAGCGCCACGAAACGCTAAACTATAAGAAAAAATTAAAGTCGACAACGATTAAGAATACGAAGTAGAACAAATACTAGACATAAGAAAATAAGGTTAGCAACAAGAATACCTTATTAAGTAGAAGGGATACGGACTAGAGGAAAATACCTAGGAACTACTTAAGCACTTAACCCACTGCGGTTCTCTACTTCGATAGTTCTACTAGCAAAATCCACCCTAGGCATCGTAAAATCGCCTAACGAACTAATAGCATTCTAATTAATTACATTAAATCTACCTATAGACTAAACATCGACCACCGCTTTAGATTCTTAGCGCTTAGCCTCGTTAAGGTTATCTAAGGAACGAAGGCCCCGACGGACTATCTCGGTACCCTTCGTCTTTAGCTAGCGCTTTTAACGGCGAAGCCGCGCTAAACGAGCTAAGGCTTCGTTTAGGTCGGCTTAAGCTTTTAATATTCGCTCCTTAGCAATTTCTTCTTCTTTATCTAATCGATCGGACTCTAGATTTATTCGGGACACTAGGAAACACGTTAGCTGCAAACAATAGGCAGGACAACGAAGTCACCCACGAGAGCTGATCGCCACGCCCGACGCATCGCAGGAACGACCCCGCCGCATACATTCGGCACACTTAGAAGATTTCTCTAGCATTTTGTAGCGGAAGCCGCGCGACGAACAGAAAGAACACGGCATAACGTCGAAACTAAGACGATTAATAGACTCAGCCAAACGAATGCGCTTAAGGGTCTTGCGAGAACGATCCTTCGACACGCGACTAGACATACTATCAGCAGCACATCCTAAGGGATAGAAAGGACGAAAACGGGGAACACACATACGCGCGACAAGGGTATATTTATACACGGCGGCTATGGCAGCAGCAGGTCTTACGGACAAGACCAAAAGGAGGGGAGACATCGTGTTACAACCACGGTCAGCGGGCCGCAGGAGAGCCGGCCACGTTCACGTGATAAGGCGGCTCGGAACAATGGTCGGGACGAGAAGTCACTTAGGCTTAGCTCACCTAGAGCGTACGTGAGCTAAGTAAGCCTTGTATAGATAGATCACTATTTAGGAGCATAGCTCACGAGTGAGCTATAGTGAGCTACGAAGGGGATCACGGCCAGGACCGTGATCTAAGGACAGTCTCTACGGGTATATATAGCCACCTACTTTTACTCCTTTAGACAGATAGCTCTCTAGCTTTTAACACAATCATTACGATCTCTATTACGATCTTATCTCTAATTCCGATCACTTAATTACCTAGTTATAGTCTACGGTCTACGACCTCCGACTTATTACTAACGTAATATATATATTATTGCTTAGACCACGCCCTATTATATCTGCTAACATAAACCCCTCGATAGGTTTATCCCTTAGGAATAAGACCGGTCGTTATATAAAGGCCCTAAGGCTAAAGGCTTAGGCAAGCACTATACGTCTATTCGAAAGACCCCCCGCCTAGCCTTTAGCCCGGAAAAGGACCTTATAGGAAGGCCTAGGCCGACCCTTTCGGCCTACTACTAACTTCTCCTTGGGGCCGGCTTCCTATTATCCTTCTTAAAGAGGGTTAATAAGGTAGGCCGAGACGACTGCCGCTACGGCTAAGGAAGGCATACAGCTAAGCACCTTATCCTAAGGTGCCCGAACTATAGGAGGGAAAGAGAGGTCCTTTACCGGGCCTCAAAAAACACCGCGTAGGAGGAACTAGATTAACCTTTCCTTTATCTTTGCCTTTATAGCTACCCTTTCCCTAATTAGTTATAAGCCCCCGGGCTTTATAGCTAGCTAGGACTGCTAATAGGGGCCTAGGCCCCTATTAGCCTCGCTATGGCCCTAGAGGCTGTATGCGAGTAATAATATAAAAAAAAAAAACTAAAAAAAAAAACTTCCTTATTAAAAGGTTAGTTATATAGTTTAAGGAGTTAGCTCGTTAGTTAAGGCCTTACTTAATTACTTCTTACTTAACGACTCCTTTAATACTTAATATACCTAAGGGACCCCCTTACTCTCTATTAGCTACTTATAAAGAAAGGTCTAGTAAGCTACTAAGGACTATTAAAAGGGACTCTAGGCTACTAAGGCGGCTAAAGGCCCTAGGGCTAAGGGCCTAGGTAAATACTATACGTTTATTTAAAAGACCCCCCGCCTAGCCCTTAGCCCGGAAAAGGACCTTATAAGGAGGCCTAGGCCGACCCTCTTAGCCTTTTACTAGCTCCTTTTTAAGGCCGGCTTCCTATTTTCCTTCTTAAAAAGGACTAATAAGGTAGACTAAAATAACTACCGCTATAGCTAAGGACGGTATACGGCTAGGCATCTTATCTTAAGGTACCTAAACTATAGGAGGGAAAGAGAGGTCCTTTACTAGACCTCTAAGAAAAAGAAGGGGGCCCTTAGCCTACCTATTCTTTATAGCTTTAAGGAAGGAAGGGAAGCTCTTTTAACCTTCTTAGTTAAAATAGAGATAAGGATAGCTAAGTAGCTTAAAAAGGAGTAACCTAGGGGCCCTAGGGCCCTTAAGGGGGAAAATTACTATATAAAAAGAACTAGACTAACCTTTCCTTTATCTTTGCCTTTATAGCTACCCTTTCCTTAATTAGTTATAAGCCCCCGGGCTCCATAGCTAGCTAGGACTACTAATAAGGGCCTAAGCCCCTATTAGCCTCGCTATAGCCCTAGAGGCTATATATAAGTAATAATAATAAAAATACTTAATAAAGTAAGCTACCTTAATAATACTATAGCCGCGCTACCTTTACTTTATCCTCTTCCTAATCCTCTCCCCCTTTAAGGCCGGCTAGCGTTTATACGATCTCCGTGCTAACTGCCGTTAATCTAAGTCAAGGGCGGGTTTTAGTGGCGCTATAAATGCGGGGGTGGGCCTCGAGCGGGGACCTCGCACGGAGCTAGCTTGTTAGCGTGCGGGGAGGCTGACACACTGACTCTGGGGAAGGATGACATGGCTGGTGTACCCCGTGCGGAGTACGCCGTACGCACGACCATGACGCACTCAGGCCTGTCACGAGCGGTGGGCATGATGCCAAATAAGAAACGGATGTGCAAAGCCTGTACCTTGCTTATGCATGGAGCAGGTTGATGTTGATGTCTCGACTCTCGACCACCGAAGTACCAAGCCGTGAAGGTTTAAGCTGGACAAAGAGTGACAGTATCCGCACTTGCCTGCCTGGTCCATCCGAGCCAAGCCGTCTCAGTCGTTTACCCCGCACGCTTGCCGGCTGACCTGACTGCCCGCCCCTGAACCATATGGGCTGATTGAAGGATGGACGTAGCTCTGGCACGGCCCCGGGTACCTACAACTGCGAGGCGACCGCGCATGGACGTGGGATGGTGAAGACGCAAGTAGTCGGTACTCACTGTTTACAGTGTAGAAAGGGCCCCCTTCAAAGTTCGAACCCGCCATCTCCTCACTTATTCTCCTCTGCCTGGGCCGTTTCTCCGTTCCCCAGCCATCTGAAAACACACTCTACTTTCTTCTCCCACCTGTCGAGTCGTCTTCTCCATCTTCCACTTCATCAAATCGTCTCCTCCTCCTCCTCCTCCTCCTCCTCCTCTTCCTATTTCTTGTCGGCATCTTCTCGGTCTTCAGCATACCATCCTCACTTCACTGCGACGCCCCTTTCCAAGGTAAGCAAGCGGAAATGCAACCGAGCAAGAATCAAACAAAACAGCAAACATTGACTGGTGGGCAGTCACTCCCGCGAACTGAAAAGGCATCAACGTCGTCCCTCTCCACAAGGAACTGGATCAACCCCCCAGGCGCCTGTCACCTCCCGCACAATGCCGCCTCACCGTGTCCCAAAGCTCCCCCGCGCCAGACCCTCCGAGGTCTTTTGCATGGGCGCCGCAGGGGTGGGAGTCCTGACTCCGCTGTACCTCGTTATGCCCGGCGCCGAGGAGCGGCTGGCTCGCCAGACGACCAAGTGGGCTCCTCGTTGGGAGCGCAACATCAGCTACTTTGCGCCGCCCGTCGAGCGCACTGTCCAGCGCATCGAGCCTCCCGTTGCCAGGGCCATTCAACGAGTCGAAAGCCGGCTGCCACTCGAGAAGATGGCCAAGCAAGTTGACGCCGGCATCCGCAACGGCATTGGTCGCTTTGGCCCGTCCAAGCCGGTTTCGTCCCCGCCTCCAGCGTCGGCATCATAATCATATCTTTAGACTTCCTTCTCTCTGCCCTCTCATTGAACGGCCGCCCCGGACTGCTGGTCCGTGGAGCAGTCAACTCGTCACAGAAGCCATCGTCCGGGCACTAGCGCATGTCTCATGACATCGACGACTCTCTGGACTGCTTGCCAAGGCGGTATGCGCTGCATGGACACCATGCATGAGCTAAGAGGCATAGAGAAAGATATAGAGATATAGATAATCAATGTAAAATCTCAGAATCCTGTCTTCGCCTCAGAATTGCCATTGTTAGCGGTCGATGTCTTGTTTACAAGGGTGATATTCCTCTGTTGCATCCAATCCCCATATTTGTCTGCTCCATTGCGTGAAGAATATCGGGAAGTAGGTGCATGGATTTGCCATATTACATACATACCTAAACCGTGCAACCCCTACGTCCAAGTGGGTCTTCGGCATGTAAAGGAACATGCTGGCAACGTCAGCGCGACATGCATGAGTGCGTGCATAAGTACATATGTATGTGGTCCAGCCAGAGGTGGGCCGATGATGGGCTGTTTGGAAGCTCGCAGGTTGGCTCCGGAGCATTCCGACTCGCCTCGGAGCGCTCCGCTGCCTCCATCTCTAGGTTGAGCAACGGGCCCAGAACATGTTCCGGCAACTCTGCCGCCCCGTATAGGCATTTCCTTGCGAGCATCTGCCATGGCATGGACGGCCGAGAGATGAAAACCCTCGTCTCTCAACAACTGCTGGCCGTCAGGCGTCAATGATGCTTCGGGCATAACGAGTCTGGTCCGCTTGCCAGAATCTCGGCAAGGCGCACGGCAGATGGGACGACGTAGCGTCTTTCATCTGGTTGGTGGTGCACACGTAGCTAGCTAGGTAGGAAGCATATGGGTGCCCCTGGGCGGGACTCGTCGTATCTCGCGCGGCAGGTGACTGACCAGTTGTGCCAGAACATGGAGAGCAATCTCGTATCCGAGGCTTCATCTTCTTTCCGGCACCGGCAGAAACCCCACGAGCCTTCCGAGCCTCGACAATCCCCCGTTACGCTGCAGAAGGCGCTCACGCTCCGACAGGAGACAGCACAACGGCCAACAACATGCCCTTCGCCTCGGAACACCCCCCCCTGGTCGTGCCCGAAACGGACATCCTCAGCTATCTTTTTGCCCGAGGCCCCCGCACTGACAAGCCGCTTTGGATCGACAGCAGGCGGCCCAGCGAGAGTATCTCGGCCCGCCAGGCGCTCGAATGGGTCCGACGCCTCGGATTCGGCCTGGAGAGGCTGGGGCTGCGGCGAGGGGACGTCGTCGCGATTTGCACTCCGAATCATATTTGGGTCCCCGTGGCCTTCCTTGGCATCGCTGGAGCCGGCTTCGTCTTCAGCGGCGCTAGCCCGGCATTCACTGTCCGTGGTATGTCGAAGACCCAACCCCCATGGGCCCCATCAATGGGCAACTCCTTCACTGACCCGCACGGGGCCTTGGCTTCCCTTGCCACCGTGCGCTAGAACTGGCCTACCAGCTGGCTAATAGCATGGCCAAGGCGATTCTGGTCCATCCCACCGTCCTCGAGCCCGCCCTCGAGGCCGCGGCACAGGTTGGCCTGCCCAAGGACCGTATCTTCCAGTTCTCGGACAAGGCATGCCAGACGCGCCACGGAGTCGACGACTGGACCGCCATGATCGGCACCCGCCAGCAGGGCGACGGTTGGCAGTGGCCGACGCTGGGTACGGGCGAGGCTGCCCGGGCCCTCGCCGCCATCAACTACAGCTCGGGGACAACAGGCCTCCCCAAGGGCGTCTGCATCTCCCACGCCAACCTTATCACTAACCTCGAGCAAACTATCTTTGTGAATTATGGCGGCACCCGCTCTTCTGGCCCACGGCTCGAGGAGCGCTGGATTGGCTTTCTTCCCCTGTTTCACGCCTATGGACAGCTCTTCATGATCCTCATGGCGGCCAAGCTCGGCGTCCCTGTCTACGTCATGGCTCAGTTCGCCTTGACCGATTTCCTCGCCGTGATCGAGAGGCATCGCATCACGAGCCTGCACACTGTGCCCCCAGTCCTGGTCATGCTCGCCAAGAGACCCGAGACATCTCACTATGACCTGTCCAGCATTCGGGACGTAGTCTGCGGTGCGGCGCCGTTGTCACGAGAGCTGCAGAATGAGTGTCAGGTCCGGCTCGGGTGCCAGATCAGGCAGGCGTGGGGCATGACCGAGGCCACATGCACCTGCGCAATGACTCCAGTTGGCTTCCGTGACCAAAGCGGCTCTGTCGGCAAGCTGGTGCCCAATTGTGAGGCCAAGCTCGTCGACGATGATGGGCATGAGGCAGAAGCGGGCCAGCGAGGAGAAATGTTCATCAGAGGTCCCAATGTCTGTCTTGGATACTGGAGGAGCGAGCAGGCCACTCGAGACACAATAGACTCTCAAGGCTGGCTCAGGACAGGAGATATTGCCATTCGCAACGACGACGGCTTGGTGTACATTGTGGATCGCAAAAAGGTTGGCTCCTCTCGTGCCGACTGCCGGTCCCTTACCTTGGCTGTTCTCGTAAACTAATGGAGCAATTCCAGGACTTTATAAAGGTCAACGCCCTTCAGGTGGCGCCGGCAGAGTTGGAAGCCGCCCTGCTGGAAAACGAGCACGTAGCAGATGCGGCCGTTGTGGGCATCACATTGTAAGTTGTACTGGCGATTGCACACACACACACAAGGAACAGTGACGAGCTGACCAAAGACACAAACCTCGTCAGGGCGGAGGGCAATGAGCGGCCGCGGGCATATGTCGTAATTCAAGTCGCATCTCGCAGCACAGTGACGCCTGACAGCATACGGACCTGGATCGCCTCCCGTGTGTCCAAGCACAAACGACTCGAGGGCGGCGTCGTCTTCGTTGATGAGATCCCTAAGCTACCGAGCGGTAAGATCAAGCGCAGGATGCTGAGGGAGAGAGCCCGGAGAGAGACAATGGAGCTGCAGGGACACAAGGAGAGCGGGGGAGATGGTGTCAGGCTCAAGCCGAGCCTGTAGAGTTCTTTCACCCTGTCCGATCCCTCTCCGTGTGACTGAGAAGGTCGGGGCCAATTTCCGGCGAGAAGCTGAGAGAGAACAGCCCCCAAAAGAAGGGGTAGTTTTGGGTGCATGCTTACGGCGGAGGCTAGGGTCAGGTTAGACGTTTTTTTCCACCGAGGATGGGAACCAAGAGCAGGGACAGAAGCCGGGGGTGTAGTTGTTGCAGGCAGGAGTATGCGATGCACATCCTGTGGAGCGGTGTCCCGTGCGTGAGGCGGAGGAGGGTGCGGAAAGCAGAGGACGGAGTGGAGCCACGTCCCGCGATAGCGCGGAGCGAGCTCCCGGTTGGCGGGCTCCGAGGTTCGGACTGCCTCCGTGTGACGACGCCGGACGGGAGACAACGTAAGCGGACAGGTCCAGGCACTCTGGACCGTCAATTGACCCCGGACTGGTCTCACCCCTCCCCAGATGCGCGGCTTGGGACGTGAAACGTAGTGTCGAATGCTTCGCGGCGGAGAGACGTATGCATCGGCCAAGAGCGCTCCGACGCCTGTCGCCGTTCCGTAATGCAGCGGATCACCGCCGTCTCCTCCCGGGAGCTTCCGGACCATATAAACAAGTGCCATCCCCGTCCAATTCCAGTCAGCATTCAGATCTGCCTGGCAGTGCGACAGTCCGGTAGCCTCGACGAAGCACGAGTATTTCAGTTTCGACTGGCCCTCGCTCAAGAATCTCATTCGCATCTGAAAGTCTTTCCTCCTCTCCGTTGCCGAAACCGAGCCCCCATTGTGCGTTATTTGCAGCGCCAACGCAAAATGCCTTCCAGAGAACAGCAGACCGAAGTCAGAGATGCCTACCTGGCGCTCTGGAGCGGTGACCTGTCGCTCGCCGACAAGATCTTGGACCCCAACGTCAAGCTCAACATTGACCGCCATCCGGCGGGAGAGGGCACCGCGCCTGTCGTCGCCAACACGGACAAAGACTTTCTCGGCTTCGTAACCATGGCACGCCACGGCTGGGAGCACTTCAGCTTCAAGGTCGTCCGTTGGGCGGCCGACGACAAGTACATCTGCGTCCGCTGGCAGGCACAAGCCACCATGGGCAAGGACTACAAGCCCCCGACGTAAGCATGCTACCCTCATCCCGTCCCAAATATCCCTCGAGACGGCCCAGAAAGCTGATGCCCAGTCTTCCTGCAGGTCTCTTAAGCCCGGCGACCAGATCACCTGGAACGGGACCGACTTCCTCGTCTTGAATGATTCCAACCGCCTCGTGGAGATCAACATTGCCCAGGACATGTTGGAGCTGTTCCATGCGCTGGGAGCGAAATCAGTCGCCATCTAATGGGGTGCTGGCATCCGAGCTTCCCATAGGCAACCCTCCACGGCGATCCGCTTCCGCCTTGCGCTTCCCCTTCCTAAGACAGATAGAGGACACTTGTGTGGAGACGAGTGAGAAATTCAATCATCAGACTTTCCACGGCCTTTTGCTCCCGTGCGCATGCGTAGCTGTGGTGGTGGTAGGTAGGTCGGCTTAGGCCTGCGAATCGTCGGCAAGAGGCGATCCGGGTAGAGCTTTGGGAGCATGCCCCAAAGCCACTAGTATAGCCAGTGCCGGTTAGTAGGAACGACGCCGGCGGTTGGGGAGGGCCACCTGCGGCCAGTGGTGGGCAAGCTCACGTCGTTGGAAGAGATAATAACTCGTCACGAGCAGGATCGGAAGAGCCACAATGGTCGAGGTCCACTTCTTGCTCGCCGACTTGTATCTGCCTTGGTAGCTGTCCCTTTTGAGCTTCTCCTCGGCAGCTTCCCTGCTGCGGTTCTCTCGTTCGTCGAGGCGCCTCATGCGTGCCACGCGGAGAGCAGCCTCGCGGGCCTCGGCCGTTCTCAGCGCCTCTCTGTGCTGGTTTGGGCTCGAAATCGTGGGGGGCTTTGTTGTGAGTGCCTTTTTGGGGCGCCCGCTGGCACCCGTCGTTGTCCCTTTCAGCGTCGGATGCGCGTTTGCTGCGAGCCTTGTGCTGGTCGGTGCGGCCTTGGCCTGGCTGTTTTTTTGAGAAGGCATCGTCGCTATCCGCCTGGCCAAGTAAAGCGCTGGCTTTGGCGTAGAATCATCAGACAATTGCCGGCCTCCATATTGCCAAAAGCGTCGACCACACAGTTCCAACGTCGGATTTGTCGCCCGTGCGGCTTTTATCGTTGTGGCCATGGCTATGTGGCCCGTCGTTTGAATTTGTTGAAGGATGCCCCCACGTTTCAGCTAACTTCACGTGTAGAGTACGAAGTATGAAGTATCCACTTCTCACGCCGCAGTTCCTGAGGAGCGCGAAGACGTTATGCACAGGGGCGGGCTCTCTACAGTAATGTCTGTTCCACACCTTTGTTTTATGGGCTCCAATCAACCCAGCAGTTTCTGTCTTCTAATCACGCCAAAGCATCCCGTGTCCTATTTGCCACGTGCTGGTGTAAGTGTCATTGCTGTAGTATCCTAGGCGCACCAATCGTGGACTAGGATGGCAGCGCGAGCTCGATACACCATCACCATGATAAAGACGAGCAGCAGACTCCCCCATGTCATCGCGATCCATTTCAATTACGAGCGTCTCGCCCCATGCAGACGAGAATCGCTTCTCAAACGACAAGACCAAATTCCCCAACGCCTCACCCCAATCCATCCTTTGCCGTATCCCGATCCCTGAGACCTTCACCCGGTGCGCTCTTTTCTCTTCTTCGCCTCTGCGCCCGTTCAATCGTCGTCCGTGTACGTCGGCCCGCTGGCAGCCGGGGTTTCTGGCGCCCCGCCATATGCCGCCGGCGTTGGTGCCCCGTAATAGCCAGCTGAACTGGCATATCCGCTGGCCCCGGGTGTCGGCGCCCCAGCCCCTGGCGTAGGCGCCGATTCCGCGCCCCACCCCCCTTGCCAATTCCCACCCGGAGTCGGTGCGTTGACTGCAGGCGTCGGCGCCGAGTAGGCGCCCGGCGTCGGCGCATTCAACGCACCTGGAGTAGGGGCCTCCATCCCTGCCCCCGGCGTCGGCGCGTCGTAGGCAGCGGACGACGCAGCACCGGGTGTGTATCCCCACGATTCATTTCCACTAGCCCCCGGCGTCGGCGCCGATGAGCCCCAAGCCGGCGTCTTGGAACCCGACATCCAGCTGTCCGTACTTCCTCCGTATGCTGGGGTTCGAGATCCAGCTCCAAAAGCGTCGCCCGCCGCCGGCGTCCGAGCTCCCGACTGCCAGGCTGGCGTTCGCGACCCCGAGCCATACGCGGTCCGGCTGCCATCGTAGGGATTGACGGTCCTCGAGCCATCCGCCCAAGCCGGGGTCCGCGAGCCTGAGTAGTCCTGCGCCTTCCACGCGGGAGTTCGCCCACTGGCCGCCGCTGGTGCTGTTGAAGTCGTCAGCAGAAGAAGTGGTGCTGAACGTCCAAGGGACGTGGCTAGAGGTAGACTTACTGCGTGATCCCCATGCGGGGACTCGATCGGAGCTTCCTGCGCCCATTGGCGTGCGGGAGCCTCCTTGCCAGCTCGGAGCCCTGTCACTCGGTCCACGGCTGGGTCCGCCGGACGAGCCGCGGCCTCTACCGTTGATGTCAATGGTGGCCCCGGTGGTCTTGTCCCTGAAGCTCAATGACTCTCGAGGAACCGTGATGGTTTTGCCCTTGGTATGCAGCTCGACACGGGCGTGCGTGTCCGTGGTATCTTTGACAATACCCAAGAGACCCTTGTACGGGCCCTTTTTGATAATCGCCGTCTGGTTGATGGCTCGGTCGCGGCCAAATGTCTTGACTGGGGGCTGCATCGCTTTGTTCTCGGTGCCGTTCTTGTGTATCTTCAACGCCGGGTTCATGGCATTCAGGTCGGGGCCCGACGAGGCAGCATTCACCCTACCTCCCTTAGCGGCGACTGTGTTGACCATGCTGGCTTTGGTGACGAAAACGCCGGCATTTTCGGTGCTATCGTTGGTATGTAGGAAGATGTAGGAACGATGAATGTGGATGATCTTGCCCTGGCGCTGCTGGCCCGTGAACTCCTTGACCTTGTCGTCGAGCCGGATCTCGGAACCCTCCCGGTCGGCAGCGACGGCCTGTTTCCTTTTGGGCAGCTTGTTAGGAATCTGCGATGGCATGAGCTGCCGCGTGTCCCCGTATTGATCGAGAACCACGAGGGACTCTCGATCGACCTTGACAACACAGCCGACCGTGGTAGGGTCGAGCTGGACCAGGTCGTGAAGAGAAAACTGTCCCAAGGATCCCTGCCCGCCTATGTCGCTCGCCTCTCTCAGGTCTTTGCTGAACACGGTCACCTCGGTGTTGGTCTGATCCGTCAAGAGTGTGACGCGGTCCTCGGAAAGCTTGACGACAGTGCCAACCTCATCTCGGAATTTGCTCCCTCCGATGACCTTGACATGGTCGCCAACCTTGAAGCGCTTTCGCAGGCCCTTAATGGGCACCTCTATGGTTTGGCCCTCAAGATCTCCCTCGGTCACGGTCATGGTGACGATGTCGCCTTGGACGTTTGTCGCCTTGCCCACGACGCCTTTCTGCTCTCCCGAATACACCTCGATGATGTCTCCGGGAAGGTAGGTGACGAGAGTGTTGCTGTCTTTTAAGCTGGCGGCCAGCGCTTTGAGATCGAGGTTCTCGGTGCCATCTTCGGCGCCGGAAGCAAACCGCGTCACTTCTTCCAGCGATGGATTCACGTCGGTGACCACCAGTTGCTGGATCTTGACGTCTTTGACTTGGAAGCCATTCTCGAATTCATCTCCCATATAGGACCAGGTGTTTGTGGTGGGATTCCCCTGAATGTGGCGCGGGTGACGTTTCCGAGCCTCGACCTCGCTAAAGAGCCTCTGCGGCGGCCTCGGTCCAGCCAAGCCGCGAGGGCGCTTTCTCTTTCCGTCGGGTGTAGTAAGGGACGCAAGGGCATCATCTCGCATACCATAGTCCAGCCTCGGGATGAACCGGACCCTTGCTTCCAGGCCATTCTCCGTCACGTCGAGAACCTGGGCCAAGTCCCCACTGTGCTTGGGCGGCCTTCGCAGGCGAACCCAGGCGCCCGGCTCGAGGGTCGGGGTCTTGGTGACGCGAAGAAGCTCAGGCATATCCTTGATATCCACAAGCGTCATCTTGGAGCGGGGATAAACGTTGAGCATGCCGTCAAGGGCAACAAGAATGTCCGTTTGCCGCTGGGCCTCGACGTAGATGAAGCCCTTCATCACCGATTGGGCACCTCCCCGCTCAAAGGCCGCTGTGATGGCGAGCTCGTCCTTGGTCCCCAGTCGTTCCTCAATCCTCTTTGTGACGGAGAGAACAACCTCGCGCTCTTTGCCCTCCTTGCACCGTACGGCCCAGATACTAGGGTCGTCAACGCTCGGGAGTAGGAGACGTTTTGGCACAACGGCCGAGTCGCCAAATCCCTTGGCTGGGCGGCGGTTGCCGTATCTTTGGCGCAGAATCTCGGCTTGTTTCTCCGCGTCCATGCTCGCGTCCATCTCTCGGCGACGATCAAGCTCGCGATGTCTTCGATCATCGTCCAATCGAGCACTTTCGGCCATATCGTCGGGGTGCGCGTTGTCAATAAAGTCTTCGATTTCTTCGCCGTCTTTCTCCTCATCTTCTCCCTCGTCCTCGTCGTCGACCTCTGCTTCGATATCAAAGAAGGCGTTGCGTCGGTCTCGGCGTCGTTTCCTGCGATGGCCCTATCCAGCCATGTTAGCCATGTTAGCCATCAGAGAAGGAGTATTTATACCCACATGCTGCACGTCCTCATCTTCGTCGTCTTCTTCTTCCTCTTCGTCGTCTTCCTCTTCGTCGCCCTGATCATCATCATCGTCGATGCCCCCACGGCGTTGTGGTGGCTCGTCTTCGTCGCCCTCGCCGTCACTGCCGCTGGCCCGCGGCTTTCGAGGGGGGTTGTCGTGGTCTGCCGCCGCATCGTCCCGGTATCCAGGGCTACTGTCACGGGCTGGCTTCTTGACATGCTGGTCCCCATTGTCGTCCGCAGGCTCCTCATCAGACAAGTCCGCCGGAGCAGGGTTGAAGTCCTCCTCGTCCTCGGAATCATCAAACCGTGGAGGGTCATCGGGAGCCATGATGCGCCAACTTAGTTGCTTTGCAAGCAAAAGAACCCCCTCTATGCTTGCTCGAAAAGCCTTGTTGAGAGAGCGAGGGAGCGAGGAGAAAGAAGAGAGGGCCGTGACGTGATGGTGCGCAGCCTTTATGTATTAGTGGGCAGCAAGTTCAAAAGACAGCTGCTGCAAGGCAAGGCTAGGCCGCTAGGGGCACGGGAGCCAATAGAGGCGCGGACCCCCGCGCCTTTAAAGTCGGCGCGGACGTCCGCGCCTGTTATGTAAGCCTGGCAGGCCATTTGGGCCGCCGCCAACTGCGCTCGCAGTCGGCCTCACCGATACAGCATGCTTGCTGCATACATATAGCTTCAATTAATTGCAAAGGAGGATATCCCTTAGGTTCGAACCCATAGCCTTCCCTATTTGGTAGATTGACGTGACGCAAAGGGCGCCGCTGTTGCGTGGCAAGGGAGGGTGCGGGAAGTTCACCGCCTTAAAATTGGCCAGCTACAGTGCTACACGCCGGTGCATGTCGGTGATCTCACGATCTGCCTCACATTTTCGCATCGCCGGCATCATCACCACTTATATATGTGAATAAAATGCCTGCTGTTCCTCTGAGTCTCTCTCGCAGTCAGCCCATATACCTGCAGTACCTCTTTCTCGTGAGAAAGGCTGCACCTGAATTTCCTCGGCCACCCGGGCATCTAATCGCTCTTCTTCTGCCTTATCCCAATCAAGGTATGCCATCATCTCTACCTTGGTCCATTGCCTCGAGCCGCAGCTCCTTGACATTTGCTTCCAGTCGAGGCACCAGTCATATTCAGTCTTGCTGTAGCGCAATGGCAAGCCCATTGCCTTTCGGTATGCCTGGTTGGTCTTGAGACTGCCGCGAGGCTGTGCTCTATACCAAGAGTCTCTTTCCCTGACATACCTCTGATAGATGGCTCGTGGGTCATCATATAATAGATTCTCTGTAGTCTCTGTAGTCTCTGCAATTGCTGTAGAGACTGTAGAGACCGTAGTGACTGCAACTGTCATTTTCTCCATGACTGCTGCAGTCTGCGCAGTCTCTGAACTGCTACCGTCTGTACAGTCTGTGCAGTCTGTGCAGTCCCTGCAATTGCTGCAGTCTCTGCAGTCTGTGCCGCCCGTGCCTCTGCCCGCTGCAGTATGTCGCTATAGCGTAAAGGACAATTGCGAGATGTCATGATGTGCCCTTGCTGGTGGCATTTGCTGCATGTAGGCGGCGCCTTGGCCGTAGATCTGACTCTATGGCTTCAAATGCACTTGGCTCGCGCTGTGTGGATGACTGTGATATCCTTGATGCGGCGACAAGTTGGTCTAGTCGCCGACGAGGCTCTATGAGGACCTGACCAATCTCTTTGTTATCCCGTCGAAGGCGCCAATGTGTATGAAAATGTTGTAGCCGGAGGGCAGATCTTCCACTATGAGAGACTGTAATGCGTGCGCACAAGGGAGACCGCGAGACTTGGTGAAGCTGCCTGTGCAAGATGGGGTGTTTTTCTCGTTGAGGCGCTTGTGTTGCTTTGCAACCTGTCGCAAGGCTTCGTGTGATACCCAGCCACGTACCGTGCTATATACGGTTCCAGAGAGCTCAATTGGCATCCGTATATGCTGCCTGGCTTGGTTGGCTTGTAGCTCGGCCAGTTGGTTGAGGAGAGCTTGCTTGATTGCCCTCGTTGCCTCGAAGAGGTCTAATGTTGACTTCTTAAGGTGACTCTTCAATAATGCGTGGATGCCTTCCACCCGGAAGTAGCCACATTGCCGAAGTGAGCATATTGATCGACCCAGGCCTTGACGAGCTTTTCCTTATACGGGTCCAACCAGGTTTCCGTATGTAGCTAACCTCCTTGACGTATCGTGGCACAAAGCGCTTCTCGAGCTCTTCAACTTGTTGATCAAATGTCTCCTCATCTTTCGAGCCCACGATTGAGTGCCAATACCCAAAGAACTCAGCCCACCTCTCATCACTATTAGAGTCCTCATCGTCACGGTCGAAAGCTGGTTTGCAATAGCTAAGCACCGCCTTATTCGCATGCCAGATGCAAAGCAGAGACTTGGACGCAGGAAAGCACCGGGAAATTGCGTTTATGCAGGCGAGGCAGCGATCTGTCAGGATAACCGATGGCTGGCGAATGTCATATAACTCGTATATCGATTGGAGTTGGTCCAGTGCCCAGATATAGTCATTTTCGTCTTCACCACTGAGGAAGGCAAAGGCAATACAGAATGACCGCTGACAGGCATCAACGCCGATCATATCGAGCAGTGGCATCTTATATTTGTTCGTCTTGTATGTGCAGTCTAGCAGTAGTAATTCTGGGTATGCGTTGAGGTATCCTAGAGACGCTGGGTGTGCGAATAAGACTGCTGTGACTCGGCCATCATGATCAAGCTGTATGCGGCTCTGGAACCCCTCGTTGTCAAGCTCATTGGCAAGGGCATGCATTGTGCTCTGGCCAGCAAGGAGCTCTCGTCTGCGCTGTGCGATACAGTTATATATGTCTTGCTGTGTCGCTCCTTGGGCAGTCTGAGAGCTCTGGCGCATATATGTCCGGATATCCTTTGGTGCTATGCCAGCGCTTGAGAGGTTCCCAATAGCTGACTGGTCAGTTGAGGAGAGGGCACGATGAGCTGGATGTGCTGTAATATGCAGACTGGGCTCATGGTTGTGGACCGACTTCTCCTCGCCTGGGCGATGCCTGACATACCAGTACGACTTATCAAGGCTCTCTTTCGCATTGATGGAAAACTGGCATCCAGTGATACGGGAGCTTGTAGACCGTTGCCGATCAGCTGGCTTCTGGTCCTTGCTTGTATGAGCCCCAAGTCTACCTCCACGATCGCAGGCAAATATGACTGTGCGTCTTTCCGACCCCGGGGTTCTCGTGGGCTTGCCTGTGGTGAAGGCATAGCCTCTGGAGCCGCCCACGCATTAATTGAGGCAAGAAGAGACTCGCGAGTCGAACTGGCCCTCAGGAGGAAGGCAATCGTCAGGGAATTCAGTAAGCCCCATATTGGAATTATCTTGAAGAGCTAGCTGTAGTGCACGACAGTGAGCAGCTCTTTATACACAAAGGAAAGGAAACTCCTGCTTTGTGGACGTGGTGCAGAACCCTTGTAACCGAGGCCGCCTGCGAGGTTTAATGCAGCCTGCGTTTGAGCTTTGGCCTCAATGGGGTCCAAGCACCACGCATGCAGGCGCTCGACCTTAATATGCGGATTATAGCATCGCTTCCGCGGACAACTACTCTGAGCGCAGATGGTATGCTATATGAGGCTGGCTCTCTGTGCGACAGTTTGCCACATGCAATAGAAAAGGAGAGTACAGGTCAGGGGGCGGCCCGACTATCTTCCGCCTGGGCTTACATAACAGGCGCGGACGTCCGCGCCGACTTTAAAGGCGCGGGGGTCCGCGCCTCTATTGGCTCCCGGACGTCCGCGCCGACTTTAAAGGCGCGGGGGTCCGCGCCTCTATTGGCTCCCTAGGGGCACTCTTGCCTTACATAAACAGCAATCTGGTGTGTGGTTCGTGGCGGCTGAACCTCGGACCGGCAAGCAACACTGCGGGCTCTCAACGCTCTTGCACATCCATGCAGCATAAGCAAAGCTCACTACAGTTGTCGTTTTCTCATCAAGCACCGGCACAAGTCAAGGCGTGCTTGGCGGCTCAAAGCACGGTGAAGAGAGTCAGCCACCGATTAATACTTGTTCATTTCCATGTCTACATGCCAGGCCGGCCTCGGATGAATGGCCAACTTCTCGGACGAGAGCCTCTTGTGTAGTTCTGAATCCCACGTATGAGTTCTTCGGCTCGCTGGCCACTGCTTTCGGTAAACCTGCTGCGCAGCGTCCTCTCTGCTTCTCTGCGCGAGGATCCCACAGCTCGACCATGACCAACCAGGTCCGCGCCGCACCCAGCATCCAGAGGTACCTAGTTCTGGGACCAAGGCGCCAAGCAACGCGGCCACGAAAACACCTTCTTAGCAGGAAAGAGCCTAAGCTTATCCGTGCGTGGATTGTAGCAGACAGGTCAAGTCTAAAGCCAAAAACCACCCCCCAAGGGCATGCGACAATGCTAAAACCTGAACCATCATCACGACGCTCTCCGTACATTTCACCAATGCGAGCAAAACACGTCGACCTCAGCGTCCATCATATCAGTCGGGTGCCCCAGATGCCGCGGCCAGCGCCGACGGCGAGCCATTCGCCGTAGTCGGCGTTAGGTAAATGAGGGGCCCATCCAAGGTTTCCGACTTCGTAATCACATTCCCAGCATGCGACCGGGCCTCGGTTATTGTCCTGCTGCGCGGCACCGTTGGGTGGGTGGCTGCCCGTCGAGGAGCCCGACGTCAGGAGGTCCCACACGAGGACCTGGCAATCGTCACCACCAGAGGCCAGGGTGCCTCGCCGCAAAGGCGACCATTCCAGGCAGTTGATGGATCCGGAATGGCCCCGGAGCTCCAGTAGTGCCTGACCAGGCTGCCGTACGTCTAGGATGCGGATGATGTTGGAGTCTTGAGCAAAGGTCGCCAGGAGATGCGTGTCGTGTGGTGAAGTCGCCAGGCGCAACAGAGGGGGCGGGCTTGACGGGGTGAGTTGTGCGGCTGTGGGGCTGGTGCGGCCACTGTTGTCTAAATTTTGTTGGCGTTAACGTGGGCGAAGACGCGGCGTCGACTTGGACCATCTTACCTCTGTCCTCCTTGCCTGTCGGCTCATATATGATGGTTGAGTGCTCCAAGCTTCGCAGATCAAACATGCGAACACTTCCGTCTTGTCCACAGCTGACAAAGACATCAACGCTATTGGCGCAAAATCGCACGTCGTAGACTTCCTTATCATGAGCAATGAGCTGAGTCTTGGCAGTCAATGACGGAATGTCCCAAATGGTGCAGGTGGTGTCGATGCTGGAGGTAATGATAAGACTGGGAGAAACAGTGTTCCAGTCGAGCGAAGTGAGCGGCGCAGTATGGTCGGGCGTTTTGGAGTTGGATAGCAACGCCAGCGGAGTCAATTTATTGACCAAGGTGTCGCGTGTAGCTCGTGTGATAGTGCTCCCTGGGTTTGCGGGCGATTCCGACGGCAGCGACCATAACCGGAGATGGTCTCCAGATGTAGCCAGGAGATCGGTCGACTGTTTCTGCGAAGACGGCGGCTCCCACAAAAGTCTGGTGACTGGGTAGGAATGAGTCGCTTCCGCAACCTTGGTGAACTCCAGGCTGTACTTGGATGAGCCGGGGGTGTATACGTCCTGTGAGGTCGGAACCACCTGGCTATTGAGGATTTGGATCTGTAAATATTAGAATGGGATGTCGACTACATACAGGACGGCCATGGCAGGTCAGGTAGACGACTGGCCGGCCGTTCACGTAGGGGACACGTACAAAGTTGTGACCATCTTCGAGGTAGCTGCCTACGGCCAGTTTCCCTGCGCCGGTACCCTGAGGCGGCCACTTGCACCAGTCAAGGGCATAGACCGCCCAGGGGGCCAGGTAGTTGCTAGGCCCCGGCTGAGCGTTAGCCAAATCGTGGGCTGCGGTGCCGGCAGCGCTGTCGGACATGCTCGAATCGGCACGTGGCCGAATATCTGCGAGACCTAGTGGTGCGTTGGAGAAGTTGCGCTGGGAGCCGGGCGCACCGTATTTTGAGGCGTCTGCCGGCGAGATGAACTGTGAGGACGAACCGGTCGGGGTCGTGGGGGTGTATGCATGGTACGAGGAGGGGGGAACATCGTAGCCAGCGGTAGGGCTGGAGCGGGAGTAGGAGTGAGAGTGCGGCATGGTGAGAGACGGCTTCGAGGACGTGTGGTAGTCGTGGGAGGACGGCTGATGTTGCGGCGTCGACGACATGGAGCCGTGGATGGTGGGGAGGGCAGTTGGCGCCGTATTGGCCGACATGGCCTGAGGCCGCGCTGATATACCACCGGGCTGGAGGACGTTGGGTACGGGGCTAACTCCGGGCGGTTGTTGATGCTGGGACGGAGGCTGCGTCGTCGGTGGCGGCTGCTCAAGCTTGATCTGGGGCGCGTAGTCCCGCGATGATGACAGGTGCGGGCCCTGTGGGCTCGACACCATGCCCGACATGTGCAGCTCGTCCTGACCATACGCACCAGAACCAACAGGCCGTCGCGGCGGAGGAAGTTGCTGTGATTGGCTCATGGGCGACGTTATGCCCGAGGTGGCCGCTGGAGAGTCGAGGGCCTCGTTACGAGGAGAAGGTATCAAAACGGTCGACCGGGCGATCAAGAGCGATTCACGGAAGCGTTTCAGGCAGGCCAAAGGATGTCCGTCAAGCCGATCCGAGGAAGTGAGGACAGAGGACGAGCAAGTTTGCTCGCTCGCAGGTAGCGGGACAATTGGTGCCAGGTGGATGCCGATGGGCCTGGCGCATCGGAGCGGGAGTTGCCGTCCTGAGGTACGCAGTAGAGGTCGCGGGGCTCAGTATTCTAAGTCGGGCGTCTTCAAGGGGGGGAGGCGTGGGCGAGGTCGTCGAGCTCCCTGTCGCTTGAGGGGGTTGGTCGCGCGCGAAAACGCGGGTTGGGTGGTGCTGTGGACCAAGATCTACGGTGGAACTTGGGGAACTGAGATGCACCTTGTGCCCAAGGTGCTCCGTACCTACCGTATTAAGGAATTACTATTAGCAGGGTATTAGGTTTCCAATGTATAAGGCTTCGATACAGGTAGGTAAGGTAGAACTAATGTTCTATGTACCTATCTAGGTACCAAAAACCTAGGTATCCAAGAATATGTCTTGGGGTACTACTTCACCTGGAGGCAGGTACCTGCTTATCCTCACCTAGGTAGGTACCTATGGCCTTCGCTCTCCCTCTTCCTGTGCAGACCCTAGTAGTTACACCAGGTGTCCTCGTGCGCATGCGCATTTGGCTGCGCTCATCTGCCTCTTGCTGATCGGACTGCAAATGCCACTCGGTCATTTTGCCCTCGTCCGGTTCGTGCTCTCCTCCTCGCTCGCTTCCGTATAGTTATCTAGGTATTTATTGTGTCAAGTCTAAGGACCGTCCTCAGTGGTTCTCAGAATTGCAGGCCTGATGCCATCATCGCGACAACCTCCTTAGCCATTACCATCCCCCATTTTGCACCTTTCTGGCGCCTCTCTTTCTTCTAGCTATGGAACCGACATCTCCAAAAATGGCCTCCCCCCTCTACCGCGGCGCCGGCATGGCGTCTCCCCATCGTTCCCCCGGTCAATCCCCGAGCGAATACCAACTTGAGCAGCTTGAACCTCGGCCTGACAATGCTCACCCATATCTCGACGAAAGCCCCCCGCGAGCTCGACTGAGGCGGCATGTGACACATGCGTCAAGCCGGAGCGAATCGACCAACTCCAGACACTACAGGCCCTGCTCCGCGGCTTCATCCTCAAAGCCGAGGCAGCCGCCCATGTTTACGGGTCCTCCGCCGCCGATATCCGCATCTACAATGATGAGCAACGCCGCGAGCCCGAAGTGGCCAAAAGATAGACACGGGGAAAGCTCTCGTGAGCTTCCCGGCTCCCTTGTCGACCACAGACCGGAGTCATTAGTTTCTCGAGCCTCGGATTCGGCATGGCGAGGGCTGCGGAGAAAGCAACGGGGCTTGGAGCAGGAAATCCAGCGGCTCCTTGACCTGCAGGCCACAGCCCTGGTGGCAGACGGTACAGGAAGCTCGGGCGCGAGGTCTATAGGCGACGGGTCCGGACGGAGTGAAGATGGGAGCACTACGCCTACGGGCACCTTCTCTTCCGACGCGAGTACTGGTTCTCGGCTGCCCAAGAGTCTCTATATTCCTCCTCGGTCGACGCCCGAGGGCAACGTGATCCCGGTGCGCCAGCCGGAAAAGCAGCAACGCATGGGACTGCAGGAAGTGCGCAATGGGCTCCGAGAGTCGCTTGCGGACTTGGCGGATCTCAAGCGAGAGGAAGACGCACAAGCGAAGGCGGCCCTGTCGGAGCGCAAGACAGCGCTAGCCCGACTAGATGGCCTTTGCACAAAAAGAATTGAAATATGCGACGAGCTCAAGGTTCTGGAGAACGATGACGAGGAGCCTCTGGGCCAAGAACTGCGGAAACTCGGGTCAGAGCATGATTCCCTCAACGACGAGATTCGGCAGCTGGAGGAGATGCTTGCGGGGATGCAAAACCGGCGCCGGCGGCTTAAAGAGAGGATGAACGACGTCAAGAGCAAACGGGAAGCTGGGCTCAGCGGGTACCGTGGCGCTCTCAAGGATGTAGATGCCGAGGTCAATACTCTCTTGCGCCGTCCTCCTGTTCACCCGCTAGGCCCGGAGATGCTCGACCGTGGCAAGGACGAAGGCGAGGAGGCGAGGTCAACCGGAGGATTGGACTTCATGCGACTTATCCCGCAGCGGCGCACTATCGAAATGGCAAGAGCATGGTGGGAAGCCGAGGTCGAGATTCTGGAGCAGCAACGAGCTCATATCGGCGAAGAGCAACAGGCTCTGGAGCAAGGCAGCATCGTCTGGCAAGAAGTCGTCGCCCTGGTAACCCACTTCGAGTCGAGGCTACGAGAGATTATGAAGGCTGGGACGAGCAAATCGACTCGGTCCTTCTTGGCCTTGGACGGGAAGAAGGTATCCCGGGATGATCTGATACGAAGCCAGCTTCCCATAATGGATGAGGTTGTAGCAGGGCTGGCACAGCGTATGCAAGTGGCCGAGAGCAAGCGCTGGAACCTGCTCATTTGCGCCATTGGGGCTGAGTGGGAGACGTTCAAAGAGGCCCATGACGTTCTCAAAGGCATCGTCGACGGCGCCAATGGTGGAGTCGTTGGGAATGCCGCCGGCGATCGTCCCGGGATGTCGCCTGCCGCTGATGAGTTCGGGGACGACGACCCGGTGAATCGTGAAGAGCCGGGCCGGGGCGACGTCCTTGCAGAGAGCGACAATGAAGTCCCGGCAGATCTCTTCGTCTCGCGCCTAGACGATGCAGAGCGCGTACCAGTCAAGAGTCAGTTGGACTATGCCGACGTCCGGGGCAGAAGGGACAGCGAGAACGATGTGCCCCCGGAGTTTCTAGCTGAGCACGACCACGGCAAGGACCTCCCAGTCGCGCCACCATGACCTTGTGTATGCGCATCTGGGCTGTACTGCTTGCGTGCTGTGTTGCGGTACCAGGGCAGAGCCAGGTTAGAATCAGACGTAAGATTGGGCAGAACCAAAAAAAACACCTTCTCTCTTTGACGAGCTGGTTTGACCATGTCCCGATGGCCTTTAGACTTTCCGTATAGGCGTGTGACGGCCTTGACAGACCGACACAGCTTGACGGGTCACAGAAGATGGCTCGTAGAGTTGGATTGTCTTGGGAGCATAATGGCCCGTTTTCTCAGTGTCCAGAATGCTCGGGGACGGTAGGGGGCTGATATGCCATCATTTATTTCAATATCAAGCTCTTGAATCATAATGCCAACCAGAGCGCCTCACGACTATGGGAAAAGGTGACATAAAAACAGAGAGACGAGCGGAAAACTGCGGATCGTTGCGTAGATGATTGGGCTCCGAAGCGTGAGCCATAATCATGCGGCTTTGACGAACAGACAACCTCGTCGGGCAGCCAACCGGCCAAACGATGTACAAGTGATTTCGTTCGGGGAAGGCCGCGAAATAGGTTGGTGTCATGATGCGGACACTGCGGCCGAGGGGTTGGGTCTCATCGAGTGCGCTCGAAGAAGCCGCTGGAGCCGGCGATGGCGACTGACTGGTCCATCACCCACTCACCGACGCCGAGATACTTGTCGATCCATTTCGATACTTCTTTGTTTTCACCAGCGACTTTGTCCGTCTTGAAACTAGGCCTAGGAAATGCCGCGGCAGGGCACGAGTTAGGGAGCCGGCCACAAGACACGACGAAGATGGTACTGCATCAAAAGACTCACGTCAATCCCGTCGACCGCTTCATGCCCGCAAGAAAGGCGGAGACTGGAAGGCGACGTTGTTAGTGACTGTGGGGGTCGGTCGACAGGGGGCGTGGCGACGCACGGAGAACGGCGTCGAAGGCGTAGTGTGTCAATCGTCCGACCTTTGACCAGAGTCCCAGCGTCAGCAGGTTGAGTAACTGCGAAAAATCTTAGAGAATTCGCGTAAAAAGGGGGAAATGGGTTGGGTTAGGGGGGCGTTGGGCGTGGATGAGTGCTTGAAGGCTTGCGCGCAAAAGAGGTTGGCTCGGCCTGGCTCGGCTTGCACTTGAGTGACGGAGGGAAATGGAAAACACACCACCATGATGGACGGATGTGCCAATGGATCGACGGGAACAGAGAGGTACAGAGGGAGTCGACGAGGTCTGGGAGGGAGAGGCTCTTCTTGGGGGTTTGACGGGAAAAAAGGTCACTGGCGCTTGACACCAGAGGTGAAGAAGGGAAATACGCCTTGCGGTCGGTGGTGTTGATCACGGCCTCCGGAGGAGGAAGCCACACGTTGACTCAGCACTGGACACATGGCGCAAGGTACTCCGTACCAGGTACGTACCTGCTGGCTGGCGCTGGCAACGTGCGGTTGTCGGGAGGGAGGGGCTGCAGTGACCGGTGGGTCAAGTGCCTTTGAAGTGCCGGCCTTGGGTCCCCGGCGTGCGCGATGTAATTACACACGTACTGCCTCGGTACCGTTGAGGTTGAATGGAAGCTTATTAGACGTGGCAAACGGAAACTAGGGCAATCTCATACCCTGGAAAGACATCGTCGCACAGTACTGACTCGCAGATGATCGTGGCGCAGAGCCTTGCGGTTTCCGCCTTTTATACTCCGTAGGCTGCTCCAGGACCGTGAATGCCGGGTCCATCGTAGGGGCGAGAGACGGGGGCCCATTCACGGTTACACGACTTGACGCAGCACATGCATCGGAGTCGACGACCCCTCGACCTGGATCAAAGCATCCTATCCGCTTTTTTTCTTTCTTTCGAAATACGTAGCAGCAGTAACGAGTGCCCTTAACCCGCTGCAACCGTGTGTTTCCGCTGGGTTTCAGCCCGTTTTGATGGACCAACTCGCCGAGCAAGCCAAGGAAGCATTCCCCAACTTCTCTAAGTTAGTGTTGAACCAACGGCAGTTGGCACGTCTATGCTCGGGCTTTTTCTTTAAGCACCTTGCCCTCATCCCTATTCTGACCAACGCATTGGTTGTGTAACTGGCGGACCTTGGCGGAGGAAAATAGTAGGTTGAGGGCCACAGGGGGAACACGATTGGCGACGAAATACATAAGTTAATCGGCGGACAGCTACCGGTATGTAAGCTAGACTGAGGCGGGGCAACTGCTGCCAACCCCACCACAACCACCACGCTTGGCATACATCTCTGCCGCTTCCATTTCTCCCTTTCTCTTCTCCTCTCTTCCAGTCCCGCCTCGACCTCGCGCCAATCTAGCCCAATTGCCCGTCTGCCTTGCCCACCGACGAGCTTCAGCCCCCTATTCCATACACACCAAGGCTCTTTCGCCGGTCCAAGACTTTTGGGCCAAGCTCTCAGCAGCTTCGAGGTCAGCACCCCGCTCACCCCATCTCGAGCTTCCTGATTCTCCCCCAAAGCACTCACCATCATTCCGTGCTTGTCGCTCACGAGTCCTGCCTACCTAGCTCACATCTGTCCTTGCTACTTTGCACCGAGCAATCTTTCTTCCTCCTTCCTCGCCCGCACTACTTGGCTCGATCCTTTCCCGTCGTCAGCTCGACAGCGTGCCGGTCCTCCAAGTAAGGACATTTTTCTACTTCTTTTTCGTCGTCTCAAATCAACATGGCCGACAAGCCCAACCGTTCCCGATCTTTTAGCATCATGGCCGCTGCCCAGCAGGACCACCTCAACGGTGGTGGACGCATCAACTGGCTGGCTTCGCTCAACACGGCCTTTAGCCCCGAGCGCAACTACCGCCGCTCCTCCATCATCTGCACCATAGGGCCCAAGACCAACTCGGTCGAGGCCATCAACCGCCTCCGCGATGCCGGCCTCAACGTCGTCCGCATGAATTTCTCGCACGGCTCCTACGACTACCACCAGTCCGTCATCGACCATGCTCGTGCCGCTGTCGACTGCCACCCCGGGCGACCCGTTGCCATTGCCCTCGACACCAAGGGGCCTGAGATTCGCACCGGCAACACCAAAAACGACGAAGACCTCCCCATCTCCGTCGGCAACGTCTTGAACATCACCACTGATGATAAGTTCGCCACCTCGTGCGACACCAAAAACATGTGAGTCTCTGCCGTAAAATTGAGCATAGAGTCGACGCCGGCCGACCTCCCCCCCTTTCCTCCTCTTTGGCGTGCCTCCTAAGCCGCGACTTGCTGATCACGGCAACACCCTGACCGCAGGTATGTCGACTACAAGAACATCACAAAGGTCATTCAGCCCGGTCGCATCATTTATGTCGACGACGGTGTTCTTGCATTCGACGTGCTCAGCATCAAGGACGAAAAGACCATTGAGGTCCGAGCCCGAAACAATGGCTTCATCTCATCCCGCAAGGGCGTCAATCTGCCAAACACAGATGTCGATCTCCCTGCCCTCTCGGAAAAGGACAAGGCCGACCTCAAGTTCGGCTGCAAGAACAAGGTCGATATGATCTTTGCGTCCTTTATCCGTCGCGCGCAGGACATCAAGGATATCCGTGAGGTGTTGGGCGCCGAGGGCAAAGGGATCCAGATCATTGCCAAGATCGAAAACCGCCAGGGCCTCAACAACTTCCAGGAGATCCTCAACGAGACGGACGGTGTCATGGTCGCTCGTGGAGATCTCGGCATCGAGATCCCTGCCGCCGAGGTGTTTGCGGCGCAGAAGAAGCTTATTGCTATGTGCAACATGGCCGGCAAGCCAGTCATTTGCGCCACCCAGATGCTCGAGTCGATGATCAAGAACCCGCGTCCCACCCGAGCCGAGATCAGCGACGTCGGCAATGCCATCACGGACGGAGCCGACTGCGTCATGCTTTCGGGCGAGACGGCCAAGGGGAGCTACCCTGTCGAGGCCGTTCGCGAGATGCACGAGGCCTGTCTCAAGGCCGAGAACTCGATCCCATACGTGTCTCACTTTGAGGAGCTGTGCACTCTAGTCAAGCGCCCGGTAAGCACCGTCGAGTCGTGCGCCATGGCGGCTGTCCGCGCGTCGCTCGATCTCGGAGCCGGTGGCATCATCGTCCTGTCCACTTCGGGCGAGTCGGCCAGGCTACTCTCCAAGTATCGTCCGGTGTGCCCCATCTTCATGGTGACCCGCAACGCCACAACGTCTCGTTTCGCCCACCTATATCGCGGCGTCTATCCCTTCCTATTCCCCGAGGCCAAGCCCGACTTTGAGAAGGTCAACTGGCAGGAGGACGTCGACAGGCGCATCAAGTGGGCGGTCAACCACGCCCTGCAGCTCAAGACCTTGACCATCGGCGACACCGTCGTCGTCGTGCAGGGCTGGAAGGGCGGCATGGGCAACACGAACACGCTTCGGATCGTGCAGGCTGACCCCGAGCACCTGGGGATCGGCCAACTGTGAACGGAAGGAGGATGGCAGCTAAAGGCAACGTCGGCACGTGGGAAACATGCTTTGGTGGCCTGCGTGATGGGGCGAAACCGGCCAGGGGTCCATAACAAGAAGAATATCGTACCAAAAGTCAGCAAGATTCTCTAGAACACGAGGCGCTCAACTCGATGTCTGCTTCCTACGTCCTCGTTGCCACCGTCGAACCAGGCGCGCCAAGCGTTCGCGCAGACGTCGGTCGCCAACTCGCGGGTCGCCGTGGGGAAGAGAGGGCGAACGGCCTCAACGTACTGCTTCAATGTGGGAGTCAATTGCTTTGTAGACGTTGTCGAAACGTTGCTTTAACGCCTAGGCATATAACAAGCTGCAGACCCCGATTGCTGCATGGATGACATGATGGTGTAGAGTACCTAGGTACCTGGTCTCTCCAAGAGCTTCGTCCTTCTTACTTCCGCCATCTCTCACACACGATTCGTCAAATCGCGTCCTCTCCGATCCTGGCCGCTCGTCATGTCCACCGATTTGCGGAACTCGTCATGTCGCTAATCCCCTACCACCCTCGTGAGGGTCGTGAGATTGTGCTGTGCGTCTTCAAGACCGCCAATCCCCTTGTTGTTCCTCGCGATTACCAAAGGCCATCGTGCTGACTGGCTATGACGCAGTCGCCACCACAACTCCGTCGTCGTTCGTGATCCCGATTCCCACCGCCTCGAGATCCGTCGCACCGAATGCCCGACATGTCACCAGCCTCTTGGTCATGCTTCGTCTCCCGAACGACCTCTTGACAGACATTACGACATGAGTCATGAGTATGTCAATCCAGACTATTTTCGTATGCTCCGCGCGGGGAACGAAGTCTCTGCGCCGCCAAACGGCCCTCCCAGTCCCGTCAGGAGGCTCTTCCACCCTGCGCTGGCCGGCACTCCTTCGGTGCACTCTACCCCCCCCTCTGTTACCCTCGATGAGGAAGCAGAGTTTGTCTCGAGCACCCCCGGCGTAGGCCAGGCCGAGGGGAGCAGGATACGAAGAAATGCCTTCAGCCCTGACTACTTCAAAACCTTTTTCGTCGAAGAAACTGTACTGGGCAGAGGCGGGAAAGGCGTCGTGCTGCTTGTTAGGCACGAAATTGATGGCTGCCAGCTAGGTCATTTCGCTTGCAAACGGGTCCCAGTCGGCGACGACCATGCCTGGCTGGAAAAGGTTTTGATTGAGGTTGAGCTTCTGGCCAAGCTTTCGCACCCGAACCTCGTCTCTTACCGCCACGTCTGGCTCGAGGACGTGCAGCTCACCCGATTCGGTCCCAGTGTTGCCTGTGCCTTCATCCTACAGCAATACTGCAACAGCGGGGACCTCCATCAGTACGTTGTCGGCAGCGCGCCACGTGAAGCAACCAAAGAGGAGCTCAAGGCTCGGATGCGCCGTCGCTCCAAGGGCCAGGCAGAGCCACCCCACCACCTCTCGCAGGCAAAGCCACAGCTATCTTTTGAAGACATCTACTCATTCTTCAAAGACATTACGTCTGGAGTTGCCTACCTGCACGCCGCCAACTACATCCATCGCGATCTCAAGCCTAACAACTGCCTCCTCCACCGGGAAGGTGGCATGCTGCAATGCCTCATCAGCGACTTTGGAGAGGTCCAGCCGGAGAACGTGGTGCGCAAATCCACTGGCTCCACGGGCACCATCTCCTACTGCGCCCCAGAGGTGTTGAAGATGGACGCCAATGGCCGGTACGGCAACTTCACTACAAAATCTGACATGTTCTCGCTGGGCATGATCCTCTACTTCATGTGCTTTGGTAGGCTTCCGTATCAGGGAGCCAACGCCATTCAAGAAGAGCTCGAGGATATCGAGCTGCTCCGGGCCGAAATCGTCGACTGGAAAGGATTCCAGGACGAGCGACGCGAGCGCACAGACCTGCCGCCGCGGCTGTACAAGCTGTTGAAGAAGCTGCTGGCGCTGGACCCAGCGGAGCGCCCAAGTGCAAATGAAGTCTTGATTGCTATGAAGAGCGAGACGAGCTTCGACGGCATCACAAGAGGAGACAGGACCGCGGCTACGTCATCTAGCCCACGCAGCAGCCGAGTCCAGAATCTAGACTCTCCAGCCCCCCCGGGTACTCCTGTTCCAGGTAAATGCGAATCGACGACGAGCCCGTGGTCTTTTGGATCTTACAGCTTTGCAGACCCGCGAAAGGAGCGAACACGCAGGCGAATGACTCCGCGTGAGGAATCTAGTCCATGGCCAAGGCCGGGCGACAGGGATGGCGTACCATCCACAGAACGAGACGAGGCCACGCAGACCCTTGCACAACCCAATGTCTCACATCGCAGCGGTCGTACCTTGACACAGCTGAAAAATGATGACGATGAGCCTCAAGTGGCGCGCGATAGCAATGGCCGCTCGCGGACGAGCCCCGAGGAGCCATTCTCTCCACCTCTTCTCATGGCACCTCCTCGTACTAGAGGAGGAGAGGTGCGCTATCAGATGGAACTGGCTCTGCACCGCGCCTCCACCGCTCTAGGGCTCAGATGTGATCTTGTCAGGTTTCTTGTTCGGCTAGGCATCTTCTTTATCAAGCTCGGCACCCTCGCTCGTCCGTGTTGGCCCTTGGTCGCCAGTCTTGAAGTGAGTATACCGCTGGTAATCGTGGCAGCCTTTGATTTGGGTCTTCCAAGCAGCGCTACGGGCTCTTCCCATGAGCGGCGGAGACAAGCCAGCCACGGGCTCTCTTACAACATGCGTCCTTTGTCTGCAGGCCTGGGGTCAAGCCTCATCCTTCTGGCGCTTCACTTTGCCGTGTTATGGCTCGCTCGCCGATGGAGCACTCTGTGCGTGACTGTGTCGCAGGACGAATGGCTCGAATGGTAGGCACTGGGAAGCTCAGGTTTATGGGCTCATGAGTCTGTCTCTTACAGATCGACCAGAGCACGACGCAAAACCACGGCATGCCAGCTGCCCAGGATTGAGGTAGTTGCGTGGGAGTTGTCGATCGCCAGTACCCCTTCCGCACAGGGACCACGGCTGGCTCGAGCATTGATCGAGCGTCCTTGAGGTAAGGCACCGAAAGCGAAGCATTGTATAATGATGTGGTGAGTTGGCACTTCAATTTTCATGGTTGAGGCATGCTTGCTGATGCGCGAGTTAGGATTACCGTAGAAGCAAGCCGACGAAGGCGCAGCTACTTGCCCCAAAGCGTTCAACTTATGACTGCGACAATTGCTCCGCAGGTTGCAGCACCGACTTGGCGTGAACCATACATCTACGTAGTGTTTGCGCTCTACTACAAGACGGTGGAGTGGCATGCATGTCACTCCAGATACATGGCCAGGGGCGCTGTTCTTCGTCGCTCCCTTCTCGTCTCCCCATTTGTTGATAGGTTTCAAGGACGGGTCTCAAATATGGCCCCCGAGTTTACACATTCTTTGCTGCCACCTGCTTGGTGCTTGTGCGTCAGGACGCTGGGCACTGCGCGTTCATCAAGCCGTTGCTGGCAGAGGAAGACTCGTGGGCAAGGGGGCCCCACCTCGAAGAAGAATATATATATATATATGTATATATATATATAAATAAATGACCCCCGCAGGCTTGCTTTATCGACGCAAGCCAAACGACGAGTACTAGGCGAGGCACACGGAGACGACGATTGTACGAGCATCGGTGTCCTCTCCCTACGAGCGATGGACCGCAATTGTCATCACTACTGCTGGGAACAGCCCCAAAGGTGATCAGCCAAGTCACAGCCCGCCGCCCGTCCGAAGGGCGAACCGCCCAAGCCGTCTCGTTCGCCGCTTGGCCAGGCCACCCCTACCGCCGGCCGGAGCGACGGGCTTGCCGCCGGTGACGCTGCCGAGCCCAAAGTCTGGGATGCCTCCAAGGCTGCCGAGTATGTCGCCGATATAGTTTGTGGGCACGATGCCTTGCCGAAAGACGGGGTCCCACTCGGTAACGATGCCCTTGACGATTTCGATGCCGGCGTTGTATATGTTGTCAATGGCGATGTTGAAGCCGTTTTGATCGACGGTGGCCAGGTGCTCCCAGTCAGAGACGCCGGGCGGAGGGCGATCAAAGTCGGAACCTGCGTATTCATCGGCGTCGGGTTAGGGGCCGTTGGCAATGTCCACGCGTCGACGATGATTCCTCCGGCCCCATGCAACAGTCGGTAGATTGCACTCACCTGTGCGCATGACGATGATTCTGGAAAAGTCGACGATGCTCTCGATGGCAGCTCTCACCAGGACCTCGAGCGTGGCGTTTTCTTCCTGGGCCGTCATGCAGTAGACGCCGGTGCCGTTTGTCCATGTCTCGGTCGTCTTCTCAAACACCTGGGAAAGCCTGGTGCCCGAGAAGTAGACGTCGCTGGTTGTGCAGTCGCACTTGACGACGCTGGGAGGGCGCGCGGCGGCGGCGAAGGGATTCTGACCCCTTGCCGCGTACCGGGCGCGATACTGGCGGGAGATTTGGTCGTCGGTCAGGGAGGCGCGGGAAGCCAGGGCGAGGGCGGCATCGCGCAGGCGCTCGTTGAGCTCAAAGACCTCGGTGCCGTACGTGATGCTGGGATACTCGAACGGATAGTCGCGGCCGTATGCGATGTAGCCCGTCGTCCAGTTGGCCGGCAAGGAGCGTGGGTCGATTTCATACTGCAGGGCGACCTGGACGGCGAACCGGGACAGAGCCACGCTGCCCAGGGTGGCGTGCCGGGGGTTGACGCCGGCGATGCCGGCGATGAGGAAGTAGGTCTGGCCAAGGTTGAACCTCTGCGACAGCACGAGGGCCATCATGGACGCCGCCGCGTTGACCTCCCCCTCGCCCACCGTGACCTGGCAGACGCGGCCGTCCTCGGTACATGAGACGTGCGGGAAGAGCATGGAGAGGCCGGGCGAGGCGACGGCAACGGCAGAGAGATTGCCCAGCTCGGATTCATGGAACCGCCGATGCCACGAGTCTGCCTCTGGTGTCCACTATGGTGGTTTGATGCAGGTTAGACTGGGCTGGGCCTTTCTATCCGTAGCACGTCGGGGCATGCATGCTTCGAGTGTTGCAAGAGCATGGTCCATACAACGGATGGACAGGATGGCAAGCATGGATGCAAGGAAACACGGGGGAGGGAAAGACATGCCATGGAAATAATCATGACGCGGGGCGCAATGGGGCCGCGACAGGGTGCGCTGCTGGCCGAAGCATGCCTCACGAGGTGCTGCAGCTGAAGGAGAAAAGATAGCAGCCGGGCCATGATGGATAGAATTCTCGGAGACGAACTGGACAGCCCCGCTGCATGACCTTATTCAACAAAAGAATGATACGGCTGCTCCCGACTTCCTGCTTTACACCGTTCGGCTCCTGGGTCAGGGAAGGATGAGGCCAGCTCGAGGGAGAGACAATGAGTTGGAGGAGAAGATGGCGATGGGCTTTAACTTCCTGGGCGCCTCGTTCTGATATAGATGTCGGACACGCGGCCGAGGGATGGCGCGCCACAGATCTCGCATCAATCATCTGTTGGCTTGCGCTCCCCAGGGCCGCTGAGACATGATGCAGGGCAGAGACACGGCAACTCATTGTGTACAATAGATCAGATGTTGCAATGGTTTGACCTGAGTGACGAGCCGCGAGCCGGGCCAAGAAGCAATCGGCCTCGACCGTGCCTCTCTGCTCTCCATGCACGAGCCGAGCTCTCGCAAGCAAGAGGACCAAGGCCGTCCAGGGTGACACACATCTACGTTGTCAGTGCGTGCCAACGAAGGCGAGATGTACATTCAATTTTTGTTCTGCCACGACAAGCAGCCGCGGTCGGCATCGCCGATGCTGACGGCATGTGGATTGATGCGTCTCTTGCGTGCGCATGTACTGCACAGTACGGACGAGCCTGATAATCATTGTCAATACTTGGTAGGTGGCGCACGGCAAACATGGTGCGAGCACGGATGGCGGAGCTCGTCTCAGCCAGAGGAGGAGGACTCGGCAAGCATCGGTGACGCAAGCAGGCGGATGGGAGAGTTATTTGCGAGGTTCCGTCAATATCGGCGGGAAGCCGAGGCGGCGAACACTGGATGTGCTGAATGTCGCATGCAGGGCAAGCGTTTACCCGGCAAAAACTCGGGGGCGCTTTTCGTATAGCCGTCGCATAAGTTCATTGCCGTCGGCTGCTGGGGAGGAACTCGAGGGACTTTTTTTGGCCAACAGCCTTCCTTCCCCACACTCTGGCCTGACTCTCTCTCGGGCCGATGAGTGCGGGTACTTGAGGTAGGTAGATAAAGTACTCCGTACCTGCCTTAGAAAAAGATACCTACCCCGGTATGTGTCTCGGTACGTTAGGTACCTACCTAGTACATGGGCAGAATTGTTGGTGAATTAGGTACCTAGGTACCTTCCCTATTCCCCATCAAGAAGAGACGCGTCACCAATCGTACCGACATGCGTCAACCGGCTCAATTGCCCTCGACAGACGCCGACCCTGGCTTTTGCTCCCGCGCCTCTGCAGCTGATTCTCCACCGCTCTCCAGGCTGTCAACGAGGGAACAAACAGGCTCCGGCATACGTTCCCAGACAGGACGGCCTGCAATGGCGATGCCACGGCCCAGGCGTAAGCGACCCTCTTGTACCTCGTCGCCAGTTTTCAATGCCGACTAGCGGAAAACTCCCTCTTACAGTACCATTCGACCATCGACCCTGACTGCTCGGAAACCGGGGTCTAGCGTCTCTGCCGGCTCAACCGGTTCTTGCAGTCTCCATGGTGTCTTAACATCGATCGATACGATACGGGGGCTCGTGTGTGCGCTTGGCTCGCCAGCCACGGAAGCAGCTCGCCGTTGGGCCTCGAGAGCAGAGTCTTTTGCTTGCCGAGACCATGAGCATCCTCGCGTGGCGTTGTAGCTCAGTGTCTCCTCGAAATCACGTGCGCTTGCCAAGACTTGGTAGCTGCACAGTACGTACGAATGCGGATACTTCCAACGTCGCTGACGGCCATCCGTGTTGAGTCACACAAACTTGGACCAACGGCAGCGAGGAGCCTCCACACCCCCATGTAGCTCTAGTGGCTCGAGTCTCTTGGCTCTTTCAAGTCTCATCCAGTAAGGATACCACGGCTCATATATCGTGCAGGCTGACCTCCCAGACCATGGCCGTTGTACGACATCACTACTCCAACTTTCCATCCGCCCACCCTGCCGCCTACTCCTCGCCTCCTTCCGTCCCACAGGCGAGACGAGCCCGACGAGCCCAGCCTCGAGCGCCGCTCTCCTCCCGCCTCCACCATCGCGAAGCGGCGCACGGGGCTTCTTTTCATGGATACCATTACGCCCACGACAATCCCGCGCCGTGGCCAAGATGAACTTGTCCCGGTCCACAATGGCCGCCCTCTGACCGCCGACCTGGGCGACGACTCGCCGCCGCCCGCCAACAAATTCGCCTTCACCCCGACCCAGCTGCACACCCTCCTCACCTTTCGCAGCCTCGCAGCTCTCGATGCCTTCGGTGGCCTATGCGGGCTCGCTGCGGGTCTCCGCACTGATGTCACCGCTGGCCTCGGCGCCGACGAGACTGATATCGATGGCCTAGTCTCTTTCGACGAAGCCGTCGCCGCTGGCCGCGAGAGCCGCGCCCCAGTCCTTCAAGCCACCGGCCCTCCGTCATCGTCTCCCGCTCCCCACGCGATACGCCGGGGCGACGCCGCCGCCGCCGCCGACCAGCGTCGCTTCGCCGACCGGAAGCGCATCTTTGGCACCAACCAGCTACCTCGACGCCGCCACAAATCGTTCCTCAAGCTCATGTGGGTCGCCTTCAACGACAAGCTTCTCATTCTCCTCACCATTACTGCCGCCGTCTCCGTCGCCATTGGCATCTACCGCTCCGTCAGCGCCGATTTCGGCACGTCCAACATCGAGTGGGTGGATGGCGTAACCGTCATCGTGGCCATCATCGCCATTGTCCTGGCTAGCGCCGCCAACGACTGGCAGCAGAATCACAAGTTCGAAAAGCTCAACGAGCGCAAGAAGCAGCGCGAGGTCACCGTCGTTCGTTCCGGCAGGGCCCAGCGGATATGGATGCACGACGTCCTCGTTGGCGACGTCATGTATATTGAGGCTGGCGAGGTGCTGGCCGTCGACGGCATCCTTATCCAAGCTTCCGGGCTGCACATCGACGAGTCTCCCGTCTCGGGCGAGTCTGCCCCCGTCCACAAGACCATTCCCGACGACCACAACGCCTCGCATGCCGCCCTCGCCGACCCCTTCATTCTGAGCGGCACCACCGTCACATGTGGTGTCGGTCGCTATCTCGTCACTTCGGTCGGTGCCAACTCGACCTATGGGCGCACTCTCATGTCCCTGCGCGAGGATGTCCAGGAGACGCCCCTCCAGGCGAAGCTTGGCCGTCTGGGCAAGCAGCTCATCATCTTCGGCGCCGTTGCCGGTGCCATCTTCTTCGTCGTTCTCACCATCCGCTACCTGGTCAATCTCAAGCACATGAACCAAGGGGGGCCGCCCAAAAAGGCTGCCGTCTTCTTCCAAAACGTCATCATTTCCATCACTGTCGTCGTCATCGCCGTCCCCGAGGGTTTGGCTCTCAACGTCACCGTCGCCCTGGCGTTTGCGACCAAGCGGATGCTCAAGGACAACAACCTGGTTCGACTCATCCGCTCGTGCGAGATTATGGGGAACGTCACCTGCGTCTGTTCTGATAAAACAGGCACCCTGACGCAGAACAAGATGACGGTTGTCGCGGGCCGGGTCGGGCTCGATTGCAGCTTTGACGATATGGAGACGGTGGCGGTCGGTGTCGGCCAGTCTGCGCCCAACTCGACTGTCATTCGAGGCGACACATCGGCTCGACTCGCCTCGTCGCTGTCCAGCGAGGTCAAGGATCTCATCAAGGATAGCATGGCCCTTAATTCCACCGCCTTCGAGAGCGACGAGACGGCCGGGTCGGGCTACTTTGGCTCCAGCACCGAGATGGCACTGCTCAAATTCAGCCGAGACCGCCTCGGGTTGGGCCTGTTGAGTGTGGAACGGGCTAACAACCCGATAGTGACCATGCTCCCCTTCCAGTCTTCACGGAAGTGGATGGCTGCTCTTGTCAAGCTGCCCGACGAGAGGTACAGGCTGCTCGTCAAGGGAGCGGCCGAGGTCGTTTTCGAGTTCTGCGCCTATGTCATGGACGACCCAACAGACGACCTCACCGCTCGTCGACTCTCGGAAGAAGACAGAACTGGTGTTCGCCTTACAACTCAGAACTATGCCGACAACATGCTGCGGCCGGTGGCCATTGCGTTTCGGGATTTCGACGCCTCCGAGGTCTTTGAGTTTGAGGACGACGATCCTGCCGCCGTCAATCTGGAATGGCTGGCCTCGGGCCTGGTCTTTATTGGTGTTTTCGGTATTCAAGACCCTCTGCGCCTCGAAGTTGTCGAATCGGTCCGCAAGTGTCAGGAAGCTGGCGTGTTTGTCCGTATGGTTACGGGCGATAACTTCCTGACGGCCAAGGCTATTGCTGCCGAGTGCGGCATCTACACGGCTGGCGGCGTAGCCATGGATGGTCCTACATTCCGGAAACTTTCTCCGTCTCAACTTGACGCTGTGATTCCGCGTCTGCAAGTTCTGGCGAGGACCAGCCCGGAGGATAAGCTCCTCTTGGTCTCGCACCTCAAGGAGATGAAGGAGACGGTGGCCGTCACCGGTGACGGCACCAACGACGCGCTAGCCCTCAAAGCTGCCGACGTCGGCCTTGCCATGGGCATCCAGGGGACCGAGGTGGCCAAGGAAGCTGCCTCGATTATCCTTCTCGACGATAACTTCGCATCCATTGTCAAGGCGTTGAGCTGGGGCCGCACCGTCAACGACGCAGTCAAGAAGTTTTGCCAGGTAAGTAGACGTCTCATGCCTTTGGTTTCCATCAGTTGGTGGACTCCACAGGCGAATTGCAAAGAGAGCGCAGAATCTGACTCGGTGCGGTGCTGCAGTTTCAATTCACCATCAACATCACCGCGAGTATTCTCACCATCTCGGTCCTTGTCGGCGAGCCCATATTCACCGTGGTGCAACTCCTCTGGATCAACCTCATCATGGACATTTTTGCTTCGCTTGGACTCGCAACCGATCTCCCGTCGCCCGAATTCCTCAAGCGCAAGCCCGAACCGCGAAACTCGCCCATCATCAGCATCACCATGTGGAAAATGATTCTCGGCCAAGCCATCTACCAGCTTGCCGTGGTGTTCACAGTTCATTACGCCGGATGGGACATCTTCAACCCCGATACCAAATTCGAGGCTGAGGTATTGCAGACGCTAGTGTTCAACATATACGTCTGGATGCAGTTTTTTAACCAACACAACTGCCGTAGGGTAGATAACAAGCTTGACATCTGGTACCAAAGCGTGCTGCGCAACCCCTGGTTCATCGGGGTGCAGCTCTTGACAATGGCAGGTCAGCTTGCCATCATATTCAAGGGAGGGGAGGCATTCGACACGGTGCCCTTGACAGGGGCGCAATGGGGATGGAGCTTGCTTTTCGGCCTGCTCACCATACCGCTCGGGGCCCTGCTTCGTCAGGTGCCGGACCGCTATGTGCTGGCGCTTTTCCGGTTCTTCGCGCGTATTTTTCAAACCTTGACGAGACCGTTGCGGCGTCTATGGGCATGCTTTTCGTCTTGTTCGTGGTCGCGACCTCGCAGACGCATCGAATCCAGCGGAAGGCGCCACGAATTGGGGAATGTGTCACCGCAGACCACTGGAAGTTTTCCGAGTCAGGGCCCCAAGAACTCGTTGTCTGTGGGAAGCGAGGGCTGCGAGGAGCCACGTCGAGATCGGACGGCCCCTGGTTCTGCCACAGAAGTGTCTGAAAACACGGAGAGCAAAATTGATTTGCAGGTCATGATTGACGCAGCCAAGATTGGGAGGTCAATCGGCACAGACAAGCTGGAACTGCACCCAGAGACGCTCAAGGATGATCCCATCCTAGGCACGAGGAGCGACGTTACCCTGCCGCCGAGCCAAGATCCGGCCCTGCAGATGCTCATGCCCACGGGCGAAGAGGACGAGGGCCGGCCGAGACGACGGAGAGGGCGCGAAAGAGCGGTTTGGGTGGAACCAAGCCGTCCCGGGCAACAGCCCGGGCAATATGCCGGACAACAGAGGAAGAAAGGCCTCTCTCTGGAGGGGTTTCTCAGGTCGAAGAGGAGGTAATGGCCGATGCGCTCATAGTTTCGATGCTACCCGGACACTTGCTCTCGCCGGGGACAGAACGGGAGTGGTGAGCCACTGACGAGCAGCGGCACGACGCCGACACAAAGGGAGGTGGAAAAGTTTGTATAGCACCGGGGCCCCTATTATGACTGCATGACGACTTTCTTCGACGCACATATAGAGATACCTCATCACATAAATAATTGGTGTTATAATTGCCATCACCTAAAAGCAGTTCAAACACAGCGATTCTCACTCGCGATCGGGGTGCCTCGGCTTCCCTTTCCCCGTGCGTCGGGGGGACTCAATGAGTAACTAAGCACCCTGTTCTTCACAAGAAGAGCGACGGTCAAGTATGCTGCCGTTCCTAATCTTCCTACCATCGTAATTCATCAAATAGCCAAAAAAAAAGGTTCGGCGCTGTTCCCGCCTCAGATGGAGGCCTCGCACACGCAGCTCTGTTCTATTGTACACTTTCCTTACACGCACACGTCACGCCCCCCGACGGCCAGCACCTCGCAGTGCTTTTCATGAGTCCGTCCTCGGCTACTTGCAGTCGTCGACATTGCACTCGTTGTCTCCCGCCCACTGTCCGCCGCTGATGAGATCTAAGAAGGGCCCTTTCTTCCGGGCAAGCGCCTGGTAGCTGCCCTCGTCGACCTTGATGCCGTTGCTCAGCACAATGAGCCTGTCCGCCAGCCGCATCACGTCGCGGCTGTGCGTGACCAAGACCACGGCCATGCCGCCCGGCAACGTCCGGGTCTGTTGGACCAGCCGCGTGATTGTCCGGCGCACCGTCTGCGAGCTGTCTGCGTCGAGGGCGCTGGTCGGCTCATCCATGACAAGAAGTCGGGGCTGCCGGACGAGCGCTCGCGCGATGCTCAACCGCTGAGCCTGCCCGCCGGAAAGAGCGAGCCCGCCGTCTCCGACAACGGTGTTGTAACCCTCGGGCAAGGAGGCGATGAAGTCGTGTAGTCCTGCTGCTTGTGCCGCCTGTGCAATGCTCGCGATGTGACGATGTGGTGAGTCTTCGGCGAGCCCGTACGCAATGTTTTCGGTTATAGTGGCGGGGAAGAGAAATGGAGACTGGGGAACGTAGGCCATCGTGGAGCGAAGGTGCTGCAGGTCGACGTTTGAGCACGAGACTCCCGCGAAGCTGAGAGGCGGAGCATTGGCAGGATCTGACGGCTCGGGGGCCGCGTGCAAGCCGAGCAGCAGGGAGACAAGAGTCGACTTGCCGCAGCCAGATTGGCCGACAATGACTGTGCATTCTCCCGACACAATCCCGAGCGAGACTCCGTTGAGGACTGGGTCCGTGGCTCGACGGGGGTATGAAAAGGTCAGATCATGCATTCGTAAAGGAAGAGGACTGTCAAGCTCCGTTGCCGCTTGTCCCTGCCGAGGACGATCCAAAGGCAAGTTTGCATATCCGAGCAAAGGGGCGGCTGCGGCTTGTGCCATCGTGAGTTGAGGAATGCCGTTGAGAATCTCAGATGAAGTGCCGATGCTAAACAGCAGCAGGTTGACGACCTGCACCACGCTCGCGACATCGGCGTGGGTGTCCTGGGCTAGCAGGCTGGTGCTGTAGTAGAAGACGAGGGCCGTGAGGGCATAGCTCATGGATTGATACAGGCCAAACAGCCAGCTGGTGTGTTTTGCTCGCCTCATGCCAAGACGCAACGTATGTTTTGCACATTGTCGGTACCTCTGGGCGAAGTGTGCCTCCAGGGTCAAGGCTCGGACAACGCGGAGGTTGAGGAGAATCTCGGTCAAGGCGGCGCTGCAGTCTTCTGCGCCCTCATTGCATTTGCTCTCCCACTCGCTGCTGACAGAGGCATAGCCCTTGACTGTGGCGAAGACGACAGGCAGAGGTGCCAGGGCCACTAGAGTCAGCCTCCACGAAGTGGCCAGAGCCCACAAGAGCGATATGGACATGATGGTGGTCACGACGACGACGATGGGAACGAATCGGCCGACAATGTTTCGCATCTCTTCCGCATTTCTCTCAAGACGCTCGTTGATGCGACCGGGCGAGTGATTTGTCCCGTCAAACCACGACTTGGGCTGCTGCATAATCCTGGCGAGTGCCTGGACGCGAATGCCATCAACCCAGGCTTGGCCGACATTCTCCAGAAGGTAGCGACTGCCACCCGTGCAGAGACCGTCAGTGACGGCGACTACAACGAGACAGATTGCCCATTTCTGGCCCTCCGCAGCCTTTTCACCAGACGACCACATGACACCCATCAGCTGTGCCAAGCAGTAGGCAAAGGCCGGGGTTGACACGGCTCCGATGAGACAGACCATGAGCCCGAGAACAAGAAGCAGTCTGTCAAATTGTCCCAGGGTCGGCCAAAGCGTAGCCAAGATTGACAGGAGAGAAGCTTTCTCCGCCGGCTTTTGGCTCGCCAAGGGAGGGTTGGCGCTTTCCAGGGCTCTGGCCCTCAGACGCAGCCTTGGTATGTTTTCTCGCCGCTCGGCAGCCCCAAAGATGAAGTCGACGTCGTCTTCTCCAGAGGTATCTGATGGGTCTTCTTCTAGGCTGGTCTCGATATTGGTTGGGCATCCCTTCTGATCATCTGGCTCCCTTTCCGGTGCCGGAAAGAACTTGTTATTGATGAAGGCGGAAAAGCGCCGCCTCTCTGCCTCAAAAAACACAGTCGCCCTATCTCCTGATGCAGGCCGATGAGAAGAAATGGGACGTTTAATTATCTCTTGCAGCTTCGTTTTCAATGCGTGCGCTGCATCAACCCCGAGAGATGCTTTATTAGCCGGTCCGGGTTGAGGTATTAGGCTGCTAAAAACATGGCCGCACAGGCCCTGGGATGAAGGCCGTGATAGGCAGGTCGCGTCCGTACGCGGCGTGTTGGTGCAGCTGGTAGGACGAAAGAACGAGATCCTTCTGATCTTCTGGGCCGAGGATCCCACGAGGCCCTTGGCTGGAGAGTTTGGCGTCGGAAAGATGCTATCGCGCAGGCCAGGAAGATCTCGTTTGAACCCCTCTCGAACCACGGATGCATTATCCATGACGTACACATATTCGTCGTCGTCGATGTTGGAGGTGTCGTGGGTTATGATAATGGTCGTCTTGTCTCTTCGCCACTCTCTGATGGCGTCCATGACCAGTGCCCGACCTACTTGGTCGAGGCCGCTGGTGATCTCGTCGAGAATGAGAATTGTCGGATTCCTCAGTCGCGCTCGAGCGAGGGCAACCTTTTGCTTCTGCCCACCGCTCAGTTCGAAGCCTCGAGGCCCGACCTGGGTATCGAGACCTTGGGGAAGGCTGGCAAGCGTTGACTGCAAAAGTGCTGCCTGGCAGGCGCCGAGGACTTCTTTCAAGGTAGCCTTTTCAGGGCTCGGATTTCCGAGAGCAATGTTGTTGAATAATGAATCGCTGAAAAGAATGCTTGACTGCTGTACCAGGGTAATGTTCTCGCGGACCCAGTTGTCGTCGAGCAGTTCAAGGGGCCGCCCGTCGATGAGGATTTGCCCGGCCAGGGGCTCATACAACTTGGCCAAGAGGCTGCCCACGGTGCTTTTCCCAGATCCGCTTTTACCGACAAGAAAGGTGGTCTGTCCCGCCGGAAAGGCAAAGGAAGACGTGTCGAGAACTGTCGTTGCCGGATTGGAAGGATATGCAAAGCTCACCTGCAGTCGTGTTAGCTGAGTCGGCTGAAGAACGCTGACGGGGACGGGGTCCCAAACACACACACTATTAAGCTGCACGTCGCCAACACAGTGCTCCAGTCGGGTGGTCCGAGGGGCCGTATCGACGAGCGCCTTGGATCTCGAGGTCTCTGGTTTCGCGGCGATTGACGACAGAAAGCTTCCCGCCGACATGCCTTTTGAAAGTACAAGCCAGTGAGGAACCAACGCTTCGATGCCCTGAAAAGCAGCCAAAGTCGAGTAAAAAGTCGTAACGACATGGCCAGGCGGAAGCCCATCCCTGACCAAGATGCTGCCATACCAGAACCCAAGCACAAACATTGCGACGACCCAGAAGGCAATGTATCCCATCTGGGTCGAGTTGCATCGGGCTTGCACCAGGTAGTGCCTTCTTGCCCATCTGAGAGCGTTGCGGTAGTGCCGCAGTTCTCTGTCGAAGCCATTAAAGACCTTGACAAGGTCGATGGCGGTGACGGACGCCGTGGTGAGCCTCGTGGCCTTTTCCAGATGGGCCTTTTGCGCTCGAATGGCTGGTTCGAGCTGTCGAGTGGCGAGAGACAGGACAATGAGAGATAGCGGCAGGGTGGCGAGTAACACCAGAGTTATCCTCCACGAGTAGTACAGCGCAATGATGAGAGAGGCACACGAAGTCAGAGCATCGCAAACCAAGAAGCCAAAGATTTGTGAGGTCGCGGCTTGGAGCTCGCGTGTCTGTCTACAGCGCGCGTCAGCTATGAGTGTCTCAATGAGGCACGGCAAGGGGAGGGAACGCATGATGGCTCACGTTTGTATTCTGACGAGAAGGCCAGATGTCCCCTGGTCTAACATGTCGAACCAGGCTAGATCCCGGGTGAGCAGGGATTGGAAGACGCGGCAACGAGCACTGTCGGCCTGAAGCTCTCCGAAGAGAGTCCACAGTGCCAGAAAGGCGGCGTTGGCAAGCCAGTTGCCCAGGCCAAGGCCGACCAGAACCAGGCACCATCTGGAGACAGCCTCGAGAGCATTGGGACCGGATCGGAGCCCGTTGCCGCGGTCGGCAACGATGTCAAAGATGCGGCCGAGGAAGATGGCCAAGGCAGTTCGCAGGGCAGCGGTGGCTCCCGATGCCACGATTGCCGCGAGGAGGACTCGGACATGTGTACGCTGGGTGAAGGCAAAGAGGCTGCCCCAGGAAGACTTGGCATGCCCGGACTGGGCATGGGCCGAGCCGGGACAAGTCGAGGCGAGATCCGCAGAGCTTGAAGCCTTGAGCTGAGAGCATGCGGTGACGGATTCCTTTGATTCTGACTTCATCGCCTGATGAGGGCGACTGAGAGCGCCGTGAAGCGAACCGAATGACAAGAGAGGAGCAAAGGATGCAGGCCTTGTCCGGTTCTCGCAGTGCCTGCCCACGCTGGTGGGCAGGGGAAATACAGAGCCGTATGTCCATGGCAGTTGGCGCGGTGCCCGCACTCGAACAATGCTAAGGGATCAAGAGGCCAGGTTTATACTTGGATTGTCGAGCTGACCATTGTCTTGATATTGTTCTCTGCTTGCCCACTGTTGACACAGGAGCGCATCTACCCACGCACGGCCTCCACCCCACCCCACCTTGGCTTCGGCGCCTGTCCCCCAGGTAAAGCGAGAAGAAGAAGGGCGCGAACAAATGATCTTGTTGCGGCTCCAGGTCGGCAGCCGACGAGCCGCTCAGCTCTACGGGCTGAGGATCACGTTGCCATAGGCGGAGGAGTCGTTTCTTGGTGGCCGGCCCCTTCTTTCGCCAACCGAGGCCTTGATACCGAGCCTCGCCGCATTGATGAATGATGTCGACTCAGCGGTGATCAATCGCATGCAATCACACGAGTGTTGTGTTGGTAGGACCATCGCTTCCTTACCGCCCAGGAACATTGCGGCCCAATCGCCTGTTGGCTGAGGCGGAGAAGTAAAGCGACATGCAGGGAGGGAGAAGTGTGACGAGAGGCCATCGGCTTGACTGATGCACACCCGAGCACTCTGTCGCTTGTTGTTGGAAGTGACGCGTAGTCGCCTCGCAAAGGACGTCAATACAGTGTTTTGACACAGTATTGTTATATTTCACGCACGGGGACTATCCCGGTGCGTCAGAGCACCCCCCTGCCCCGCGGTTTATCTGGGCGAAATTTCGTACCAACTTATTGCAGTGCAGAGTGCAGACATAGCCCTGGCGAAAAGACGACTTCTCTGCGCAGCGACGCTGTGTTTCAATGCGCCAGATCTCCCATAGCAACATGGATCCAATGGAGAGCTTGTCGACGGGCCCCGTACCCAAAGACTTCAAGGCCGAGGATGCCGGAAACATGGAGGAGGTGCGTCGAGTTGCAAGACCCAACCTGACTGGCGGCTGACCAACGGTTCGCGGTGCAGATAGAGAAGCAGTTCGCCGTGAAGGTCGTCAAGCACATGCAGACGTACTGGTCCATCCTCGAGAAGGTCAAGGGCTCGACCATCCGGCTGACCAAGATGGACGACGACATATACAACCACCTCAAAGAGGCCTTTCCCAACTTCGACCCCGCTGCTACCATTGACGAGGACGAAATGAAGAGCAAGACAGGCAAGGAGCGCTGGAGGACCTTTATGATGACATACGAAAAGAAAGTCGACGACTACAACTTTGGCACCATGGTCCGAAACAGCCCCAAGGTCGAGTACGAGGAGAACACCACCATCTTTGGTAGGATGAATACCAGTTGTCCGAGCTGTGCCCATGTCCTGACGCCTCATCCGCAGTCCCCAGAATGCAGTTCTACGCTATCGAGATTGCCAGGTGCTTTTGCCTCGCCCCATTCACTCTCTATCCCGTGTTGTGAGATGGCGCTTGCTGACGCGGCAGCCACAGAAACAAGAACGGTTTGAACGACTGGATCTACGAGCAGGCGCAGGTACAAGCTGCCAGTTCAAAGTAGCTGCGACCGGAAGCGTCCATTGTGAGCAACGACACCCGGATTCAGATCTCGACCGATGCAATATCAACGCCCGAGCCGCCGATGGTCGTCCAGGCTTGTCCGCGCTCCCACCAGGGAGAGCCAGCGAGTCGCTGCAAAACGAATCGAATGCGCTTACGGGTGACAATAATTCTCTCGAGACGCAGTCCCGTCCTTGGCCGTCTCATCACGTGAGGCCCGGCATCGACCCCGACGGCACAGGGAGGTTTAAGAGAGGCGTGTAGGAAGTCGAGTCAAGAGGAGCTCCTAATCGTCCGTCTTCACCTGGACACACATAGCGCATGCACCTGTTCAAGACTTGCCATTTTATCTTGGGCTATGTATGCCATAGGTGACGAACGCAGCTTGTCGCGAGCCGAGTAATGGTGTCAAGGCCACTGCTTTGCGAAGAAACTCAAAGCTCCGTCATGAGAGTAACATGTGCCATGATCAAGTACAGCTGTTCCGGAGAATCATGCCACACCGTCATCTGACGGTCAAGGCTGGTTGCGCGCAACATGTCCACGCGGAACATGTGCGTCTGGCGAATTTCGAGGCATCTCTACTGGTGGCCTAAACAGCCACCTTATTTCTGCAGAGACTGTCCTGAGAGTTAGACGTCATCTCTCCACTCGTTGGAGAAGCCAGGTCCGGCTTCTTTGCGCTGAACTTACGGTTGCGAATCTGCTCCTGGTCCGGACCGATTCCCCGAAAAAGACCAGCACCCACGGCGTAATGGTCAGCACCGTCGCGATGCCTCCCAGGAGGCCGCCCGCGCCCCTGAGCCCCAGATTGCTGAATAAGGCTCTGGTCAGCAGGGGAAAGCCCCCGCCGACAATATTCCTGCAGCAGCTTTGCGCAGCCAGGGCGGATGAGGCGTAGGCGCCGTATGCGTCGGCCAGGTAGTTGAAGGTGGCGAGGTAGACGGAGTAGATGCCGCAGGTGGCGAAGCCCAGGCCGACGGCCTCTGCATACCCGTCCATGTATCGTGGGCACATGAAGGCGCCAAAGAGGCCGGCGGGGAGGAACATGGCGGTGACGCAGGCAAAGTAGAGCCTAGCCTCGGGCGATTCTGGGGGCAGCCTGCGTCTCAGCAAGGCCCAGAACTTGGAGTCGCTGTACCGGAAGCCGTCGTCGTGGGCCCTCCACTGTGGATGCTGCAAGAGCTGCTGCTGCGCGATGCTCACGACCGTCGCGACGGCGCCCGCCACAATCATGGCCACGTATACGCGGCCCGCCTTGTCCAGATCCGTCTCGTACAGAAAGGGGACGACGGAAAAGGACAAGTACAGGATGCCCCAGGAGAAGGCGGCCCAAAGCGAGAAGCAGAAGACGATGGGCTCTGTGAACAGCATGTGGAACGGTCGCTGGATGGACAGTGTCATCATCTTGCGCACAGGGGGTCGCTGCTCGTCCTCCCTGACCAGCCATCGAATCCGCCGCAACTGACTCTGTGGAGTGTCGCCGCCGCCCTCTCCCCCGAGCGTGGCGTCGCTCAAGCCATCCGAGGTATTGATGGCCATGCTCGCAGGGCCCAATGTCCACAGGCCATAGGTGCCTTGACCTTCCAGCTCGGCATACCACTTATTCAAAAGCTGTGCCCTTTTCGTCAGCAGCACCGACGCCCGGCTCTCCTTGCACAGGACGAAGATGGCTACCACCAAGACTGCGTCCATGATGACCTGGTGCCAAAACACCCACTTCCACGCCAGCGTTGGATTGCTGATGCTTTGGACCAACGCCGTCGCCACCAACGGGCCTGCCCCTGTGCCGGTCAACACGGCGCAGCTAAACAGAGCCATGGGGGTGTTCCTGTCCTTGTTGTCCCACAGGTCGGCAATGACGCCACCGACGACGGCACTAAAGACCGAGGCTCCGACCCCAGTGAGCAAGCGAGCGACCAACATGCCGGTGGCGTTGGGCATGAAGGAACAAGCAACTTGGGAGACAACAAAGACGATTCCGGCAGCGACGAAGACGGGGAAGCGGCCCCAGATCTCGGAGATGGGTGCCAGGGCCATGGGGGCAATGGCGAAGCCAAGGCAGAAGGTGGTGATGCCCACCAAGATGACGAGGCGGCTTGTACCGAAGTCTTGGGCCATGACGGCCGCAGGCGGCGAGTAGGACCCGGCTGCGTAGGCCGTGAGAAAGGTTGCGGTGCAGGACATGGCGAGGAGGACGTATTTCCGCACGGGGCTCCATGTGAGCGGCGAGTCGAGGCGCCTCAGGTCGGGGCAGGGCGGCGGTTGTTGGCCGTGCTCAGCCGCTGGCAATGTGGGCAGAAGGGTGTCGAATGTGAGGTACAGATATGAAATGGGACTGTGGGCATCCAGGCTCGCCGGTGCCGGCCTGGTCCGACCCTTCTCGCTTCGCACGTCTGGTCGAGCGCGGCTCCAAGACTCGGACCGATCCGATTCGGCGCCCGTGTCACGAGTCGACGCCCCATGGTGTCGCTGCGCCTTTACCATTGGGGGCTTTTTGACAGCGTCCCATGTCCTCCTGCCTGACATTGAGAGAGCAAGGCGGGATGTCGTTGGGAAACACGGGGACGTGCTGGAGGATCCGCTGGCAGCGCCCCTGGCAGAGGCTGGATATGTATCATGATGATTTCTTGCTCCGTGGACTGGCTGAGACCGTTGGGCGACGCCGAGGGAGGAATGCCGACGGGGTTATCCACCCGGGGCTTGAAGTCAGGGAGATGCAGCATGGGGTCGGATCTAACCCCGGGAATAAGGGGCGGACGAGAGCCGGGCTTTGCAATCGTGGGCTTGTTGAGATGGTTGGATGGCCAGGTGGTGGCTGGCGGTACGTTTTAAGCCGCCCATGTCATTGCAGCTCAACCTCGGTCATCGAGACGTCAAGCTGGAAACGGCTTGAGAATGCCGACGGGGAAAGCGCCCGAGCTTGGCCACCAGGCTGGTACATCTTATCTAACCTCTCTACCTCTTCTCCCCCTTTCTTCTTTCATCATGTCCTTGTATGCATAAATGCTGACTTGATGCCTTGTTTATTCCCAATCGTGACCGGGTCTTGCTACTCAGGGACGGGTCCCAGACACGGCACGCCGCGGCTGTAAGCAGGGATCGGCAGCCTCTACAATCTACACCTTGCTGTGGAATGCGGACATGTACTGCAAAGACGGGCTGAGCGCCAAGGTCATCCCCTTCCGGCCTTGCCCCGTGCAGCCTAGCCGGCATGTCCGTAGATTCCGAATGTGACAAGCTCCATGATCCAGGTGAGAGCGTGAATATCTGCGTATGCGTAACCCCTGCCTAGCTCGTCGGATGGCCGGCGCACTTGCCGTCCAAGCTAGGCTGAGGTTGAGCATGCACCGCGGTGGCCGGCTCTGTGGCCATCTCGAAGGGGCCCATGGCATGTGCAGGCGCCGAGCCACCCGAGTCAGCCGGCAGCTCACGAGGGCCTGTCGGCCTGTGCTCCATCTCTGCGGGCGGCCCCCGATACCGCTGCTGCTGCGTTGCTGGCTCCGGGCTTGCTGAGACGATCCCGTCATTGCCAGCGGTTCCAGAACCACTGGGTGCCGTCGCTCCTTTCTTGCTCCTCAACCGGCGTCTGAACGTCCAAAGCACAACCGCAAGCACCAGAGCCAGCACCCCAAACGCGGTGCCGACAGCTATCGCCGCAACGTACCCCGGCCCGAGGGGAGCTGTCCCGGAGGCTGCCGCTATGGATTCCGCGGTCCATGTCGTGCTTACGACTACTACCGGGGTCAGTGTTGTTGTTGTTGCTGCTGTCGTGTGAGAAGAGTCTATAGGGGACGTGGATTCGGCAAGGGTGATTGTGCGCGTGGGCAGGGGGACAGATGCCCCGGCCCCGGGCCCTGGACCCTTGGCTGTACCGTGCTTCAGATCCTCGCGCCGCCATCGAACCTCAAAGGCGGGCGCAGAGAGAATGGTGTTCGCGAAGACGGTCGTTGCATACCGTTGATCCTTGTCTGGGGCATTGCAGTCGTAATCTCTGCGATCCGTGTCAGCGGCGACAAAAGTCTACCCCGTCCTGTGCGCTCAAACAAAGGCTGGCCTGCTGCCTTACTCTGGTATGCATCTGACTGCAGTCTCGCCGTCTCGAAGCGGCCATCCGTCACTCGGCCCGACTGTCTGCGTGCAATGCGCCATGTATCCAACAAAGCACACCCCGGGCGAGTAGAAGCCATTACGGGTCCAGAGGTCGACGCCGCCCGGTATTCGACACTCTGCGAAATCGGCGGCCATGATGGGCTCTTGACATGGAACCGCGCGGTCCGTCATTCGCATGTACGGAACCGCCTTGCCGGCACTGGAGAGGGTGCTGACGCCCATGCTATCGAGCATGTGCTTGTCTCAACTGAGGTCGTCGCTGATATGTGGCCCCGCGCCAATGGAGCGGATATGCCTGGAGGATGCGAGACGAGACGCGAGAGATATCCTCGCTGGCGGTATAATGATCAAGGCCACTAGAACAAATGAGAATCTGGCGGGATATCCGGTTGAAGACGGCGGCGGATTTGACAACGAGGGCTATCAAGGCCTGGGGGCACAAAGAGGCATACCGAGTCGGATGATTGTTTGCTGGCCTGGCAAAGACCGCTCCAGGCTGCGCCAACTACCTTGGATCCGGCGGCACCTTCACATGGAGAGAATGCACTGGCGAAGCAAAGGATGCAAGATTCTTTTCGCCAATCGGAGTCTTGCCTTGAACGAGCAAGGAAAACGACAAGAAGCAATCACTCCTCCGGCGTCCGGCAGCTTGACGCGAGCGAGGGCGCATCGTGGGACAAAAGACGCGGCACGCCTGTGATGCGGTCTGCCGCTTTGTGCACTTCGTCACTCATCTTGGTTTGCTTCCCCTCGCCTCATTTCCTCACTCCTTGCACCCGTGTCGAGGGAGTCACATGGGGGAGGGCCGGGGCATAAAAAAGGCCATTCACGGCGCGAGCTCCACGTCTAGAAGAGACTCAATCTAGTACACGTATGCTAATCAGGTCCGCCCGCGCTCCGGACGATGGATAGTCACCAACATGTCTTGGTTCGTTCGAAGCTGGCGAAGCATTTGCTAGACTTGTGCTGGTTGTGTCCACTTGTCATGTCGAGTACAAGTAGTGGACAGAGAGGAAACGCATCGGCAGCCATCCCACGACGGCCGAGCAAGTCTAGTCGATGTCGTCGGGGTAGTTCCCAGCGCCGGCCTTGGCGTACCGCGGCAAGGGCTGCCCTTCCAGGGTGCGTATCTCATTGTGCTGGCTGAAGGCCTTTTCTCCGATGAAGGTTCCGGGGGCAGCCTCGGCCACCCGTTCTGCCGCACCCTCTTTGAGGGTTCCGTCTTCGTTGACGTCCTCCTTGAGATAGAGGGTAAAGAGGATGACGAGATAAACCTCGCCCGTATCCTTGTTTCGAAGGACATATCTAAGCTGATGTGAGCGCCTGCAAGCAGGGATTCCCTGAAGTGGTTAAAATAAGACTCTAAAGAAAGGGGTTGAATTTCGGGGGACATTGGCTCCTCCCAACTAGTTTTCACTGCAGCGGCATTCTCGCAAGGACCGTCCGGGCGAAAGAAAAAGGCGAGTTTTGCACTCACCTCAAACCCTGGCCGTCCCAGTACTTGACGATGGGAAGTTGAAATCCCGGCAGCCTGAGGGCCAAGTTGGCAAAGTCGAGATATGGGTTGAAGAAGTCGAGGCCATAGGTCTGGCCATATTGAAACACCCACTTGGCCTTGTTTGCGTCTCGCAACGCCCACTTCATGCGGCCCTTGCTGTCACGAGGCATGCCAATGGAGCTCCGGGAGCGAGAGCCCTGCTCGTCCCCTCCCTCGTTGAAGCACAGGCCCCCCTTGGTTTCATTGCATTCGCCGGGGCCGACATGAAGGACGTTGAAGGAGCTAAGGGCCGGGCCGTAGAGGTAGGGCTTGTCGGCGTAGGCGTCGCCATCGAGGCCGGGATCGATCCACCACTTGACGATGCTCATGGCGGTGCTGAAGCCGGGTGGCAGCTTGTCGCGAATAGGGCGGTCGAAGTCGTTGCCAAACTGCAGGTCGGTGCCCTTGATGCCACTGCATCTCGCGTCCGAGCCGGCGGACTGACGTGACGAAGGCTTGTGCGGGGTGAATCGGAGGGAAATGCTGTACTGGTCCTTGTTGTAGGCATGGGGCTTTGTCGAGAAGTAGCTAGACGTGGAAGGGGATCCGCGGGGCAGGCCCTGGTAGTTGCGTATCCTGACGTTGAGCTCGATGTCGGCGGCGGGGCTTTGGATCTGCAGCGGGTGCGGCTTGTTGACGGGCACCTCTTCGTGGGTGTCCTCGTCGTAGCCGGGGCCCGCCGTGATGCGGAGGATATACTTGTCCGCCATGGCGGGGGATTGTCGTCGTCGTCGAGGGTGAGCTCGTGACGATATCAGGTCTTGGTTGGCGAGGGCGAGTTGAGTCGGGTGCGTAACAAGACGAGTCTGGGGTGCAAGGAGGAGAGAGTTGATTGATTAAGAGGCGGAACAAACGGGAGCACACAGTCCATGAGCAGGAACGACACTTTGCAGGATGATGCGCTCTCCTTTGTTAGTTGGCGAGGCCGTTTCATGACGCAGCGACTTTGAGGGTGGGCGCAGTTGCCCCTTCCGTGTTCCGGACGCACGCTTGCGGGCGGCCAACCTTGTCTACTAAGAATCTGTGCACGCACGGCCTACGCATCAACACGTGCCTGATGCCTTTTGTGTGTCAGGAAGAGTAGTGAGGTTTGGCGAACGCCTAGGCTCCCCACACTTCGCCGCGGTGGCGGCTGCATGTCATTGCAGGTTTTCCGAGCCGAGGTCGTGGTGGCGAGGACGAAAGCACGAGGCGCGAGGCACGCACGAGCACGACGTAGCCGACCGGTCAGTGGCAGCCTGGGCGCACATTGCCAGCCGCTCTCTCGTTCTGTGTGTGTGTTTGTGTGTTCAATGCCTGTCGCGTCTGAAAAGGCAAGAGGGCCTCCAGGTTGGAAAGATGGAAAGACACATGCCCAGGCGAGGATTCTCGATCGAAGCGACGTACCGACGCAGGTACTTATTACGGTCTGCACTTTGCAGGTACAACCGCAACGCCCTGGAACAATCAGCCCGGAATTTGCGACTTCAACCCTTTTGACCCAACAAAACAGCATGAATTGGCGAGCCAGATCTACTGCATCCAACAGCTTCTCAAACCCGCCAACCCGTTAATTAGACTGTCCCGTAGCCATCAGTACAATGTTTCTTCCCTAGACAAGCCCGTATCTTTCAACGCCGCAGCCACCACCACACCCCCCCGACTCCCCAGACTCCCCAGGCCCCCAGACGATGATTGGCACATCCCTTGGCGAATGGATCCTGATTCGCCTCACCATCCTCCTCTTCCGTTACACTCCGCTGCTCTACGTCGCCCTTCTTGCCGCCCTCTGCCTCGGGCATGGCGTCATCCCATGGAATAGCACCGCTGCCAGGACCTTGTGCGCCTTGCTTGCCTCCGAGGCGCTCTTCTATGCCTTTGTCTGGATCCCCTATACGCGGAGGCTGCGCCAACCGGCCTCACATCCCGCGCCTCTATCGCCCTCGGCCCGAAGCGACCTCTTTCGTCGATGCATGGCCAATGTCGCCAACCCCGAGAGCTATCTGCGAGGCTGGTTCTTGGGAGCCGACATCGACGACATCGGCCACCAAAATGTGCGCGAATTCCTTCTCTGGGCCTTCTTCGACATGAGCGAGGCGGATGCGCTTATTAGTCCGCATCGCGAAGCCATCTCGGCCGAGCTCGATGACTACGTCGCCATTGCCGAAGCGCGCCTGGGCCGCCCTCTTGGTCCGGGCCGCGGGTCGGCCCAATCCCTGCGCCTCACATTGGACCGCATCGACACGGCATACCGCAGCCTGGCCTGGTACGTGGTCATCCTCGCCGTTGACCACGCGTCCCACGTGGCCATGTCCTGGCACGGCTTTCGCTACTACGCCAGGGCGCCCGCTGCAGCTGCCAATACCTTTCCACCCAGGCCCTTGGAGCTCTTGGCGCGCCGCCGGTCGCCCGCGCCGGGCCTGGGCTACTGGTATCATCCCCATCAATCAGGCCAAGACGACCTCCCTGTTCTCTTCTTCCACGGCATTGGCATCGGCCTCTGGACGTATGTGCGCTTCCTCACCGACCTGCGTGCGGCCAGCAAGCCAGGGGCCAATGGTCGTGGCCGCGGCGTCATCGCCGTCGAGATTCTTTCCGTCTCGTTCCGCCTCACGCCTCCTGTGCTCGGCAAGGCAGATTTCTTGCAGGAAATGGCGAGCATCCTGGATCATCACAGCGGGTGGGACAAGTTCACGATGGTGTCGCATTCGTACGGCTCAGTCCCGAGCACCCACGTCCTTCTCTCTCCGACGCTGGGCCCTCGAGTCCCGTCGGTGGTCCTTGTCGATCCTGTCACAGTCATGCTTCACATGCCCGGCGTGGCTTACAACTTCACGCGAAGGCGTCCCAGGCAAGCCAACGAATGGCAACTGTGGTATTTTGCCAGTACCGATCCCGGGGTTGCCCACTGTCTCGGGCGACATTTCTTTTGGCGCGAGAACATTATCTGGAAAGAAGACTTGCTCTCATGTGGCGGCAAGGACTCGGTGGCCAGGAAAGCCGTCGTCTTCTTGGCGGGCAGGGACTTGATTGTGGATGCGGCAGCGGTTGCGCAATACCTTGGAGAGGAACAGGCGACAAGTTCCGAGAATGGCAGAGTCGGGGCAGTCCACCACAAGAACAGTCATGGTCGAACTGGTAAGGTGGACGTGATTGTGTCCCCCAATCTCGACCACGCACAGATATTCGACAGAAGGCTCGACCACAGACGACTGATTGAAATAGTAGGGCGTCACTGCAGGGGGTGAAGCCGGGCACTCTTCTTCTCATAGCCAACGACTGACACCGCAAAAAAACCGGTTGCGACTCTACCCGGTGGAAGCCGTGCTGCATTCGCGTCTTCATCCATCTGCCGGCCCCCTCCATTCCGTGTTCCGCACTCGATCCTCGAGGCCAGTTTCATGCCGACACCTCATTGCCACCCCAGTCAGCAAGAATAGCACCAACCGGGTGCGGGCCGCTCTGGAAGACGATCCAGACGGCATCGGTGTCCGTGTCGTTTTGCACCCGATGCTCCGTCCATGCGGGGATCCATGCAAAGTCCCCCTGGCTGAGCTCGTACCGCTGAATGTCGGCCTCGACGCCTTCCTTGACCATGAAGATGCCAGTGCCGGAGGTGGCGTATATGATTGCATCTACGTGTAGACGACACAAGGGTGTCAGCAGGTCGGCACTTGACAGGTCCTCGAGGACAGCCGGTGGAGGCTGGAGAAGCCGTTGAACCGCAATACACACCTTGCTCACTGTTGTGACGCACCGGGGACGAAGAACGCGGACGGATGGTCAAAACTGGGCCCAACTGTTACCAAGAGGCACCGGATAAGGAAACAATTGCCATGGGGGAGAGCCGGACCAGAAGCGCACATCTTGTCGCACTTGTCAATCACGGCACTCCGGGTAACTACGGGGCCGTCAAGGGTAGAGGCAGCAGCGGGCCGCAGCTGGTCGGCCCTCATGACCTGAGCCGAGGCGGGCATGATCATGGGCAGGATCTCCGAGATGAGCGGCAGAAGGGACGCCATGGCAGGCCACAAGGACAGTCGACACTCTGTACTGCAGGCCCTGAGGTGTCTTTGTTGATGGCGGCCAACGGGGGGATAGAAGAAAAATAGAGGGTGCACGGATGGGCGCGGCATGTAACTACTGTGCAGTCGGATGCATACAACCACTTGATGACGTTGAGAGTCTTCCATTCGCACTCTTGTCCCTCCTTTGCCTAAGATGGAGCATGAACCAATCAACCTAAGGTTAGAAATCTCTGCAGTGCCATCCATACACTAGTGGCCGCGACCGACCTAGCTTGGCTCTTCCCGCGTCACTTACACCGACGTAAGTTTTCATGAGGTGCACAGCTGCAAGAGCACCGTGAAGCGTTGGAGAGGGCCCATCACGACAGGGAAGCCAAGATGGCCGCTCCTCAGACCGCCAGATCGGGGATTTGGAGTATATCCTACTCCTGCATGGCATACATGGCCATCCACTATGGGCCTCTTGTCCATGGCGAGCGTCGGCCTGTCACGACGGAATCGTGGGTATGTACAGAGGGCTCTGCTCTATTACATGTTTGCCCACAGACGTGGCCGTAGTGGGCAGGTCGTAGCCGTCAACTATGCATGCGTATGCGTCGGCCGCGCACCCTTTCCCGCCTCAATGCGCGGTGCGTCGTTGCGGACGGCGGGCCAAGGCTTTCTGACAGACAGAACGTGCGTAACATCCATACGTGCATGCATCGATCGGTCCAGGTGGGAGCGGACTGCCAGGGAGGGGCGGTGTTGAGGGAGTATGAAGGAATTTTGAAACCTCGGGTTCCGTGGTCTCTTGTCGTGCACCGGACAGATGCCGAGGGCTCAAGTGCCCATGGCATCGCGATGGAACGTCGGTGGCGCCGCAATGAACTTCGTTTCGGTTGGGAATGAGGGCCAACGCAGAGTTGCCGCCTTATCAAGGCAATGACGTCGCTTGCTGGCTGCCAATGGCGATCCTCTTCTTCTGCTCTCCTACCGGAGACGACGCGTGCGAGTTTAACCATCGCCTAGGCTCCTAGCCACCTTTGCGGTGAAGCCCACTGGACAGCGACCATTCACGAAACTCGGACCCCGTCGCTCGCACACGCGCAAGGCGATGCCCAGCGCTGTCTGCCCTGCAGTCACCGTGCCCGCACAAGGCCGTCGGTTTGCGGGCCACAAAAGGTTCCTTGGCCGACTGGATCCGGAGACGCGGAGACTGGGCAACAGAGAGAGTGAGAGGGCGCATCTCTTGCTCGCCTGTTTGTGCCAGTTGAGTGCAGCCGAGGACGCACAGCCGGCTACATGGACTTGTGTGTGCGCGTGCAATTTGTTGGGATGCCGCTGCAAAAAGCCCGAGCATGCCCAAAGTTCCTCGGCAAGTCGCAGAAAGGTGAGGCAGACACAGAGAGTCCCCCACAAACCCGACCGGGGCAGAAGAAACATTAGCCCGAGGAAAACGGACCGACGGCCCGGCCTGTCTCGCTCAGCTCTGCAAATGCCCCGCGTTTCGTATCTACAGAATGTACCTACAATCCCGGTCCAAGGCATCAGGGAGGCGCCACCTGCTGTAAATAAAGTCGTCTTGAACAGCTCGCATCCTCACCTCCTGTTTGCAGCTCCAGCAGGGCGGCAGAGAGTGCGACTGCGACTGCGTCGTGCATCGGCCTGCAGCTTGCCCTGCATCAATTCTCGAAGCGAATCCCGCCAATAGCCTGTACCTAGGACTTGTACACGGAATTCGCCCTCCCTGCCTCGTCATCGACTTGAACCGCAATGCAAACAGCGTCATGGCTGCTGCCACGCCCGCCACCGCCGGGCCGCGCTCTGACTCTACTTCTCCCTGCCCAGCCTCCTCCTCGTCGCCCTCATCCGCTCCACGCCCGTCGCCGCCTCCTAAGCAGGTTCAAGACCGGCTGCCCATTATCCCCACGTCAGCAACCACTTCGCCCGCCAACTACGGCCGCATCAACGCGGAAAACGAGAACAACCTGAGTCTGCTACAGAGCCTTCCCGACCACCGCGTCAAGCACCAGCGCATTGCCATGTTGCCGCCACCCATCATGTCTGGCGAATCCGCCTTCGCCGGCACTGCCACACGGCCGCTGGATGCACTGCAGGGTAATTGCCTCGTCATCTTGACGTTGCCCCTTCAGCAATCAATCAAGCCTCTCCCCTCCCTGAATTGCGACGACTTGTCCGAGTCAAGCTTGTATGGCCCAGATTGGCAGCTAACCAGCCGGTTTCAGAGGAGTTTGCCTCGCGGCACAAGCGAATCCAACTCGAGAAATCACGGCTGCCGAGCCGTTCCTCACCAAGAGCCACCCCCTTGACGGCCTTGCCGCCCGAACTTATCGACCATATCCTTTCGCACCTTTCCGCTCGCGACCTTGTCACCCTCTCAGCGACGAGCCGCGTGACGCGCAAACACGCCATTTCCGACTTTCACTGGCAACGTTGTGTTCAAGACAACGTCCCCGGCCAAGTCGTTACAAAGGCCGGCCCCTGTGCCACTTACCGACAGCTTTACGTCGCCCATGACTTGTTCTGGTTTCTGCCCAGGTATAAAATCTGGTTCTGCGACCGGGAATTGATGGGCAAGTTAGTCCTGGTGCGCTTCGACCAGCGACGAGGCTGCATCGAGGGCTACCAGCTCCTGGCGGTTAGCAATCGTACCACCTTTGAGCACTGGCCTGCCGATCCGCAGGTCATTGTTCACGGATTCGAGCCGCAGGTCAAGTTGCATCTTGACAAGCCGGTCCTGCAGTTCCGTGTCCGAGACAGGCAGGACCACGGGGGGGTTCCATCAAGACCCGGTGCTAACCGCTTTGCCGACGAGGTGTCCATGGAGCTTGACGACCCCAGTGGAGCCATGTTCAGCAACTTCCTACTGACCCGGGCGCTGGACCCCGAAACCGCCGATGGGAGGCTCAGCGCCGGCTATCCGTACGACAACGTCTGGCCCCCGCCTGCGGTCCCGGCCCGCCACCACGTGTCCGGGACCCGGTCCCGCCAAGACGTCATGGACCTGTCACCCGACAATCGGCCTTGGTCCAGGGCAGAGGTGTCTGACCAAACCTTCAGCATTCGTCACTGGATGGAGATGATGGGCACTCCGGCGCCACGGGGTCTCATGGGGCAGGCGGGGGCCAGGGTCATCACAGGGCTGAGAAACGTGGATGCCGACGCTTTGGGGCGCCCGGGCTCGACACGGGTCCACATTGGGGAAGAGATCATCACCTACTCGACGCTGGATCCCGTTCTCTACACACCGACGCCCACCAAGCCCTGGCGGGGCATCTGGGTCGGTGACTATAGCGGCCACGGCTGCGAGTTCCTGCTCATTCATCAGCCGGACGACTCGCCCGCGACGGACGCCGAGCTCGGCTTGGTCCGCGGGGAGCAGGAGACGGATGCAGCGTGGCAGCAGAGGAAGCTGGACGCGCGCATCCACCGGGGCCGTCTCGAAGCCATAAAGTTGACGGGCGATCCCAACGTGCCACGCGGCGAGTACACGTTTGTGGCCGACGACCTGGGCCCGGGCGGCTACGTCGGCGTGGCCACGGATGCGCCCTTTGTCGGGGCCAGAGTTGTCCGCAGCAAAGGACACGTCGCGGCGACGGGTTTCGTCGATGGTGAGTTTCTCGACAGGACTCATGTTGGGTCTCCTGGGACGATTCCGTGACTGACCCTGTTGCCTGTCTAGACAAGTACATTGAGAGTCAGCTTCTACTCATTTCCCCCAACCGGCTAGCGCAGTACTGGGTCGGCTTTGGGCACATTAGCTTTTTCGAGCGGGTCCAGATGGACGAGTTCATGGCGCCGTGAGCGACGACGGCACGTGTGTGGAGATTGTTGCCAGTGGTTGATGAGCGGGTAGACGAGATGCATGGGGAGCAAGAACTCGCACTTGTCCCTCGGCATGGCACCGCCTCGAATCCTTTATCCCGGCATGCATGAGGCTGCAGTCTCGGCTACCGACGGCAGGGCTGAGACCAGTTTCGCCGAGCACTGTACGAGGAATTGCGTCGGAACTGTACTTGTGCGCGAGTCCAACTCGAGTGGTGATGCCAAGGGAAGGTTTGCTGGAAAGATTCTGACGGTTCCAGCGGATCTCATGAGAATCGTTGATGACAACTTGTGCTTTGAATCTCGCTCCCCAAGGTACTACCTACCTACCGTACCTACCTACCTCTAGGTATTGTGTTGGGGTGTACGTACCTGCGTACAGTACATGGTGGCGTTGGGGTTGAAGACACCTTCTGTGCGTTCGTCATGCGCACTCACACTCAGCCCAACGTCTTGCCCAGCCCAGTCTCCACCCGCGCGTCGCATTGGCCAGTCAGGTGACGCTCACGAGACTAGAAACCCGCTGCCGACAGTCCTGCCTGCCCCCCCGGCAACAGCATCAAAGTTGCGAGGAGCGGCATGGCGTCGACACTTCATGTGTCTTCTTTTCCTTCTCTCCTTGACTCGCGGCTGATGGGGCTCGTCCTCGACTTGGAGCCTTCTCATTCGGTAAGTATTTATGGAACCGCCTTTTACTGATAGTGATGATGCACTCACGACTGTCATTCGCTCGCTCCCTTTTGCTCTCCACTGTTTGCATCTCGCCTCTGGCCTCGCGATATCTTGCTCCCGCATTGTCGGTAGGCTCATGGAGACGAAACTGATATCTTTTCCCGTCTAGTCGACCCGCACCGTCCATTTCTCAGCCCATCCACTCATTGGTCAATTGCCGTTCTGGCCAGGCTGCACCACCCAACACTCACAAGTACAACAACTCATCCAGTGCCGAGCCGGCATCCAACAACGCCTTTATGAAGGCCAACTTCTTCCGTCCGCTTACGTACTCTTGATCCCAGCATCCGCCTTATTCAGTTCATAGACTACGGACTGGCCGTCTCCCATCCCGGCCTCTCGGCCCCTGCTGTTACTCTTATATTCTCTCGAATCCTCCCGGCAGGGTGCTCCTCTTCGTCTCTTTCGGCTTCGACGGGCCATGAACCCCCGACACGTGAGCAGCCTCGCTCACCGATTGTCCCTGATCTCGAGGCATGGCTCCTCAACCTTTGTACTGCCATCAAGGGCGGCGGCAACGGTAAAACGGCCGCATCGCCATTCCCAGCCACAATGTCGTTTCTTCAAACTTTCCATCCCGATCCCGAGTTCCGCCAGCAGCCCCGATCTAAGCCGGCTGAAGCTCTCCGCAGTCAATGACACCCGCTCCTCGGCATCCAAACAGGCATCTTCATCGCGTCGTCTCGCCACGCTCGTAGCTACCTTCGGCTTTTTGACTTTAGCAGCCTTCTTGTCCTCGCCCGCGTCTCTACATGCCTCCTTCGTCGTTGACACGCCCTCGTCCTCAACCTCAGCATCGAGTGCTGCAAGCGCCACTGCGACCACACACGTCACTACCGACACCCGTGACCCTGGCCCTCCACGCTTTCGCATCCAAGAGGTCCGAAAACACGGCCCTGACTCGGAAAACCCCTGGATCATCCACGGCGACAAGGTCTACGACATCACAGACTGGGTTTCTGCCCACCCTGGCGGTCAAGTCATCCTCCGGGCCGCCGGCGGATCTATCGAACCCTACTGGGACATCTTCTCCATCCACAAGAACCAGTATGTCTACGACATTCTGTCACAGTACTTCATCGGCTATGTTGATCAGGCCGACCTGGTCGATGGCAAGCCAGCCCAAGAGCAAATCGAGGATCCTTTCGCAGACGATCCACAAAGACACCCCTCGCTCATCACCAAGACTTCCAAGCCCTGCAATGCCGAGACGCCTGGCGACGCCCTGAGCGATCGCTTCCTCACTCCAAACGAGCTCTTCTACGTGCGCAATCACATGTGGGTTCCCAAAGTGGACCAAGCCGCCTCGGACGCCCACATCCTTACAGTCGAGCTCCTCGATGGCACCGTCAAGCAATACACCCTCCAAGATCTCAAGGCGAGGTTCCCGAGCCGCAAAATCACTGCCGCTTTGCAGTGCTCGGGTAACCGGAGAAAACACATGGGCCAAGGCTCTGGTCGTCTCGCTAACGGTCTCCAGTGGACCGCCGGTGCAATCTCCAATGCATCTTGGGAGGGCGTACTCCTCTCAGATGTCCTCGCCGATGCCGGCTTCGATATTGGCGAGGGCCTCAGGGGCTCGAGCGCGACTAAGCACGTCCATTTCTCCGGGATGGAAGCTTACGGCGCCTCCATCCCCCTCAAGAAGGCCATTGACCCCCAAGGTGACGTTTTACTCGCTTATTCCATGAATGACACGCCATTGCCTCCGGACCACGGATTTCCCTTGCGTGCTATTGTTCCTGGCCACGTGGCAGCACGGTCTGTCAAGTGGCTTAGCCAAATCACGTTGAGCGACGAAGAGAGTACGAGCCAATGGCAACGGCGGGACTACAAATGCTTTGGTCCCAACGAGACCAAGGTCGACTGGGACGCGGCTCCTGCCATCCAGGAAATGCCTGTCCAAAGCGCCATCACAGGGTTGAAGATGAGAGGATGGACGACCAAGACGGGGACGGAGTGCGCTGAAGGCGACTCGCGGAATGCAAAGGAAGCAGCCCAGATGGTGTCCCTGAGCGGCTACGCATTTTCAGGTGGCGGTCGCTCCATCGTCCGTGTCGACCTATCCCTCGACGGCGGCCGCTCCTGGACTCAGGCTCAACTCCTGCCTGACTGTGCCAGTGAGGACGAATCTCCGTCGCCGTGTCAGGGACACGGGACGTGGACCTGGAAACGGTGGCGACATGACGGCACAATCCCGCTCGGCGCCTTCCGGGAGCGCAAGCAACACAAAGAATATCCGGCTGACGCCAAGTCTGAGGCGGCGACAGAAGAAGAAGAAAACGATAGCGACGCCAACCGTCGATGCACAACAGTCTTGGTCAAGGCAACCGACGATGCATACAATACCCAGCCAGAGAGCCACGCCGCCACCTGGAACTTGCGAGGGAACCTGGCCACCGCCTGGCACCGCATCCAGATATGCGTCGACTGCGGCGCGTTCGCCACCAAGGCCGCCCGAGATGCAGAGGCCAAGCCAGATGCCTGACAGTGGGCACCAAGGGAAGCGGCGGCGGCCCGCGGCGAGATGCAGGGCTGTATATAATAATACCTTGGGCGAGAGACGGTGTCGTCTCCACACGATGTTGCTAAGACCTGTGCCAGCTTGGGGCTTCTACTTCAACAGATACCCAGCAGGGGTCGTCGCCACAAGCCATATTACATGTATCTTAATACGTACAGTACTGGTACAACAGTCAAGTCCTCGCTTCTTGGGACGCCTTCCCCAGCGTCTGAGATACAGTACAGATGCATACAAGAGTTTTGCCGCTCCCTTCGACCGTTGCGGGCCCCATTGTATTTGTACGCTTGATGTCGGTTCATGCATGACAGACAGTGCCTTGTCCGGTCGCCATGCTGATGTTACCACCGGCACCAGGCACGAAGCACATGCGCGACTCCACCAACTTCGACGACGCATCAGTGCCCCCCTACTCGTCACCCTCTCCTTCCGAGAAGTAGTCGAACTCTCCCGGCACCTGGGCCTCTTCGTCGCCCTCGCCGTCCTCGTCCACGGCCGTCAGCACTCCCGCGGCGGCCGCGGCGCCCGAGCCCATGGCGCCCGAACCGGCATTGCCGGCCGGGGTCTGGGGATCGGCCATGCCAAAGGGCGAGCGACCTTGGCTACGCAGCAGCTGGTCCATGACGGGATTGCCCGTGGACGCGCGTGCTGGATCCACGAGGCCTTCAAGCAGCGACCTGCCCGGCCCACTAGACCGGCCGCCACCGCCGCCTCGGCCGCTCTGCTGGCCGGCAACCGGCGCGCGCTCCGTCGTCACCTTCTTCAGCTTTTCCTCAATGAGCGACTTGGCCTCGTCAGGCTGGGTGTCATCCAGGAGGAGCGGGCCTCCAGTCGGCTGCGAAGACGTTAGCAATCATGGGAAATTAACAACGAGGGCTAACCGCGGGTTGGGACTCTACCTTTTTAACTGGCTGATATCGGCCGGCGGGAAAGCTGATAAACTTGAGCTGGCCAGGCAGGACTCGGCTCATGTTCTCCATGTCGTAGCCAATCTTCTCTTTCTCTGGCTTCTTCTTGGAGTCGCTCGGCGTGGTCGCATCCTTCTCCTCTGCGTCCTTTTTGTCTTTGGAATCGTCCCTTTTCTTGTCGTCGTCTACCTCCATCTTTTCGCCACTCTTGGCCGGCGCCACGTCAATATCCATGCTCTCTCGCCGCTGAGCCCGCTCCTTCTTCTGGGCCCTGCGCTTGGCCTGAGCGGTCGTGGACAAGATGGCTGTGGCAATCAAGGCGGGACCCTCCTCTGTCTTGACTTCCTGCTCTGGAGGGTAGTCAAACAGGCTCTGCCTCGTGGCGCAGTGAAACTTGAAGTCAGGCATCTCCAGATCGTGGTCGAGACCGATCATGGCCGTGGGGGAGAAGCTGAGGGACAAGAAGTGGGTAAAGGGGAACCAGTACCAGTACTGGGTGAAGACGGCCATGCCAACGATGCCCGCCATGTTGAGGTTCCCCGTCTGGGTCTGGAGCCCGATTGTGCAGTTGCGGCCGCCTGCGTCAATGATTCCGAGGGCCAGGGCAGCACCAAACTTGGTCATGGCGTCCTCGTGGCGGTCGCCAACCACTTTCTTGAGGGTCTTGCGGATCGATGAAACTTTGGGGTTCATCACCTCGTTTTGCTGCACCATGATCATGGCCAAGGAGATGAGAGCGCCCTGTCGAACAAAGTCGGTGGGATCCTTCATCATCGGCTCCAGCAGGTCAATCGCCTCGTCGAGCCCCGTGCCGGCGCACGAGATACCCAGGGCCATGGCGGAGCCGTACCGGACGTGCGGGTTGTAGGACTCGGACAGCAGCTCGACCATGCGCGGGACACTCCCCGGCTTGCGGAACAGGATGAAGCCCAAGCTCATGACGGCGATGCGCCGGACGTCGTCGTTGACATCGCTGACGGCGGTGTGGAGGAGCTTCCGAATCGCCTTGTTGCTGCCGGTGCCGCAGTACGCCAGGGCTACTGTCATGATGCCGCCGTAGCGCAGTGTCGGGTCGGGATCGTTCAAGAGGCCCTCGATCAGGACGTCGGCGCCCTCCTGGCGGCCGTACATGATGAGCGCCATGCCAATGGCGACGCCACGAACAATCTTCTCGTGCGTCGTCTCATGCGCATACGTGATCATGTCCTCGAGAGCTTTGACATTGCCCGTGCCCAGCATGATGAGACCCATGGACAATCCGACGGCCTCGCCGTTGAGCGCTGAGTCCTGGAAGAGAATTTCCTTGAGCTTCTCAAAAATCTCGCCGTCTCCCGTCGCCATGCCGGCGATGCCCAGGCCAAGAGCGCCGCCGTGCTGGACAACCTCCTCTTCGGCCTGGCTGAACTGCGTCTTGAGATAGTCGAGGGCATCGGCTCCGTGGTTGGCATGGATGAGTCCGTAGGCGTAGAGAGCGCCGCCTTGGCTAAAGATGGAGCCGCTGCCGAGACCGCCCTGCCTGGGCAGATAGGGCTCGAGAAGCTTTCGAGACTGCGACAGGTTTCCGCGGTGGATGACGCCGAGGGCAGCCGTGGCGGTAAACTTGGACCAGTTGACAGCCTTGCCCAGCCACTCGAGGTTGTCACGGAAGAATTTGTCGTTGGTGGTGCCTTGGTTCATGAATGCGTTGCAAAAGGTGACGGCGGTATGGAAAATCGAGTTGCGGCCCTCGAGACTGTCGCGAACTTTGTTGAGGATGCTTAAATCGGTATGGTTGTTGCGGTAGAGGAATTCGAGATTCAGGCGGATCGTCTTGGAGCCGTTGAGGATCGATCGAATATTGCGATAGGCCTTGGCTACGTTCTCTGGCAACTCCTCCTCCGGTGCTTCCTGTTGGTCCCCGAGCAGCGCATCGATCTCCTTGGGCTTCACGTCATCCTCGTCAGCCCCCTCCTTTTCAGGCCGTTTGCCCGAGGGCAGAGAAGCTAGGACCCTGCCCAAGAACTCTTGGGTGCCATTGTCGTACAGGTCGAAGGCGATCTGGTACGCGTTGGCCAAAGAGGTGCGATCGCCGTTGCTGACGAGAGTCCGGAGCATGCGCGAGGCCTCGTCGTCTGAATTGAGATAAACCACACACCTTGCAATGGCGAAATAGTCGGGGTTGGGTATGTCGTTGAGCAAGTCGAGGACCAGGCGTAGAATCTGGGTGCGGAATCCGCGCTCTTGGACAATGTCCATGCAGATGCCCAGCGCATATTCCATGAGCTCCTTGGCAGGGCCCTGGAGGCCGTCCTGGGGCTTCGTCTTGGAGTGTTTCTCGTCCTCGCTCGCGCGCTTAATGACGCGGCGCAGGACCTCGAGATTCTTAGCCTCGACAGCGATGCCGACGACCTGTCGGTAGCGACCCTGCTTCAGGCAGCTCTCGAAGAGGCGCTCGACGACGCGCCGCAACGAAGCCTCGGTTGCCTGATCGGGCAGCTGGGCGATGGAGCTAGAGCGGGCTTGCTTGACAACGGGCTGGAAGGTGGCGTCGAGTATCGTGTTCTCGAGGGAGGCCCGGGACAGTAGCGACTTGGGAGGGAGGGTGGTGTGAGAAAAGGGAGTCGTAGGGGACATGACGGCGCCGTCGGACGCGTTGGAGAAGGTCGTGGTCAGCTCGGGCAGGTCGGCGTTGCTGGAGGCCTTGGGCTTGGCATGCTGGGCAGCAGTGACGGCGATGTACTGGTCAACACACTTGGAGATGATTGTCTCTTCGAACTCGCCGGGGGACTCGAGCTTGAAGAGGTCGCCCGCGGCGAGAGCGAAGACCATGCTATCATTGTAGGCCTGGAGGTGGTAGTAGACCTTGGCTAGGACCAGGGCTGCAAGCTGTCGCTCGGGGAAAGACTCATCCTCATAGAGAGCCTCGCTGAGGGGGGACAGAAGTTAGCAGGCACAAAGACGCCGAGTGAAAATAAGGGGATGTATGGAGACGTACAGCTGGCTGAGAGCGCCGGCGACCTCTGTCCAGACGGTGTCTATGTCGTCGTTGAGCGTCTGCAAGGCGAAGACCTTGAGCTCGGGTTCCTCGTCGGAGAGAAAGGCCAAAACGCCTATTGCCGACACCAGTCCAGGCATTGTGAGTGGCGCTGCAGGCGACGAAGGTTTTGCTTATTTTGAGAGACCAGCCGAGAAAGCCGGAATGTTTGGACGGCAGCAGGAAGCTTGCGAGAGCTGTTGTTCCTCGGCAGGTAGACGGGAATGGCGGACCGAGGACAGCGCGAAAAGGACGAGAGGTGGAAACTGTTGTACAGGGAGTGGCGGAGACGGCGCGCTTGGACGGTGGGAGCTGAACAAAGGCGGGATTGATGAGGTTGTGAGGCGAAGTGGATGGACGGGCAACCAAAGGCAAGGTGGTTTGTAGAGGGAAGCAGGCACCAAGGTGTCGCGCGTCAGGCAGGCAAAGCTGTCTTGCTCGGCGGTACGTACCGGGGCTGCCGGCAGACGGGCCCTGGGGACGTGCCTTATCCGTACTTTAGTAGGTAAGGTAATTACCTAGGTACCTAGGTAGGTAAGGCACGTACTGTACAGTATAGTACACGTATGGCGCAGTCACATGATCTTTCTCATCCTGGTCAACACCTGTGCGTCAGTCCTCGGTAATTCTTGGTCGAGAGCACGAGACGCGGCGTAACGAATTCATGCCTGCCGTGCGAGCAAGATCCGAGCAAAGAGGAGGACAGCCGGCCGCCGATATGCGCGAGCCCGTGAGAGTCGATGGAGGAGGATGCGTCTCAGTTCGACAGTCTTGGTTCAAAACCTCTGTCCGCTGCAGACGACAGCAAGACGACGATAATGTCGGATCGGCATGGAGAGAGAAGGAAGCATCTTGATTAAAAGTGCTACTGGTTCCGTCCCTCTCCAAACCCGTCAATGCGATAGTGCTTGACAGGTGCAACCGCCCGCCTCCCTCGTGCGCCGCGGGCAATGAGGGCGATGCTCCTCGCTTGATGCTCAGCAGCTCAGCGGCCGTGTGGCAAGCTGTGGTGATGCGATGACTCTCCATCATTATTCCTCCAGTCTGTAGCGGCGAGTCGCCGGGCGCGGATTTTTTTGGGGTTAGTTAGGGGATGCAGATGGACAGGCAGAGGAGGGACGCGGAAGGGGAAAAATAATCTAGGCCGTCTCGCTCCATCTGTCCTCAATGCCAAAACCCAGACCAAACTGATTAATCACCTGGAACACTGCTGGTCCTGCAATTGCGCAACTCGTGCACGCCACACCGTTTCCCTCCTACGAAGACGGCCTCTGCGACGCACCGCCCGGCGCCTCCGCTTGCCGCCTCTCCCACTGTCGTCTACGATGCCGCGCGTCTCGATGGCTGGCTAATCCGTCGACGCATCGTGGCCCGTCCTTTGTCGCGCTCCATCCCACCTCGCGAAAGCCTGCCTCTCCCTCGACCGCTGCGTAACCATGTCCGCTGGCGACTGCGCCATCACCATTGCCTTCCGAACGCCCTGATCGTGGCCTCGCATCGCCGACGTCTCGCCCTCCGTCTGCACACACCCGGCCGATCGAGGCTCGAAGCCCATTGTCGTCGGCAGCCGCCCGTGCGCCCCTTCAAGGGGGAAGGGGGGCTTGCACTTTGCGCATTCGCCGCGTGCCCGACGCAGACACACAAGGCGCATCGCAGACATCACCATGGATCTCCGCTCTGTCCTCAACACGGCGGATAATGGCGAGCGCCCGCCTCCCGCTCAAGCTCCGCCCACGCCGCAGCAGCAGCATCAGCCTCGCCCGACGCCGAGCCCTGCCACCCAGTACGGCTTTCGCGACTACCCTCAGCCGGCCCCCCATCCGTCGCCCGGCAAGCACATGAGCCAGGATTTTACTCATCACCCGCATCAGCTCCCAGGCGGTCCGTACCCGCCCTCGCCGTACCAAGGCCCTCGCCAGTACGCGGCCCGAGTCGCGCCGCCCCAGCAGCAGCAGCAGCAGCAGCAGCAGCAGCAACAGCAGCAACAACAGCAGCAACAACAACAGCAGCAGCAGCAGCAGCAACAGGCGGCAAACCCATTCCATGACGGGCGATCTCCCGGAGCCATAGTGATACCAGCTCAATCGCCCTATCGGCTGACGCCCACGCCGACGAGTGCCCAGGCAGGCAGCACGGCAGCCTATCCCTTCCCGCCCACGCACGAGGTAACGAGCCCTAGCCAGCGACACCAGTATCCACCGGGCCAGTACCAGCCGCAACAACAACAGCAACAACAACAGCAACATCAATTGCAACAAACACCACTCCACCACCACCACCAGCTGCAGCAAAACCAGCACCCGTCGCGCCATCAGCGCCGAGACAGTCACCCGCAACCCGCCGCCGCTGCCGCCCTTGGCCCGCCCGTCTACGCACACCAGCAACAGACACCCCCCCTCGGCACGCCGTCCTCACTTCCCTACCTCCACCAGCGGTCTCAGTCCGCGCACTCCACTCCCACCCCGACCCCGACCTCTGCCCAGAGCCAGCATCAGTTTGGCCCGCCGCAGGCTCACCCTCATGGCAGCCCCGTAGCCGCCCCCAAGCCGTCCCCCGCCGCCGCCGCCTCGCCTGAATTGGCCCGTCAGCTCTCCCAGCCACCCACGCCTCTCGGTCCGCCCCCGTCGGCCGCTCCCTGGCAGGCTTCCACTCCCGGTGCCTTTGCCCACCCCCCGAGCCCCCTCCAGCAGAGGACATCGTCGGCCGGCCACCAGCAACCATCGCCCAATCATCCGCCCCCTCTCCTCACCTCCTTCGCCGCCGGCCAACGCGTGCCGAGCGTCCACAGCACGTATGATTCACCCGCCTCCGACTCCCACGCCCGTCCCAGGTCGCGCCACGATCGTGAAAATAGCCTCTCCGTGAGCCCCAGGACGCGTGTGGCGTCCCTGGCGAGCAACACGGGCTCCGAGCCGGAGAGGAGGTCCGCCCCCGCCGCCCGGAGCATGACCGTCGACGTCGACACGGCCGTGACCCCGGCGAAACGGAAGCTCGAAGACCGCAGCATGAGCCCCGGGGAGCTCGAGCATAGAGAGGCTCGGCCGCCCCCTGCCGAGGCCAATGGCGGCTTCCACCAAGAGTCGGCGTCACCCGTAGCCGCCCGAAAGAAACGCGTGCCTCGCGCCCAACCGCCCATCTGGGCCCAGAGCGCCCAAATTTTGGGTCGCAAGATGCCCAGCCATGCAAATTTTGTCCTCCAGAAGCTGGTGCGCGCTCACCTCAATGGGAAGCCCGACCCCCCCCCCCGGACGGACCACTCCAGCCGTCATTCGTCGCCCGAGGCCGGTCGCGCCCAACCCAGCGGCCCAAGTACCAACAGTCAGAGTCACCAGACGCCCGCCGCCGAGCCAGGCCCGCGGGACATTCTGGGGCCCTGGGAGGCCAGCATCACGGGTGTCAAGCCGTACGAGGAAATGTCCAAGACAGTTGCCGACTTCATCTTCATTCATGTCGTTAACAACCCTGACCTCAAGGAGATTGTCAGCCGCGGCATCCAGTTTGAAATTGAGGCCAAGCTCGGAACCCTGATTGACAAGGATACAAACTGCCGAGTCGACAGACTCTTGGACTCGGAGTGCGTCTTGCGCGACACGGGCCGCATCGCCTTTCGGAGCAGCATGACCGAGGTCAGTCTCCCTTATTTCTTGTCGTGTGGGCGCTTCAGAAGCTGACATCGTCCTTCGTCAAGGTACATCACAAGGCTTTCAACGACTTTTTGAACCAAGCCGTCATCCAGACCGATCCGCGAGCGCCAAGCGGGGGCAGCAGAGTACAGGTCCACTACAAGCACCGACGAGAGATTGACCGATTTTTCGACCTCCCACCCGATCTGCAGAGCCACCTCCCCGGATGCATGCGGTCCCGACTTGGCTCCCGCAGTAGAAACGTCCGCGTGAGAGTGACGTACGACCAGAAGACGCGCGAGGTTCTCAATAAGATCATCAAGGCCCGCGTGGCCGACATTGACTTACACATGCCGTCTAGCATGATGGACTGCCGACTCAGCATCAACCTTGAAATGAACTGGGACGGCTCGGCCGAAGAGCTGGAGCAGCTGGCTGGCAACCAGACCGACAGGCAACCTGAACGCAGCAAGGATCGGCTGAGCTACACCCAAGGACATTACCAAGTTGATCTCACGCAGGTCACACAGACCATTTTCGGCCCAGGGGTGAGTGTTTTCTGATGAACTCTTCTGCTTGTGCTTTGTTCTGCGTGCGTTGACGGGCGCTTACCGAATCAACGACAGAACTCGCAACGGATCGACAAGGAACACGAGCTCGAAATCGAACTAGCTCCCGGCATCGTCCTCGACCAAGGCTCCAAGGCCATGAACGGGGCACCCCATCGGTATTCTGAGCTCATCGAGGGGTTGGTGGACAATGTGCGGGTGCTGGCCCGCAAGGCCAGGGAGTTTAACGGGTGAAGTATCTGCCGTCTGCGACCGGCCCAGGCGTTATGAAATGGACGAACGTGCAGGCGAAAGACAGTGCAATGTTTTTTCCGACTTGACAGCGAGTAGAGGTGGCGCGTTGTCGGCATGGTGGCTATGAACCGCGCGCAGCCCGGAGAAGATGGCCAAGGGCAGGATCGGCTATTGCCCTGGGCCCGGGAAATCGACATCATGGACTCACTTTCTCCCTTTCTATCCTTGGCTCTCTTGGCCCATGAAGCTTGGGCTGTAAACGGCTCGTTTTCGTCATGCCTCGGCTTCCATCCACCGCAAGATCTCTCGTATCCAGACTCGCTCGCTTGTCCCCTCGCCTTTTGGCTTTCTCCTCTCGCTTTCTTCTCGACGACTTTGGCATAAAGATCGTCTTGGTACACAGGATGCGTCTGTAACAGCCCGAGTCTCAGGCGTTTAGCGCTTGATCTTGGACATCACCTGTCATGGATCGGCGTGAACGACTGACTGGCAAGGCGTGATGAACACGAGTAGAGGCGAACATCGACCGATTAACGTCGGCAACCCGCGCCGGGACACGACAAGTAAGTCGAGTCGAGCCTGGCAGGGCGGGCGCGAGTCGACGTTGTGGGTGCCCACGAGTAATGAGACGAATGAAGGGCTACTTAGCATGACACGACTCGTCGACTAGGGAATCATGCCAAGGACTGGATCCGTTCTCAGGGCTAGCTATCGCCGTCAGACTTTAAACGCTCGTTGGCTTTTGGCTTTTGCCTTGTTCCGACTACAAGGCACGTGTGAGCTTCTTTTCCTTCTAGAAGATGCTTCCACCCGCCGGCCATTGTCCGTCGACAGTTGAAACGCACCAAAACACGCGCGCATAAGGGATGCGGACAACTGTCAAACACCGGCGCCCGGCCCATTTGCTGTCGCGGTGCCTTCCACTCGGGCTCGTGGGAGGTTTCGAGTGCTCCTGGAGGAGAAGAGACGACGGGGCCTATCGGCTCTCCCGGCCGCTGATCATGATTCCCACCATCCCATGGAGGAGCCTCGCCGACCTCGAATAAGAGCTTGTCTCCCCCCCCTTTTCCTTTCCCCACACCGCTGCTGTCAATGGGTGTTCCCAGGGGTGGGCAGATCAAGACCCGATCTGGACCAGCCGGCCGACACAGCCCGCGCGAGTGGGAGAGCATGAACGTTAGCGGTCGTGGGAAAGATGGGGCGGCTTGAATGCTGTTGATGCGCATTTTAATGAAAGGGGGCTCGGTGGTGCCTCTCGAGCCAGGCAACACTCAGCCTGTGCCGAGAAGGGCGACTTTCTCGCAGGGCCTTTGCCCGACTGTCAGCGAAACCTCGTGGGTGGACAGGTCGAGCCGGGTCTGTCCTGGTTCCGATCGATGTCAGACTCATACGTCTCCGTCTAACCAGACGGATGTTATGTTATAAAGATGAATATATAAAATATAGATTCCCTCCTTCTCCTTGAAGTTATTGCACCAGCCCATCTCTCTCTCTCTCTCTCAAAAGAGAACCATATGGGCCTGGCCATTGAAAGCGCAACACATTCATTCATTGCTTTCACGAGCGCAGGGCGTGAAGTCACCTATTCTTCCTTTCACTGATATAACACGTTCATTTTCACGATGCCCCAGCCGTCCGTCTCATTTGTCCTGCTCCTCGCCCTCGGCTCCTGCTCTGGCGTGCTAGCCGACGGCCAGACGACTCTCAGCACGGCGATCGTCAAGCGGGCATACGCGGCGGCGAGCGGTCCCTCGCAGCTCGCCCCGTCGACGCGGTGCCTTGGGGCCAAGACGCCGCCCTCGCCCCTTGTCGAGGCGCCGAAACTAGCGAAACCCGTCCCCAAAGTTGTCGCGGCGGCGGCGCCGCCGCCGCCGCCGCCTTCGGACCCCGAGAGCAAGTCTCAGCCCCCGGGCACCAAGAAGCCGTGCCCGACCAAGCCGACCAATCAGGACAAAGTCCCGGTATATGGTGGTGGCGGTCCGCCGGTTGCGCAGAAGGCCGTCCCGGTACAAGCCAAGGACGGTACTCGACCGCAAGAACCCGTGAGCGTGGTACAGGCTGTTGCTAAGGAGCCTGGCAAGAAACCACCGGAGAATCATTTAAATGCCCATGTGGATGGTGAAGGACCGTCCAAACCATGTAACAAGGGAAAACAGAAGCCCTATGGGGATGGTGGGGGTACGACGGAAGTGGTTGGCGCTCCTCGGCTAGCCGGCAAAAAGCCCTCCGTCACGCCGTCTTCAAGCCGAGCAGGCCCGTCGGCGTCCCCTCCCAGCGAGCCGGCTAAGGTCTCGACGAAGAATACCGGCGCCAGTGCCGGTACCGTGGCCTCAGAGGACACGAAGGGGGTTCCGGCGGACAAGTGCGTGTGCCCGTGCTCGGCAGAGGGTGCGCAGAAACTCAGGTAGAGTGTCCCCGAGGCGTGGCAACTCATTAGCAAGCAAGCAAGCCGAGATGGGCGTGTTTTTCCTTGTCCTTGGTAGGACACACATCATTCACTACCCAGTATCTCGACTGTCCCTTTGCAAAGGCGAACTCGTCCGTCCGTGCCTGCACGTAGTGCTTGTGATTGCTCGAGTCGTGCTGAACAAGACCGCTCGGCGCGGCTACCATCGTCCCAAGGACTGCGGACATAGAGCGAGCCGAAACGGGTCGAGACCTTGCATCGCCATAGCCTTTGCTCTGCGAACGCGCAAGCGCCCTCTGTATTCCGGGGTTCGTGCATCAAGCCCCTCCCCTCATCGCCATGCAGACACCCGCTGGCCGCCGGGGCAACACTTGTTCTGGACCATCGGATGCGCTCGATCACGGAATTGGGGAGGGGGTGGTTGGATTCAGGATCCAGGGTCGCACCGGAGCCTTCCTTTCCAGCTCCCGTCGGCGATCGCCGCTTGTGCTTATAGGCGCGCTCAAGATGGCTCAGGTGCGGCGATGAATGAGGGCACGGAGGGTTTGGCTTTGCACAGTCAGTTGAAATCCTCCGGCTCGGCATCTGCGTCCCCTTCAGATTGCACGACCGAGGGCTGGCGTCAGCGAGCATGTATATGCCGGTGGACTCCGTTGTCACCGTAAACCGTAAAACACTGAAATGAGCAAGAATAGCAGGGGCGTCGAAATGTGATCAAGAGATGGGAAATGGGAGGCCCCGTCGGAGGTCGCCGCCTGCTTCCAGTCGAGGCCATTTCCATCCATCAAGGCACCACACCCACCAAGCCAGCAACTCTGATCCAGTTATAGCTCGGCGCGGCTCATCGTTGGGGAAGATGCACGGCGCGGGCTCGGCTGGTCAGCACGAGGAGTCAGCATTTCTGTCAGTTGTAGGAAAACAAAGAGAGGCGGTTGCTGCGTCAGTTTAGTCACTGGGCGGCGCGGGATTCCCATTATTAACGAGAAAAAGGGTCCAGCAACTGACAGACTGGGGAGGCGACGGACATGGCTCGAGAGAAGAAGGATATGTGGCCGTGTCGGTCAGCAATCAGCATGACGTCAACGCGGGCCTTATCAGCAAAGCATCTCAACATCCTCCAAGCGAGAAGCCGCTCGACACCGGGATGATAGCAGATAGAAGGCATCTGGTATCTGGTATCTGATATCTGGTATCTGACCTGTTCTTGTTCCCCACGGGACAATCTTGTCTCACCTGTCGTGGGACGGTAGCAATGCGCTTGAAGCAGGTGTGCAGATGGCGCCCGTCATCAAATGCTACGCAGCGTTACCCGGGTCGGGATCCTCGGCCTGCCCCCGCCTCCTTCTCGAACTGATTGCACTGACATGGCTGAAGAGGCTAGACGCTGCCTGTGCCGCGGTCGGGAGTCGCAGATCTCTGGAAGTAGGTTCGCGTCAGGGCAGGCCCCGTGTAGCCACAACTTCATAACCCTTGTTCCCCTCGAGACCTTCAAGTCCGCCGCCATCTGCGTCCGTGTCATCTCAGCACCCCTCGTGGCCGGCCGGTTAAGTCGGCTCGTTCTCGCTCCTCTCGCCAGTAGCATTCGATGGCTGGGTTCACGGACAAGAAAGATGCAGCTCAACCAAGTCCCGGAGAGAGGGGAAAGAAGGGGATCCATCAAGACGGACGACAACGAGGCCGAAACTTGCCCAAGTAGGCAGTTGAGGTAAACAGGTGCTGGCCAAGCATCATCAAGCCCGGAAGGATCATCAAGCCCGGCCGGCGCAAGAGATGGCCGTCGTCCATGTTGCTTGGAAGCAGAAAAGCCTGGACGATTAGCTTCCGTCGCTCGAGCGCCACACACGTGCATTAGCCTCGTCATCGGCGAGCATCAAAAGGGAGCTTCAGCTATATATCGTCCGTGACCCAGACTCTCAGACTTGGGGCTTCTCGTCTCCTCTGCCTCCAGACCCGGGATTCGGTTCGGTTCGGTTCGTCCCTCATCCGTCTTGGATCCTTGGCAGGCCCCTCCCTCCCTTCCCCCTTATCTCGTCTATGTCCGGAAGACGGATGGGCGGGCTGCCTCGTCGTCCGGGGCCATCATAATCCTCCTCATCCCTCACTCTGCCCGTGCCTGCCTTCTTATTCGGCCGCCGGCGTGCTGATAGGATAAGGCCCGTGGAATCGACCCGGGACACGGCAGCCAAGTCGACCCGTCGTCGGGTGGCGCTGATAAGGACCGACGAAAGCTGCGCGACATCTCCGCCCGTTCCCCTCATTCGGGGCCTCTTGATAAGCACAAGCTTGCGGCAGGCGGCTCTGCAGAGCGTCGACCAACAGTCGCTGATAGTCGCTGACAGTCGCTGCTTGACCAAAGGCCTATTTCTTTCCGAGCGGCCTGCCACGCCGCCTCGCTCTCCGTAGGGCAACGAACCATCTCCTTTTGAACAGACGTCAACCCTGACGGACGGGGGAAAAGAATATCATGGACGAAGACAGCGGCCCCAGCGCCATCACGCCCGGCCACCCCTCGGCCCGTGGGGGCGCCGCCGTCCCGGCCCGCCTCCGCTCCGCCGTCCGGGCCTTCACCACCCGGGACGGCCTCGTCGGCGACTACGACTACGGCTTCCTCTTCCGCCCCAACCTGCCCTTGATGCGCAAGTCCAGCCGTCGCAGCCCCTTCTTCGGCCTCAACGACAGGATGCCCGTCGTCCTCGCCCTCCTCCTCGGCTTGCAGCACGCACTGGCCATGCTCGCCGGCGTCATCACGCCGCCCATCATTCTCAGCGGCAGTGGCGGCGCCAACCTCGAGCCTGCCCAGCAGCAGTATCTCGTCTCGACGGCCCTCATCGTGTCGGGCCTCCTCTCCAGCGTCCAGATCCATCGCATCCGTATCCCCAAAACACCGTGAGTCCTGTTCTCGACTCCCATCAAGCGTGCACCAAGACACCGAGGGCTGAAGTGACCATCTGTCCACGCGCCATGTCAGATACTTCATCGGCACGGGCATCCTTTCCGTCGTGGGCATCTCATTCAGCACCATACCCATCGCCCAAGGGGCCTTCCGCCAGATGTACGCCAACGGCTACTGTCCCTCGGACGCCGCCGGCAACCGTTTGCCCTGTCCCAAAGGCTACGGCGCCCTCATAGGCACCTCGTCCGTCTGCGCCCTCGTCGAGATATTCATTTCCTTTCTTCCGCCTCGCATTCTGCTCAGCATGTTCCCCCCCATCGTCACGGGGCCGACCGTGATGCTGATTGGCATTCATCTGATCGAGAGCGGCTTCAAGGACTGGATGGGCGGCAGCGGGCAGTGCTCGGACCCGTCGGCGGCTGGAAAACAGAGTAGCATGTTTGCCAAGTGCCCAGACATCACGGCGCCGCATGCGCTGCCTTGGGGGTCCGCCGAGTTTCTCGGACTAGGCTTCTCCGCCTTCATCACCATTGTCCTGTGCGAGCGGTTTGGGTCACCCATCATGAAGTCGACCTCGGTTGTCATCGGGCTGCTGATGGGCTGCGTCATTGCGGGCGCCTGCGGATACTTTGACGGCTCAGGTATCGATTCAGCGCCCATCGCCTCCTTTATCTGGGTCAGGACATTCCCGCTATCCGTCTACGGGCCGCTGGTGCTGCCCCTCATGGCCGTCTTTCTCATCAGCGCAACAGAAGCCGTTGGGGACATCACGGCCACCTGCGACGTCTCGCAGCTCGAGGTGGAGGGCCGCAACTACGAATCTCGCGTACAGGGCGGACTGCTGACGGACGGACTCAACGGCATCGCGGCCGCGCTCATGACCATGACGCCGATGAGCCGGTTCGCGCAGAACAACGGCGTAATTGCGCTGACGCGATGCGCCAACCGCAAAGCCGGCCTGGCTTGCTGCTTCTTCCTCGTCGTCATGGGCATATTTGCCAAGTTGGCAGCGGCGCTCGTGGCCATTCCCAAGCCCGTCCTGGGGGGCATGACGACGTTTCTGTTTGGCGCCGTGGCCGTGTCTGGCATGGCCATTATTGTGCGTGGGGTGCCGTTTGATCGACGCTGCCGCTTCATCCTGACGACCGGTCTGTCGCTCGGGTACGGGGCGACACTGGTGCCCAGCTACTTTGAGCGTGTATTCACTTATTCAGGCGACAACCACGCGCTCGAGGGATTCCTCAAGGCTATTGTGCTGGTCATGGAGACGGGGTTCGCCGTCACCGCGGCCGTCTGCATGCTCCTCAACCTGGTGCTCGCCGCGGAGACGGACGACGACTTTGACGCCAGTGTCGTCGTCGAGCTGCGCAGCGGTGAGGACGCTGCCGGCTCCACGGAGGCCAAGGAGGGCACTCGGGACGACGAAGACTGGACCAACGCCTCGCCGCCTCGGAAGCTGTCGCGGAGTTGAAGCAGACCAGACTAGACGGGGCGGAAAGTTGCTGTGAAAGTAGGCGAGGAATCTGCGAGTGCGCGTGTGGCGATGTCGAGAGAATCTGAATCCGTACTGTATCCAGCACTTGAGTCGAGGCCCATGTGTTCCCTTCCGTGCAGACTGCATCGCCGCTTGTCCGTCGTGCAAGGGCGGCGTTCGTGGACGAGCAACCTCGGTGTTGCATGTGCGTTTTCCAAGGGACACGTCATGAAAGGAGAGCCGTCTTGGCTGCGCCGCTGCTGAGAGTTGCTGTCGTCGGCCCAACGATTGTCCGACACTCCTCGGCTCGATACCTCCGCCAAACATCGCATTTGCCAAAAGGGGAATCAAGTTGAATTCGTAGCGCCGCCTTTTCTCCACACTAAGAGCCGCTCCCTGCCTAATTACTCATTCTCCTCTGTTTGGTCTCGTGGTCCTTCAAAAGCCCCCGTTGCTTTGGCTTGTCTGCACACGCCTTACACACCCCCTCCTGCTCCCCTCCTGCTTCCCTCTCCCTATCTGTGCCAAGCCCGCCGGTTCGTCTCCCGGAGCGACAGACCACCCACTTGCGCCGCAAGCACGTCCCTCTCTCACCTCCGGGGACCTGCCACTCGAAACCCCATGGGCTCGATACCCGGAACCTTTTTCTTGTCCCGACGATCGAGCCTCCGTTCAATCTCCCGCCCACCGCCCAACGCCATCGAATCACGCCGTGACTGCACAGAGAAGACTCGGCTCGTCACCGAGCCGAGTTGACGACGAGACAGACGGGCTATGATTCCCGCCACGCCTACCGACACAAACACCACTTCCACCAGCACAACTTCGTCCTTGGCCTCCTCACCACTCTCCTCGCCTGGCCTTCGGAACGCGCCCCGCGGCCTCGCTGGCGCAAGCGGTCTTTCTTCCCGCTCGCCGCCCAGTTCACCACCAACGCCGCCCTCGCCGGTAGAGACAGCATCAGCCGCGGCGTCGACAGGGGCTCCCGTCGAAGACAAGGCAACGTCGCCAGCAGGCGCAGGCACCCCAGGGCTTGCACCCGCAGCAAAAGCCTCACTACTCCCGGCCGCATCGCCATCGTCCTCGCCGTTCTCAGCATCCTCGCCTCTCTCGCCCCGCGTCGTTTACGGTCCCGGAGCCGTTGCCCGCCTCCCCACTGAATTAGGCCGCCTCCACCTCTCCTCACCCCTCATCGTTTCGAGCCCGTCGCGCATCGCCCTCGCCCGCCGTATCCAGGCTCTCGTCCCCAGTCTGGACTCGCGTATTCTCGATTCAGCCGTGGTCAACGTGCCTGCTCGCGTTGTCGACGACGCCCTCGACCGCATCTCGGGCCGCGACGTAGTCATCAGCGTCGGCGGGGCATCAGCCGTCGGTCTCGCCAAGGCAATCGGTGGTCGCAAGGGCATTCCTCACATCTGCATCCCCACGACGTACAGTGGCTCTGAGATGATGCCCCTACTCCTTGACGCAAGTCCGGCTCGACACAGCAGCAACGGTCGCCGCCATGGACACGGCTTGTCTCGAAGAAAGACGGTCAGCAACATGAGCACTGTCCGCGACCCCAAGATTTTACCCACTGTCATCATCTACGACGAGGAGCTCACCATGAGCCCTCTGAAGAGGTTTTCTGCTCCCTCGGACTCTGCCGCCATGGCCCGGTCCACTGAGTTGCGAGCATGTCCCTCCAAGGGCGACGAGACTGCTCAGTGGAGCTATATCCATCTGCCAGGTGTTTAGGACGTCGGTTCGATCATCGCTTCTCAAGAAGAATCAAACTCCCGTATACGAGGCTCCGTCAAGTACCCGGCGACGGTGGGCCTAAATTGCACATGCCATTTTCAACACGAAACGCATCACCTTTTGTTTGAAACCCTTTAACTTTCTCGTTCCAGTCGACCTCAGTCCCGAGAATAAAATTTCCGACGAACAGTTCAGACCCGGATCGCCGATCAGGGCCCTTCGAGGTCGGACCGACCGGGAGGCAGTTTATCACTGCCGTAGAGCATAGAGGCTTTATCAGAAGCAGCTCCCGGTAACTTGGGCAGCGGACCGACGAGAAATGAGGCCGCGACTCCTTTTGAGGGGGGGGGTGGGAGGGGGGCAGGGCAGAGCGGTCGTGTGGACGCGCTGCTCAGAGATTCGAAGTCGAAATCGATATCATCTTGGCCCGACAGGAATAGCGTGAGGATGGTTGGCGTCAGCCCCTCCCGTTAGGGTGACGGTGAGCTTGTGGCAAGCAAGAGCACGATTCGTCAAGTGAAGGTCGTGCTGGAAGGGCGGCAGGAGACGGCCTTGTTGGTTCTGGTGACGCAAACGAAGGAAACCTGGGGTCGCGAACCCAACAAGGGCGCAAGGACGTGACGAGTCGATGGAGCAAGACCAGGTTTGCGCCTGGAACATGGCGAGTCCTCTTCTTGCGAGGCCAACTGTCTGCCATGCGCGCCAGCAGGCCTGTCCGACCCCAGCAATGGATGATGAATTACTCGGTACATGAGAGAATTTGGAGGAAATGGGTCTGCATCAAGGGAAGCATGGCAGCGACGTTGGTGCATTCCCGACGTAAACGGACGGGAAATCCAGCGCTGGGAAGTGATGTTATAGCTACACGGTCATGAACGAGCCGTTTGTTTCCGCCTTTTCATTCCTTTTGCGTGGTGCTGCCTGGCCAAAGCGTTGAAGCAGTGGTATGTGTACTCATACACGCCAAGTAGGATTCAAGGCAGGCAATTACGTCGGTCTGTTCTCGCAGACTAAGCGACGGGGACCAGGCGACGGACGAGGGGAGTGGCCGTTGCGGTGGAGATCAGTCTAGTCCCTGGAACCCCATGATGCCATGGGCGCCCATGGGTCCCAGCTTGCTGCTTTGGATATCCTTGCGGCGCTTGGCCCGGCGCTTCATGTCGGCCACTCCGCCGCCGTCGCTGTCGCTGCTGTTGTCGTCGTCATCGGCTTTCCCGTCGCTGTCGCTCTCGGCTGCGCGCTTTCCCCTCTGCCCGTCGTCGTCGTCGTCGTCATCGTCGTCGTCGTCGTCATCGTCGTCGTCGTCAACGTCGTCGCGCTGAAGCTCCGACAGCTCCTCCCAGACCTTGACGATGCGGCCTCCGGCGCTGATGAGGCGGTGTTGCGAGTCAAAGGCCAGGGAGACGACACCCTCCATGTCGTCGTGGCGCAGGTTGGCCGAGACGTCGACTTCGCGGCGGACCAAGTCGACGATGCGCAGGGAACCGTCGCCGACGCCGCAAACGACCTTTTTTCCGAGGCCCATTTCCGAGGGAAGACAGACGACGGCGTCGATGCTCTCGCCGCCGCCCCTGGCGCCGTCGACAATGATACGCTCCTGCTGGTCGTCCCAGGCGCCCTTGTCCCAGAGGGTGAGGACGCCGGAGCCGGAGCCGACGGCGACGACGCCGTTGCTGCGGTTGCGCTTAGGACCCATGCCGGGCACGAAGCAGGCGCTCAGCAGCTCGTCCTCCTGGTCCTCGCTGCGAACGAGGACGCCGCGGCGGACGTCGGTGACGGCGAGGGTGGTGCCGCCGGTGCTGACCCACTGCTTGGGGAAGCCGCTCGTGCTCTCGTCCGAGGGCGGCAGGGGCGTCATGGAGGAGACGTAGTCGGCGTGGGGGAAGTGCGTCTGCGCGGGCCGCGAGCCGGGGGAAGCGCCGCCGTCGCGCAGGTCCCAGGTGTGCAGGGCGCCCGAGTCGGTGGCGAGCAGCAGGCTCTGTGGGTTGAGGATGTGAAGCAGTGTCGGGGCGTCGGGTACCGTCGTGGTGCTGGGGATGGTCGTCTTGGAGACGACCTGGCCGGTCATGGCGTCAAAGTGCTTGATGAGGGCGTCGGTCCCGGCAGAGTACATTGCTGCGCGCGTGTCAGGCAACAACTCCCCAACCATCCTCCCCGAGCCCGGCGTCAGTGCCTGCACACCCGTCCGGAGAGTAGGTGTAGATGTAGGAACAATAGGAGAGGAGGGGGGGAGAACGCGGTTGTCTAGTGGGAATGGATGCGCCTCATGCAAAATGTCCGCCCATTTTTTACCCACCTTTGCCATCGTGGCCATAGGCCAAGCACCTGCAGCTCCCCTTGTGCCTCCTCGTCTTCCAGACGGTATCGACCATGGCCTTGCCATCGCTGCTCAGCACGCTCGTGTCGCCGTCGGCGCTCGCGTCCGAGGAGAGGCCGGCGGGCAGGCGAAATGTCTCGACATGGCCGCTCGACAACCCGACGGTCAGCAGGGGCTCCGTGGGGTGCAGGGCGGTCGCGAAGACGTCTGCCTGCAGCGGCAACGTGCAGAGGTTCTCGAACATGGGGAGCGGGATTGAAGGTGAAGATGGGCTTTTTTCTTCTTCAACGAGGCTTGTTTTTCTCCGTCATCTCTATTTCGTGCTGCCGTATACGGTCTAGGGGTATTATAGAAAATAGAAGTGGGGGGGGGGGCCCCTAGGTCACTGGCCCCACAAGTACGTAACTAATTACTTCCAGGCACACTTTCAGGCGTACGGTAAATTATTGGTAGAATGAATAGTAGTAATTATATAAAAGCTATTATGGTTTCATAGCGAGACTCAACGGTTTCCCAGTAGGCTATTATAGCTGTCAGCAGCTTTAACGAGTCTATTATGTGCTAATTGGCCACTGTCATAGTAAGAAGAAGTCAACGAAGACTCAACAAGGATGTGACATTCGTGATGTAGCCATCTGTAATTAATAACAACGCGGCTTGTTGGGACTTCTACGGTATCGATTGCTACTAAAGTCATTCGTTGCAAAATCCTCCATTTCAGGCAAGTCATGCTCTTTCGGCCACTTGCTGCATGCGGGATTTCTTTCTATAAGAATGAATACTGCTTCCCTTCAACTCAGGCACGTGCTGTTCGTTGCTTCCACTGGCTCGTTTCCTCTCCTTTCCGTCCCGCCATGTCTTATCCAACAATCCCATTCGACCGACTGCGACCTATCGCACGGCACAACCCCCCTTTCGCCAACACTGCTGTTTACATCCGAGTCCATCTTGGAGGCACCTACTTGATACGACGACAATCCTTTCAAGAGCAGGTCTACCACGACCTGGTTGTCATGGCGCCTTGCGTAGTCGAGAGGAGTCAAGCCCTCGCCATCTGTCACGTCCAAGCTCGCGGATGGATTCCGAGGCGTCGGCCTCGGCGGCGCAGTGCATCGCAGTGCCATACCAGTTCTCCACGTACGGGTCGGCGCCTCGCTGCACCAGCAGTCTGAGAACGTCGACGTGGCCAGCCGAGGCGGCGAGGATGAGCGCCGTGGAACCTATTATCTTTGTCGCCTTGTCGACATCGCAAACGCCGTTTTCGACAAGTTCGGCGCATGTTCTCTCCAGGCCAAAAAAGCTAGCCAAGCGTAGAGGCGTCACGCTCAAGCACTCTTCAGCGTCGTAGTACTCCTTTCGAAAACCGCTCTGATATCTTTGTACCTGATGCGCGCAAGTTGACGCCTGCCTGTTGGAGAGAAACTCCATGATGCGAGGCCGGACACCGGCAGCGCGCTCAAGTTCGCGCGCATGCGACCCCCAGTGCTGGGAAGCGTAACGAAGAAACGGATGGCACATGATCCAAGACTCGATGCCAGCTTCGTCTTGGCAGGGGCATTGTGCGAACTCGTCGAACGACAAGTACGTCAGGCAGGTCAATGCAATATCTGTCTCTGCATGGGGGAACAGTCTCGCAGCATTGTCCATGAGGTACTCCTGTATGGCATGGTGGGCAAGTCGAAGCTCCGTCGTCTTTGGGTCCACCGTTGCCAGGCCCTGGCAGCAGTCAAGTATCATGCTGGCCGAGGGTCGATACCTGGCACTCATCGCACCTTGCCCCTCCCTCACAGACAGCGCATCGCCAAGCTCGGCCATCATCAAGACCTGCTTCGAGTGGCATATCCACATCAGGACTCTCATGCCGAGCCGAGCTCGACTCGCTGGTAGTCTTTGGACGCGGGAAATTGTATCCTCGAAGGCCCCCGGGAGGCTTCCGGAGAGAGACCCAAGTGCCTCTTCCATGTCGCCTAACGTAGGCTCGTTGAGAACAGCCCGCAGCTGAAGAACAGGGAGGAGAAAACTCACACGCATTTGTCAGCTTTCGCATGAAGCAGCGCGTACATGGCCTTGCCTAGCGATGGCATACTTTCCATGGGCACTGCTGATAAGAGTTCTCATGGCCTTGGTGGCAAAGTCTTTGTCGAAGACATTGTGAGCATCTCCCTGGTTGAGTTTTTGGATCATGTAAGCTTGCAGGTCGTCTTCGTGAGCCTCGATCCCAATCTGCGGATGCATATTGAACGCCGCGTCGATATCGTGAATATGTAGGCGGCTAGTCACGAAGAAGCGAATAGTATGGATACGCTTGAGGCAACTCAGCACCTCCAGTAACGGCACGCGATTTCTCGGGTCATGGCACTCGTCTAGTGCGTCGAGCACTATGTAAATGCGTGGCACAGTCTTGGCCGCCTCCGTCATCAGCCATTGGCTTCATGCAGAGTCAGAGAGCGGCTGGTCGCCTGAGCGCGCCGGTGGAGTTCGGCCAGCGGCGCTGGAACCTCTGGCATGGCCTGGACCATCTGCCTGACGATGCACGATAAAACTGTCGGTGGTGTCTGGGACTCGCCGTCTCGATAGTCGAAGTAGAAAAAACAGACTGGGGTCGTGGGGGTTGCACTAGACATCATGAGGGCATCGACTACCACGGAGCTTTAAGAGGTCAGCGTCTCCCATCTGAAATCAACTCGAAGGCAGCGGCAAGCTCACGCAAGAACGGTTTTCCCGGATCCTGGAAAGCCATGACACCAGAGGAGGTTGGATGAGGAAGGGTCGTCACGCCACCGGATGAACTCGAGCGGTCGCAACAGCCAACCGCCCGTGCTCTGTGTGTGGGATTCACTGGCTTGCCGATGCTTGATATCGTATCTTATTGTAGAGACCCAGTCAAGGATCTGAGCTCGCTTCTCCGCGTTGCGGTCGTGGACGCGAGACTCGACCTGGCCCTGAACGGCATTCTGGAGTTCTGCAGTCGCCCTCTGAAGGCTCTGCAAGGCGCTGAACTGGCGCAGTTGCTGGCCGAATCTCTTCAAGACGTCGTCTGCGGTCCGAGACAAGAGCGCGCATCCGTTGATGGATAGTGCGAATTGCGGCCATAGCGTGGGTCTTTGCAGCTCCTGCAGCGTTTCGTCGAACTCCTTGTCCTTCAGCGGCCACAGCAAACGATTGATTCCGCCACGGCCATGTTGGCCAAGTTGGTCGCAAAGAGCTTCCAACCTGACTTTGCATGCCGACGAGCAGGTTACAAGAACAGAGGAAGCGGAGAATTCCAGGTTGTGACTCTTGAGGGCATCACTTCTCAGAAAGTCATGTAGGGTCTGGAGGTTCCGTCGCAGCGCTTCGAGCTCAGTCGTCAGGAGCGAGATTCTCTGCTTGGCTTTGCTTGATCCGTCCCAGTATTGCTTGGCCACTCGGATTGCAGTGGCAATCAGCGGCAGGATGCCAACGATGCCCAGACAAGGAATGAGGGTCCATCTCGGGGGCAGTGGATGCGAGGGCATTGGCGAGACGAGACGCCTTGGGGCGGGGTCAGGCGACAGGCAGCATGGTAGTGGTAGTGGTAGCCGCCCCCAACCAGAACTGCAGGCTGATTTGACCGGTGGCAGATGGCCCTGCGCTGTGAGTTTCGGTGCCTCCCCTTTGAACAATCCAGTAATTAGGGCTATGTCGTACCAGGAATGTTATATTACTATACTGTACATATACAGTCTGTACTCTAGGTCCGTGGGATGGGAACAGCTCCCAAAGCGGCAACCCGTCCTCCACAAAAGACACCCCGTCCTCCAAGACCGGAGGCACATTTGCTGTGAACCTGCGCTTTTGTCGTAAAAATATATTAACATACATACGTCTTTATTTTGTTAACGTCTTATTAGCTCTAATCCTTGTCTCGTGGCCGTGATCCCCCATTGCACCTCTACTATATTGTATAGTGTAAGTAATAACTCGTCGTCTTTTCCGGTCAACTCGTCGTCTTATTAACCTCGTTGGCCCTCCTCAATCTCGCTCTTCGCCGCCACAACAGGATTCCTGCTGCCGAGACGAGCGAGACGCCGGCCAAGCTCCCGACACCGCCAAGGAGAGCCGTGGCGCCCGCGGGGATCACGCTGCCCGTGGGCGCCAGGGGAGCGGCACTGCTTGCCGTGGGCACCAGGGGAGCGGCACTGCTCGCCGTGGCCACCGCCGATGAAGCGGCAGAAGCCTGCCCCGGCACCGTCACCGTGACTGTCGGTTGCGCCAGCGTGGTGGTCGCCACGGCAGTTGGTGGGGGGCTTCTGGAGCCGCCGACACTGAGCTCCTCCGTGTCAGCCACGCCGCGTTTGTTCTTGAACTTCTTGCAATGGCGGGCTGCCTACCTAGCGGTCGTCTGCAGCGTGGTTGCGAAGGTCGGTGATTGTGGCCTGGGCGTCCTGGTGGGTGTCTCTGGCCGTACTTCCTTGGGGGGTGCCGGGGGTGTTTTCGGACGCCTCGGGCTCGACGAAGAGGACGGCGTGACAGGCGCTTTGCGTATCGGTGATCGTATCGGTGATCGTATCGGTGATGGTATCGGTGATGTCAACCTGGCTGGTGTCCTTGGCCGTGGCGATGACAGGTCGAGCGGCGGTGGCCGGCCTGCTCGTTTCGAGCCGACGCGCATAGTGTACAGGACCGTTCGAATGGATACTTGTTGTGTCGGGATATGCAGACTGGAGGAGAGGAAGTGAACAAAGTCGACCTCGGCGAGGTTGATACGTCTAGGGGTTTGGAGTTTGTGGTCAAGCCGGCCGGCCCCCTGTAAGCCGTCCACGGCCCCCCACATGCGTCGCAGTCAAGCCGAGACAAGCTCTGGTCGGCTCAGTTATAAACCTACAACAAGGTCAAGCCGGCCATCCCTTTGGCTCCCTTCGGCTGCGGTAAGGGAGCCCAGCCTAGAGGTCACGGCCCCGTTATAGTCAGAGTTGCGCGTAATGTAACCAGGTATTAGCAACGCTGACAGGACCTCTAGTGTAGTAAGTTCTCCTAGCAATTCAAGTACCGGCCATGGCGAGGCGCTCTTATTACTGGTCGAAATCCCTGTACATATTCCGTAGCTCTATACCTGAGCTCCCTTGATACCGCAGCCCAAGCTTGGGGTATACGAAGGCATACTCGGCTTGTCCATGCTCTCAAGGGCATCGATAAGACCACAAGGCCAAAGGGTCGAATCAGGGCAGTGCGGTGACGCAGCCGCAAGTTGTAACCACGACGTTTAAAACTCCACCTTCGATAAGGGAGCACAGACGCGTCACCCGAAACATCCTGGAAGACACCAAATCAAATCTAAATATATCTGCGCGTTTCAATGTGACTGATCGTGCCCAATTGAGACGTCAAGGGGAAATTCCCCTTGCCTCCCCTTCAATGATTCGACAAGCCTTGCAGGTCCGCCTTGCCAGAATCACCGCTAGCCCTTTTCCACCCACTCGCCTCGGGCATAACAGCGGCCCAGACACGGGGTGAGCCGAAAAGCGCCCCCCTCCTTTACACCAAACTCTCTCATAAAATAGGTGCAAGGTGGGCTTTTTTTGGTTGCCGCATGCCAGAGATATCACATGCGTGGTGTTTAATGGACGAGCCGTCAACTCACCTGCTTAGCCAAAGATGATAGACAGGGCATCAAGCCCAATTACCAGGCCGGGGGAGCGGACGCACCACTCTCGGCCTATATCCCGCAGATTCACGACCCTCGAGGGGTGGCGGCAGACGCGGGACGGCCTCTACCTCGCTGCAGGCTCAACTATATCCAGTCTCATCCCCAACCCGAGCTATGATGCCGAGTGGCAGATCCATGACGATGGACCCGTACAGACAAGGCTCTCCGTGTCGTCTCGCGGCTCGAGCTTCACGTCCGGCACCCTTCTCTACGGCCAAGGCGGGCGGCAGCGTTGGAGCACCATGGACGAGCATGATCCTCCTGTTGGGCCTCTGGGGACGCAGGACGAGGATCCGTTTGCCGACAGCAACGCTCTCGAGCCGCATGGGGAGAAAGGGCCGATCCCGGTGGAGGAGACTGAGAAGCCGTTCCACGTCTTCACCAGGAGGCAGAAATGGTTTGCCATCGCCACCATTGGCGTCGCCGGCCTCTTCTCCGGCCTCTCCTCCAACATCTATTTCCCGGCGTTGGGCTCCATCGCCCAGGTAGGCCAGCGTCCTCCATGCATGGCGGCAGGGCAGAGCATTGACAGGAAGCAACCGATGCCAGGATCTACACGTCAGCCTCAGCGCCGTCTCCTTGACCATCACGTCGTACCTCGTCATCCAGGGAATATCGCCGCTCATATGGGGCTCCCTCTCCGATACCCTAGGCCGTCGCCCAATCTACATCTACTCCTTCTCCGTCTACATTATAGCCAACGTCGTCCTCAGCTTCTCGCCCAACTTCGCTGTGCTCCTGGTTTTCAGGGGGCTGCAGGCTGCGGGAAGTGCGTCCACTGTCAGCATTGGTGCGTATCATGGCTTGCAGTCTACCGATTTCTATGCTCGACTGCTAATTACGTGGCTTGTTGTCTCAAGGCAACGGCGTTATCCAAGATATCGCCCTTCCGGTTGAACGAGGTGCTTTCATCAGCTTCTACCAAGCGAGTAGGTAATCCGCCCTTGGATTTCCGCAGCGGTGCATTGACAAGCGAAACCCTAGTTCGCAACTTCAGTATAGCCATCGGACCTGTACTTGGCGGACTTTTCGACAACTTCTTTGGATTTCGGTAAATGGATTCTTGCATCCCTCCGATAGCTTTGGACAACGCTGATGTGAGACAGATCAATATTCGTCTTCCTCCTAATAGCGTCCAGCCTTGTTCTCATCGTCATCGTCTTATTCCTTCCCGAGACCCTGCGCACCATCGCAGGTGACGGCAGTCTAAGACTGTCCGGAATCCATCGGCCCCTGATCCAGCGATATGTGAAAGAGCCCGTATATGTGCAAGATCCGGACGGCAGGCCGCCACGCCCTCGGGTGACCGTTGGGACCTTTCTCAGGCCGCTTAAGCTCCTGACGGAGAAAGACATCCTCGTTAGCCTAATCTTCGGCGGCGTCGTCTACGCCGTCTGGAGCATGGTAGTGGCAAGCACAACGGGACTATTCAAGGAGCGATTCAATCTCAGCGAACTACTTCTTGGACTCGCCTTCTTGCCAAACGGTGTGTACATGCATCCTTGGAGCTCTTCCCCCCGTGGGGGGAGCCATTGCCGGCACGCTAACACAAGCGTGCAGGCGCTGGCACGATTGTCGGCTCAGCAATCGCCGGGAAGCTCATGACGCTTGAGTTCTTGAAGTCAGAAGAGGTCTACATGAAGAAGAACCCCGGGGCGGCGTTGCCGTCCCAAAACAAAAAGAACCTCCCCCTAGATTTTCCAATCGAACACGCACGACTCCGGCACGTGCCGTGGATCACGGCTCTATTCGTGCTTTCCACCGCAATCTACGGCTTCACTTTGCTGCCTGCGGACCAGGTACTCCTGACTTCCAGGCCAGGGTGGATTGCCGTCCCTCTTCTCCTGCAGTTCATCATCGCCGCGACTTCCAACGCCGTGTTTGCCATCAACACGGCACTGGTGGCGGATCTCTGCCCGGGCCAGGGCGCCAGTGCCACGGCCGTCAACAACCTCGTCCGCTGCAGCCTGGGGGCGTTGGGCGTCGCATCGGTGGATGCCATGCTCGCTGCTTTTGGGCCCGCCGCAACCTTTCTGAGCCTGGGCCTCGTCTCGGTCGCCATGGGAGTGCTGCTGGCCGCGGAGTGGTCGTGGGGCATGCAGTGGAGGGGCAGCCGGGAACGTGCCACGGAAGCTCAGGCGAACGGAGCATGGGCGGGTAGTTCATGATCCGGTGGGGGGGGGCATTCGTTTACTTCGCAAGCCGTGCGCCTGGATCCTGCTTGCGAGGCCGGCTAGCAATGTTTCATGGGCCCTGGATTGGAGAGGACGGCTGACAACATGAAGTATATAGACTACAGTACACAGGCCTTGATAGCTGAAGAAAGTGCTATACTTAATTAGAAATAGACTTGATTTGGAAACCCCTAAATATTTTGTACTCGGCCTAAAATCCCCGTGACAGATCCACCATTTAGGCCCCCCTAGTAGGCACAATGGCACAGTGGATTTCTCTTTCTGTGGGGTATGATGCTCATAGCGCAGTATCATATTGTGTCTTTGGGTTGCGTCCAAGTGCCCACTTTCCGCTCGCCATGTACCTCCCGTCAAAGCGAGACGGGTTAATGGTTCTTTTCTTTCCAGGGACTCGCTCTCTCGTCTCAAGACGCAGCCGTGGCTTGGTCTCTATCCCGTCTCAGACTTTACTAGGTGAACCCCTGTTGCCTGGCCTCGGTCTGGTGATGGCGGACCGCAACACCCGGACCAATTCCTGAGGTTTATATGAATGGGCAAGCAAGCCTGTTTTGGAACTGAATACCATGTAAATTCCATCATTTTTGCCCTGCGGCTGGCTATTCGCAACTTGCCTGGACACGTCTCAAGTTCCTCCCGAGTCCTCGACGCGTCTACCTCGCCTCTACCATGCTTACACGGACCGCCCAGAGCCACTCGGTGCTTCTTGCGGTGCTATGCATGCTCAGCGCACCTCTTATCGCTGCCGGTGAGGATGCCCTGGCAACATTCGGGGACACTGTCCCCGTTCTCGGGCAGGTTCGCAGACATCGACTGTTGTCCCCCATGCCCTGTGGCCGCTGACAGCGTCAGATGGAACGGACGGATCAAGACTTTGTCGACGGCCTTGCTCTCGATCTCTTCTCGCCGGTCAACCGCACACTAGTTGTGACCAACAACACGTCGCCGCTCCCGGGAAATTTTGTCACAGGTAGCTCCGGCGAAGGCTTTGTCAACCTCTCCAAGTATAGCTGGATTGTCAAGTTCAACGAAAGCGCCCAAGACCTCATTGCCAAGATCGAGGTGCCGTACGATCCATCTGCCCTCAAGGAACAAGGGATAGACGTATCGAACACTTATGTCGGAACGCTCGCCGCAGACGGCAAGTCGTGGATGGTGTCAGAAGCTCAGAGAAACGTACACATGTATGGCATTCGATCAGAGGGTCCCTTACACATATTCCGGGTCTTTCGCTAACGACAGGGCAGATCCGAGAACAAGACCCGGATCATCAAGATGACTTCGCTCGACGGAGAATATATGCTCCTAGGCCGCAAGTCGGAAGACACGACGAACATCTTTGTGCAATACGGACAAGGTGCCACTCGAACCGTCAACGCCACCGAGGGCGATAGGTTCCAGGAAGCCGAATTCGTAGACGGGCTGCGCTTCAAAATCAAGTCGGCACAGTCCTTTCCGATGAATGTGGATCTTGCAAATGGGGTGGACAAAGCGTCGCTACCAGAGAACACGATATCGCTAAGTATGGGCTTGTGCCACGCGCTTGAGTGTGACGCATTGAATATTCAAGCCTGACATGCGAGTCCATAGATTCATTCGCGTGGGTCGTCAACTCGACGAATCCGGCCGGCAATACCCTTGATGTGGCCATGCGATTCCCATGTAAGCATTGACCAGCGCGGCCTGACTGACACTTGCAGAGTTCTGACAAAAGCAGACAATGAAGCCATACTATCAAGCAAAGCTCCAGGAAGCACGCCCAAGCAACTCGATGTCGCAAGACGGCGACTAAACCCAGACCCAACGGAACAATTTCAAGTAGTGGGCAAGCAAGAGCTCGCTCAATCAGAGAACCGAATCAAGGTATCTGACTTATCCCAAGCAGACGGACAATATGTCATCTTGGTCAGAAGTAACAAGTAGTAACTCGGGATGGCATTGGGCAGACGATGAGAATCATCCTTTAGTGTCGGCATTGGTTTCCTGTTGTTGACGTAGGCGTCCTAGACGATACCGTACAAGAGTGAATCCGAGTCTAAACCGTCCGCCGAGCTGGATATGCGTCGCCGAATCCGCTGAGTGACTTGATGCCAGAGTCTCAACTGCTTGGCAAACGACTGAATTTCAGTCACTTGGTCAATACTTGCAAGCGAGCGTCAAGTTACTGGCCACTCAAATCGTCCCTCGTCCCTCAAAAGCCTGTATTAAAGGGGACAGAGGACCGTCGAGGAACCATGGACGGAATAAAGCCCAACCAGAATCTCTTCTTTCCGTCGTCAACAACGGCGTCTGCCCTACCTTTAGGCTTCTGGCACCATGGCCGTACGCCATGCATTTCTTCGTTCCAGTCATGGGGGGGGGGGGCATAACCATCCGATCCTGCGTGGAGCCAGAAGGGCGGCCATCCTCGCGGTATGGCCCAAGGACAGGCGGCGCGTTTCGGATGGCCATGCAGCTCGGCTACGCCCGGTACTCGGACGACGCGCGACGGCAGCTTCAAGCCCACGAGTATGAGCTTCTTGTCCATGGCGGCACCTTGCGTGTTTTGCGGGAAACAGCTCCATTGTCGAGAGTGGCTGCCTCTACCCTGTCCCGTCGCATAACACGGCGCTGAGCTTCCAGGCTCTCACGCCTCGCGCCGTCTTTGGGCGGGTCTCGACGATGGCGGCAATGGGAGGGAGGCGTTGAGGGCGGAACTGCACAGCCTCTGCGGCTTCGACAACCAACTCAAGCTCTGCGTGTTGGCGCTCGTCTTGAGCCGCCAGGGCTGGAGCATCATCGAGAGTTCGAGACGGAGAACACCATCGGCGTCTTCATTCAGCTGCCGCTCGACGTACTCTGCGTGCTTCGGTTCACCAAGGATTAGGTGCATTCGGGCATGGCAGGCCCCAGCAGACCTTGATGAGAAACGTGCCTTTCCAGGGCATAGGGGATGCGGAATAGAGTCTTTGATGAAGCAAGGTCACGTTGGTCGCAGGACTCGCAGCAGGTGAGTGCAGATGGCAGGTGTCCGCGGTACCGCCAAGGGCACCTTCCCGTGCCCCGCCATTTTTGTAGTCCACGCTCCGTGCAAACCAGCTCTCTCCACCGCCCATCGAACCACGGCGGACACATCCTGACGCCCATTTGGATTCCGCCTCGCTCCCTCCTAGCCTTTCGGTGTAATTTCCACGGCTCCAGCATTGAATCCCGGACAATCGATCACGCGTCATGCTGCACTTCAACGTCGGCACCGTCTGCGTATGGCTGCTGCTCGCAACGACTGCCATGGCATCGTCGGCGCTCCGGTGCATCATGTATCTCACGGGGTCAGTCGCAGACTTCAGCCCATGCATGACACGCCCAAGTGCCATGTTCTCACCTCAAGCTTCTCGCAGGCAGCACCACGTCGTGCCCTCCGATCCCGGTCTCACTGCGGATATTACGCACGTCGTTCTCGCCTTCATGCCGTCGACCACCTTCAACGTAGACGAATCGCCCGCCGCCTTTCCTCTTTTCACCTCCGTTGACGAGACTCGCCGCCGGCTCCAGCCAGGCACCAAGGTCATGGTGGCCATTGGGGGCTGGGGGGACTCGCAAGGCTTCGAAGACGCAGCCCGCACCAGCCAGTCGAGGAAGCGCTGGTCTCGGCAGGTTCGCGCCATGGTGGATCAGACGGGCGCTGACGGCGTCGACATCGACTGGGAGTATCCAGGGTAAGCCCTTGATGGGTCGTTTCCGCCTTTCAACCTGACACAGAGGCCAACTGAAGCTGTCAGAGGAAACCGTGACGACTACCGCCTCGTGCCTAATCGTGAGCGAGAGTGGGAAATTGAGGCCTTTGGCCTTCTGCTCCAAGACCTCCGTGCCGCCATTGGTCCCGCAAAGACATTGTCCATCGCTGTCCCGGGCTTGGAGCGTGACTTGATGGCATTCACCGCCTCGACGCTGCCGCGCATCGTGGACCAAGTCGACTTCATCAACGTTATGACCTATGACATGATGAATCGACGGGACGAGACAGTTTCCCACCATAGCGGAGTTTCAGGATCCCGCGACGCCCTCGATCGTTATGCGAAGAGAGGAGTACCCTCGCGCATGTTAAACCTGGGGTTGGGTTACTATGTCAAGTGGTTCATGACCCAAGATTGCGACCCGAAGCAACCTCTCGGATGCCCGACTCAGCTGCTCGAGGACCCAAAGACAGGGGCCGACTTGGGCAAGGCTGCCGCATTTAGCTGGCACGACGAGACGCCCAAAGACCTCGTGTCGTCCTTTACTCGGGCTCAGGCAGAAGGAAGGTATTTTGAGGACGGCAGCTATGGGTATTGGGACAGCGAGGAGAGGCGATGGTGGTCTTTTGACACGCCGCACGTCATGGAGCAGAAGCTGGCTGAGATCGTGGGCCCTCGGAATCTTGGAGGCGTATTCGCCTGGGGCCTCGGCGAGGACGCACCCAGATTCAAGCACTTGGCGGCTACCCTCGAAGGCGTGCGAGCAGAGACTCGGCGCAGGGCCATGCACAATTCATCCAGGGACGAGTTGTGAGGGGCGGCATGTCCAATCGCGGCTAAATTATCGCATCCCTCACCAAGCCGCTCAAGTCCGGTAGCAACATTGGCGCCTGCGTGGCAACTGATCCGATATGGGGATCCCATGGCCGCGAGCAGTCGGTGATTCGCTAAGGGACGAGTAGCATCGCCGGGGATGCTTGCTAGCGTGGCTTTTGCTGCCGGGAGTGGATGTGTTTCTCGGGTTTATTTAGTCACGTCCGTCTCAAAGGACTAACCCAGTTGTGTGATTCACCATTGAGTCTTTGCAAGGCGACGATCTCAACACCAAGAGCACTGTTAATGCCGCAGCTTGCCGCGGGCCGAGATGCAATTCCGGCTCAATCGGCTGCCCGGCATGCATAGGCAAGGACTTGCTGAGCCGCGTCTCCATGGCGTCGCTCAAGCTCGCGAATCAACCTGGCAGTCCGACCACGCATCTGTCGGAGTCCACGTGGGCGGCCACATTTTCTGGTCAAGACCGTACGCTGTGAGCTACGGGTTCAAGATGCAGGCTCACCCGCATGCCTGTGCATGTGCCTGTGCGCCAAGTGGTTCGAGCACAATTCGAGTCGACGTCCATTCGACCTCGGCCAATCACTTTGACTGAAGACGGAGCCACGTCCGACGGCAGTGCCACCGACCGGCCTCAGCCCTGGCCGCAGTCATGTGCAATTAACACACATCACTTCAGCCTTGGCAGGCAAAGCCGCATAGAAGCCGGGAGGCTGGCCCATGCATCCTGGAGCTTCCTGCAGTGCCTTTCCAGGTCCAGCATGGCCGGAAACGGCATCGCCCGTCGTCGGCGGGTGTGCCGACACCCATACATAAGAGAGCCTTGGGCTGCCAGTCTATCCTGGCGAGACACGTACGATCTGTCGTCGCTGCTTTCGCCCTCGGACCATCATCTAGTTCCATTCGCAAGGTGTGCGCCTCGGCGACCTAGATTGCCTGTTGGGATTGTTGGCCAAGCGGGCGTCCTCTTGACTGTCGAAACCACGCGCCGCCTCACCAGCCCACAGTCATCTCGAGCAGGATACAGCTCAAGATGCGGTCCTCAACATCCTCCCTGATCGCTTTCCTCGCTGCAACCGGCGGCTTGTCGTACCCGTCCCAACCCAACCCGATCAACCCGATCAGGCAGATTAAGCAGATCCAGCTGGGTCCGCGCCCCTACTTCCTGGTCGACAAGATGAGCGACGGGCCGCTCAAGACGGACCTCTTGTCGTGCCAGGATCTGGATATGAAGCCATCGACCTGGTCCATTGGGCATCGCGGAGGGGCCCCGCTCCAGTTTCCCGAACATTCCAGGGAGTCGAATCTGGCGGGAGCTCGCATGGGTGCCGGGACACTCGAGTGTGATGTTGCCTTTACCAAAGACCTCGAGCTGGTCTGCCGCCACAGTCAGTGCGACCTGCATACGACGACAAACATTGTGACGGTGCCGGAACTCAACTCCAAGTGCACGCAGCCCTTCCGACCGGCGGCTGACGGCAAGCCCGCCTCGGCCAACTGCTGCACCAGCGACATCACGCTTGCCGAGTTCAAGACGCTCTGCGCCAAGATGGACGGCTTCAACGCCAGCGCCACCAACGCCGAGGACTACCTCAAGGGCACTCCCAGCTGGCGCACCGACCTGTATGCCAAGTGCGGCACCGTCATGGAGCACTCGGAGCACATTGCCTTGGTGGAAGCGCTGGGCTTGCGACACAGCCCGGAGCTCAAGCAGCCCATGGTACCGATGCCCTTTCAGGGCGAATACACAAAAGAGATGTACGCTCAGCAACTTATCGACAACTACAAGAAGGCCGGCGTTCCGGCATCGCGCGTCCTGGCCCAGACCTTTGAGTACGACGTTGCCTTGTATTGGCTCAAGTTGGACCCCGACTTTGGCCGCAATACTATACTTCTCGATGAGTCGGGCGACACGCCAGAGACGTATGACGGGGCCGTCGCTAACCTCACCGAATATGCCGAGGCCGGCGTGCAAATCGTGGCTCCGCCACTTTACTACCTGGTCGAAAGTCAGAATGGCTCCATTGTCCCCAGCAAGTACGCAAAGCGAGCCAAAGAGCTGGGGCTCAATATTATCACTTGGAGCTTGGAGCGGTCCGGCCCGCTGGCCGGCGTGCACGCCAACGGCGACTACTTTTACACTTCGATCAAGGACATTGTCACCGGGGACGGCGACCTGTATGAGCTTGTTGACGTGCTGTACAAGCAGGTCGGCGTCGTGGGCATGTTTTCCGACTGGTCCGCCACCACCACATTCTATGCCACCTGCTTCCGAGTTGGGGTTCAATGAGGATGAGTTTGGAGGGGGCGAGAAGAGAAGAGACGGAAGCGAGATTTCCGAGAGACCGGAACGAACGGATTAACCAAAGAAGGGGAGACGAACGGGCCACGACGTGATTTGTTTTGATAGCGAGATGTTGTCGAGGGTCAACGTCTCGGAGAGGAGGCCCGACCATTTGCATGGACTGAAGCCGCCAAGCTCTGGTTGCCGGTGGAAGGCAAGGCTCGACTTGAAGTTGGCAGTACATGTAGAGGCTCAGCATATAGCGAGAGATGCTTCGTGGTGATTTCGAAAAGAAACCAAAAATGGATGATGTTTGTTGCGGGACCACTGGAGACTGTTGCGGCCAAGAAGAGCTCGGGCGCGTTGCAGCGACATTTTCTCCGCGTGGGGTCGGTCCGTTCTTGAGCCGCCGGCGTCTACCTGGGTTGAAGTGCGCAGTCTGCCGGCCCGGAGGGTACCGGGATTCGGCCCCACCGGGCGGGGAGGTCGGCCGACTACGGAGCCGTTTGAAAAAACCCCCTGCATAGTCCCCGCAAGGTTGCAGAGGATGCGGAGAAGTAGTATTTGTTGAGTAATGTCGACAGCAACAGGGATTGTGGCAATACTTGTTGTAAAGGTTGAGCTATTTACATCTTGCAGATGTGTGTACGTACATATACACAGCATGCATTGGAATTTGCCGGAGCTGGAGACGTGTCGGCTACATGACCCGCGCCAGACTCATATGCACATGTATTGCAGATGCTGGCTTGTCCCGTCTGGTACAAATTAGCTGTTACTTGATCTCGTTCCGGGGTGCGAGATGGAAACATTGGTCCAACACGCGTCGAGCTGGGCAGAAGGCGGCAAATGCCCACGCAGTCAGAAGCCGCCGTCGTACTCCCCTTGGCTATAATGAACATGTATTGTATGTACTGTACATAGATACAGTACGAAGCGAGTGTCCAAGCCTTGAACCTTTTCCCAGCGGTTTTGCTCCACTTGCGAGTCGAATCCTGCGCCCCCGGGTGCAGGTATGCATCACACCTTGCTCGTCATCCCTCTTTTCGAGCATCTCATTTCTGCTCCGGCAGGGTGGCTGAGTTCGGGAATGATATCTGGTCGGTGGAGGCAAAGACGACCGAGGCAGGTGTTGAGTCTCTCGGTTGGCGCCGAATACGGCGATACCCTTTCACCTCCCTATACGGAATCATAAGGCCGGACTCAATCGAGGTCATGTGCCGTACTGTCAGGCTGGTAAAATACGTACCGCTACACCAGGCAAAATAGGGGGACCCCCGGTGGAGGTGTTATTTACGCGTATTATAAGTCTCTCCTTATTTTGACACATCCCTTTGGTTGATGGCTGAACTCGTTTGGCCAGAACGCTCTCCCTTGTGAGCCCCGTAGGAACTCTGCGGTAATTCCCTCTGAGGTTCAAGAGGCACAGGCTAACCCCTTGACACGTTTTGTTGCGGGCTGCCAGATACCTTCCAGGTCACTCAACAGTTGGCATGGTCAGAAGTGTTCGACAGCGCGGGCTCAGGAATGTAATAGGCTTCTGTACTATAAGTGTATTCCAGGAGCTCATACTCTGTACATGGTTTCATTCTGCCAAATCTAAAGCCGGAAATTACTTTGAGATCTTGGCAGACACAAGTATACAGGAGGTTAATTCGTCGACCGATCAAGAAGTGAATACATGTCAGGCTCCATACACATACGGTATGCACATGCTATGGGAACATGCGATACTGTCGACATTGCCCGTACCCCCAGAAATCAAAGAGCGGTGCGCAAAGTAGAAAAATCTCGTGCCCGGGGTTGAACTCTGGGCTCCAGACAGAGCGCCCATATATATATATATATATATATGCGTACAGGTCTCTTTCATGTGTTTTCCACGACATGAAGTATCCACACGCACACATGTAATGCCGCTTTCCTAGGTATCATCATTGCTCTACAAGACAATCATAGCACAGGCATACGCCCTCGACACCTGCTCGATGCCTCTTTTCCTCTTCGCCCTGCTGGGACTACAGCTCAGCGCTTGGTCGGAGGCGGCGACAGGACATGAGCCTGCGCTCGAGCTTGTCCGCAAGCTTGAACTTGGGACTGGCAACATCAGCTGGTAAGTGGTTTGGTGGGCTCGTCGATGAGCTTCGGCTGGAGATGTGGTCCGACGAGCGGCAGCAATGGATGCAATTTCACCCAAGACTCACTTTGGTTGTGCTGCATGTAGGTTCGGCTACCGAGATGCAAAGTCAGGCCCGACGCCGTCGGGGAGCGAGTCGTGCGACGTCCAAGAGCTCATTCGCTGCACCCGGGACGAGTCCGACGAGGCGCAGGCAACGGCATGGGGCTGCTGGTGGCTCGCGGCCAACATGGAGACGCTCAAAGAGCCCGTCGCCAAGGGAGTGCGGTCCATCTGCGGCTCCAAGGACAAGCATCCCGACTGCTGCATCAGCTGGCCGGGCGAGCTCCCCAAGGCCACAACCGCCGAGCTGCAACAGGGCGTCGTGGACATTTCGAAAGGGTGTCTGCCCGACGGCCCGGAGGACACGGATCCCCTGCTGGCCTTTGACGAGCGGAACCTTGCCATGAGAGGCTTCGTCGCCCACCGCAAGCTCGACTCGTCCGTCTGCACCCCGCTGTGCCTGTCGAGCAGGCCGGGGCTGTGCTCCAGGGAACTAGACGTCGAGCTCGAAGGCTCGCCAGCATCGAAGCCGCCGGCAAGGGGTGCGGCTCAGGGGGGGGAGAGGGCAAAGCCGGAGACGGTGGGTGGAGCGGTGTCGTGAGCGTGGCAGGTGGGATTCCAGATGGCAATGTCTCGGCTCTCGACAGATTTCATTCACGCTCTGGGCATCGACTCTATGCTATGGCATACAGCGTCACTCCAGACACGGCACAGAGGCAGGCCGGGTTGCATGTACATACACACGCATACTTATATGACGGCACTGACTCTCGGCGACCCGCAGGCACAGCACACAGACGCCCGAGCACTGCCGGGCCCTTAGTCGTCGCGACCCCAGCGTTGGGATGGCCGATAGCGCGAGTCTAAGTATATTCTAAGCTAAAAGGCGCCCTCTGAGCGTTTGCAGCCGGGTGGAGAGCGGAATAGGGGAATAGGGGGTGGCTCCGGCCCCTTTCCGGCCGGCGGTCCTATCACGGCGCGCCCATTACAAAGTCGCCAGCTTTGCTGCCGTGCACTCACGGCACATATGCCCAACCCCATACTATATGCATTTGATTTCTCCTGGCCAGGACCCGGTTCCCCCGCGCGGGGGGCCGTCCAATCACGGTGCGGCCTGGCGGGCGCGCGATAGTCGGAAAGATGGGAATGCTTTCCGCAGCCATGAATCAGCCAGCATGAGTTGCGCCCGCCGGCATGAAACGCCTCGTTTCGCCACGTCCATTCGGGAGCAGTACGTGCATGTAGGCCCCGGGCCGTCTCGTCGTCGAGCATCAGACTTGCGAGCCGTGGCGGAAGGAAGGATAGGGAGGTGCGGTTCGTTCACACTTTCACAGAAGCAGGCTTGCTCGACGGCTTTGGTTTTGATTCAAGCTGCGGCTAGTCAGGACCGATATCCATCTTGTCTGTCCCGGTTGCCTCGGCCGCTGCCGGGATCCCTCACATGGTCGCCTGCAGTCCAATCTGCCTCGACAGGGTCGTCGGCCGACTGGGCCCTCTCAGCTTGGCCGGCAACATATTAAAGCGGCGCCCGCGTCCATGAAATGTAATCTCAGAGCAGTCGTCTCCCGCCCTCCCCCGTCTCGCCGATCGTCCCCACACAGGGGCTTCCATGACAGAGCGGAGCCAACCCCAGGAGACTAAAACGAGAGGCCTGTTCGCTCCGGGGTGAAACCCAGCCAGGTGTCCTTGAGACGACTGAATCCCCAGTATTTCCGCAGATTCCGGCGACAACTGGCATCGTCTTTATTCAAAGCTTCTGCTTCATCTCACCATCCGCAGTGCTGCCTGCCTCCTTAGTCTGGCGCTTGTTGTCTTACAAGAGTAAAGGACGAGCCCATGCAAAGACAAAAGCGGCGCCTTCATTTCCTTTTCGTCCTCTCCTTCTTCTCCACTTAGCGTCCTCGACCGTCTATTGTTTTTCTCGTCTTGATTCCCTATTCGCTGTGCGAATTACGGAAAGCCCAGATGGACAGTGATGGCGGCGTTCCTCCACCAGGGACGGTGCAGTTGCTTGAAGGCAAGTCCACGGCCTGTCGAGCTCTCGGGTTCAAAATCACGTCACCAACAGCAAGCTGACGGTGTGTGTGAAGGTCACGGAGCCGGAAAAGATGGCAAAGTTGTCTTGGCGCCTGCCCCTTCCGATGATCCAAACGATCCCCTGGTGAGTCCCCGCGGCCCCATGAAGACTCAAGACTCGTCCCAGCACAGCGGCGGGGAGTCGGAGTCGAGCTGGCTGCAAACCGTGTCGCTGATTCTCAATGCCAGAGATGGCCCATGTGGCGCAAGTGCTTGAACTTTGGGCTGCTCGTCGCCCAGACGACGGCCCTCTTCACAGGGTAAGCCGGAGGAGCCCCCTGAAGACAGTGCGAGGCAGGCAAGACGAGAGAGAGCCACGGGGCTGACACGGCATCCTTAGCCTGTCCATTCCGACAATCTTCTGGCCCCAGATGCTCAAGGAGCTGCCCCAGTTTAAGCAGCAAGACCTCGCAAACGCGGCGGCCGTCCAGCTGGTCGGACTCGCCGTCGGCTGCATCGTCTTCATCCCCTTTTCCAAAAAGTACGGCAGGCGCCTGGTGTACATCCTCGTCATGGCCATCGCCGCCATTGGGGCCTGGTGGCTTGCCTTGATGAAGACAATGGCGGACCTGTACCTGTCCAACTTGCTCATCGGCATCGCGGGAGCCGTCAACCAGACAGCCATTGCCATGAGCGTATGTCGGGCCACTTCCCATCTCCCCTACTGTCTGAACGCGCTTTGCTGATGCTTTGGCATATCAGATCAACGACATCTTCTTCATCCACCAGCGCGGCACCGCCAACGGCGCCTTCTTCGGCGCCATCATGGCCGGGTCCTTCCTCACCCCCATGGCAGCAGGCATCCAGGGCATCACGAGCGGATGGAGAGCGTCGTTTGCGTCGCTTGCCACGTCCATGTCCATCCTTACCGTCGTCTTCATCGTTGCCTTGGAGGAGACCAAGTTTGTCCCCGCCGTCCGCCAGACGAGTCTCGACGACCAGGACAGCATGTACAGGATGGACTCTGCCGAGTCGGATCTCAAGGCCCTCGCGGCCGTGACGGAGCTGGAACGCGGCTCGCAGGACGACCCGATGAGCCAGCCGCCAAGCAAGCCATCCTTCCTGCGAGGCGCGCGGCTGCAGCTCATCACCAAGACGGACGAGTCGCTGTGGAAGGTATTCTACTTTCCCATCTACTCGTGGTGGTTCCCCCACGTCGTCTTCTCCTGGCTGCAGCTGGGGTCGAGCATCTGCTGGCTCGTCGTCATGGCCTCGGTCCTCACCATCGTCTTCTCGGAGCCGCCCTACAGCTTTGACGCCGCGGGGCTCGGCTACATGACCGGCGGACAGGCCGTCGGCTCCGTCTTCGGCGCCATATATGGCGGCTACTGCGTCGACAAGACCATCATCTGGAGGGCCAAGCGCAACGGCGGCTGGTTCGAGCCCGAGATGCGGCTCTGGCTGTACCCCTTTCCCGCCATCGCCATGGCCGCCGGCCTGGTGATTTTCGGCGTGTCTGCTGATCGCGTAAGTCGACGCCGTGGTATACTTGACGCGGCATGTGCTGATATTCCCGCCATCGTCTAGGGCATGCACTGGATCGTCCCCAGCGTCGGCGGTGCCCTGTTTGCCTTTTCGTTTGGCGCAATCTCGGATATCTCGACGGCTCTGGTGCTTGATTCATTTCCAAACGTGAGTCGTGCATGGCCCCTGAAACCGTGGTCCCCCTCCGGCGCTCTACTCTGCACTGGTGTGATTGAGCAGACGAGACTGGACCCAAGTTGACGCCTGGCAGATTGTCTCGCAAACCTTTGTGACCATCACCTTTTTCCGCAACGCCATCAGCATGTCGGGCCCCTTTTCGGTCACGCCGTGGCTCGAACGCATGAGCGTCTCCAACGTGTTCATCGTGGCCGCCATCATCAGCCTCGCCATCAATGCCTTGGCCATACCGCTGGCCATATGGGGCAAGAAGGCGAGGAGATCCGTCGCGTCTCGGTACGAGTACCTGTCGAACCAGAGCGAGTGATGCAGGCACCTGGGCCCTCTCTTTGATGCCAAGGAGATGAGAGCCTGGGCCATCGTGCCGCGAGCTTGTCGAGCGAGAACTGGGACTGGCGCCCAGCCGCTTCGCAGAGCTAGCTGCACGTCTAGACGGCAATAAAAGGGACACGAACACGGGTTGCATCTGTCGTTAGGTAGAGAGCGTCTTTTCCTTTTAGCCCATGCCATTTTATAGATTGGCCAAATAGTCGCTCCAGGCGAGTTGAGCCAGTACGTGTGTCCATGCTTGTCTTGAGGTCCGAAGAGCGCTTGCACTTGTAGCATATAACGTTATAGATTATCGAACGATATATATGCAGGCCGACTGCGGTCCCAAGTTGACGAGACTGCTGCTTCGTCAGTTGCCCTCCTTATCGAGTAAGGCTTTTTCTTACATTTAGTTAAAAGTAGAAGATTTAGAGCCATACGCCAACTGGCATCTGCAGTGGACTTGGTTGAGTTGAGAATATTTGGAGGCGACGCAAATCATGTTTTAGCAGACACATAAGCTACAATTATTCGTGTCTCTGTCACATACGGCCATACCTGTGAGGAAGCACCCGCTCTCGTCTGCTCGCGGTTAGTTAAGCTCGCAAGGGGCAGATTAGTAGTTGAATCGGTGACGGTCAGCGAATACCGGCTGCTGTATGTTTTTTTTTAGTGGAGATGGCGTGGATCGCTGTTTTGTTCTCAACCCCACTGTCTTTCTACTAATTACTGCAGGTCGGGGCCTGTCTCTTGTAGCTGCTGGGGCATGAGGAATGGACAAGCATACTCAAACTATAATAGAAAGATGATTGTAGCCCTATTAAGCGCATCTAAAGATAGCGTGTTAGCCGCCTGACTCGAGGCAGTGAACATGCTGAAAATATATCAAATATCCTACAACTTAGCCTCAAGTGAAGGAATATATATAGAGTCTTACTATTTGCACAGACATATTTCTCTATTTATATAGAATTTCTTAAATTCCTCTCTTTTAATTAGTGGCCAGATCCGCTTAGTAATTAGTACTCGACCTTATATATTTTTTGAGTCTCTCAAAAGTCGCGATCTTGCACGTCGCACTCACCTCGCGCGGGGGATAAACCCCCACAGTAGGGCCCCTCCCCTACTGGCTCGGGTGCTCGGGTGCGCTTGTTCGTAATCGAGGCCTTCTTAGTAGGTACCTAGGTAAGGCAGGCAGCTAGGGGAAGTATAGGCAGTACCTTAAAGTGACTTTAAGGTACTTTAAGTTTAGGTGCTCTATATAACTCTATGTAAATAGAGAATTTTATCTATGCAAATAATAGTAAGACTCTATAGATGTACCTCTTTTCCTAATCGACTAATACCTAAGAAGCAGTTACGGGTGTAGAGCCTAATTATCGCTCTGCTTAACGAGATGCTCCGGCTATTGAATGCCCTTTGCCCTAAAAGAATGATTGTTGAGAACCGGCAGTCTCAGTCTTTGCTTCGAGAACGGCCCGTTGTTGGACGGTAGGCTTTTGGCCTGTGGTAGAGTTTAATCCGGGGTTTTCTGCTCTATTTATCGCAACAAGGTCGGTTGTCAAAAAAACACGCAACTGTCGGAGAAGCGGGATAGTCCGAATCTTGCTCAAGCATAAAGTACAGTAGAAACTCACCAGCGTGAGACGCTCTTGGCGATCGCCAACGGCGCGGAGGCCTGATAGGAGAAGGCGTAGAGGGACAGGTCGAGCTGAAAAATCCACTTATGGGTCCCCCTGCTGCCAGGGCTGTCTGGATTTGGTGAGTTCTTGCGATAAAGCTAGCTGCGAGCACTAAACACAAGTTTGTTGCGGCATGTCGTTCGATATACTCTGCCGAGCTGGCGATCCCTGAGCCATCGATTCAATCTGCCGTGTTCGAGGCTTTATGGCTAAGATCAAAGGCATCACGATTATGCCCACCAGTCTACCAGCGCTTCATTCTACGAGCCGGTGAGGATCCCAGACCTAGTTAGTGGCTCCGCTGCAGTATGGGGGGAAGATATCTCCCGGCTGCCTTTCGTCTCTGTCTATCCGTAGATCCATGCTTATAGAGTAGAGGCCCTCAGCCTCGGGGGTTTCACTAGGAAGGGTATTACTATGAAGAGACTTGAAGGACTAGATTATATTATCGCCCCGTTTATCTGGTAGACCCCTTACACTGGTGATGCGATATGTTAGAAATGGGGGGGGACTTATAGCCCAAACCGCTTAAAAGGGCAAAGTTAGTAACTTGGCTAGGCAGAGAGTACTTAAGCGGTTCTACGAATATTCGAGCATACCGACTATCAGAAATGGCTTACGGAGTAGGCACAGCCAAGCTCCAGCCGTGTATTGGTATCATATCTTAGCAAGCATGCTTACCCTTGCTCCGAATTTCTCTCGGAAAACAGGGTTCGGCGTTGGATTAATCACTAGTGGTTTCAGTTCGACATCACCGCCGGTCTACTCCACCACGTGTAGTGCAGGCGTGATAATTACGCATCGATCATTCGGGCGGGCTTAGCAATCGACAATAGCGGGCACATCCACTGACGGAATATACGAGCTGAGTTCTTACGGTACATCCTCCATGGCTAAAGCGGCAAGCCACGTGTGCCCGCTTCGCAGACCGGATACCAGATGGAATCCTATACACACGGTCCAATGCAGCATTATATGCTGTGGACGGACAAGAAAGGAGACGAGGAAAAGACCAACAAGCAATCGCTAGCATTTGTAGGCACACTGGTAATTCTCGATAACGTTTGATCTCTTTGCGCTCGACCGAGCTGTCTCTCGTCGCATTGTTAAGCAGCTATTATCCACAATGCGATCGACAATAACATTCGCCCAGTCGACAAGCCTATTCTCGTCCCGCTATATACCCCGAGAAGACTTTCATGGGGCTCTAATAAGTCACATCGATAGACTTGAATTATATTAGAAAGAGTACCGGCTTGCCTCAACGGGCTCAGTCGACCTACTTAAACAGTTAGAACCAAAATAAAGTCTACTATCGTATGGCACGAATAGCATCGTTGCCGGCGACATCATTCCGCTATACGCAGCAGATACTATGGCGCTCTATCCACAGGGCAGTCGGGTGGATGACTTTGTCTCTGTAGGTAGTCAGGCATGCACCGTGGATAACCCTCCTGGTGCTCGCAGCTGGCAGCAATGTTGACTGCAAAAGCGACAGCGAGTGCATTTAACGACAAAGGTATGAACTGGCCTTGCGTTTCATGACGCTTTCGAGCCTAATCCCCGTGTGACGACTGATTGGAGAAGAAGTCCCGATACGGCATCGTAGCATACCACCAACTTGTATATCCTGTGGAGACGGCGAGGGCATGGACTTTGGCATACCGGGCTGACGTCCTCGGCGTGTACAAGTATATGTATTGAGCCGTTGGCAATTCAAGAGTCGGATCCCAAGCATCAGGATGGTTATCTATATATGAAGGGGTGTTGATTGGAAGCCCCTACAAAATTGGCAAAGTCAAAGTCTATAGGCAAAGCATTCACGCGTGACCCATTGAATACGGCGCTTCTCCTCATCCACGGACAACACATGGTCCATGCACAGCCAGCATGTCCCTCTCTCCCTTTGCCCATCCCAGACAACTCCATAGCAGAAAAAAAAGACGCTCATTCCAAAAACGTAAAGAGGTGCGTGTGCAGCACGTTCATGGCCCTCGTCGCGTCCCGCGCGTCTATCACGCACGAAATATTAATCTCGCTCGCCCCTGCACAAGCCCACGTTAGCTCCCCACAAACACCACCCAGTGCGTGCCTCCAAGCCTCTGCTTACCTTGGGAAATCATCTCGAGGTTAATGTTGTGCTCGCCGAGCGTCGAAAACATGCGGCCGGCCACGCCAATCATGTTCTTCATGTCGGAGCCGACGAGGCTCAGGATGGCCATGTGGGTGAGGACGCTAACGTCGCCGCACTCGGCCAGGCTGTGCTTGGCCTTTGCAAAGGCGTCCATCTGGGTGCTGCCCGAGTGGATGGCCATGGAGACGTGGACCTCGCTGGTGGAGATGAGGTCGACCGAGATGGAGTGCTTGTCGAGGATGGAGAAGATGCGGGCAAAGAAGCCGTGCGAGATGGACCGCTTGTTGGAGTGCACGTTGATAACGCTGATATGGTCCTTAATGGTGACGGCCGTCGGGCGCTTGGGCGTCTTGAGGGGCTGCGGTTCCGTCGACGGGCGCGAGCGGTGGAGCTGGTGGCCCGCCGACAGGCCAGGGTCAGGGATAACAATGGTGCCGTTGCCGCGCGGGTTCTTTACGTTCTTGATGCGGATGGGGATCGGGGGCTGGGCGCGGATGACCTGGTCCATGGTGAGGTGGTGGATGACCTCGGAGCCGTAAAAGGTCAGCTCGGCCGCCTCCGAGGGCGTGATAGACGGTAGCAGCCTCGCCGTGGGGACCTTGGACGGATCTGCCGTAAAGATGCCGTCGACCTCCTTCCAGATCTGGAGCTCCTCGGCGCCGAGGCCGACGGCGCACAGGGCGGCGCACAGGTCGGTGTAACCGCGGCCAATGTCGCCGTCGATGAGGCTGCCGGGGAGGTTGCCGAAGAACCCCGTCACCACGGGGACGCGGCTCTCGCAGGCCGAGATCTTGCGCGTAAACGCCGCAGCGGCCGCCTTGTAGAAGCCGGCGTCGAGCTGGGCGGCGGCGTCGCAGTGCAGGGCGTCGCACAGGTCGACGTATTCGGCGTCAACACCCTGAGCCGGCAGACGAGGGTTTCAGTCACGCCTCGTGGGGGGGACACAACGCGCAAGAAGGGTAATATCAGGAAACACGTACCGCATCCTGTAGAAGGGTCGTCATGAAGAGGCAGGCGAGCTTCTCGCCAAAGCTGATGACGCGGTCCTTGGAGCGGGAGTTGATTTCGAGGTTGAAGCGCTTGGCGGCAAAGATGTACTCGATGAGCTCCTGGCACTCGGCCTCGATGTTGCGCGACAACAGCTCCTTGAGGGCGGGATCGCGGACATAGTGCTCTGCGGCGAGGACGTGGTCGGCGCAGACGTCGGTGATGAGGCCCCTGGCCTGCTCAATGAGGGCCTCGGGGTCCTCGTCGAAGCTGGCGGCGTAGGCGGGGCCGACATTTTTGAGCTTGTTGAAGACGCCCAGCAATCTGCGCGGATGAGGCGTGAGATGAAGCACCGCGGTTGACTTTGGGTGAGTTTGACTGACCGGCTAGTGGTGCCCTCTGCCTTTTTCCCCGTGCTCCTGGCTGAGCAGACGACGACGACGCGATGCCGCGACAGGCTCGCTCTGGGTGACGGACGCGTCAGCCAACGATGGGTCCGGCGTTTAGAGTTGGAACAGCTTACTTTACAATATCTTGGGCAATCTAAGGTCGGATGGATGAAGAATCAGCACGCGCGGGTTGTGCGGCAGAATGAGTCAGTCATCATACCTTGTCTGGAAACTTGCCGACGCTCGTGCCGCCAAACTTCTGGACCACCCAGCCCAGGCTGGACGAGTTGTCGAACGTCGAGCTCCCCATTGCTTGCCGAGCCAACGATGGCTCTCGTGCCGCGGCGCAAGCGACTTGCCGCCCTCCCCCGATGTCGGCCGCGTGGATGACTGCTGTGGATGGATGACTGAGTATGCCTACTGACTGGGAAGACTGAACCGCCGGGGGAATGACCGAGAAGACTCGACGATTTCTCCAGTGATGTTGCCCAGGGTCGATGCCCAACAGAGGCGGTTGCGTGAGAGTTCCGGTCGTCAGCGAGCGGCTGGGTGAGAAAAGTCCTTCTCTCGACCTGTCCAGTAGCAGCAGCCGCGAGGCGAGTGGGACTTTGCGCAGCTCGGAGGGTCCGATGAGAACGGACCGACGAGGCCACTTTTTCCTTCCTCTTTTGCTTAACCTCTAGTCTGCTCTGTGCACTTGAGCATGGAAAGGAATAGCGTACAATTCCGTAAAAAGAAGGAAAGCTACTCGACGGGATAGAAAACAGAGGAATGCGTCTAGGTAGAAAAGGAGGCAAAGAAAGGGTTAGTGGGCCTATTATCAGGCGCCTGAATTGGTGATTAGGTGCCTACCTAGTATTGCTACAGCGGCAGCATACGATGCCTACCTACCCTGGACCATGGACCGAGGCGGCACAGAAATGCACATTGGGTCTGTCTTGTACGGCGCCTTGCACGAGAATTGGACAACACAACCAGTGCTTTGGTTTCTTCTTCAATTTACTCAAGTCTTCTATAAGGTCCACCTGGCGTGCGTGCGCATCGGCAACAGAGTTGGACGTGCTCCTTGCCTTGGCGCATTTTGCAAAAATCGCTGTGTTTGTGTACATGTGCTGACGTCACACTCGGGTACGTATCCTTCGCGCAACGCTTACCTGAGCACATCACCTCCATCCCCAGCTGCTGCTTCAACGACGACCTGCAACCTGCACTCTTGCACCGACACAAACATCACACCAGAAGCATGCCTCTTGCATGGACACACTGCACGTGCCTTCATGTCAACGTTAATTCAATCGCCCCTCTTGCGCCTATCCGCTGCAGCATCTTGGCCGCCAGCACCGACAGGCTCATAAAAGCAGCGCCTCGCCTCTCCTGTCCATCCTCGACGAAATAGCCGGCCTGCGATGCAGATCAACCAGCAGCACCAAGAGCCAACCAGTACATGCCGTCAGAATACAAGGTCTTCTCATGCCATCCTCTCTCACCCCTCTCCACCAAGATCCCGTCCGCCCATTACTTGCTTGCCAAGGAAGCGCAGCCAAGCTTCACACCTCTCTCTGATCCAACCCCTCTCTCCTCTGCTTCCAATCAAAGCCATCATGTCTTCGTCCCGGTCGTCCCGTGATTAGTCCGCTTCGCTCCGCCGTCTGTGTGCGTGCGCGCGTCGTTGCGTGTGTACAGCATTGGGTATTAAAGCCACCCTGGTCGAACCCCCAAACGCCCTCGATCCCGCATGCAACCGGCCGTTGTCAACCCCCAGCCGTGCGCCGTTGCCATTTTCACCGCCGGATAAGAAATCTTCAGTCAAAACGCCCGGCTCATGCCCTGGCCAGCTCGGCCCCGCCAACCATGCCCATGCTGTCCGCCCCCGTAAAGGCAAACTTGTCCATGGGGAATTCGTCCTCTGGCGTCCGGATCCCGATCCCGCTGTCGTCGTGGGGGTCGCCCCCGCCCATGCCCATCGGAGCCTGCGTGCTACCGGGCGGCGGGAACGGGGCGCGCCCTGGCTGGGTCTGAGACATGCCGGATAGGTTCACGTCCTCGCTGCTGCTGCTGCTGCTATTGCCGCTGCTGCATCGCGAGTCGTGCCGGCTGGCCTCCCTGCCGGCCTCCTCGGGCTTGGGCCCGGCGCTCGGGCTTGGTTGTCGCGCCCTTTGCCGCGCGAAGCCGCCCTGCTCGGCCAGGAATCGCACCATCTCGTCCATCCACGTCTTCGTCACCCACCACGAGCCGAAGCTCTTGCCTTGGGCCAGCGTGAGATCCCGCATCACTGCCGTCCCGATGCGCTCCACGCACCACATAATGTCCGTGTGGGACGCGTACGGGAACTTGTCGGGCAGACTCTGCAGGAAACCCACCCACCGGTCCAGCACGTTCTTGCCCGACCCGTCGCCCCCGTCGTGCTCGTCTCCCTGTCGACCGTTTCGCGATGCCACGTCTCCGTAGATGGTCAGGCACTCCACCTCCCACGGCACGTTGACGGGGTCCAGGAGGTCGCGCATCTCCATGACCAAGACCTTGACCACGTCGTCCATCCCGCGCGTCGGCACACATTCCGCCACCTTGCGGGCTCGGATCATGGTGATCCAGTCCACGTACATCTGGTCCCTGTTCGCCGGGTTCGAAAGCATGTTGGCTGCCGCATGCGCTGTGAGGTTGACGCGGAGCGCCCGATCCAGCAGCCCGGCAAATATGGCCGCCGGGGCTTCCTTGGCCGAAATGACATGCTGCGGCTGGCCCTGAAATGATTCGCGGATATGTGGCACCAGCCTCTCCGAAATGTTGCGAAGCGTGTCGAGCACCTGCTTGGGTACCACCTGCAGCGTCAGGCTGGCAATGATGCTCATCATCCGCTGATACAAAGCATAGTCGCAACCCTCGATCCACGGCGCCAGGGCCGCGTTCCCAAACAGCTTCTGCACCGGCATGGTGAGGGTGCCCTGAAAGGAAGTGTAGAGATGGAAGAATGTCTTTTCCCGGCAATACCTCATACATTCGACGAGCGACGTGCAGTGTGATCGGTAGAGGGCCGACAAGGACTTGGCGGCGTCGGGATCTGTCCCGTGGGGGAGATATGCCTCGATGGGAGGGAGCGCCAACTGGTCCGACTGCTGGACGATGGATTCGCTTGGCGACGGAAAAGCCAAGAGCCGGTGTGTCTTGGTAGAGGTGGAGTGCACATTCTCGATGCTCGCTAGGTCGGGATGATTGTACACGCTGTGGGAGAGGCCAGTCACCCTGGGCTCGTCGTCGCTCTTCTCTTGGACCTGGCCCACGTCCGGAGGGGAGGGCCGTGGCCCGTGATTCGTGACCCCGTTGGATTGCGACGGTGCGCTGCTAGACTGCCGTTAGCATAGAGGCCCGTCAGAGTTGCGAGACGGGTGACTATACGCACTTGAAGCTTTGAGAGGGCCCCTTGGCCTCAGGAAGGGGGCGTGGTATTTGTGGTTGAGCCTCTCTCAGATCAGGCATGTCCTCGGCGAGGGCAAAGTTGACGTAATGGTATTTGGACTCTCCACGAACACCCAGGCGGCGGGTTTTGAGTCCGGGGAAAAGCACGCGTACCAGCTTCCCGAAGCTGGCGGGATTCAGGACCGTGATGCGCTCTGTTGCACATCGGGACGCGTAGTTGGCGTACACTCGGCCTCGAGGCACGGAGCCCTTTCCCTTGGTGCAAACCGAATTGATCCTGGCAGAGGCAGAGTCAGCACGTACGGCCACTGAGGCTTCGGCAGCAACACGGCACGTACCAGAGCATGGCAAAGACCTGGCGGGTGCGTTCCGAGTTTGGGCCTCGCTCGTTGCCGTGGAGCTCACCCGCCACGTCCTGGAGGTTGCGATGGCGGTTGGCGCTGAAGAGCTGTCGCATCTCCAGCTCGTTGTTTGCGCTTGATCTCGAGGCGGCAGGGCGAGGGGCGCCGAGGTGGCCGACCATGGAGTCGCCATCCTCGTTATCGTCACGATCCAACATCTGGCTGTCGCTCTCGGCGAAGCTCGCGTTGCCGGCGTATTGTTCGGTGGGGAGCGGATGCCTAGCCATGGGATGCTGCTGCTGCTGCTGCTGCTGCTGGTATGGCATATGGGCATGGGCCATGGAAGCCGCAGCCATTGGGCCGTCCATGGGAAAGTCGGGGTTGGCGGACTGCATGTGCGAGGTGGCATGCAGGATGATGTCCTCGGGGGTCATGTGGGGAGGCTTTGCGTGGGCATGGTCCGAGGTGATCCATTGCCCGGCGTACATGTCGGCGAAGCCAGCGTGGTCCATGGTGGCGCTGTGGACGGAGGTCGTGGAAGCGCGGGACTGCGGCCGCTGCCTCGACTTGGCTGCGGCGGCTGCGGCGGCTGCAGTGGCGGCAGTACCTCTTGCAGCTGGGATATCTGGCGAGCCGAGGAGAGAAAAAGAAAGGCGAGGTTAGACGACAGTCGCAAGCAGGACGCATGTGCAGTCCAAGCATTTGATGCGACGGTGGTGCGGGAGGTTTTGCGCAAAAGACGTACCTTGGTCCATGTTGTTGACGAACTGGCGGGCTACCGAACAACAAACATTGGCCGGACTAAGGACGTCACGGGTGGGGATGAGTAGAGGGAAAATAAGAGAGACACGGGACGGAAGCAAGCTCAAGGTCGGCGGTGCAGGTCCGGCGCAACGGCTCTCATCAAGCGCGCGCTTGCTTGCTGTGCAGAGCTGGCTGGACTTGTTGTTGTCGTTGTGTTTTCCTGTTGCGAGGCCAACGGACGAGTGGAGGTGGGAGGAGAAAAGCAACAAGAGGGGAGATACAGCAGAGAGGCCAGCTGACTGGGTACGTACCGCACTGGGCCTAGCTGTGACGAAGCAGAAATAAACCAAAACAACAGCAGAAGCAGCTTGTTTGGGTTAGGTAAGGTTAGGTAAGGTGATTTGACTATGATTTCCGCTCATGTGCAGCATCAGGTACCACTACCTTGGTCCCACGGCACCAGCTGCCCCGAATGGGCCACGATGCATCGTAGAGGTACATGCAGACACAAACAAGGCTGACCAGCAGCCGACAACAGCATATCTGAGGTTATTAGGCATTAATTAGGACGGCATGCTCGCGGAATGCTGCACCACAGGCGGCTGATGATCGTTTACCATCCACCCAGCATGAGACGCCTCTACGTTCCGCACACAGCTGCCCGCTCTCCTTGTTGTGACGATGGACCATGGCTGGAAGGCGGAGTCGGGATCAATCATTTGCTTGATGGCGATGCGCCCAACTGCCTCGAGAAACACTCTGCAACTTTCATCTGCCTATGGAGTACCGGTATGGGCGTGTCTATGACCCTAGACGGCTGATGGTTAAAGACGGGGCGTCCCGGACTTTGGGACTGTTCCTGCAGCAGCTTCTGGTGGCTGAGCAGCACCGCACTCAAAGCTGCAGCAAGAAGCAGAAATCACCACAAGCCATTGGCGGGCAGCCTGACCAAGCAGCCGAGGCCATTGATGGCGACAGGCAAGCTGGTCCCTAGGTCAGTAAAGCAAGGCACTCCGGTCCAGCATGATGATGGACGGCTGAGATGTTGTACCACGCTTGAGAAACACCCTTGCCGTGACGCTGGCTGAATTGTGGTGCACTGCCCGGAGCAAAGTACTCCGTATCCAAGGTTCCAAGCCCCATCACACCATGCCTTACCCGCTTGCCGGAACCCTCGGCCATCTGCCCGCGGAATACCCGGCTGGCCCCATCCGCTAAAAGCCAAGGTACTGCGGCCTGCTACTGGCCAGCAGGGGAACCATGAGCCGTAGCAGGCCCCCTATCTGCCCCGCCTCTTCCTTTTCCGCCGTGTCTCAGCTCGACCAGATCTCAGCCCGATCGATCCTGGAACATACCACGTCAGTCTCTTGCGACCTCTTTGTCCATCCCACATCTCCCCGTCCTCGCCAGCTTTGCGACTCGACCGCCTCGCACCACTGGCATTTGACCCATCTTCGCCCTCTGCCCCATCATCCGCATCTTACTTGCAAGCTCCCCCGCGCCCCTTCCCCGCGTCAAGCCAGAGGCTCAACATTGCTACCCACATCCGAGCTTCCGCACGCCCTTCAACATGTCGTCCGCCCAGGAAAAGGCCCAGAACTACCTCAGCTCCTTGGACAAAGAGGTTTGCCTGTCCGATGACGACTAGTGTCCATGCCATTGACATTTCCTCTAGCTGTCCAAGTATCCGACGCTCAACAACCTCGAGAAGTCGGTCGGCGTCCCCAAGGCATATGCCGTCATCGGCCTCGGCGCCCTCTACTTCTTCCTCATCATCTTCAATCTCGGTGGCCAGCTCTTGACCAATTTCGCTGGCTTCGTTCTCCCCGGCTACTACTCGCTCAATGCGCTCTTCACCACCAACAAGGACGATGACACGCAGTGGTTGACTGTGCGTCCCGCCCAACTCCCCGCCACGATGAGCGCAAGCTGACACCGCAGCAGTACTGGGTTGTCTTTTCCTTCTTCACTGTCCTCGAGAGCTTCTTCAACATCGTCTACTGGTTCCCCTTTTACTTTGTCTTCAAGTTCATCTTCCTCCTGTGGTTGTCGCTGCCCATGTTCCGGTACGTCTCCAAAGGTCGGGCTGCAATGCAGGCTTGGCGCGTGCTAACTAGGCCTCAGTGGCGCCGACATCATCTTCAACTCCTTCATGGTCCCCACGCTCGGCCGATACTTCCAGACTGGCTCCACCTCGTCGGGTCTGCGCTCCAAGACCAGCGGCGCCGACAAGGCCGAGTAGGCCGGCCTCGGCACTGCTCTCGCCGTGCCCCTTGAGCATCGCAGTCGCAATTACGTCGCGCAATTGTGCGATGGTGGTGCTGATGATGGCACCAAGGCCACGAATCGCTCTTTGGCGTCCACGTGCGGGTTCACAAACAGGGTGAAACTCGTGGCGCACGCAACAAGGGCTATATCGGCGTGACTTGTGGAAGAGATTCTGGGAAAGATGACTGATGTGTGTGACGATGAAGAGGTTTTGGTTGGGCAATCTGTTATTCGGGGCTCGAACGGCGCGATGCGGCTTCCAATCCCTTCCGAGTAATGGGGTTACCGGAGACAGAATGGTGGCTTTGGGACTTGTGTTGTACATTACCTTAGCTGCCACGGGGTATGTCAGACTGAATGATTGACCTCGACGTTATGCACGCATCTCAACTTGCGAGCGTGGCTGTGTGACCAGGGCAGCGTTTGCGATTTTGTCGAGATTCTCGGGACACGTGGGCACGTGAGTTGCTCTGCTGCGTGACACACAAGATTTGTGTCTTGGAGATACGTCGGGTCCAAGAGCCAGCTCATTCCTAGCCAGCCAAGCACAGCTGAGCCAATCACACCATTGCGTAGCTATATTTGCACTATAATAATGATCAAAGCATGGGCACGAAGAAAAAGACGTCTCTTTGGGCGTGCAGATGCGAGGAGTGCTCTAATTACACTATATCCGTACGTAGATGAGGCTAGGGACAAGTGGCGGTGTACTCGAATACAGTGCCTTGCAGCTACTGCGCCACGTCTCACCACAGCGGATACGTATCCGTACCCTCGTCGGAGCAAGATTATCAGTCTGCTGCAACTCTGAAACATCAACCCGGCGTCTCCTCGATCCAGACTGCGGAGGAAACTCTTGCGTTCCGTACGAGCAGCTCATCTCTCCTCCATCACGCCTGCTGCCCGTCGTCTCCAATCATGGTGGCACGTCTCACACTGACAGAACATCATCACGGATAGACCGCTCGTCGACTTCGCCATCCCGCCCGAGCCAGCGGCTGCGCCGGCGCTCCCCGCGAAGCCAGGCGATTGGGAAACACTCGGGACCGAATCCGCCCTCAGCATGCTGCCGAACCCCCCGCAGTATCGGCTTGCGGCGTCGCTGCTGCTTCTGGTTCCGTCCTCGCTGCTCCTCCCTCCGAGTGTCGCACTGGCTGCGGAGTCGCCCTTCGACTCTTTCGGCTCGCAAGCTGCCGCTCATGAATTCAGCAACTTGCTCACCGAGGCGTCGTACAAGTCCGAGTTTGACCTGTTTGGCCATGACGTCTTTAGACGTGCGCCTCCCGGTGTGGCGCCCCTCGAGAATAATAAGGTCACGGCGCTCAACCTCCAGCCCGGCTCAACCGCCTGTTACGTGCTCGAGAGAAGCGCCATTTTCGGCAACGAGGCCAATAGCCCATCCCAACCTTCCGACGCGTCCCCCAAACTCGTCCATATATCCGCAAACACCTGCTTGCAGCCCGCCAACAATGGGTCGGACGGCAACGGATCGAGCGCCCCGCAGCTGATACTCTCCGTCTCAAACTCCAGCCAAACCGCATGCCAGACGCCTACGCAGAACCCAAGCGAAAACGGGGGTAAGATCTTCAGGGAGGGCGCCGTCATGTTCGGCTCAAACGCGACCGGCGACGTCTTTATCGGCATCACGGCGCCCAACGTCTCGTCGAGCTTCCAGGGAGTGTACAACTTTGAGTTGGCTGTCTCGCTCGACGATTACATGCATCGGTTCGAAAACAGACAAGGTGCCCAGCTCTTGTGGATGGACAGCGACTCAACCTCTGCCCTGCTCGTCACCAGGAACCTAACGGAAAACAAGGAAGACATTCGACGCGTCATGGGTGAGGGGCTGCCGTACGACCTCTACGTCAGCAACAAGGAGGCACCGGCCATTTATGGCCTGACGCACTCTGTTTGTGGATTGCAGAACATGGCCCAGATCAAGGTGGGCCGTATGAAAAACAGCGTACAGAACGGCCCTGTCGCGACCGGAATGACGCTCAGGGGGCCGGGCAGCTTTCCAAAGCAGCAGTTTCACTTTGTCGACCTCAACGCAAGTTCATCCTACGTCGGAATACTTGTCAAAAAGTCGAACATGACGGGCCTTGGAAAGAGACAAGAAGAGGGGAATCCTGCAACTGGAAGCACCGTCTTTCAGGCAACCGAATTCCAGACTGTGTCCGGTAGGTGACAGCAAAGGCGGCGCGCAGTCCTACGCTTCATGTGCAAAGTAAGCAGCTGACTCTTGACAGGAACAAACTGCAAAATCGTGACGGACCTCGAGTTCTGTAACGAGATCCAGTATGCGGTGCCGGGCAACGAGCAAAAGTTTAACAACACGGCGCTAGCGAAGACATACGACGACTACGCCAAAGCCATGTATGCAAACTTTGAAAAGGCCATGATGCAGATACCGTGCGAGGCGCCCAAGACGGCTCAGTACTCGCTGTCAAGGAACTGCGATGACTGCAAGGTGGCCTACAAGAGGTGGCTCTGCACGGTGAGCATGCCGCGGTGCGAGGATTTTGGCAGCAGCAACGAGCTGGCCCTCGAACGCAATGCCAGACAGGCCTTTCCCAACGGCACACAACTGCCGGATGACGTGAAGGCTAGGCTGGAGGCGAAGCCGTACTCGCTGGTGTCTCGCAATAAGTTTATTGACGATCAAATACAACCGGGCCCCTACAAGGAGGTTCTTCCATGCGATGATCTGTGCTACGAAGTCGTCCAGAGCTGCCCGGCCAAGCTCGGCTTCAAATGCCCACAGCCGGATTTGGTGAGCTTCGGCTTCAGCTACGCACAGCGTGGCCAGAACGGGTCGACGGTATCGTGCAACTACCCCGGCGAGGCGCGAACGCCCATGAGCGCGGCTCGAACATTGCTACCAGACTTGATAGTCGTCGGCTGTTTTTCATTGGCGGCTGCCCTGATGCTGGGTTGAGCGGAAGGAGAGAGAGTGATGGGACCCTGAAAAAAACGAGAAGCTTGTCACAGGCCTGCGATGTGACGCCGCATACAACATACTGCACGACACAAAAGGTCTGCCTCTGGGGGCGGAGAGCCAGCCGCCGATGCGAGACGCCATCACGTGAGGCCCGAGCCCGGCTGCTCAGGGATTATTATCAAAGGAACCTGAGACCCGCAAGAGGATGCCGGTTGGGCTGTGGAAGGGCCAGAAGAGCCCTGACAGCCGGACGTGCCACAAGAGAGACTGTCACTGCGACAGGTTTGTCGAGAGACTGATTCTAGGACAGGTCGAGCGCCTCCATGGGAAAAGCTAGAGGGGCGGTGGGCGACTGGCGGAGACGGGCCGTGACTGCGTCAGGATACTCGATGGGAGATGCGGGAGCAATTCCATGACGAGATGAAGGGGGGACTCAAGAGGCCTGAACTCGTAGCTGGCTGTTGCCCGGCGGCGTCAAAGAGACGAGTTGCCGGCGATTGGATGGATGGAAGCCGAGCCGACGGGCCAAGAGACAGGCCAGCGTCGGCGAATGGACTGGCCGGCACCGGCACCGGAGCCGTGGTCGAGGCGGCGGCGAATCAGAGGCGGCGGAAGGAGTGGAGCCGTGTCGTCTCTCCGGGCGAGCAAAGGCCGGACCGGACGCGCCGGCAATTGAGCTCACCTCGTTTGGCCCAATTAATTCATCTACACGCGCTTGGCGCATGCTTTTGTCCGCAAGACGGCGTGCTCTTAATCCTCTCTCTGTAACTGCCTCACTTGCCATCCACCTGCCCTCCTACCATGGCTACGACTGCGGCAAAGACGTTTGAGCTGCAGACCGTGGACAACAATGTACGGAGCCGGCTGGCTCTCGTGACGGGATCGACGTGAGTTGCCCACCTCTCTTCCTCCCTCCCTCTCACACCCTCTCTGGTCTCGTGCTGATTGCTGACGGTCCGCGACCAGGGGAGGCATCGGATCGGCCTGCGCGAGGGCACTGGCGGCCGATGGATGCGACGTGGCGCTGCACTACTCGTCCAGTGAGGTATGTCTGCCCCATGCGTATCGACGGCGACGACCACCATAGCATCGATGACGAGGGGCTTCAAGAAGCTGACTCGAGAGCCCGACCGGGCGCGGATGACACGACAGGACAAAGCCGAGGCACTGGCCCAGGAGCTCCGAGCGAAGCACCCAGCCCAGCTCTTCGTCACGGCGCGCGCAGACCTCAGCTCGCGGGACGCCACGCGCGGGCTGGTCTCGTCGGTCCTGCTGGGCCAGGCGGCGGTGCGCGCGCGGCACGACGCCGTGTCCATCCTGGTGGCCAACGCGGGCGTGGGGCGGCGGATCCGCGACGTGCGCGACATTGGCGAGGACGACTGGGACGCCATTCTCGAGGTCAACGCGCGCAGCCAGTTCGTCGTGGCGCGGGCGTGCGTCGAGGGCATGCGCGCCCAGGGCTGGGGGCGCGTCGTGCTCGTAGGCAGCATCGCGAGCCGCGGGGGCGGTATCAATGGGTGTCACTACGCTGCTTCCAAGGGGGCCATGACGTGAGTTTCTTGGGGTGGTGGTTTGCCTGCCTGCCTGCCTGCCTGCCGCGCTTGCCTTTGCTCCTTTGCTGACGGGTGGGAATCGGCGGTAGAGCCATGGGGCTTAACCTGGCGTCGCTGCTTGCCCCTGAGGGGATCACCGTCAACATCGTGAGTCTGCCGTGCAAGCGATAGAACCCCGAACGACAGACGCGGACAGCAAAGCAGAGAAAACTGACACACAACCACGCCTGCAGGTCCAGCCAGCCATGATTGGCGACACGGGCATGATACCCACGCCCAAGTCTCGGTAAGTCCCTTGCGCGCCATGCCATCGCGCCACCACATGCATCCATACTCGACCGTGGGCGACTGACTTAGGGGTGTGCCTACGTCAGGACCTGGACGAGCACCGACGACCTCGAGGAGCTGCGCGCCACGGATCCCGGGCTCGCCATTGCCGCCGGCGTGCCCGTCCAGCGACTCGGCGTGCCCGAAGAGGTGGCCGGCGTCGTGGCCATGTACGTGACGTCCCTCTCTCTTGCCGCCCTGTCTCTCCGCCTTCGTCTCTTTCTTGCTCCCGCTTCTGGCTGCTTGCTGACGCCCACCCCCCCCCTCCTTCCCGGTGGGAAATCGCAGGTTTGCCAAGACGGGGTATATGACCGGGCAGGAGGTGCTGCTGGCCGGAGGGCTACGCTGAGGGACGACGAGGAAGCGGAGCGGTGGACGGAGCTGCTTCGTGCGGCGTGTCCCGCCCGGTGAAGTGGCCAGGAGAGGAGAGGAAGGGGGCGTGTGGTGTACGGGGAGGATGATGTGACATGATGTTTTCACGACTTGGTATTTCTGTCGTTTTTTCCTTCTCTGCTTGTTTGATGGTTGGGGTTTTGGCTGCTTCACTTGTCCCGGGCCGGTCCATGGATTGGCCATCGGCTTTGATGGGTGGAATTCAACCCTCCGTTTCCAAGGCACCCTCCCAAGGGTCCAGCGGATGGACCCTTGCTCGCTTTTCTTTTTCCCGGGCTTTCTTTGTCCAACGTCGAGGGGCCGGAACCCGTCCCGATTGCACCGCGCAAAGACACACTACCCGGAGCCCGCTCTCGATGGACAGTCCAGGGGGCAAGCGTGATTCCTTTTCCCCCTCTTCGGCCTGCTGCCGCGACCCTGCCGGCCAGCCATTCACGTCGCCCACCGTCTCTCCCGTGCTCGCCAAGGCACGCCTGCGTCGTGGCCCGCAGCAGCCGGCCGTCATCCCCATCCTATCCGTACTTGCAGGGTTGCTATCGGATGAGAGCGCGGCGCGATGAGCCGTACTCGGATCTGCCACCAAAGCTCACGGTATGAAGCATCTCGCCGACTTTGCCGGTACTAATCGCGACATGGTATACTGCTTCTTTAAGGGCCTGCGACACTTTCATCTGCTTAGCAATGCGTATCTTCGTCCCTCCGCTCCTCCGCAGTTCAAAGGATTCGGGAGAGGCATCAACACGTGGTAGTCGCCGTGAAGACGATGGAGCCCCACGTGTTCAAAGTACGGGACGAGAGAGGAAAAGAAAAGAGGTTTGGTAAATGTACCCAAGCTTCGGCGAGACCCTGGTCTTGTTCCGCCATCGAAGCTCGGCAGCAGACCGCATGTACAGCCGACCCATGTTGTTTATACACGTACGTACTTGGTATGATGCGTTCAACTCCACGTGTGTCGATGTCTGTCTCAGAAAAAGAAAGAAAATGACGATATAAAAGCCGCCCACGCTGCCCGCACATTCGGCCCTGTCTCCTGTCCCGCAAGCGCCCATTCCTCGACAGCAAACGACAAGTCAATCCTTGCTTGTCGTCGTCGTCGTCGTCGTCTCCCCTCTCTCCGTAGGAAAAAAACACGCGCCGTAACATTCGGCCATCTTTGCAGGCTCGAAAATGTGGCTGTCGTTGCTGCGATATGCCATCCTTGCCTGGCTGCTGCAGCTACTGCCGCCGACGCCACTGCTCGGCACCACCGCCCTCGCCGTCTCGCCCCCGGTCTCTCCCGCCCGTGCGTGGCCCCCCTGCGCGGCTGATTGGCACCGACACTGACGGATGAGAAGCTGCCCATGAGAACCGGGGTAACAGAGATGCGCCCCGCTGGGCCGACGCCTACAGCAAGGCGCGCCGGCTCGTGGGCCAGATGACGGTCGAGGAAAAGGCAAACGTGACGAGGGGCTTTGCCCGCAGCGACAACGTCTGCGCCGGCAACTCGGGCTCCGTGCCCCGCCTGCGCTGGCCCGGCATGTGCCTCCACGATGCCGCCAACGGCGTCCGCGCCACCGACATGGTCAGCGCCTATCCCGCCGGCCTGCACGTCGGCGCCGCCTGGGACCGGGCCATGGCCCACCGCCAGGCCGTCTTCATGGCCGGCGAGTTCAAGGCCAAGGGAGGTGAGCGACATTTCCTTCGCCCTTGGCGCATCCTCTCGTCATCCTCGCCCAGCGCCGGCTGACCGTCTGACATAGTCAACGTCGTCCTCGGCCCCAATGCCGGCCCCCTCGGCAGGACGCCCCTCGGCGGCAGGAACTGGGAGGGCTTCTCCGTCGATCCCTATCTCTCTGGCCAGCTCAACGCCGAGACAGTGTCGGGATACCAAGCCGCCGGTGTCATAGCCAGCATCAAGGCGAGTCGGTTGGCTCCCCAGTCCGCCTTGACCCATGGCCCGATGCCCACGTCTTGACGCCACATCTCTGCCGTCGTAGGACGCACTGCCGTTCGAACCGACCGAACTCGCAAGGGTGTCGCTGACTCGTCTCCCACCCCGGAGTAGCACTTGGTCGGCAACGAGCAGGAGACGTATCGCCGCCCCTACTTTGGCGTCGAGGCGGCCTCGTCCAACATCGACGACAAGACGCTCCACGAGTACTATCTCTGGCCCTTCATGGACGGCCTGCGCGCCGGCGCCGCCTCCGTCATGTGCTCCTACAACCGCGTCAACAACACGTACGGCTGCGCAAACGACAAGCTCCTCAACGGTATCCTCAAGACGGAGCTCGGTTTCGCGGGCTTCGTTCTGCTCGACTGGAACGCCCAGCACGGCCTCGACAGCGCCAACGCCGGCCTCGACATGGTCATGCCCCTCGGCGGCGCCTGGGGTGAAAACCTGACCGACGCCGTTCGCAGCGGCTCCGTCAGCGAATCGAGGCTGACTGACATGGCCACCAGGTCTGGACTCAAGGCCCTTCTCCCCCCCAAACTTTTAGATCCTTCCATGTGGATCGTCTGGGCCGCTGACATTGCCTTGGTCAAAGGATTCTTGCTGCGTGGTATCTCGTCGGCCAAGACAAAGCCGACTTTCCCGTTCCTGGTATCGGCATGAAAAACCTCAGCGAGCCGCACAAAGCCATCGACGCCCGCGTACCCGAATCCAAGCCAGTGCTCCTCGATGGGGCCATCTCGGGACACGTCCTCGTCAAGAACAAGGGCAACAGCGCGTTGCCCCTAAAAGCCAAGCCAGCCATGTTGTCCGTGTTTGGCTACGACGCCGCCGCGCCCCCGGCCAAGAACATTGACAACGCCTTTCGACTGGGATACACGTCGTCGCGTGGCATTGCCCAAGCCGTCCTCGGCACCGAGCAGCACTTTGACCAGGCTGCCAGGGGAGGGACCATCATTGTAGGCGGACGGGCGGGCGCCAATGCACCGCCCTACATCAGCGATGTGAGTCAGGACACCAAGATGTAGGGCGTCCCGGACGAGACAGCTTATAGAAAACTCCCTCTTGCAGCCTCTGAGTGCCATCCAACAACGGGCAGAGGCCGATAACACGTGGGTCAACTGGGACACCGCGTCGCTGGAGCCAGACGTCAACGGAGCCAACGAGGCCTGCCTCGTCTTCATCAATGCCATGGCCACCGAGGGCTGGGACCGTGACGGACTGCACGACGACGCCAGTGACGGACTCGTCCGCCATGTCGCTTCCCGCTGCGCCAACACCATTGTCATCGTCCACGCCGCCGGGATCCGCCTCGTCGACCAGTGGATCGACCACGACAATGTCACAGCCACCGTCATAGCCCACCTGCCGGGCCAGGACAGCGGCCGGGCACTCGTCCGGCTGCTGTATGGCGAGGCCAACTTCTCGGGCAAGCTGCCGTACACGCTGGCGCGCAACGAGAGCGACTACCCCGTGTATGCGCCGTGCGGGCGCCAAGACAACACGACGAGCCCCCAGTGCGACTATGCCGAGGGTGTCTACCTCGACTACCGGGCCTTTGACGCCCAGAATGTGACGCCGCGGTTCGAGTTTGGCTTCGGCCTGAGCTACACCTCCTTCAACTTCTCGTCGCTCGTCCTTACGCCAGACGTGAGCCTGCGCCGGTCAGCGAGCAACGGCACTGACCTCTGGGACACACTCATCGTGGCCGAGGCCCGTGTCACCAATGCTGGCACCGTGGCGGGCGCCGAGGTCGCGCAGTTGTACCTCGGCATACCGAGAGGCCCGCCGAAGCAGCTGCGCGGTTTCGAAAAAGTCTCTCTGGGACCGGGCGAGTCGGCGACAGTCCGGTTCGCGCTGACGAGGCGGGACCTGAGTGCGTGGGACGTGGTGCGCCAGCAATGGGTGGTGCAAGGGGGAGAATATCCTCTGTTTGTAGGGGCGAGCAGTCGGGACATACGGTTGACGGGATCGTTGGTGGTGGATGGCTGATCAGATGAAGCCGCTTTGTTTTTAATGAAAAGGTCTCGGATCGTCGCGAACTGATGCCCTGGCTATAGATGTAGCGTCCACGACGGAAAAGGTCCATCTTCTTGACTGCGTTTTCCCTTTTCATACTGCGTCACGCGTCACTTGGCTTTGCTCCCGCCCTCCTTGCCAGCCTCCTTGGTCCTCGCCGCGCCGTGTGCGCTGACCTGAGCCTCTAGCTCGGCAATGGTAGCTGCAAAACAGTCAGCAGCCATTCGTGTGTCGTAGCAAGCCGGGCCCTCATTCTTCTTGCCCGGCTGAGATTCCGTTGACCTCAAGGTTCGCGGCCCAAAGCTTACCATCAGTCTCGACACGGATCTCGTCCGCCTCGAGCTTGACCCAGACCCAGTAGACTACCTGGTACGTGAAGACGGCGAGCAGGGTGACTTTTGCAACGGGCCGGGTAAACGTCTTGTAGAATTGAGTCTGTGCGCAGATAGAGACGTCAGCAGCTGCACGGGGACGCAATTCAGAAGTAAAATCCAGGTCTCATGGCGACGCACCGTTGCGCTGGGCTGCCTCGTGGTCGCATAGCTCCGCTCCGTCCGAGGCCAAGCCGCCCTCGTAAACGGCCGCGACAGCAGCAAGATCCGTTTAGCCACCATTGTGAGCGCCCATGCGCGGCTCGCGATTCCACCTTGGGCGTGCTATGTTGGCGGGCGACGCAGAGGATGGACGACGGCTGACAAGTGACAGATCTGGCAAGGCTGAAGTTGCTTTGGTTGGTGGCTTTTCCCTCTGGTCAAACGTGGCTGTGCAGGCTGCTGCAAACCTTCGGCATCTCTGCCGGCCCGCACCCCGCAGTTCCAGGCGGGCCCCTCCCTCTTCAGCCACACTGCAGCGCCTTTTCCCCTACAGGGGTCTTCTTGACGACAACGTATCCCTAATTCCAGTCAATTCAGCCGCGCATCCTCGCCAGCACGATCCCATCTGGCCTGATCACTCCCTCACCCCCCGTCGTCGACTTCCGGTTCTCAGAAAAATCAGCTTCGCCTTTTCAGCGCGCTCCTTTGGCGACACGATTCACTTCTGTCGTCGCCTCCGCTACTCCGTCTCCCCGTCCACAACCAACCACTGTAGCAAAAGCAGACCTACACAATGGTACGCTCGCCCACCTCTCGCGACATGCGATCCGCCGCGATTCCATGCGACAAGAAGAAAAAATAATAATGAAAACTCTTTGAGATTATGTATACGCTAACATGAGCGCCTCTCTCCCAAAAAGGCCCAAACCCTAGAGCAACGCCGCCGAAACGCAAAGTTCGCAAAGGATCAGGAGGCGCGCATGGGCCGGTCGGAGGAACAGGTCAAGAAGCGCGTCAAGGAGGCACCCAAGACGTCCATCTCCATGTTCTGGATTGGTACGTGCTCCCCAGCGGGCCCTCTGCTTCCCCCCGGCCGACCTGCTGCTGCTACCGCCGCTGTCGCGCGTCAAGCAACTTGGCTGACACACGGGACTCAGCCATTCTCGGCTTCGTTGTTTTCGGTGGTCTGATGTTCGAGGGCATCGCGCGCATGTTCGGCCGATAAGCGCGTAGTTCGGCGCAAAGAGGACAAAGTCCAGACTCGAGCGGGCAGAGGTGGTGGAAGTGGACTGAAGAACTTGCCGGGAACATACTCTTCCTCAGCATCGTGGTCCGGTATTACGGCGGGCAGATTGATGTCTCGGGCGGCGGCCATGCGGCGCTGTCGTACAATGACTGGACCTACTGTTTTCAAGAGTTACCCCTTTTCCCCTCGGGCATGGATGGGGTCATGCGACTACCCCGTGGAGATAACTTTGGCGCAAATAGAATCACTCTTTTTCGCGGGCTCCGGACTTTTCTCCGACTGTTCAATGCCTTGGTATCTGCCTGTCGCCTCTGTAACGCCGTGCTCCGTCTGTTCGCCGACGCACGCCGGAGAGAGCAGTCGTGTATGAATAATGTACAAAACAAAGTGGCAAAATCGGCATGCCAAGCGCTATGTCGGGCCCATTCCAGCTGTTAATCCCGTGTCTAGGCACCGAGACCGCGTCGCTGGCCAGTTCCCTCGGACTTCATCTTCATGCCCGCCTCGAATTGACGTTGAATGTCCGCTTCGGCCTTGGTGGACGTCGACTTCTCTGTGGTCTTGTGGTCCGACTTGCCCGGCGCAGCAACACCTGATTTTTTGCCTCCGAGCAAGCGCAAGAATTTGTCCTGCCGGGCAGACCCTCCCTCCAGCTCACCGACGTTCCACTTCTCAGCCTCGTTGGGTGCGGGCGCTTCGCCGTTGGCTACATCCTCTGCTTCCTTTTTGCCCTTGGTCTTGTCTTTCTTCTCCTTCTTGTCTTTCTTTTCCTTTTTTTCCTTCCTCTCTTTCTTGTCCTTTTTGGCGACGGGTTCCTCAACGTTTCCAGTCTCTTCGGAAGTACCGTCACGCTTCCGTTTACCCTTGGACGCCTTGGAAGACTTCTCCTTTTCGTGCTCCTCCTTGATTTGGACTTTGGCAGTCTTGGAGGAAGATTCGGGTTTGGTCTCGGTCATTTCGACGTCTCCATCAGCGTCCTTTGCCTCGGTCTCCTCAGACTTGACCTTCTTAGCCTTTGGCTTCTTTTCCTTCTTTGGCTCCGCCTCGGCATTCTCAGACAGCGACTTCACCTTGCCGTCTTTCTTGGGCTTGGGGTCTTCACCCGCTTTGGGTTTGGCCGCTGACGAGGGAGCGGACGCCGCATTGCGAGCAGAGGAAGCGTCACTTTCTCGGCGTCGCTTGAGGGCAATCTCATCTGCGGGTGCCGCAGGAGCAGGTGTAGCGGGGACGGGGGCACCGCCGTCACTATCCGAGGAAGAGTCCGAGGATGAGTCCGAGGATGAGGCAACGGAAGCGGCGTCGCTGCTGTCGTCAATCAAGAGATCGTAGCTCTTGGCATCGGAAGCTTTCTTCTCGGCCTCCTCGGTCTGTCGTGCCTGGTCAGGACTGCCGAAGGGATTCGAGGTGGGGGCTGGCAAGTATTCTCGGGGTGGACGCACCTGTTTGAGCCTGGTCATGGCCTCGTACAGCTCACCCGCCTTCTTGGCATCGGCCAGGAGCTTGTGAGCCTGGATCTCCAGCTTCTTCTTGCGGGCCAGCAGGCGCTGACGCTTCCTCTCCATCTTTTGGGGCCGATTGGCCATCTTCTTGGCCTTCATCTCGGCCCTGCGCTCGTCAGTCCACTTGCCGCTGCGCGTGACGTTTAGCTTTCGCTCGCGCTTGGCCTGGGCCTTGACGTGACGCTTGGCCTTTCGTTCATCGGCTCGCTTCTGGCGGGCGTTGGCCTTGCGCTTGGCCTTGGCCTCTGCAAGTGGCGGCGGCGTCAGCAGGCAGTTTGTAGGGGAAGACATAAATGATGCGACAAGAATTAGGCACCTTTTGCCAGTCGCTCCTGTTCGGCATTGGGGGGAGCCGCGGGTGCTGCTTGGTCCGACATCGCGAAATTCGAGGCGGTGACGGCGGGACGAGAGAACTGGAGCAAGACGGTGCCACCCCCGAAGGTTATAAACAGAGACCAGAACCGAGAGAATAGAGACCGAAAATCAGAGTGCAACTGGTGCGTTTATTGAAGGTCGTTTGGTGGCTCTGTGGTGGTCGAGCTGCAGCTGCGATTGAACAGCTTCTTCTCCAGGCAGCCAACTTTTTTTTTTCCTCCCCGTTTGCCTTGGAGGGGATGCTCGATTCTGCCGGGCGGTGAGCAGCGTAGGAGCTGATACGGCAGTCGCATTGAAGAGGTGTACCGTGTATTACCGTGCGTCTCACTTCGGCTTTGCTGACACATCAAGACACTTGCGGGTCTCAGACAGACTAGGCCAAAACAGGCCGCTCGTCAGGAACGGAGAGCCTGCCGTTGAGAATTCCTGGTAATAATTATGACGATAATTCTTGCTTTTCATCTAGTCGAATAACAACTCGGCTCAAAATGATAACGACATAACGACACGCAGCTCAAGGGACACAGCCGTAACTTCACTCTCACCATGAACAGGCTCCCCTGCAGGATCGAGGGCTTCTATTGACTTGGCCGCTTACTTTGTCCCTACCACGAGGCGCCCAAAATCCCCTGCTCATTCTCAAATCTTTCCAACGATGCGTCTCGTTCAGGTGTACAGTACAGAGTAGAGGCGCTCGAGATGAAAATCGAAGCCGCAACAAGGCAACAGAATACTCAGAATAGACAGGAGGACTCTCGTTGGGATCTTGACTTCAGCCAAGAGCCTCAGCTTCTAATACATGTAGCACGAGCCCCTTTATCCAGCTGCCTCTGATCGAACCCTGGGCGACGTGCATTTATCCGAACCATGAATTGAGACCCGCAGGGGCTTTGATATTAATCTCCGCCATCGCCACGAACAGGCCGGTTCTCAGACCGAACTGTTGACTTTCTTCGCGGCACCCCTGGTAGCCGCGATTGCCGCCGGTTCACAGCCCCATAGAATCGGTCTAGATCCACGGCCTGCTCCTTTCATCCGGAGGCTTATTACCAGGCCTCAAATACATCGATCCCTGCATCCCGACGGCATATTCCCCGGCGGGACTCGGTATGAAAGGTTACGTTAAGCGTCGCTCCCCAATGAAGAAGGGGACAACCTGCGCGAATTTGTTCGGAAAGGAGCCTGCTAGTCCGAGGAGTAGTTGTGGATGCGGAAAATGATACAAATGTGCATATATAGATGTCAAGAAGGCTGCTGTCATGTAGCGTCCGTCAGTGGCTTTGGTAGCGGTGGTGCGTGTATATGTGTGAGTGTGAGTGTCTTGTGTATATATACGAACAAGCGGCTCATATACCCTAAATCGCCGACAATGGGCATACTCTCGGATGCGCCCACCGGGGCCGCGGGCCGCGGTGCGGTGCGGTGCGGGGCGCCCCCCCGAAACGGGAACTTCGGGGCCCCGTTCCGATCATGTTGATCTTCCGGTCCACCCTTTCCTCCGTTCAGATCAAACGTATATATGTACATATGAGTGAATATAGATATGAGGTTGCTCAATCATCATGGCCAAGACAACCTTTGTGGATGAGTGTGTGCAAATCAAGCTCCAGACGTGCATGCCCCCCTTGATTCAGCTGTCGCATGATTCCACCATGGGTGCCCATCACGGCCCGATACCGGCAGCAACCCATGTGTTTTCGGGCGCCACGGTGGCAGAAGACATGTTCTCGGAGGAGGCCGATGGTCTCGACGCCGGCTGGCGGTGACATGCGACGAGACTGGGCCGCGACACGGTTGACGGCAGTGTGGATCGTGTAGTAGAGCATGTGTGATGCGACTTACACACATACTTATATATATACATCGTTATGCGCAAAGAAGAGCAGGAAGCAATAAGAATATCTGCGCCGAGACTCGAAGTGGTCGGTCTTTAACTCTTTATACTGTAGATGCGCTCAAGACACGTATAGGTGACTCTACGAAATCGGCTAGTTAATTAAACGAAAGGAGAATAACGGGGGGGAATTAACGCTTCGAGATAAAGTCTTGTATTCCGAGCATCGCCTTTGGGCTCTTCTATGGGCACTCGTACGAGGAGCACCAAGCCTGTTGTTGAATAGTCACCCCCAAGAGCACTTGGGCTGCAAACGCCGCCCCTGTAATACAAGGATTGAAGTATTCTTTCCGCCTCCCCCCCTCAAAAGACGCTGCTCTACGCCCTCACACAGCTTACGCCTCACCATCGTCTATCTCCTTCTTCCTCCCTGTCTTTCGTTCTCGTTCTTGCTCTCGTATATACATGTACGGACCACATGAGTGGGGGGTTTCGCCCAGAGGTGGGGAGGAAAGGGCACACAGGGCGGGGGAGCAGGGAGTTGTTGATCAGTGAAGCGGCTTGCCATGCCGCTCCCCGATGTGACTTTTGCTGGTCGCAGGTATTTAAATAGCCGCCGTCCAACATGTGGGAGTCCGGCTAGCAAGCAAAGCATCAAGACGAATACATCACGCCAAGGGCGGAAACGCCGCCGCATCGTAAGCGTAGCTGGCGTCGTCGAAGAAGATGTCGTCCCCTCCTCCACTGCTGCCGTAGCTCGGGGCCGCTTGATGGCGATGTTGGTGACTTTCGTGGTGCGAGTAGTTGTGATACATGCTGCTCCCCCCTGGTGCCGGAGCCGAAACGACCGCGAATGGCGGGCTGGCGGCGATGGTGAGCGGCTCGTCGCCAATGTATGTGCCGCGGCCGCTGCTCCGCCGGCTCTCGGCCTCGTGGCCCCGCGAGACGACGAGGCTTAAGTTCATGCCGCCCCAAGGCAGGCCCGAGAGCTCCTCCTCCTGGCCGTAGCCGTGGCCGTAGCCGCTGCCGCCCAAGTCTACGGCTCCGAGGGGGATGCGGTAGCTGTTGCCGGCGTGCTCCCGGTTCCGCGACTCGCGCTCCGCCTTTTCCCGGTTCTCTCTTGCCTTCTCCCCTTTTGCGCCACGCCCGCACGTTAGTACTCGGTCTTTGCGTGATCGAGAGACGGGACGTGGAAATCCGCGGGAGGAGATGGGACGTACGAAACTTGCGTTGAGCGATCCGGTTTTGGATCCGCCTCCTCTCCTCCGGGTCCGTCACGTCGGCCCAGTTGATATCCTTTGCGCTGGTCTTGCATGGCTTCCTGGCGGGCGGTGATGCCTTCTTGGCTAAAGTTTCCACGCTGTGGCGAGACGCCCTGACTCCTGCGGCCATGATGCTGCGACGACTCGCGTCTTGTTGCTGCTGCTGCTCGGTCCCGAGACTTGCGGATATGGCGGACCTCTTGCCAGCCTGGGTCGGCGGCGGAGTCGGGCGAGCTGCTGGTTCGCCGGGATCGGCTGCGGGCGCCTCGGAGCGTGTCGTCGTTATCGTCGTTTCTCTCTTCTTCTCCGGCAAGCTGTTGCCTCTTCTTGGTGTGGTCCAGATGGTGTCGCGTGAGACGGGGGAGGCGCTGTGGATGTGAATCCTGGGAAGCGATATATACTGACTCTGAATGAGGGGCAGCACGGGCTGGGACATCTAATAAGGGTCGAGATAGATGGGGGGGTTGAGGATGCAGGCGGGGCGGGAGGGTGATTGCGTCGTGTTCAGCGTCGGATGATATCTCATACTCGCCCTTTAGTGGTTCTGCTGCCGCTTCGTGTACTGGCAGGTCGGGCTGCTGTGGATGTGTTGCGTCGTGTAAGTCGAGACCTTGGGGATCTCGGGCTCGGCGAGGAAGAGGATGGACGGGGTGGCCCTTTTAAAAGTTGCGTGTCTTCGATTCTGGCAGACCAATGACACAAACAAGTTCGATTTACAGTAGAAAGCCACGGCCTCGAGGATGAGGACGGGGGGAGGGATGTTGATATGTATGTCGTCGTCACGTCTTGTGTATCCACTCTTGACAAGGACCGGGACGAAGTGGGAGGGAAGCAAGGCCACCACCGGGGCAGGCAGGCCTCTAATAGTAATAATAACGATGATAATAAAAATACCCTCGTCCGCCCGCCCGTACATCTGGGACACCAGCATCCATTGCTGTCGGCCCATCTGCCAGGCGGATCTGCAGCGCCCATCCCCGGCCGGGGTGGGGGAGGGGGGGGGGGGGGGGCATGGGTGGGCACTGCAGGACCCCAAGCGAGCATTGAGCGGCCGGCACCGGTGAACGTCAAGTTACGGCCCTGGCACTGGGTGGAAAGGTAGGGGCGGACCGCAGTCGCGGGCGCTGGCAGGCTTGGCACTGTGACGCATGTGTGTATGTGCGTGTGTGTCTGTCATCGGCCCCCTTTCCGCTCCCTGTGCCCGATTTTTAGTCTCCCTGTGCACCTTACCGTACTTGGCAAGACTCCACACGTAGACGCGTAACACACCATAATACACACAATTGGCGTCGCGGCAAGCAGCCTCCTGGTACAACACCACAAGCCAAAATAACTCGTGATAACCACCCACCTCGCAATACCACATCGCGTCTGCGCAGCTAAGTTTCAGAGGCACACAACCGCCACAAAGCAGCTAATCAAACCGTTCTTTTGTCAAGATGCTTCTCCAGCCCCGCCAAACAATATGCCACTCTTTGAGACCTTTGACGATGCGTTTGACGAGCTCCAGCGGCATGCGCGCTGCCAAGGCTACGCCATAGTTAAGTTCAAGCCAAGCAACTACGAACATGGGCTCCCGCCGTTACGACATCGTATGCGCATGCGGCGGCCGTGAATACAAGTCAGCCTCGTTAGGACTCCGGAAGACTGGCACTAGGCGGACTTCCTGCCCGTTTAGAGTCAAGGTTGTGCGCCTGAAGCTAGAGGAGGCCTCTGGCGAGTCTCTGTGATGTGCCCAAGGCACAACCATGAGGCCAATAGGGCCGGCGCCTTCCCAGAATACCGGCGCCTTCATCCACATCAACTCCAGCAGGTTAAAGATTTATCTCGCGATGCTGGCTTAACGGCGCGGCAGATCCTTCTTGCTCTTCGGGCTAAGAACCCGCGGCTACTTGCAACAGAGCAGGACATCGCGAATATCTGTGCCCGGCTTCGTCTCCGGGAGCTTGGGGCACATACATCCACACAAGCGCTTATTGCCAGGCTCGACGAGGAAGGTGCCTTCCATAAGAGCTACTTGACGATGAGGATCGCTTCTTCTACCAGATTGTGGGCCTTGACCCTGCCTTGCGGCTTTGGGCACAACATTCACACCTCATGATGGCCGACGTAACGAACAACACGAATAGATATGGCCTCAAGCTGCTAGAGATCAATGGAATCACTGCCTTGGGCTCTATCTTCCCTGTGGCTTTCTGTTTAATCCCTTCCGAAGACACGAACGCATTTACCTGGTGTTTTATACAGCTTCGCGAGTGGTTACAGTCAAAGGCAAGGCTAAGAGGCGAGGCTGACGGCAATGCCTTTATCCCACACGTTATCATCACGGACTATGACGCTGCTGCGCGCGCTGCATTGTCGGCTACCTTCCCGGACTCGCAGCTACAGGTCTGTACGTGGCATATCATGAAGAACATCACTACAAACGCGAAGAAGCGCTGGCTTGGCGACTATGACGATGATGACCCATTTGACCCGCCGCAAGAGCCCCAAGACGATGAAGACCCGGGCGCTCTGCAGCTACCGGAGCCACTGCCGGAAAAAGAGGCCCCTGTGCCTTCACAACAGCCTTCCGGTCCGTAGTGTATGCCCCGACCGAGGACGAGTTCAACAGCCGCTGGGGCATCGTCAAAGGCGCCTTCTCAGACCAGCACATTATTCTTAGGTATGTAGAAGAGATCTGGATGCCTGTACGAACACAATGGGCGCGCGCTTGGGTCTGCCGTTACCGCAACTGGGGCCACACAACGACCTCGCCTTGTGAATCCCTTCACTCAAGCTCTCGCACCTTCCTTCGCAACGGCCAGTCGAACCTGCTTGAATTATATCATGCCTTGCAACTACAAGCCTCAACCTCACGAGAACACCATGATCGGACCGTTGAGCGCGAATCACGACGGACTCGCGACCCGTTCCGGCTACCATTATATGAGGATGCCGTCGAGAAGGCGTCATATCGGTCTCTCGAGCTTGTACAGAAACAGGCACTAGCCGCCTCGGCCGGCCTCCTCAAACCACAAGAGCGGCCACTTGGGAATGTGGGAATAGCTTCACTGCCCAATACGGGCTGCCCTGGCCACATATTATCGCCTCGTACCTCCAGGTCCAAGGAGGACTAGCCGCAAAGTTATAGCTACAAGACCCTTGCCCTTGAACTTGTGGGACAGCCACTGGCTTCTACGGCAGGATCTTGCCGTCACAGACCCATACAGACGATTCGCGATCCTCGAGTCATTGCCCGGCGCCGCAGACCAGCCAGAGCCATAGCCTTTGCACCTGTGGCCACGACTGCAGCCGTTGCAACAGCCGCTGTAACTGCACCTGTGGCCTCGTCAGCAGCGGCAGCAGCAGCTACCCCACCAGCTTCGCAACAGTCACAGCCTCGCGGGCAACAGCAACAGCGGCAGCCAGTCTTGCAGACAGTGCTTTCGCGGCTTGGGCTATTGGCAACTATCTTGGCATTGGGCCGGCTATAGCTTCGTGGTCGGTGTCAACACCACAAGCCGACATCGTGATCCGTCAAACGCCTACACAACCGACCTCATACCAGCAGCCGCAGACTTTCCGGCGCTCAGAGTCTGCCACCCAACTTATGCGGCGGCTACCTCCGCCTTCGAATATCACGAGCCGCCGCGGCCGCCGCGTCAAGAGGTTCTCAACGGGGCATCGCGAGCGCCCTCGTCTCTTTACCCTTGGGTCCTCGACCCTCTTTCTAGCACCCTTACATCAGTGGAAGGAGGATTCATGCCGCTCCCGGCTTCGCAGATAAGTAACGCTACAGTTAGAGGAAAGGGAACGCTCGCCACGGCGGAAAAGAGGCCACGCAATGCGGCAGCCGTATGAGCTTGTAATGCGGCTAGAAGATATGGAGAAATGTGCGAATAGCTTCAAGTTCATAATGTTCAACGCAAGACTCTACAATCCGTGACTACCTTCTAATTGGTGTGTTGCACACACAAATGCATGTCTTGGCCGATTCGCGATGCTTCTACCTAATACGGTAAGGTGCACAGGGAGACTAAAAATCGGGCACAGGGAGCGGAAAGGGGGCCTCTGTCATCTGGCCTGTCCCGAATAGGACAATTCCAGGACGGACTCGAGGCACGGCCAGCCAGCCACCCCTAGTACCACGCCCGTACCACCTACCCGCCAACCTAGGTACAGCGGAAGGGCTGTGGTGTGTGTACACACGTTGAGGCGCGTAGGTTCGCGGGTGCAGTCCTGTCAGGGGCTCGAGCGGCGGATGGGCGAGGGGGGACGGAGGCCAAGGTTCCGTCTGTCGGTAGCATCAGCATCAGCATCGAAAGGGTCAGAGAGAGTGGGAGCGTATGTGTGTGTGTGTGTGCGTGTGTGCGTGTGTGTGTGCGTGCGGCATGCTCGCGGCTCGGTCAGCGGCCACGATGCTTCGGTTTCTCTTCGATTTCTTTTCACACACACACACTCCCTCACTCTCTCTTTGCTTCTTCTGCTTCATCTTACCCTTTCCTTTTCGGGGCGGAAAGAGCTTGCCTGTGTAGTGTGTACGTGCATGTGTGTGTGTGTATGTACGGTATGTATGTATGATGTGGCAGGCAGAAAAGACAAATCTGTGTAATTAGGGGTTCAACTTTTGCAGGCTCACCACCACCAACCGACAAAAGATCCCCCTCCGGCGCATGTACAGTTACTTGCTGTGTACAACATGTATGGCCTCGGGTTGGCCAGGGTTGTCGATTTATAGTCTCAACTCTCAATGGAGCCTAATGATCGGCGGCGGACGCTAGACAGGGGGGAGGCATCAGAGACATGCATTTTGCTCCAGGCAACTACAAGTCGCTGGGCAAAGTTCCGCTACCCTTTGTCTCTCTGCTCATTAGTGGACTGGCGAGATGGGCGAAGCAGAGACAGACAACTCCGCCCGGCGTACGAAGTATACCGTAGTCGTCGGATCATCAATGCTGCCAATAATGAATGTACCGCTACAACCAGTCCACCCGCCCACCGCCGCAGTGCTGCCCGAAAGGGGAAAACAAAGGGCAGTCCAGCTGACGGTGCCATGAGATCAAGTATTTCACATTCAAGCCCCATCCAGTGTCGATTCGGTGGGGGCGAATGCCCCAGAGTGCTGCAACTGGACGTCCGGTCGAGGCTTCAGGCGCAAAACGGCGCCGGCGACTGTCTTGTGCATCCTGTGCATGGTGGCCATGGCATTTGCCCAAGTTGGAAGACTGTCAACGTTGTTGTCGGATGCATGTATGTACAAGACGGACAAGAAACGAGGCCCATCGGGCAAAATCTATTTCGGGCAGCCGCTGGCTCTGGCGTCGGCCGATGCCCCCAAGGAACCTTTGTGCCCACTGTACTCAACTTACATGCCAGTGATCAGTGATGTATTACACGTGGCTGCATCTACTTTGTACAAGCTCGCATGCCTGATGAACCAGTCCAACAGCTTCAAAGTAGGTATCTCGTCACCAAACTACTTGGCAACGAACACCTTCCTTGACTTACAAGACTGCCTCGGACAACTGGGGCCGTGAACGGTGCTGCCAACGCGGGAATACTTGCAGTCCGGCAGCCCGGGCGGGTGTCAGTCACTGTGCATCAGACATCGGACAGCCACCAAAGCTTGGCCTGACTTGGGCAGAAACGCCTCCCCCCCACTGGTGAGCGAAAGCGAGGCACGAAGCATACGATGGGAAGCCGTGCTGTAATTACTCTTCAACTGCGGAGGGTGAGATTTGGGGCCGTGTGTGTGGGGGGAAACGCATGGCCAGCCAGTCGGCCTCTCCCACGCGCGGATAACCTTGCTTCGTCACTGCCTGGCCACGGGAGAGCGCGGACCGAAAGGGGGCTTGTGTTCAAGGACCATTTCCTTGACAATGACCGAAAAGGGACACTCATCAATGACTTCAATTTCGTCTGCTACGTGTATCCTGCTTTTGCCGTGTCAGCAGACGCTGGTCCATGTCGACTCCTGTGCAGGCAGTCATGGACAGACACTAATGCTACATATTGAGCCTCGATGTGCCGAGGACTGTGGGAGCGCGGTCCGCCCTCCGGACTTGTGCTGCAAAGCCCGTCTGTTGCTCAAAGGGGACGGGACTTTGGGAACCACCTGGACCTTATCGGTGGGGAAGAGGCATAAGAAGACCGCCAGAGCGCCTCGAAGAAGCTCGAAGAGGCGAAGAGGGAACTCTACCCTGACAAACCACTGCTCTCTCTTGCTACTACACGTACAAGGCGCCGAGGACCGGTCCAGCCCCCGGCCGGTACGACGATGAGCGGCACGTCGCCGATTGCTGCGGGTCCGGTGTTGCATGTCAGCCATTAGCTTTTTTGTCTTTTCCGGCATGCGCAGAATGCACGGCGAGGCCGTTTTGGACAATGGTGCGCCCTGTAACTAGTTCACGGTTACTTTAGCTACGACGCCGCCGGCCATGGGCTCCGCTCGGTAGCCGTGGTGTCTGTCGGCGGAGGGGAGACTGTGCCATGCCATGAGCAGAGTCGATCTGGATCTGGATGGTGCTTGGCCCAAGGTCGTGTTCCACGAAGCATGGAAGCGGAGACTGGTGAGAAGGCATGGGATCGGAACCGCATTCCGAAAGACTGCAGGAGAGAAGGAAGACTGTGCTGCCGTGCCGGACTGGCACCGTGTGCGAGTCGTCGGCAAGGGTCCGGGACGTCAAAGAAAGGTCACGCACCTGCATAGCTACCTAGATACTAGAGGCACTGCCAGTGGATTCACGGTGTATTATTATACCTACCTTAGGTAGGTAGGTAGGTAGGTACTGCTATGCTTGTCCGCTCGCTGAGCGGTCTTTCTGGCCCTTGAGGCCGTCAACAAGAGCCGGCCAGCCTGCCAGAACAGGGCACGGAGATGCCGTTTGCTTGCTGCCCGTGAGACGAAGCAAGGCATGCGTCGCTTGCCGTTTACAGACAGTTGGACTCCATGTGAGGTGACAGATGTACATGCAGTACATGCATGCCCGCCGTGTATGCGACATGTGAGGGCTCGCTTGCCTGTGGGATCGCATGGAAACCTGGATGGAAGCCTGTTCGTTGCCTCGTGTCGACGACGCACCGCAGCACGCCTTTTTACAGGGCCCTTTTTACAGGGCCCTTTTTACAGGGCCCTTTTTACAGGGCCAACTTACCGGGCCAACTTACAGGGCCCCCTCCCCCTTCCTACAGGGCACCAACCGCCTGTAAAGTGAGTGCCTACTACCTAGGCATGTACTGTCTGTACCTACCCAGTACTCGACAGCATGGGACCACCGTCCTTTTGTTCCCGATACAACGATTCTTCCTTTCCTTCCTTTTCCCCCTTCTTCCCCCAACAACTCCAACAAATTCGAGATGAGCGGCACCATCATCAACGTCAAGCGCCAAGACGCTCGTATGTTGGCGAATGCAACGCCCCGGGCCGCTTCCTCCGCAAAGAGCGAGCCCATGTCCGACAAGACTGCGGTAGATGCCGACGTTCCGCGCCCATCTCCCACTCCACTCGCAGCAAGACCCGGTCCCGCCAGCCGACGGACTGGCAGAGCGCACAAGTTCTTGCCCTTTTTGGCCGCCAGCTCCAGGCCCTGGCGCCGAGCCGAGGCATCGCCGCTCCCTTCGTGAGAGCACCCTTGCCTGGCCTACCGACCCTCTGTGCGCATACTGCTACGTACAACCGTCTCCGGCGCGCTCTCGGAACTGGAAACCATCTGCCAGATCAAGGCCTGCTGTCATCAAGGTTCAGCGACACTGTGCCGCCTCGCAGAGGCATTCCACATGCAAACAAGGCGCGTGGGGGACAAGGGGGCTCAGGCACATGCGTCTGCCCAGCCGTCGCACGTGCGTCCTATCCTTGTCCTTGCTTAGGACTGGACAAGCCTCTGCCGTCTGCATCTGTCGACGTTTGCCTTGTCGACATGCTCACCACCTCGGCCCTGCCTGCACCCCCAGCCATGAGCCCAGTACAAGGATGCCGCCACCCACCTCACCAGCTGCCATTCCAATCCAAGGCAAAGCCGGCATGACTCACTCGTCTTCAACGCCATCTGCAGCCAAGGCACCAACTCCTGCCACGACAGACGCACAGATCCAACGGGCTGGGATGAGCCTCGTGGCACTCAAAGCATGACAGGGGTGGCTCTGCTGCTTCAGGAGCAATACCCTGAAGAGTGAGAGAGAGAAACGTGTCGGACGCCTGTCTGGTAAGACTTGACCAAGCGGAGCCTACTCCGGACACTGGCTGCGATTCGACATGGTGATCAACGTGAGAGTGGATTGCAACTTGGATCACCTCGCAAAGCCCCCGAGTCTAGATCATTTGGACTCGCGAGCCCCAAGCGGTCAGGCGTCAGACGCTTGCTCCAGCGTCACGCCTGTCAGGATCCGTGTGCATGATGTGACCAAGGCACATGGCAAACCCGCTCTCTGCCATGAGGCTTCGGCATCTTGTTCGGCTCCCTGGAGGGATTTGGAGCCCATCGCAAAAGTCCCTCTGTCGGCAGTGTCGTGATTTGGTTGACATCGGTCTGGCGTGGCGTCAGCTCATCCAAGAGCAGAGAGGTCCAACACGTCCAGCCGCACTCAGCCCCTCTCATGTCCGTTGACCGGCATGACGACTGTTCCTCGGGTTCGTCGTATCATCGAGTCCTGCGGAGCCCGCCCGCCCGCATAGCCTCCGGACTGCTGTCAGCGTCTGGACCGGCAATGGGCCTGTTGAAACATGCTGTTTTGGGCACAAGCTCACGCCGCATCCCCTTGCATGGCCAAACCGGGGCCACGACGATCTCATATAAACGACGGCCGCCGATTGGCCCATGGTAGACATACAGTGCGGTCGCTGACCACCAATATGCACTCGTACCTCGCATGTACAGCAGACAACATACGGCCCTTTTTTTCCATCTCGAGGGGCGTCTGCACACGCCATAGCACACCCTCTTTCTCCTGTCTCCAACCAAGGGGGGAGCAAATCCAGTTCTAGGGCCACCATGGGTGGTGACAAGGGAAGTCCATCTCGGGGCCTCCGACTCTCTCGGCCGGTTTCGCGTCTTTCGGGCTTGCGTCCTCGCTCAGCCCTACGAGGACTCGCGGCTTTAATGACGCAAGAATCGACTCCAGAGCCCGCAGGTCGGGCTCCGCGGGCGGCCGCCCTGCCCTGCGTCCCGTCTGTGTCCGCCGGTCACCTTGGTCGGCCTGCAACGCAGGGCTCGAAGGACTCGACGGAGGTATTATTGGGGCAGATGTGCACTCGGAGTTTCCACCTAGTTTGAAGCAGGAAGAAGCAGCATTTCTACGTGCGTCGTGATTGGCTCGCGAAGTGTTGCTTGTTTAGCCCGGGACTTGGGACCCGCCCGGCTCCGTGGCACCGGCCCCACCTCCGTCCCGGACCCCTCTGTTTGCCTACCCGTCATTGCTCCTTAATTCCCTTAGACCTGTGGCGGCCACGGCTTGCCGGCGCTCATGGTGGCCAATGTCCAAGCTTCAATGCAGAGGTTCGCGTGTGTTTGCAGATGTCATGCGTGGCAAGGGCTATTTGTGCTGGGATCTTGTTGAGTCTCGCGTGCGACTGGGACAGCTGTGCAAGCTTCCCATCCTATGGTAAAACGCCCGTGTATTGTCTTTACGAGCAAAACACACGTCGAATGGCTTTCGTTGAGGCAGTAATTTGATAAGCTGCATCCTCTATAGTACAGGTGGCATTGGGAGCTTCTCGGAATCGACCTTCCGCCTGGCACTCTCCCGCATCTCGTGGTTACACCCTGCCCATCGTCTCCGCCTCGCGCTCTGCCCTGCGCTCTGCAGAACGCCTCTTGAACCGAATCTCTGCCCGCCGCCGCTCGCCACCGTCAATCTTGCGCCCCCGTCGCTGTTCCCACATGCCCTCCGTCACCTTGACCACGGCCCCGCCATGGCCCGGCAGCTGCCGCGCAAAGGGCCCGACAATCGACCTGGTCCCTTGCACCAGGTATCCACTGGGTCGCGGGAGCGTCGAGGGCGCCGGCTGCGCGTCCTCGGCCTCGCCGTGGGGGGCGTTGACGACCCACCGGGCGTTGCTGATGACCTCCGCCGGCGGCAGGGCCACGCGGAGCAGGGCCTCGCCGTCCTTTACGTGCTCAAAGTCGCCGCCGGGCCCGAGGGCGCCAGCGCGATAGCGCTGTAACCACTGCAGCAGGTAGCGCCGGGTGCGCGGGGGCTCGATGCCGATCTCCTTGAGCTCCGCGGTGGTGAGGGAGAAGAGCGACTCCCAGGTCGGGAACTTGGACGAGTGCTTGTTCAGCCCGCGGCCGACAAGGGTGAGGAATGTGTGGACGTCGGGGACAAAGGGCCGCGGCTGCGGTATTGTCGGGGGCGGTCTCGTCTTGTGAAGCTGTCTCGCCTGGTTCGCGCGGCAGATGTCGATGCTTGGCGCCAGGAGCCGCAACAACGGCCGGAGCGGTTGAGCTCTCATGTCTGGCTGATGGAGGATTTCAAGTCAGCAAGCTTGCTCGGCGAGCAAGTGCATGCGAAAAACTGTCAGCCATTGCCGCGAGACTTGCCTGTTTCGAGGTGTTGGGCCGGCGCAACTGCCAGAACGCGGTCTCGGAGCCGTCGTTGGACAACTCCTTGAGTGACTGCTCAGAATTTTGACGCTTCGCTCAGGGCCATTTACGTAAGCAAGGCTGATAAGCTCCTCCCCCCTTCCAGTCACAGATGACGTTGATCGGCTTTGTGCTTATCTATTGGCTGCCTTTTTATCGCGGCGGAGCTGAGCCGGAGCCAGGCTGGTAAATCCGCCCGTCTCAACTGGTCGCTTCTCCTCCCCCACGATTGTCACGATTGTCATGATTGTGCGCCTCTATGACATGCTACTCCGAAGCCATCTGATGAGATACTTGGGAATAGCGGCATGTGTGTTCTCCGGTCTGTTGATCGACAATGCCGGTAGCGCCCGCGCGGCCGCCAGGCAAGGCCGCAAGAGCGCATATCAATGTCGGATATGACGGTGCGCACAAGAGTCGGCGTCCTTGAGCAGCGCGAACAATGCTGAGACTGGAAATGACAGATGCCTTTCCCACCTCCGTCTCCGAATACCTCCTCGCCATTCCGTCCTCTGATCCCATCCAGGTCTGCCGCGATGCCTCGGCCGAACCATCTGCGAAGCGGCGCAAAGTCGAGACCCGCCCCGACCCTTCCCCCATATCTGTCGCAAAGAGCGAACTGTCGTTTTCTCGTCGATGCCAGGATATCGCGTCGATACACGTGTCAAGAACCATCCATGACGCCGGGTCTCATATAAAGTTTGGTCTGAGAGACGGCCTCCTATCCATCACCTCCCGTTCGCGCTCGCGCTCGCGCTCGGGCTTCCTCTCTACCTTGATATCCCTGAAACCTCAGGATGCGACCGATACCGCACGGGATATTCTGCAGTTCAACGGATACAACTCGAAGCGCACCTCGCCCGGATTCATTGGGAGCGTCGTGGACATGCAGATTGAGCGCCAAGACAAGACCATTCTGGTGAAACTCTTCTTGGAGCTGTTGTGGAACCAGACCCCATCACCGTATCTGCCGCTGGGCAACTCCTCCGACCGCAAGATTACGCAGAAAGCTATCAATGCCTTCTTTCCCCTCCCAGAAGCAGCCGGGGATGACTCGGCATGGTCTCCGATGGATTTCTATGACGCCGCGCACGTACCGCCCAAAGACGATCACGCCCCCCGAGGAATCGACGTCCCCGGCTTACAGGCCACGCTGTTCCCCTACCAGAAAAGAACCCTATGCTGGCTCCTCGCTCGGGAGGGGATGCAGTGGTCGCAAGAAGACTCGCGGCTTCGGCCAGTGCCAGAGGAGGGTCAAATGTCCACCATCGATAGCTTCAGACTGGTGCGAGACACAGATGGCCAACAAGTATTCGTCAGCGATGTGTTTCAGACCGTTACGCGCGATATATCCCCTTATCGAAAATCGGATTCAGCGGTCAGGGGTGGCATTCTGGCGGAGGAGATGGGACTGGGAAAGACCCTAGAGGTTCTGGGGCTCATACTACTCAATCCACGCCCAAGCCCGCCATCACCGGAAAACCACGTGTTTGCCGGGCCAAAGCTCACGCCAAGCCAAGCAACCCTGATCGTCACGCCGGAGTCATTGAGACAACAGTGGATGTCTGAAATAGCACGCCATGCCCCGACATTGCGCGTCATTCACTATCCAGGGTGCAAAAAGACGCAGGATGACGATGTCGGTGAGGCAGCGAGGCAGTTGGCAGAGTACGATATTGTCATCACCACGTACGCCGTATTATCCGCCGAGCTTCACTTTACCCTGGAACCCCCGCAGCGGGCCCGCAGGTATCAGAGGGCGTACCCTCGAACCATGTCGCCCCTCGTCAAGATATCGTGGTGGAGGCTTTGTCTAGACGAGGCACAGATGATTGAGAATGGCTACAGCCAGGCAGCCGCCGTGGCACGGGCGATCCCTCGAGTCAATGCTTGGGGCATCACGGGAACGCCGGTCAAAGACGACGTCAAAGACTTGTTCGGCCTCTTGCAGTTTCTTCGCTACGAGCCTTACTGCTACGCGCCTCCGATCTGGCAGGCGCTCATCAAGCGTCACAAGACGATATTCCAGCAAATATTTCGCTCTGTTGCCTTGCGCCACACGAAAGCGTTGGTACGAGACGAGATACGACTGCCGCCCCAAAACCGGTACGTCATCAGCATGCCATTCACTGCCGTCGAGGAGCAACACTATCAGTCCTTGTTCAAGGAAATGGCCCAAGAGTGCGGTCTGGACTTGGACGGCGTCCCGTTGGTTGAGGATTGGGACCCCGAAGACTACGAGGACGTCATGAGGACCTGGCTTAACCGCCTGAGACAGACTGCGCTGCATCCCGAGGTCGGAGTTTACAACCGCCGGATCCTGGGCTCTGGCAAAGACCGGCCAATGAGAACAGTCGAGGAAGTCCTCGGTGCCATGCTCGAACAGAGCGAGAATGCTATCAGGAATGACGAGAGGGCCTACCTTTCCAGCAGACTCACCCGCGGTCAGCTGTATGAAAATAGTCCTCAGGTGAAGGAAGCACTTGCCATCTGGGAAGATGTGCGAGACGAGACTGAGAAACTTGTGGCAGATGCCCGCATGAAGCTCGCGGATGCCATTCGGGAGCAAGGCGGCGACAGCGCCGTCGAATCGGCTGAGCACGACGGCTCAGTGGACTCCTCAGAGTCTGAAAACGAGAATGACGGAGACAGTAATGGACGGATTGGCGAATGCCGGCGCAGACTGCGGTCAGCCCTGGAACTCCACCACAAGGCCATATTCTTCTGCGCCAACGCATACTTTCAAATCAGGGAGAACCCGGTCATGACAGATCCAGAGTCGGAAGAATACGGACGACTGAAGAAGCTCGAGGACTCTGGGTACGAAAAGGCAAAGATCATCCGAAGGGAGATATTGCGCGAGAGCAATCGCAAGGCCAGTCACCTCATGGGAAAAATTGAACAGGGCGCCCGTCGGCAATCCTTTACCGAAATTCCTGAGCTTATCGTCAAGCCAGAAAAAGGGATGGAGAGCTGCCGCATCGTGGATAGGTTAGAAGTGCTGTACGGCGAGCTGAACATCCAGGCCAACGTGCTCGATGAGTGGCGGGAGGAAGTCGTGCAATTGCTTTTGCGCCCGCTTGTGGACGAAGAGGAGGACGTGGAGACGACGGGCGAGGAGTTTGCCGATTCTGCCAGATTCCAGGAACTGCTCTTGGTCTACCACCAGGCCCTGCGAACCGCCATTGCCGATCGCCTAGACGCCATCTCTGGACAGACAAACGAGCTCGTTAGGCATGAGGCCGAGTGGTCGATTAAGCTCGCCGAGCAGGGAGAGGGGCCTGCGCCCGAGAAGATGCTCGAGATGCTGCAGAAACGAGCAGAAGTGCAGCCGAAGCTGGCCCAGATATCAATGCGAGGGGCAATCAGCGACTTTCGCGGCCTCCAGTCACGAGCGAGCGGCTCAGCTGCGCAGGGCTCGCGCGAGGCGATCGAGTCACGGATCGCGGCAGATCAGCTCAAGGCGACGCAAAGGCAGCTCAACGAGCAGAACAAAGCTGCTCTGGCTCTGGAGTCCGAGATTGAAAAGTTCAAGGCGGCCATGAACACTCGCTTGGAATACTACCGCCAGCTCCAGGGCGTGTCGGACGCCGTCCTGCCTTACGAAGGTTCCAAGTCGCAGGAGGCGGCCGCGAGCATGAAGCAGGTGGAAGAGGACCTGCGCCGGAAGCTGTCATCGGCACAGGCGAAGCACCGATACCGTGAGTCTTGTCCGAAAGAGTGGAGGAAATCGAGGCTAACCTGCATGGTCAGTTCAAAACCTGAAGGAGGCGGGCTCCAGGTCCAACGAGCCTCGCATGTGCGTCATCTGTCAGATGCCGTTTGAGACGGGCGTCTTGACCGTCTGCGGCCACCAATTCTGCAAGGAGTGCATGGTCATGTGGTTCAAGGCGCACCACAACTGTCCGGTGTGCAAGAGGGGCCTCAAGCCGTCCAATCTACACGACATTACCATCAAGCCGCAGCAACTCGAGCTGAGGAGCGAGGACTCGGGCCAGCCCGCCGCGGGAGACGAGGGCAAAGGCCCTGGGCAGAAGCGAGAGGGCGCCGCGACGCGCAACACGGCAATCTACTCCGAGTTCAACGCGGAGAAGCTGGCCGAGATCAAAAACGTGGAGCTGGACGGACCGTCATTTACGACAAAGGTGGACACGCTGGTGCGGCATCTGATGTGGCTGAGGGAGTCGGACCCAGGAGCAAAGTCGATCGTCTTCTCGCAGTACAAGGAGTTTCTCGGGATCCTGCGCAACGCCTTTCAGCGCTTCCACATCGGGCACGCCTCCATCGACGACGCGCAGGGCATCGCGCGGTTCAAGGACGACGCCGCCGTCGAGGTGTTTCTGCTGCACGCGCGCGCGCACTCGAGCGGGCTCAACCTCGTCAACGCGTCGCACGTCTTCCTGTGCGAGCCCCTCGTCAACACGGCGCTGGAGCTGCAGGCCATTGCCCGAGTCGACCGCATCGGCCAGCGGCACGAGACGACCGTCTGGCTGTACCTCGTGTCCGGCACTGTCGAGGAGAGCATCTACAACCTCTCGGCCCGGCGGCGCATGGAGCACCTGCGCCGCGGCGTCGCCGCCGCCGACAAGACCAGGGCGGACGCCGACGGCGGCGGCAGCCTCGAGGCCGCCAACACGCTCGAGCTGGAGCACGCGGCGCTCACCCGCCTGATGAGCAAGGACCGCTCCGCCGGCGAGATGGTGGACAGGGGCGACTTGTGGGAGTGTCTGTTTGGGCACGTGGGCCGGCGCGCGGGCCCCGCGGCGGAGGCGCTGCGGCGGGCAGGGCGGCGGGGCTCGCTGCAGGAGAAGGCCGTCATGAGCTACCTGGCGGGCGAGGCGGCAGAGAAACGGGCGCGAGAGGGCGGATGAGGGAGGCCCTCGACCATCTTTTCAACGAGGGGCGGATCATCCTGGCCCCTGACTTCCCCCCGTTCTGCGCCTGCTTTCTTCCTCTCCGAGTTGCACACTCTCAGCGCATATACCCACCAAGGGGAAGAGAGGCGCGATCGTCAAGCAAGTAGGCATATATAGAAGGGGGAAGCGGAAGACGCCGAACCGCCTGACAGGAAGGCCCCCCTTATTTGCATCCCAGAGGTCTCCCAAAATCCATGAACTTGAAAACCCAAGCCGAGCAAACAATCCCCCCTTCTTGTGCCCTCCTCCTCCCGGGACGCATATTAAATACACACGGGGAAATGGCCTAAATCAACAGGAAGCGGCTGAGCGAGACGAGACGTCGATTCGTGCCTCCTCTTTTCAACCATGACTTGTTGATTTGCCACTGGCTTCAACGCCTGCATTTACAAGGCTTGCTTCCGTCCTTTGTGTCCCTTACAAGTGCTTTCCTTTTTCTGAACTCCCAGTCCGATTCCTTTTCTTCAGCTGCCTCCCCCTATGTGAGTGCCAAGCCAGCCCCTCGCTGAATGACAGAGAACCGTGTCAGATTCACCGTCGGCTCGAAAGCACAAAAATCGTACAACGTCGACGCGCGCCGGGTAAATAAATGCAAGGCCCGACACCGAGCTTGGCAACGCATCCCCGGGCCTGGAGGGCGTGCACTCAGTGCGCCGGCGTCAAATCATCGGCGCACGAGCTTAGTCGACAATCTTCTTCTTGCCGCCAAGGCCAGACTTGACGCGCTTGGCGACGGGAGGGGTCATGTGGTGCTGGGGGATCCAGCTCTCGTCGTAGGCCTTGCTGGCGCCCGTGGCGACGCCCGTGGACTCGGAGCCGGAGAGGGCGGCGTCGGCGTCGGCCGCCTTTTTGCTCTTCTTGGGCTGCTTGGCGCGTTTGGCCTGGGGGAACAGAGCCTCGATCCACGTCTTGTAGACAAAGTAGAGGGTGCCGGCGAAGGCGGCCGAGAGGACGACGTAGAGGAAGATGCTGCGCGGGCCATCTCTTAGCAGGGGGGGCAGGGGGGTGGGTATTTGTGTCCAGGAGGATGACGTACATCTGGGGATCAAAGAAGCTAGTGGGAGCCTCGACAATGGCAGCGGTCTCGTTGTGGACGGGGATGCGGAAGAGGTTCCCCTTTGCATTGGTGATGACGGCCAGGATCTGGAGACGAACATCCTGCGGCTGCATGTCGAGGGCAAACGAGAAAGGAAAAGTCTTGGACTCGCCGGCCTCGACGGCCAGGTTGTACTGGACGGCGGTGAGGTTGCGCAGGATGGCCTGGTAGGCGGGGGCATCGTCGGGCAGCTTGGCGGTGGAGGTGAGGGCGCCGGCGAGGAAGGCGACGCTGATGGGCGCGTCCTCGTTGTTGGTCACCTCGACGAGGGCCTTTGTGGGGCGGCCGTTGACGAGGCGGACGCCGAGGATGTCGGCGTCGGGGAAGGTCGTCTTGACGCTGGCCGCGAGCTTCTGCGGGTCGCTGACCTTGGGCTCGGATGCGCCATCAGCCTAGACAGTTGCGCGCGCCAGCTGTAAGCCATCTGCCGCCGAGGTCTGGCGCGTACGAGGGACAGAAGAGCGACAGGAGCACCGTCACTCAATCAATTGCCCAGGGGAGCGGTGCATCGGAGTAGCCGTGCTTGGTGAAGCCTCTTGCTTACCTTGGACGCGGCGCCCCAGACCTGCTGGGCGGCCAGGAGGGCGAGCAGAGACGAGGGGAAGAGCATGGCGACGGCGATATCGAGTCGACGACTCAGCGGGAGGAGGGTGGTCGAGGAGGCGGCGGAGGAGGGGGGAGGGGGATGGTGGTGAAGGGGGAGGAAGAGGCAAAGGAGGGCCTTGGAGATGGAGATGGAAGAAGAGCTATGTGGCCTCTGTGCCTGTATGTACAGCTACTGCAACGAGAAGGGGAGGGGGAACCTGTCTGCCCGTTTTCAGAGCACCTCTCCTGTGGGTACCTTGGAAGTACATTGTACACGAGGTTAGATGCTTGAGCCTCTTTCTGGCCATCAAGTTATCAACAGCTATATACTCTCTCGACAACAAGCTTGATGACTTTGTTCCGAGCTTCAGTCACCATTCCTACCAACTCTTTCATTTACACTCTAGTCAAAATCGAAAGGCTACGTTTAAAGTCCAGCCCGCTGAAGACAGCATCTGCTCGAGCTCATCAACCGCTCTTGACTGACAAGACAGCCCTCATGGCATCGGCCAAAACATATTGAAAACAATGCCAATCCAGCATGAACCTCCCCCCGAGGCAACGCCGTTACCGCTGGTATCACAACAGGCCAAGGATGGCGACAATAGAGAGAGTAACCCAGAAAAAGAGAGAAAAACGGGGAGAAATCATAGCCGAGAGCCGCAACTTCGTCTCCCTCAGCTCCCGCCCAAGTCCATGCCGTCCCAGCCGTTGAACATGTCCATGCTGGTGTCGATGCCTCCAAAGAGATCCCCGTCACTCGTCGTATCGAGGCCACCACTGCTTCCAGGCCCGCCCAGCCCCAAGTCCGACGACATGCCTCCCATCCCCATGTCCAGACTCACGCCATCGACCGCCATGGCGTCGCCTGGCACTCCCGCAGCCGCCGCGGCCATGGCGTCACTGAGCCCGCCCGACGCCCCGTTGAGGTCCAGCTGCGCTTGCAGCATGGCCTGCGGCTGCGGCAGCACCATCTGCGCCTCGACCCTCCGGTGGAGCCGAACGACAATCTCGGCCAGTGTCGCGTCCTTCTTCTGCAGCTTTCGGCATTTCTCCGCCTCCGACTTGAGCACCTCGCGCAGTGTCAGCCGCCGCTGCGGCGCCGGAGCCATGGTCCCGGCCGCGTCCAGTAGGCTTGGCGCGGCGGCCGGCTCGTTGGTCACATCTGGCGCGCACACCAATGCTGACACCACATCGTACACGACGCTTGCGCTCGCCGTCTCCGACTGATGCCGAATCTCTTCCACCATCATGCGAAGCACTGTACCAGTCCCGGCCATTCGACACGCCGCAATCATCTGTCGATGCGTGTACGGCGTCGGCATGATATTGAGTCCATGGTGCATGCTCCACTGCACAAGGGCTTGCACCGTATGCTTGACGGCGGCAGCGAGGCCTGTGCTCGAGCTGGTCGCCCACAACTCCAGCTCGCTCTGGTCGGCACCTCCCGTCCGTCGCGAGAGGGGCAGGTTGTCCTTGAGAGCGCGGAGAAGCGGCTCAATGTCCTGGTTCTTGGGATCTTGCTTCTGGTACGACCGCAGCGAAGACTCGAGCGGCTTGGCTATTACGTTCTTCACCGACGTCAACATAGTACTCGCCTCGCCCGAGATGGAGCTGGGCAGCAGGATCAATTGCAGGATCTTGATGATGGACTTCTGCTCCTTCTGCTCCACCCAGAGATAGTCTGCCAAGAACCGGATCGCTGGCACTAACGACGGGAGCAGGAACGTGTCCACGACGTCTAGTGAGGCTCGGTCAGCTTACCAGTCGTCCGTCGTCCTGTCTTGGCCCAGACTTACACTCTATACCGCTTTTGAGGCTCTCGTCATTCAGATAGCCGTGCGTGTAGGCGACCACAATGTTCTGAAAAATGGTCGCGACGAGGAGATAAAAGTCTTGGGGCGGGCACGATGCTATCAGATCGTCCGCAAGCCCCCCGGTCTCGCTGTCAAAGAGGCCATGGATCCATCCGCCCACATGGCCGTTTTCTTGCTCCGTCAGTTCGCTCAGTCGACGGCTGAGATGCCCTCGACTCAGTATCTTGGCGACGCATGAGTCGGGCGACGTGACGCCAATATCGGCGGCCGTCAACTTGTAGCGGCAGGCGTACGCGAGAACCAGCAACAATATGGCGCCGAATTCCTCGTAGATTGGCTGGTACTCGCCTTGGTCGTCGTCATATCTCCAGCCATCCAGGAGCTGACAGAGGGGCTCGAGGATGGCGGGCAGCTTCTCGAATAGCAGCAAGATGTCGAGGGACTGAGGTTTCTGGGCCAGCTGGCCGCACAGCAGCTTGAGCGACATGGTCTCCTTGCTGTTGCATAACTGGCGCATCAGCTAAAAGGAGTCAGCAACATAAAATAACGAGGTTTGAGGGCAAGAAAAGCTACGTTACCTCGACGAGAGCCTGGCAAACAGCGCCGACGTTGCCGTCCATTTTGTCGAGTTCCCGGACCAAATCCTGAATTTTCTCCGGGTCAGACAGACAGCCTTGCACGAGCTTATCTTTGGAGTACTTCTCCAGAGATGGCTCGTACGACATGGACGTTTCCCCCAGTATCCTCTCGACATGTTCCCTATGAACCAGGCCGTGGAGGGCACAGGCGGTGCAGAACTCTTCTCTGACGCTCTCGGTGTACGGGTTGTTGCTGCGTGATTCGTCAAACATGAGTGAAGCCGTGGGGAACACGCTCGTGTCGACTTGGTTGAGAGCCTCGGTGATGCAAAACTCAGACGAGGCGGTGGAGAACTGGGGAGAGAAGAGCTGGCAAAGAAGCAGAGGGACCTTGTTGATGAGGAATGAGCGTAAGAGATGAGCGTCTCTGGGGCCCTCGTGGCGAAACACAGCGTTGGCGAGGATATCAAACGACGCCAAGATGAGGTCGATGGCGCCTGACTGAGTCTCGCCCTATTTCGGTCGTCAGCCTTGAACCCATCGGCGAATAGGTAAAGAGGTGTTATACCTGATATCGGTTATGAGGAAATGACAGCAGCACGTTATCGTCAATCACCGGTCGTCCCGCGAGCTGGGCCATGCGTTAGCAGAGATGCTCGCCAGGGAGATGGCACGCTTGGAAAAGAGAGTGGAAGATCTTGAGGAGATCTGGACGCGAGGATACGTACCGCGGCGTTCAAGTATACATAGAGCCCGGCCCGTGTGTTGGGGATGAGCATGTGTGGAATGACAAAGTTGTCGAGCCCGACGGCAGGATCTAGCAGCTCGTCCATGGCTGCGTTTGCGGCGGCCTGGTTTCTCTTGTCCACTGGGTCCAGGCGGCCCAATATCTCGCTGCGAAAGACCTCGAGCCTTTCGACAAAACCGGGAGCATGTTGCAGGGTGTGCATGAAGCTTGACAGGCTCTGGGAAAGCTCCTTTCGCACGACTAGAGGACGAGTTTTCGTGAGAAACAAAGGACAATTACTGGCGCGATCACATGACCATACCTTTGGCGAACGGCTTGCTGATGGCCTTGACGAGGGAAGGCGTCTCGACCAAGCGCAGAAGCAGGGGGACAAAGGCGGCGCGAGCCACGTCCATCTCGTCGCGGATCTGTGAATTTTGCACTTGTCCCAGGACATCGGTTGTGAAGGCGGTAAAGGCTGAGTTGAAGAGGTTCATCCACTTGCACACGATCCTGACGAGGACCAGGGCGGCGCGCGTGTCGCGAAAGGCGGAGCCCTCGACGACAGTCTTGATGACGTGATAGAACATGACCTCTTCGGCCCACGATGAGCTCCTCCAGAGCCGCTTGTGCTCGGCCGCTTTTGTACCGTTCCCCCCAGTAGCGTCGCCATTCTGGGATTGCGGAGGCAGGGCGTGCAGCGAGGAGTACTTGTAGAGGGTCTGAAGGATTGACGGGGCGTCGACGTAGCCGAGCTGAGAGAGGACTTGGATGTAGGGTGGGATGCGCGGATCGAGGCTGACGTCGTTTGAAGGCTGCGGCTTCAAGAAGATATCGGCGACGAAAATGGGGGCCAGGGGATGCTTGGCGTGGATGAGCGGGACGAACTGTTGGAAGCGGTCGGTCTCGAGGCGTTCCGAGATGCACCTGGATATAAAGTCTGACCAGTGGGCTACTGATTCGCGCAAAGCGCGTCTGCCCTGGGCGCTGGAGTCCATGGTCGAGGCGCGGATTGGGGAGACAGGTGGCGGCGCGGCGGAGTGCGACGGGGTTGGAAATGAGGCTATTCAGAAGAATAGAGGCCGCTATTAGTGGGAGCCGAGACGTGGGATGGAAACGAGGCCATCCGCCATGAGGAGGAGCGTGGCTGCGAGCGGCAGCTTCGGGCGAAGCGGTGGTCGCGTCCGGCGGGGATTGATTGCGCAATGGGGATGAAGGCGAGGAGAGTGAAGAAGGGAGGACGTTTGGTGGTGAAGTCGGAGAGCCTGTCGTGGCGTCCCTCGTCCAGAGGTACAGGAAGGTACAGCACCGGTACCGACAGCGCGCACTGATTAACGGTTCTTATCTTATCTGCTGAAGCAGGAATAAATGGAGACATTGGTGGGGGAGCTGGAATGGGCTATCGAGTGCAGGTACAAGGAGATACCTGGTCGCAGTATCCGTACCTGCTTGAGTCGTCTGCTCACCGCCCGTTAACAGCGAGGCATCCTCTGGCACTGCAACGAGGCAGCCATCTATGAAACACCTACTGAAAAGAGGACGAGGGACGGGGGCGATTTGAGAGCCCAGGTCCCATGAAAGCCAGCCGCCAACGCCTACCGGGACCGTTACTTCTTCAGACATTCCCCATGACCCCGGGTTCGATGCCCTCGAGAACGCCAGTCAGCTCGCCCCAGAGCTTGTCCATGACCCTCTCGCCCTCGTCCCCGGCCATGAGCGACGGCCACACGTGCAGCTTGCAATTGGCCATCCACCGGCCGTGCGTCTCATCGTTGCTAAAAGCCGCCGCCATGAGCGTCCGCGACCCCACCTCGGCAGAGCGGCCAAAGACGGCAAATGCGGGCCCCATGGCCCAGTTGAAGGGGAAGGGGATGCGCCGGAACAGCTGTGTCCTGCAGAAGCCCGGGTCGAGCGAGTTGACGACGACGCGGCCCTTTCCCGAGGCGTCGGCGGCCTGGGCCAGCTTGCGCATCGCCATGAGCTGCATGAGCTTGGTGGTGTTGTAGCGCTCGTAATAGTTTCGGTTCACCTTGAGGCGGTTGAGCATCTCGTCGGCCCTCCTCTCCGGGAAGTAGGTCTGTTGCGGCCGCGTGTTAGCCATGAGAGACACCTGGGGCCAGGCCCACGCACCAGAAAGGCGCCGCCCGACGAGACGATGACGGCGTGTGGCGTCAGGTTGAAGCGGGTGCCCGTCCGGCGGAGGGTGGGCAGCAGCAAGACGGTGAGCAGCAAGGTCGAGATGACATTGACCGTCACCATAGTCTCGTGGCCCTCGGACAGGGCCCAGTCAAAGGCGAGGACGCTGGCGTTGTTGAGGAGCACGTCGAGCCTCTCCAGCCGGGCTGCCCGGGCGGCAAACTCCTTGACGCTGTCGAAGGAAGCGAGGTCCAGCTGCCAGACGTCGATGACACCGAGGCGCTTTGTAGAGCCCTCGATGTCGTGTTGGGCGGCCTCGGCCTTGTCGACGCTGCGACATGCCAGGATCACCTTAGCAGCATTGAGGCGCACGAAATGGCGCGCGGCTTCGAGACCGAGGCCTGCGATTGGGCGTCATTAGACTTGGTACACGAACTACGGATAGGGCTCGTCATTTTACCAGAGTTGGCGCCCGTGACGATTATGGTTCGGCCAGTGCAGTCCTCGTTGGGATACGGGAGCGTCGCAAACTGGCCCAACAGCGAGCCCAATAAAGCCATTTGGCTGTGATACGGCCGAGTCTCCTTCAAGGCTGCGCGTGACGTTGAAAAGGCGCGATGGGATTTCTCGGGCCGCACATCTGTAAGTACCTAAGGTACCTAACCCACCTCCAATGGTTGCTAGTGGCTGTTGTTTCTACGTATTGATCGCCCTGGGAGTCCGGCACTAACAATTGATTCGTGAGCCAACGGTCAGATATTCTCAAGTGCAAGGTACATACATCCTTTTAAACTCTAGGTACCTACCGAGGTAGGTATCTTAGTAGTGGAGCAGAGGGTAGGTACTTCGCATTGTCCCCATCTACTATAGGTACCTACCTAGGTATCTACCTACATACCTGTACCTAAAGTATCCGGTATAGCGAAGTAGGGTTTATATACATAAATGCCTAATGCCTGAGGAACCCATATTGAGCAACCCCCGTCCCAAATCCTTGACAGCTCCGCAACGGCTTGTCTGCACCCATCGTCAGCGTTCAACAGCAGCAGCCATGCCTCCTCGTCTCGCATCGCAATTTCACCTTGCTCGGACACTTCCCATCAACGTGAACAGACTTTTCCTCTCTCGTAGAGCGCTCCACGAGGCAAAGGCGGATTTCATCACCCTCGACTCGAATGGATCCCCAACCACACGCAAGCTCGATATTTTCATCGGGGACCCTCACGAAGCCGTCATCGCGTTCGATAAAGATGTAGGCTTTGCCATGAAATCTGCCATCGCCAAGAAGACAGGCATGTGCCACGTTTCAGATTCAGAAAAGATGCCCTTGACATTCTTCCACGCGTCTCGGCATTTTGCACATGGTACGTTTCCAGTTCGATGTCAGTATGGCCGAGTTAACGACAGCAAGGCGCCATACCATACCCGCGCATAGTCATCGAACGGGATCTCCCACGGCAGAACGCGACCGACACGAGTCCTGCAACCCTTTGGCTTTGGGGCGCTTCACACTCTATCACCCTCGATGGCACACCAGATTGTGAGTCCGTCCGTCCTTGAAGAATGATAGTTGCTTATTTGGTATTTAATAGATGCATTCGAGGTAATCTCTAGAGAGAGTCACGAGAGGCTGAAAGGAGCAGCTGAGCTCCTGCGGAATAGGTGATGCGAGGGCTCGTACACTCCATGTGTCCCGGGAAGAAAAGGAAGGCCGGCGGCATGGTGTCACTGCTTTAGGGACAAAATAAATTTGCATTGTGTACCAATTAACAAGAGGAATACCACCCACGTCAGACTTGGTTCCTCCACTCGCTCTCTCGGCTAGCACTCCACAGCGTTCTTGCCATACTCTCTAATCTCCTCAGTCTCATCTTCCAATGGCTTCGCAATGCTGGCATAGTAGTTCCCCAGATGCTCGGCCGTCCACTCGCTTGTGGCAACAAGAACATGGGCATCGGCAAGTCCATTGTTGAGTTCAGTGTCTTCTTCGGCCATGGGCTCTTTCTGTAGCTGGTACCCGTTGATCTTGAGGAACATGTCTGCGGCGAAAAGAGCAGTCCGCTTGTTGCCGTCTTGGTATGGGTGGTTGAGAATCACCTTTTGAGCAAGGACTCCAGCCAACTGGAAAATGTCTGTTTGTCCGTAGTGTTTGTGGTTCATTGGTGAGCTGATGGCGGACTCTAGCATGGGAGACTGGCTCGGCGACGATCTGGCGATATGCCTAATATGCAGCCTTTTGACTTGCCAAGCAGTGAGAAAACGGTATCTGATGGCTGAAGCCATGATGTGCTGATGATGCAAGAAAGAGGCAAACTGGGATGACCGAAGTCCGTTCGAGTTGAGAGCCCTTGGAGCCTGCCCGGATGGGGGGACTGTCTGCGACGCTAATGCAGGTCGAGGGAATACTGGCCGATGATTGGCTTGAATCGAAATACGTATTTCCTTCCGCAAGAAAGCCGTCGGCAATGTTTGGTAAGAGGTGTCAAAACTTTAGCCCTGCGGCCTGCCTGACGAGGCACGCGCGGAAAAAAAACCCGCCCCGTCAGCATCTTGTCGCGGCGGCGGATGAGCTTTGTCGATGGGGCAAAAAACTAAAAATTTCCCCATGCGACGCTATTCGTAAGTAAAAGAGAGCCTGCCTGTTCAAAATGATATGTTGATTGAAGCTGACGAAAGCGTAGGTAAAGCCTGTGCAAAGAGATTTCCTGGAGCCATTTCTTGATTGGCTGGCAGTCGCCATTTATGGGTCCTGCGCGTGACCTGACAAGCGGCAGCACCAAAGGCAAGAGGTAGAGAGAGGCAGCCATCGGTAAGGTAAGGTAGGCAAGGGAGGGCGTAACAAGAGGTAACTTAGAAGCAGCGCGCCAGCTACCTACCTAGGTACCCATCCGTACTCCGTTCCGTAGAAAGTCGTCGGAATTAATTCTAGTACCCTGGTAGCTAAACGCATTCTCCACCGCCAACGCCTTCTGCTGCCTGGCAAGAGTCACGAAACATTGCCTTGACGTCCCGCGAGCCTCGAGCCCTCAACTTGTGCAGCTTCTACGGAGCTTGCACTCATCTTCGGTCCAGTGTGCCCTTGCATCTCTGCCCTTCCAACTTGCTCTGTGGCTCGCTCCCAATAATCCCAACAAATCCGCCAAAACGCCACGCGCTCGAAAGTCAATCGCCTCGCGGCCCTCACTTCTCAAACGTCGTCATCATCGTCTTCTTGCCCGCCGCATACAGCGGCGCATAGTTGGTGCCCAGGAACCGCCCCTTGGCATACCACACCAGCAGGCTGAACAGCCTCAGGCTCCCCATTTGGCCCGCCCCGCGGCTGCGGCCCAGCGTCACCGCCACCGTCTCCTTGGTCTGCGCCGTGTAGCCGGGCGACTTGCCGCCGTCGAGGTGCACCGGCAGCGCCTTGATCAGGTGCTTGGCCTGTGCCTCGGCCGCCTGCGCCTTGGACGCCTCGAGGTTACCCGCGTCGCCCATGACGAAGATGTCGTCGAAGCCCTCGGCCGTCAGCCGCCCGGTCTGCTTGATGTAGCCGCGCCCGTCGAGCATACTGGCCGGCGCAAACGATGTGTTGGGCGTCACCCCCGTCGCGGGGATGTACGCCTGCGCAGTGAGCGTCCGCGTGCTGCCGTCGGCGTGCCGCAGCTCCAGCACCGTGTCGCGGCCCGTCCGGCTGACCTTGGTCACGGTCGTGTTGGCGATGACCTTGACCTTGAGCTTGTCCAGCTCCGCCCTCGCCTGCTTCCTCACGCTCGCCAGCACGGGCGGCGCCAGGGGCAGGGTGTCGCCGTGGACAAAGTAGACGTCCTTGTCGCCGCTCTTTGCGTACTCGAAGCCGAGCTCGCCCGCCGTCTCGGTGCCCGTGGCGCCGCCACCTGCCACGACAATCGTCTTTGCGTCCTTGATGTCGCTCTGCAGGCTGTGTAGCCTCTCCGACGTCTTCTCCGCCGTGTCGAGGAGCTTCCACGGCATGTTGTCCTTGGCCGACGCGCCCGTGGCGATGACGAGCGTGTGGTACGAGACGGAGCGGGTGCTTTCGGCCTCACCGAGCGCCACCGTGACCGTCTTGGCCGACGGATCCAGCGCGGTGGCCTTGCCGAGGACGAACTCGAACTTGTCGGCGGGGTACTGGCCAAAGATGGAGTCCCAGGGGAACATGACCTTGTCGTCGGCCAGCTGGCCGGGGACCATGACGCGGGGGATGGCAATGGGCCAGTAGAAGTGGGAGTTGGGGGCGACGACGACCATCTTGAGGTCCTTGCGGGTGAGGACCAGGGTGCGCATCAGCTGGCGGATGAGGGGCGCGGCCGCGAGGCCGGCGCCGAGGATGACGATGGTCTTGGCCATGTCGCAGCAATGCCTCGGGGCGGGAAGATGGGGGTCTTATAGTCGGGCTTGGCAGGGGAAGATGATAAGGCAGAACTTTGTCAAGAGTTTTGCAGTGCCGAATGATGGATGGGTGTGGGGAGAAGCAAAGGAGATGGGGTGAAGACGACTTACATTGTTGTCTATATATGCTGTTTTGGAACCGACAAATGCAGGAGCAATGAAAGAAGCCGTATAAGGACCATCGTCACCGTCTGCAATCCACGATTTGAAATCCGAGCTTGCACATGTAATCGGCCTCGGCCAGCCATGCCCAAACAAGGAGCCGCGCGGTAAAACAGTCGAGCCAGCAAAGCATGGGCCCAGAGTCAAGGGCTAGACGCCATCCAGGCCTTGTCCGTCCTCGGCCCTAGCTCTCGGCTAGGCGACTCAGGGGCGCATTTGAGAAGCGAGCATGCCCCCTGACCTAGGTACCGGTAGTTATAACATTCAAATGCGACAAGCGGCAGTGTGCAGGGTCAACGGGACTCGGGCCTGCGGAGGCCTTTTCGAGTCCGGATTTGTCAGGTCCCCACCCGCGTCGGCCAATCAGGTCCCGTACCGCCGGCCTCCCGTTCCGCGGCGGGCGGTCCGGGGCTTTGCCGAGCCAAGGGAGGGCGTCGACGGTTGACGGCGTGCTTTTCCACATTCACACGCCTTCGTGGATTGCGGACTTGGACTGCCGCATGCTCACCCGCCGCCATGTGGTCCCTGCTCGACCGTCACCGTCGTGTGCAGGCCGCACGGACAGTCCTGCAGGTCCCGGGCCCGGAGCGTGCGGCAAAACCCCCCCCCCGGGGGGTCTGAACAGCAGCCCCGAGGACTGGCATCTGTACACGTTCTGTCCTCTGGTCTTCGTCACCCCTCGTGTTCCGTCTTGTCAGCCTCCAAGCCGCGCATTGCCCCTGGCGGGACGTGGAACTCGAGCTGTACGTGGGTGAATGCCTCCCGCCTCGCCGGGGCGTGTGGCCGCGCGTGCTTCCCATGTACGTGACTCTGGCGAGAGCTTCAGTCTCGCTCGGCCTCGGCCTCTCCGCCTGCACCTCGTGTGAATCACCACCGCCTCCCCTTGGCATCGGGTGAAGGTGGCCTGCTCGTCGCGCCCTCTCTCCACACTCTCCCGGTCCTGGCTCGCATCACAAGAGACACCATCAGCCAGCCGTGGCACCCACCGGCTCACAGGTAGAGAACATACCATCGCGTCGGCCCCGTGCCGCTGAACAACATGAGAAGCGAACAAGAATGCTTCACCAAGCGCCGAGGCCGTTCACGACGCACTCCCACACCACGAGTCCGAGTATAAAGACCCGCCCCGTCCCCCTCTGCTCGTCCACCTCTTCCTCCCTTCCTCTCCATCCCCCATAGGATCGCTACAGCTACGACACACACAGACTCCCCGACCAACTGCGGCTCGGGTGCGTGTCTTTGTCCGGCCCCGGCCCGCGAGCTCATGCTCCAGCACCTCTGGTCGTGCCCTCACATGGCCGCGGACAAGTACTGGTGCTACGACGGCGATGGGATCGAGCAGCTCGGCGACGTCAAGTGCAGGCGCTGCTGTCTGGGCCATGCGTCCAAGAGGAAAACGATGGTGTCCATGGCCAGGAGCTTCACATAAAGCTCACGCCGAGAGGCGACGACCATCTCTACATTGTCCTCGTAAGGCTCATCACGCATCAGACGGCTCGCAAGTGTCCAACAGCCATTGCTGTCCTGGTCTCAGCCGTCCGCCGCGCAGCCGAGCCTCACTTCCTCCTCGCCGTCGACGCCGCTGTCTTGGCTTCCGAACCGGCGCGTCGCTCGACGGCGTTCGCTAGGCGAGCAAACCTCGGCATCTGGACAGCCATGGTCCCGGCCGGGGCCCGTGTGGACGGGCGAAGCAGACCAACCTCAAAAAGTCAACTCGCCCGCGTCGCCCGACGCCAGCCTATCGCCCCCCCGGCCCTGCCAAGACCAAGAAGGAACGGCTGCCGCGGCCTTGCTAGGAGTTCATCATCTTGCATGCTGCTCGCCTCGTCGCCGCCCGACACCATCAGAAGCCTCGAGAGCCAAGGGCGGCCGGACAGCACATCTCCACCGCGGCATTTACAGCCTACTGGAGGCCGTTCCGGGCCATTGGTCTCTCACGGCGACAGCCCTTACCCTCGCCGGCGACGGCACCAGCTGCCGAGCTACCTACGCCCCTGTCATTTAGACCACTCGGCGCCGCCCCGGTGCCAGCACGGCACCATCTCTATACCGTCCTCGACACTCAGGCCACCGCCCGCGGTCAAGATCCTGTGCTTCGGCTCCCGATGCGACGACTGCCAGGAACACGGCCCGGCTCGAGATGGGAGTCCGGCTGTGTTAGTATGCCGAGACCAATATTGTCCAGCATGAATGCATTCCATTATTGTGCCCGACCCTCGGGCCGTCGCCCGCGGTCAAGCAGGATCCTGTATTGAAGCACCCGATGCAAAAGGCGACTGCTAGGGACATGGCCCGGCTCGAGACGGGAGTCTGGCGGTGCCAGTACATGGACCCCGTCACCAAACCACGACAACATCTCCATATCGCCCTGACAGGACCCGGCTCCAGATAGAGCCTGGCGGTGCCAGTACATTGGGCCTGTCACCACATCACGACAGCATCTCCATACCGTCCTCGACATAGTAGCCGTCGCCCGGGAAGTTCCGATATCGAGCCACCCGATACAGCAACTTCCCGGGACGTGGCGAGACGAGACGGCTCACATGTGAAAGCTTCACAACTGTAACACCTTGAATCCGTGCTCCAAGAGACTAAGCATCGAGTCCTTTCCCGTAAACGGAAAAGGATGGAATGACGGTGTCTTGATGAGAGTGGAAGGATCAGCGAGTAAACGAAGGGGAAAGGAACCAAAGCTGCAGCGTCTGGAAAGCGTGGCTGCAGGCCGGCTGGGCTCGCCGAGACTCGACCTGTGTGTGCGCCTGCGAGTCTCGGTGCAAGTGACGACGACTTGCTTCGGCCATCCCAAAGAGTCAAGCTGTTGTCTAAACCGCGACTTCACGACTGCGCATATGGCAAGGGGGTAATTATAACGGTTACTGCTTCGACCTGGTCCATTATTCTCGTCCACCTACGAGATCAACAACATCTCCAGCATCCTCAGCTATCGTGTCCGCCAGTCCTCTTGAACATGCCTGCGCAAACATCCCATCCCCCTTTCCCGCGGCAGATATCGATCACCGCCTCGGGCGACCACTCCCCTGAGCGCCTTCGAGCCGCTGATTCCGCCTCTCACCGGAGCTCTGTCGATGGATCTCGAGGCAGGCCCTACCTATTGCCTACATTTTGCAGCCCACGCCGCGGGCGGGCGTTGCAGGCGAAGCCGCAAAGGAGCGACCTGGCCCCTGACGCAGCCCGTGATCGACGTCCCGAGGAGGAATAGGGGCTGCTGCGTCTCTGCGGACCAGATGCTACATTGCACTGCCCAAGAGCTCCACCAAACCTGTCTTGCTGTAAGAAGGGCCAACGTGTGCTCGAATTTACCCTGCTATAGCTAGTCGCATGATAAAAAGGAGAATCAAGAGCGTCGATATCGACGAATAGATATCGGCGGAGATATAAATCGCCAAGGCGACACCACATGACCGCTTGCCATGCACCTCTCGTGAATGCTCATGTAGCACAGCCATGTCCGCGGCCCAGCATACACAATCGCAGCGTTCGCGTCAACGGTCCCAATCGCGCCGGTTCGCTGCCAACGCTGGTTGCAACGACGTACGTGTGAATGCCATCATCTGCTCGGCAAGGCCGTGACCAGGCAACAGGGGGGGTAGCTCGCACCTCGCACCAGACATGACTCCACGGGTGCAAGTCCAATCCATCTGCCTGCAAGCGCGCACTACTGTAGAGACAAGGGAGCCCACAGATTCGCCACCCGCGAACCAACCGCCGTCCTCAATGCTTCACGAGGCTGCTGCACCCACGAGACGCCGCAGGTGCATTATGATATCAGAACGCTTACAGTAACAGCCCTGCCACCGAGGCATCGAGCGACAACCCCTGCCCTCTGACCAACCACTTGGTTGATCCAGCGTCATGGTTCTCCACGCTCCACAGTTTGGTAAGGCATGATCGACCCGACACGACTCCGTTTTGGAGGCACACAACTGCCCCTAGCTGTGGCACCAATGATGCGTTGCAACCAGCATCCAAGGTGACAGGGGCTCTAGCAGAGAGGCTTGTTTGCAGCAGACAGCGTCATGATGCAGATATGCCATCAGCCCGCTTGTTGCCATGACGATCATCATCGTCGATGCTCAATGGCCCTTCAAGCGCTGCCGCACCTCCATCATACCTTCATCATCGGCCGTGGACTGACGACGGGCAGAAGCTGTACGATTGAGTGCGCCACAAGCGGGTCGGGCACATGTCCGAAGGCTTATTGTTGCCTCGATACTGAGCGTCGCTGCACAAAGTTTTCGGCGGCATGCTATCAACCTGAGCACGGCTGCACCGCGACGTCATCTTTAGTTGGAGTCCATTCTCCTGAGGCTGATGGCGATGCGAGAGGAGTGCCAACATCAACGTCATGTCTGGTACACAGCAGTCACAGGCGACTCCAGCGTTCTTGGATTTGGGCTCACAATCTTGCAGCCCAGACATACAAACTCTACCCTCTTTATAGCCTCTTGACTTGTGGAGGCGGGTGTGATACTGTACAGTACAGTAAGGCCACACGATCCGGGACGAGCCAGGCTCCAGGGCAACGAGGAGCTCGGTGGACAACGAGTATGCAGGGTCCATGTCCAGCCCCGAAGTGTCAAGCAACAGCTTCTGGAACAGTGCAAGAGCATGTCAGGCCCGACCACGAGACCACGACCGAGTTTGGCTAGCAAGCCTCTCGAGATGGCCAAGTCATGGACGGGACCGGGGAATCTGAAGTCTCTGAGTGGACAGAGGCGTTCGTGTGAGGCTCCCCGGCGCCGGGAGCGGTAAGCGTTGCGGCACGGGGTTGCGGACGGCTGCAGTTTGCATGCATGCATAAATGTGCAGCGGGTGGCGAGTATTTGATGTCAGGGTGACAGCGTCGAGAGCCGTGCGCCAAGGGCGGAAGCTGTCAATGGCCAAGAAATGCACGACAAGGGGAACTGAACTACTGACGCAGGGTCCAGCGCAAATCGTCAACAGAGCTTGACCTGCCGAGTGACGGGAGAATTGTGGAGAGGCCTGGGAGAGCAGCGGCAGCCCGTCTATTTGGCGTTGGAGGATGGACCGAGACGAATGACGAAAGGAGAAGAGAGAGAAAAGGCCGGGAAGAAAGCGAAAGGCGTAAGGAGGCAGGCCGTCTTGGGCCAAGTTGGAGGCGTGTGCGGGAGCTAGGTGACATCACCGCGGCGGGTTTTAGTTGGCGGTGGAGCCGGCAGGGCAGATCTCGGCCTGGGCAGGCAATGATTGGAGGCTTCCTGACCTCATCCACCGCCTCGACCGAGGATGGATGCGTCTGGCCCGAGCCGTCGCCGTGCAAAGTGGTAAGCTAGCCCCCGGGAAGGGATCTGTGTTTGCTTGCCTGATGTCAGCAGCCGCGAGACGACATATGGCCCGTCGCATTGTCGTGGTCGAATGTCTCGCGTCGCCTCGGGCCAGCCGTGGTGGGTGAAGGCTTCGAGGCCGTGGTGGACGGAGGTCTTCGAGGCCCTGGGGGTTGGGCATACCTATGGAGGAGACACCTATGAGGTGCCGAGTTCGCCATGGCCGGACAGGTGAAATGAGCCGCTGCGCATGAGCAGCAGGGCCTTGATAATTTAGCATATGCGACACGGGAAACGGGGGGGGGGGTTTTCCGCTAGTGACAGGGCTCGAAACATACCAAAAAAAGGGTCCAACATGGTGCCTTCTGGCGACCCCGGAAAAGGAATGCCAACCAATGGTTTCGCCGAGTCGCTGACGTTGTCCTGAGACCCCCTTTTGGCCGTGCAGACTGAATCTTGTTCGGTTGCCCTTTGGCCAATCGCACGTCACGGCAAAGTCTATTCTTTGCGCAATGCTCATGGCCAGACACACCAGCGTCAGCGGCAAGTTACACGCGTGCATGAATGCTGCCGGCCTTGTGTGCGCGTAGAGCGTCGTCGCTGGCGTCGCTGTCGCCGAAGTCGCCGTTGCTCGATACGAGGGCCGGCGCATCATCAAGCGTCTGCGAGCATGACTGTAGGATCAGCAGGGTCTCCTTGTCTCTGGGCAACGGGGCACTCTCCCTCGTGCGAGGATTCAAGGCGAGGGCGTGGTGGACCCTTGGATCTCGGAGCAGTGGGGATGGGTGCCGGCGATTCGGGGGGGGGTCCTGGTCTGGCTACGCCATAGAGGGGCCCAGACATGGCTTGAGAGATGGTGGGTGTGAGGATCCAGAGGGCTGGAGGGTGATGGGAAATGAGTGGATGATGTGGTCAGGCCACCCTCCCCCCCCCATCCGGATTCCCAATGTACCCACAGCCGTCTTGACAAATGACTGGGAGGCCTGCGACCGGCTGCCTGTACCTTGATGCCCACGCGAAATGTGCCCACTCTCCCATGTACCTGCCGTCCATGCCTGAACACTGTCGGTACTTTGGGCTTCCTTTTGCCGCGGCGCCCCGCCTCCGCCCCCAAAGCATCGACCCCCTGCTCGGTCTAGAACAGCCAGCCAGGAATCCGTACCTCGCAAATTGCACTCCGCACGGCTTCCCGATTTATAAAGACCCTGGAGCAGCCGCTGCTGCCATCAGCTCATCACAGACGCTCCATCACATAATCCATCCACTCAGCCGCTTCTCTCTCCTCGCCTCGCCTCGACCATCTGGCTCCATATAGGACCTCTCTCCAACTCTACTCTCCTGTACCAGCTGTCCCGCCATCTGGGCCTCGAAACCACCCGCATACAAACTCTTCCCTCGACGCACATCTACCATCATGCCTGGCCCGACAGCCTCATACCCCATCTCCGTCCCCGTTTCTCCTCCGCCTCAAAACCTCACATCCTACTCGCGCTTCATCCACGCCCACACAAAGAGGCAGATGGAGTCTTTCGGCGCCGTCACTTCTCCAGGTGCCGGCCGCAGCTCTGTTGGGTCAGCCTCTAGCGCTGCCTCCTTGACCAACGGCGTCGCGCACACAGACTACCAATCATGACTCAGTCGTCTGTCTGCCTTGCTGGGCGCAAGCGTCAACACTCGTCGACATGACTCGCTTCGTGGCGCAGCCTTGACTGCGCCCTTACCGCTTTCGGACGCTTTCGTCGTGGCCGTGTTTGGTGGCTGGGCACATGATGACGAGTTTCGTCCGACGCAATGGTGTTCGGTGGCATATTTGGAAAACATCTTATATACACCCCTTTCACTTGCATTATTACGTTGTCAATAGCATCTTTGGGTTTCTCGTGTTGAAAATAACGGGAAAGCATGGCGTTATGGGTATATATGGAGGTTGCGTGTGGGAAGGGGAGCACTGGAGTAAAACTGCGCATAATTCAGCGAACTTACCATCGAAACATATCATGCTCAATGTTAAACAAGCAGAACACGCAATATCATGTGTGATAAATGTGTGACACATTCTTCCCCATAGTTGTGTGTCGGCTGGTAAATACATTTCTCCAATAACCCTTGGTGATGCTAGCCGCCAGCAACCTGGCCCGTGGCATTGTAGACTGTGAATTATCTCGTCATGCTCAAGGATGGTGCAAATAATCTGTGTTGTACAATTCCGATTCTCCCTGACCAGCAAGCTCCATGCCCATCCCCAACCTCGCCTCACAACTCCCCCTTCCGCTCCTGTTAGACCAAGGTAGGCTTCTTCTTGATGCCAAGCAGTGCAGAGTGATTCTTCTTCTTCTTGACGACCCGCTTGAATGTCGGAACCGGTGCTGCCATGGCCGGCTCGATCGAAGACGTGCTGCTCGACATGGATTCTTCCATGATTGTCGGGGGCCGGCCTGTCATCAGGTCGTCGGACATGCTGCTGCCTGTTGCCGACTCTTCATCTACTTCAATGTCGTAAGCCAGACTGAAAGCCGCAAAGGCCCGCCTCGCCGCCTCCTCATCTTCCCTGTCTTGCCGCGCAAGCTCCTCGTCTTCCGCCCGCACTACAAGGTCGGCGTAGTCCACGCCCTCCTTTTCGGACCGGTTGATTCTGGCGTTTCTATACCGGATCTCGTCGAGCGCGTCAGCCACTGCCATCTCGCGCCTCGCATCGGCATTCTTGGCCTCGAGATCTGCCATGGCGTTCTTCTCTTCCTCGCCCGCCGCTTCCGCCTCCTCCCGCTCTAGGCGATCTAGCCGTTGCTCCATCGTCTCCTCCTTTGTGTCTCGGTTCCTCCAAGGCTCCATGTTGCGCACGGCGCCTTTGACCATGGCGTAGTCGTTGTTCTTGGGGTCGGTTCGAAACGTGATTTCCGCGCTGCATCTGGTGCACTTGATGTGGAAGAAAAAGATTTGGAGGCCAAGGTATCTCTCCTCAAAGTTGGTTTCCTTTCTCGAGTTGAACTTGCGCCCCTTGTAGATGAATTCGCCGCACGTCATGCAGCGCATCGAGAATGGTGCCATGAGGCGGACCGTCTGGATCCGGGGGCCCTTCTGCTTGGGACCGCGACGGCGGGCGATGTCCCTCGGGTCGAAACCGGGGGGGTAGTATTTCTATAAATGTGTCAGTCCGCGTAGACGTTGCGCATCTTCCCTATCGTCACTTACCTGAAGAACTTTGCGTTCAGACATTTTGGATTGCGGACCGTGTCCTTGGCGACCTGGGGTGCTTCCGGTCCGTTCTTCGACGTGAAGCGAGGCGTAGGATCGGCAGTTCTGTCAGATATTCCCGGTAGAAAAGGTAGGCAGATGGCACGAGTGGTTTGCGCGGGACAAATGGGGTGGCAGGTGGTTGGTTTTATGATGTTGAGGATGACTCCTCGGCCGCGACGAGCCTCCTCTTAAGGTCGCCCCGCTAGCGCTGGAGCCTGTTTGGCGCAAAATTAGATAAGCAGCGGCAAGGCTGAGCTAATATTCCAAACCCACCCCTCCACCGCTGTAGCCTTGCATCTGACCTCGCCTTCGCCATCAACCGCGCCATCTCAACTCTGCGGTCACAGATTCCCGGTCGCTCAACAAACTCTAACAGGCGCTTGATCGGTCGATCGAGCATCTCACCATCATTTCCAGGCCGTCGTTCGTCACATTGCCACGCGCCGCGCGCATCCGTCACGATGCCCAAAGCCGAGGTTGGCTCGACCAAACACCTCTCCAACAAGCTCAAGAGCAAGGGTCTTCAGCGCCTACGATGGTACTGCCAGGTCTGCGAGAAGCAATGCAGAGACGCGAATGGATTCAAGATGCACACCCAGTCTGAAAGCCACGTGCGACAGATGATTGTTGTCGGCGAGGACCCCAAAAAGTTCATCAACGAGTTCAGCAACCAGTTTCTCAGGGACTTTTTGCAGCTCCTGAAGACGGGCCATGGGGAGAAGCAGGTCCATATCAATCAGTTCTACCAGGAGTACATCGCCAACAAGGTATGTGGACAAATACTGGCTCCGAGGGCGGGAGGAGCGGCTTACTGATGACATTCAGGAACACGTCCACATGAACGCGACGAAATGGCCATCTCTGACCGAGTTCGCCAAGCATCTGGGACGAGAAAGCATGTGCCGAGTCGAAGAAAACGAAAAGGGCATCCACATCTCGTGGATCGACAACTCGCCCGACGCATTACGACGACAAGAGGCGCTCCGCAAAAAGGAGGCGCAAGATCAAGGCGACGAGCAGCTGGAGCAGCGCATCATCAAGGAACAGATTCGAAGAGCACAGGCCAAGGCCGCGAATCACGAGACCGACGAGGAAGCAGAAGAGGAAGCGCGCAAGTTGAAGCGGCAGGGTGGCGAGAAGATCATACTGTCATTTGGCCCGAAACAAAAGACGGAGAGTCCAGCGCCCAAGCCAGCAGACGCCCCTGGGGGTGAATCGTCTAACGCCGCTGCGCCTACCCAACCAGAGAAAGCCAGCGAGGCGGGACAGACGACTGCGAAGCCCGGCGGGTTTGGAGGGCTTTCGATGAAGATGGGAGGCAAGCCGCAGACCAAAAACGTGTTTGCGCAAGCCAAGAAGAACGCCTTGGCAGCTGGAGCATCGAAAAAGGTTGCCATTGCCGGAGAGCCCCAGAAGATGAGCGAAGCGGAGAGGATAATGAGGGAGGAAATGGAGCGGAAACGGCCCCGAGGGTCGGGCGGCTTCAGCTTCCCCCCTGGGAAAAAGCAAAGAAATAATCACTCATGACCAGTGAAAATGACGGAACGGCGTTGAGGGAGTCTTGGTAATCATGTTCGGATAGATACCACGTTGATCACAAATTGTAAAAATAGTAGACCCCGTCGAGGTCTTTGAAGTGTTCCTTTGCACCACCGCAACGCCGTGTTTCGCCCGAGCTCCCAGTCCAAGTGTGCGCATGTGCTCCTCCAAGTGTTTCGCGTATGAGTCTCGTTACGAATCCGCCTCCGTCTCAGTGCCGTCTCGTCTGTTCATTGTCATGCTTGTTAGCATCCCTCGAAGGGGAAAACCGACAGCTTGCGAGAGAAGCTTACGGAATGTACTGTATCCTATACTCTTCCTCGAGCGTCGACCTGATCTCGTCCGGCAGCTGGCCCGAGACCTTGATGGCGTAGACACCGCCGACGTAGCCGTCGAGGCGCTGCCACTTTGCGATCCACGACCGGGCCGGGTTGGCGAGGGAGATGAGGCCCTCAAAGACCTGCGATGTGCAGCTCTCAATCTGATCCTGCGAGCCCGCGAGGTGCAGGAACTCTTCGCAGTTGGGGCAGCCCTCGTCGCGGAAGCGCTGGGGTCAAGGAGAAGCTTGTGTCAGCGAGCGAGGGATTGCGGAAGAGGGGCGGCGGGCAGCAAGGTCGGGGTGCGTACGCTGTAGGTCATGACGATGGAGCAGACCATGCAGGCGCGCATATAGCGCTGCTGGCCGGGCGTGACGAAACTGGACATGGTGGTGTATGCGCAGAGACGCCGCAGTCGGTTGTCGGGGTGTCTCCTTTCTTTGTGCTGCGTTGCAGACAGGCGAGGCTGGCCAGTGCTGTTGGATATCTTGGATGAGGCTGAAGTGGAACCCATGATCGGCGCTTGTCATAATTGATTACTCGGTTATCGGGCTATGCAAGTATCAATAAATATGCATCAAGCCATATCACCCCAGACCCCCTGTGATGAACAAGCAAATATCTTCAAGCCTCGAGACCAGCAAGCAGGCCCCGCCAAGTCAAGGCCAAGCGCCTCCTTCTCCCGCCCAATGACTCCAAGCACGGCAACCCCCGGCACGCGACCCAAAAGCAACCCAAAGCAAGGCCTGGAGTCGTCCTACGAGATCCTCACCTGCACCATCAAGGCGCCCCCCTTTTCCTACGCCCACCTGGAACTGTACACGGACCGAGGACCCGATGACAACGGCGGCGCCGCGGAGCTGGACAACCTCCAGGTCAGGTCGTACTGCACGGCGGCCCTGCGGCAATTCCTGGGCCTAACGGGCGTGGCCATCTCCGTGGACATTCTCAAGGTCGAGGGCAGCGAGTGCTGGGTGCGGGTCCCGCGCCCGCATCTTGGCTCCTTCGCCGCCGCCATCACCGCGTGGAAGGGCACTAGCGAGGGCGGCACGCACTGTGTGCTTCGCGTCAGGCAGTGCGCCGACTGGCTCGGCATGATGGTCGGGGCTGACGGTCAAGACCGGGTGTGGAACAGCTGATGGATCTAAACTCTGGAGTTGTTGCGCGCAAGTCTAGATTTACACGGGTATCTATGTGCTCGTTACTTGTAACCCGCCCAAACAAGATCCAGGTCACGTATTCCAGACGCCGGGGCTAATGCGTTCCTGATGCTCCGAGGCTTGTTGCCCGTCATCCGCCCTACATCAAAGACGACATGAGAGAGCTCTGTGCGTACGCCTGTCGACTGCGTTAGCGGGTGTACCAGTACGACATGAAAGCGTCGGGCTCCTCACCATCGGGCGAATGTCTGGATGAGGCACGGCATCAAACTGCTCATACTGGAGCTTGTAGTCGGAGCGGATATTGATGTAAGCTCCCCGATTCTCCGTCGAATCGCAGTATCTTGGTGCCGAGAAGACTAATACGATTTGTAAGTAAGAGGGCAAACCCGAAGAGAGCACATGACAAGAGTTGCGCACCTGTGACGCATTTTCCATCATGCTGAACCTCGTAGCCATCCATGCGAACCTCGTGACTTCGAATAACGGCCTCGAGACCGTTCTTTTCGCAGAACCGCTTGGTGACGTCTGGTCCAAACTGCATGCCAACGCCTCGCTTGCTCGGTCGGCGGCCCTGCTCCTCTTGAGGGTCCGTCCAGAGGATTTCCATCATCAAGCCGGATTGGCCTGGCTGCCGTTGGTTGTGTCTGTTTAGTTTCCGAATGTCGTCCAAAGTAACGTTGTCGTCGGAGAACAAGCCGCCGTGGAGAACCAGATACTTTCTTCCGATCAGCGTTGCCAGCGGCAAGGCCGAGAAGCTTTCCGAGAACAGCTTGAAGACTCTGCGCATCCCGTCAGCCAACGTACTGACAACACGGTACAAGGAGTGCTCACCGCTCGTTGTACTTGGCCTTGCACTCTCCCTCGAACCCATAGACGCGATTCATGTCGTCCGTCTCGTGGTTGCCTCTGTTCAGGAAGAAGCCGTGGGGCCTCAGCCACTTGTAAGCATACAGCAATAGGGCGATTTCTGTCGACCAGGACCCCCGGTCGACAAAGTCACCGTTGAACAGATACCAGTGCTTCTCGGCGGGAGCTCCGTTGCGCCGGAAGAGCTCCATGAGATCAAAGTATTGGCCTGGGAGACGTCAGTGGGTTTGAGACGCTCGGAATAGCTCAGGCTACTGACCGTGCGTGTCGCCGCAGACGGTAAGCTGGACGTCGTCTGGAATCTCCATCTCCACCATGGTCGCTTCCTCGTACACCATTTCCTTGACCTTGACGACGATTTGGTAAACATACTTGCGATGTATCTTCTTGCCAGTCTTGAATCTCTCCGTCATGTCGTCGATGAATTCCTGCGTCATCTCGTTTTCGAGGCGCACGCCGTCGTAGTCGGCCTCGACGACCATGGAGTCCAAGTCGAGGCCCTCTGCCGCTGACGGCTCTTCGCCGACCTCGATGGCGGCAAAGAAGGCCAGTTGCCGCACAATCTTTTTGCATTCTTCCAACTTGAGCCTGGCATCCTTGTTGCTGGGGTCCAACCGGACGCATTCTTTGAAGTCATCGATGGCTTCCTTGGGTCGGAGAATGGCGGTGCGAGCGAGACCGCGCCGGTAGTATGCCTGGACAGAATCTGCGCGTCAGACAGTCCCAAGCCAGCTATTGCCCTGAGCAAGGACTTGGCGTTTGCTCACCTTGATCAGCTTTGGGTTAAGCTCGATGGCTTTTCCAGCATCGGAGATGGCATATCCGTACGCTTCGGTTTTGATGTATGCCTGGCGACGTCGGTCAGTCAGCACACGAGCTACGGCTAGCTGCCAGGGTTCGGACGGACTTGGGCGCGGTTGGTGAAGAAGGCGGGCTCCTTGTCGTTGAGCTCAATGGCCTTTGAGTAGAAGGTGACGGCAGCCGGGAAGTCGCCAGCCGCGAACGCCTTGTTCCCCTGGTTTTTGAGGTCGACGGCTTGTTGCGACATGGCGACGCAGAGGCGCGAGGCAGTTCGCAGTCGATTCGGCACGGGCGAGCGGAGTGTGAGCCGGAGATGGCCGAGACAACGACGAGGGGCAGGTGTGGATGGGTGTTATATCTGCAAGGAGAGGCGATAGAGAAACAAGGCGCCACAAAAGCTGTAGCGGAAAAAGGGCACGGGCGACTTGTTGGTGGTCTAGCAGCTAATAGTGGAAGTCAAAGCCGAGCGTCGGAAGAAACTTTTGGAGGACCGCTTGCAGATGCGGGGAGGGGTACATCCACGATTGCCCTGGCTGCTCCCCGCTGTCCGGTACTACTGCCGTGATGTGCCCTGTGGATGAGGGAACCTGTGGATGATGCTAGAATCCGGCCCTCGAGGTACCTACAGCACGTAGCGGGGCCTGCGACCTGTCCCGCTCATTGATTGATAAGAACCAGAGGGTCAGATAACGGTTAGTTGCATAAAGCTGGATACGTGCTCGCGGTCGCGGCTCACTTCCTCCACCAGCCATCGCACTCAGCCTTTCCGGACTTCGCGAGCCCGCCCTTGACCTCCGCTGGTACGACACATCATGGTTGACTGGCCTGCATCGCCTAACGACTCGCGCACATTCTCGCCATGGATTCGACTTCGCCCAGCTCAAAGGCCCTTGTGCGCAAGAGGTCCGAGACAGACTTGATGCCGCCTCCGCCTCCAGTCAAGAAGTTGAAGCGGCCCAAGCAGGTCTTGAACGAGGAGGACTATACCAACACGCTCTCGCACATCATCGTGAGGGATTTCTTCCCCGGCATCAAGGTGTCGGCAGTTCAACACGAGTACCTCGACGCTTGCGAGTCTCGAGACGCCGCATGGATCTCAAACGCGCGCCAGAGACTCCATGATGTCCTGACTCCCAGACGACCGAGATCGCACTCTACGCCCAAGCCCTCGCAGGACAACGGACGGACTCCAACTACCTTTGTGGGAGACACACCGAGCTCGGCCGCACCCACCATGATTGACGAAAAACCGCCACCCGGCATCAACATGGGCCTCTCCAGGTTCCAGTCCAAGTACACGAGCGAAGATAACGAGAGCTTCTACAAGCTACTGGATAAGCAGAATCAGAAAAAGGCAGAGAAGCACGCCTGGATGTGGAACAACAACAAGCTGCCCTCGAAGCAGATGATCAAGCAGAAAGAAGTCATGGACAGGCTGAAAAAGCAGCGAAGCCTGGTCGACGACGGGTTCAAGCGCGATCGCCTTGCCATCCTAGATGTCGATAATCGGCCGGCGAGGCCCGACTCCTGGAAAGCGGCTCCGAGAAACGGCTTGATGTTTCAGCCAAGCGGTCTCGACGAAGGCGTCGCCACAGTTGCGCAAAAAGCCGACGAATCGTCGCGAATGGGCCCGAGGGCCATAGTGTACGAGAATACCAGGATACCGCAGCCCCATATCCCGCAACGCCCCCTTTCGCCTACAATGTCTGCGATCCGGGACGCCGCTGCAGGGCGGCCACGTCGCCAAGACCGAGACTCTAGTGACGTTGGCGGCGGTGAAACTCCGAGGGTGAATGGCTACACATACGTCGATGACGAAGACGATGAGCCCTCTACCGCTCAGTCTTCCCCTGCCATTGACCTTGGGCCGGGTGACGCACACAACCCGTTCAAGTTGCAGGAGCTAAGGAAAAGGGAGTCGCTGCACGAACGGTTGGTGGAGCGGATAGCCAAATCCAACAAGGAGTCTTCACGCCACGGGCTTGCCGGGAAAGCCGAGAAAGGCCAGGTGCCAAAATTCCCAAGCAGTCCGCGGATCTCGGGAAACTTTACACCAGCGGCCCAAAGACTGCTGAGCAAAATGGGGACGCCGAGAAGCAAGACACCTAGCACCTCGTTTGGCCAGTCGACGCCCATGAAGCTGCGAGGATCGCTTTTGAAGAGCGTCACGAAGCCCAGCTCAAAACAAGGGTGACCTTTTGTGGATTCCAGATCTTGTGTATAACCAGCTTGTTTTTGGGCAGCCAGGCGTTATGTCGCGTTTGGGGTACTACAATCAGCGGTGCGGTCGAAGCTGATATGGTGAAGGAAAGCATGCTAGATGGGCCTCAGACTTGGTTTATAACAGAGCAGTCTGAGACTCAACACTAGAGAGGCTCTTGGAACGAGAGTTTAGGCGTTTTTGACGAGGAGGTCACAGATATCAGCTGACGAGTGGAGTGAGGATTCATTCGAGGAACGAAGGGGGAGGTTTTGGCTGAATGATTGCCTAGCACGGGCATACAGGCAATCTTGAGTCGAGATTGAGGCAGAGAAGCAACAGATTCCGATCAAATGCCCCCTCTTTGCAAAGTGAGAACGCGTTATTCGTAGGAGCGGTCCATATCGTGGTACTCGTTTAGCTGCATACAAAGCTTTAGGTGCATGTAATGACGATACTTGACCATGTTTTTTGCCCACGGCGTAACAGCCTCGACAAAAACCCCTTGATCGATGCGCCGCTCGGCCCTTCGAGCCCCCAGGTCCTCATGCGCTTTGTGGACTTGGCCGTCGACCTCGCCGCAGTGCTCAATGCCTCGCGGTCCGTGGCGTCCAAGCACATTGCCCTGCGCAGCCGACAGCTCGACGCCTACAGCAGGAACTCGAGCATCGCGGCGACATGGAGGAGTGTGAAGCCATCACGCGAGGCGGGGACGACCAGCGGTAGCGAGCAGGCGAAAGCATCTCCAGAGACTGCGACGTCCGCCGGCATAGACATTCGTGGCCAGGTAGCGTCGGAAACGAAAGGCGCGAGTGCATCTCCATTCGCTTCGATACAGCAGAATACTCCCGGCAACAAAGATGTGTTGAGAGACTTGAATGTTCCATCTGATGTCGACGTATCAATCTTCCATACAGCCCGGGGCTCCAAGATATTGGAGTCGTTGAAGAAGAAGAATGCCGCCGATACAGCAAGGACACAGGCTGGAGGGCCTGCCAGGGAACATCCTTTGCGTTATTGGCCTCATGGACCTCCCGCAGAAGCCGATCCGATGCCCAGCTCCAACGACAGCGCGGTCGAGAAAGACAGTGCGGCTCCAGCGTCTCCATCTCCTTGGCCGGTTGACGCCTCACCAGCTGCTGAGCGTCAGATCCCAGACGCCTCACCAGCTCAAGCGACGCCGACAAAGGTGGACGAGGAAACCGTCGACATGGCCAAGGAGCTGATTGCAGGCGAGGCGCCCAGCCCAACCGCGTACAAGCTGCGCGAGTCCAAAGTGCCGGCGTCCCGCTTCAGCCGCCTGTGGAACTACGGAGGCCTGGCTGCCGGCATGCTGGGCGGAGCCATGACGGAGAGCGTCAGCCGCGCGCTTGGCGGTGGCGGCCAAGGGTCCGTCATGCTCAGCGGAAAGAACATGGAGAGGCTGGTGGCCCGGCTTTCCCGCATGAGAGGCGCCGCCCTCAAGCTTGGCCAGATGATGAGCCTGCAGGACTCAAAGATGCTCCCTGCGCCGATCCAAGAGGTGCTCCAGCGGGTGCAGGACAAGGCGGATTACATGCCCGCTTGGCAGCGAGACCGGGTCCTCGTCAGCAATCTGGGCGATGGCTGGAGAGACTTGTTCAGCGAGTTTGAGGAAACCCCTATTGCGGCGGCGTCGATTGGCCAGGTGCACAGGGCCGTTCTCCGGTCCAACGGCAGAAAGGTGGCCGTCAAGATTCAGTTCCCCGGGGTGGCCGCCTCCATCGACTCGGACCTGGACAACCTGGCCATCCTGCTCAACGCGACTAAGCTCCTGCCCAAGGGGCTGTACCTCAACAAGACGATTGACAACGCCCGGGTCGAGCTCGGGTGGGAGTGCGACTACGAGCGAGAGGCGCAGTGCGCGAGGCGCTACAAGGAGCTCCTCCGGGGTGAAGACGTGCTGCTCGCGCCCGACGTACACCCCGAGGCGTCGGGCAAGCAGGTCCTCACCATGGACTTTATGGAGGGCGTCGGCGTCACGCGCGTCAAGAGCTTCACGCAGGAGCAGCGCGACTGGATCGGCACGCACATCATGCGCCTGTGCCTGCGCGAAATCACAGAGTTCAAGTTTATGCAGACGGACCCCAACTGGACAAACTTCCTCTACAACGCCGACCTGCGCAAGCTCGAGCTGCTCGACTTTGGCGCCTCGCGCGAGTATCCCGAGGCATTCGTCCGCCAGTACGTGCAGCTCCTCGACGCCGCCTCGCGCGCCGACAGGGAGGCCGTTAGGACGCTCTCCCAGCGGCTCGGCTACCTCACGGGCCACGAGAGCAAGGCCATGGTCGACGCGCACGTCGACTCGGTCCTGACCCTGGCAGAGCCGTTTGGCGTCTCGGCCCCCCGCGTGTACGACTTCAAGGACCAGACCATTACCGACCGCGTCAGGGCCCTGATCCCCGTCATGCTGCGCGAGCGTCTTGCGCCGCCGCCCGAGGAGACGTACAGCCTGCACCGCAAGCTGAGCGGCGCGTTTCTGCTGTGCGCGCGGCTTGGTAGCAGGGTGGCCTGTAGAGATATGTTTGCCAAGGCCGTCGACAAGTCGGGATACGTCGATAGGAAGGCGTGATGGAACAGAACTCTCGGAGGATATCTACCTGTATCAACAAGTGTCAAGGACGAGGGGACACGCATTGTACAACCACGCGCAACAGACATAGCACCGCTTCTTAGATATCTGCCTAGCGTTGCTCCAATATAGAACAAGACGAAATGTCTGGGTATCGTTCACATCAAGGCACCTCGTAGGATCGAATCGTGGCGTGTACTCATCACCACACACGACGTCCCTAGTGTCGATCCCTGACCCTCTCCAGCGAGTCGAGCTCCTTCTTCTCCTTGCCCGCAACCTTCTTGCGCTTCCTCGCAATTGCCTTGTCCACCTGGCCCTTGCTCATGCCCTCGTAGCGCTTCGTCAGCAGCCGCTCCTTTTGCTCGCGCTTCTTGAGGTAAAAGGGCTTCTTGCCCTGCGCCACGAGCTCCTTTTCGTGGCGGCGATGCTCGCGCAGCAGCGCCTCCTCGTCGTGCTTTTTGCGCGTGGCTTTCCGGCGCGACTCCATCGACATGAGCTGCCGCTTGAGGCGCTCCTTTGCATCGGCGTCCTTTGTCTTTTTGATCTGCGCGCGCAGGTCGGCCATTTCGCTGTCGCGGTACTCGTCGAGGAAGGCGTAGGCCTTGCTGGCCTGGGACTCGTCCAGGTGGCCGCTGCCGACCAGGGGGTCGAAGCGCGGGTCGCGGTGCTTGCGGCGCGGGTCGGCGAGGATCTCGCGCCGGCGGGACACGGGCCTCTTGGACGTCTGCTCCTGGGGCGCGTGCTTGGAGGAGCGTTTCGGCGTGGGCTTGGCCTCTGCCTTCTTGGTGCCGCCGCGCTTGGCCGCTTCGTCTTGGACCTTGTCTGTTGCAGGCGTGTCGTCGGCAGAAGCCTTCTTTGACCTGCGGTTCGGGGGCGGGAGGGAGGCTTGCGCGCGGGCTAGAGCTCCAAAGGAGACGGAGGAAAGGTTGACATGTGGAGCGTTTTCATCGGCGTCGGAATCGTCTGACTGAGGTGGGGTGAGCAGCAAGCCTAGACCAAGTGCGAGAGACAAGGATCGTTGCGTAGACACACCTCTAACTCAGACTCGGACTCGTCATCTGAAGCAGCTGAGCTGCTGTTGTCGTCGTCGTCGTCGCCGCCCGTCCGCTCCTCGGACAAGTCATCCTGGGATGATTCTCCTTCAGACCCCGGTTCCGGCTCCCAATCATCTTCCCGCCTGGCGCGCACGCGCCTCTCAAGGCCCAGCGAGGACTGTTTTCTCTTCGAGGACATGGCTCCTGCTTTGGATGCCAACCCGCAGACGATTGCTGTGCAAGTCGACGTCGGGCCGGTGAATTTTCGAGGCTCATGGGCTTATCGATAGATCAAGCCCGTTTAGACGCACAGAAGCTTTTTGCCCGACCTTGAGGCGGAATTTGAAGCAAATATGCATATATGCAGAGCGGGGCGGCCCGAGGAGCCGGTACATACATACGTACTACCTGTGCCTGGTCAGCGCAAAAACGAAGGCCAAAAAAAAATTATCGATGGTCCGACGAACAAGGCAGATCTACGGCCCCCGCCGAATCGCTCACGAAAACGCTGCACGACCGCGATCTCTGGATGCGACCGCGAAGGCTCTTTCACCTCGCCAACCTCGCCTCCTCCAACAAAGCGCCAAAACCGCAGCAGCAGCAGCCGCGGTTCAAGGCCAAGGGGCCGCCACCGCGCTCCACTCGCCGCGCCGCCGCCGCCAACGACGACAACCCGCAGGCGGACCATGGACCGGCGCCGACCCTGCGGCCGTCTGCAGCGATGAACTACTACTCCCAGCCGGGATACGCCCACCTGCCAACTGTCCCCAGGCAGCAGCAATACGGCGCACCGCAGTGGATGATGCCGCCCGCCGGTCCTCCTCCCCAACCTTACCCTCACCACCACCGAGACCACTTTGCGCCGGCTCAGCAGCAGCAGCGACCCCCCCCAGTCCCTCCGACCTCCACAGCCTCGCCCCAGGGGCCTCTTGTTCAGATCCCAGGCCTGACTCTGCTCAACGCCATGTCCCAGGCCGGCCCGCAGTCCAACGCGCCCCCTCCGCCCGGCCCGTCGCCGGCGGTCCGCGCGCAGCCCGCCATGAAGGGCATCAAGCGCAAGTCTGCCCGGGTCGCCGCTGCGAAGGCGAATTCTTCCACGGCCGCCAAAAACGGCGCAAAACCCATACCACGCCCTGTTCCCGAGTACGTCGTGCCTGGTGTCCTCCCTGCCCTCTCGGCTCCTCCCCCGCCAACTTGCTGAAGCTGACCTGCCGCAGGCCCTCCGCCGCAGCCAGGAACGATCCCCGGGAGGAGCGCCAGGTCCCGAGCCGCAAGTCCGGCGGCGTCCCCGAGCCAACACCTCTCTACCTCGCGCGATCCTTCGCCCCGCCCGCCACCCTGCCGCAGCCGCGCCGCATCCTCGTCATCCTCGACCTCAACGGCACCGTCCTCTACCGCCCCACCCGTCGCCAGCCCACCACCTTTGTCGAGCGTCCCCACGCCCGCCGCTTCCTGGCCTACTGCCTCGAGGCCTTCCACCTCGCCGTCTGGTCCTCGGCTCGCCCCGACAACGTCCAGCACATGCTCACCCAGCTGCTCACCCGGGAGCAGCGCCAGCGCTGCGTCGTCACCTGGGCCCGCGACCGCCTCGGTCTTTCGCAAGACGACTACAACTCGCGCGTCCAGTGCTACAAGCGCCTCGCCACCGTGTGGAACAACGACAAGGTCCAGGCCTCCCACCCGACTACCGGCCGAGGCGGCCGCTGGGACCAGTCCAACACGGTGCTCGTCGACGATTCCAAGGAAAAGGGTCGCAGCGAGCCCCACAATATCCTGGCCGTCCCCGAGTTCTCCGGCTTGCAGAACGAAATGGCAGACGTCCTGCCGCAGGTTCACGACTATCTCAATGTACTGTGCTACCAGCAAGACATTAGCAGATATATGCGCCAGAACCCATTTAAGCTCGACCCAAGCTATCGATTGTCCACCTCCCCTGCTCCCGGGGTTTGAGATGTGCGCGAGACACGCCGGCGTTGGCGTACGGGCGGCGTTGGCGGTGCAGGGTGAATTGGCGCCTTTTCTGCAAAGGGACGTGGTTTGCATATCCGTCAATCGGCTTTGAGCCGCCCTTCTTCATGATACCCCACCACGGCGCACACGAGACAGGCAGATCTCATAAGTCACATGCAAGAGCGGTTATCAAAACCCAGGTGCAGCATATATTCGCTGCCTAGAATCTGGTTCCTACTTCCGCCTTCCCATCCACCTAAGAGTCATCGCGCATCTAGGACATCACATGCGAGCTACCATCGTGACTCGACCGAGTCGAACATGTTTTCCTCGTAATTCATTTCCTCTGCCATGTCCCGTCGTTTTCATCGCCCGCTCCAGACCTCTCTAAAAGACGCTTATTTGAAGACCTTGCCGCAGGCGTGGGGGTACTCCTTGCCCTTGACGACGACGGGCTTTTCCCAAGACCACTGGTTCTCCAGGAACTCGCGGTCTTCCGCCTTCTTGGGGTCGAGCTTGACGAAGTCGTAGCTCTCGTAGTCGGGCGCAACGTCAAAGACGGGCTCATATTGCTGGCCCCGGATGACAAAAGCACCTTGAATGACAGAGTCGTTGTTCTGGCCGTAGACGGAGGCGCTGCCAAAGATGTACTTGCGAGAGGCCTCCAGACGAGTAAAGAGACCACCGATAAGGTTGTTCGACATGAAAGTCAAGGTAAGCTCATCGTTGTACTTGTAGTCACAACGCCAGATGGAGTACTCCTCCTGCAGGGGAACGTTCTCCCAGAAGTACTTGAGAGCATCGGGCGTTTCGGTGTTGGAGAACTGGCGCTTCCACTCGTCAAGAGGGAAAGAAGCCTTGGGCAGGGCCTCGCAAGGGTGCTTGGGCTTAGGAGCGGGGGCATCTTCGTCCGCCGCGGCAGCAGCGGGGGCAGCAGCGGGCTTGGGGGCCGGCTTGGGCTGCTCGGCCTTCTTGGGAGCAGTGTTGGTGAGGGCAGGCTTCTCGAGGTAGTCGAGCTTCTTGGCCACAGCCGAGTAGATGGGCTGGTTGACCACGGTGTCGTACCAACGGGTCACGTTGGGATGCTCCTGACGCCACTGCTTGTCGAAGAAGTACTGGAAGCCACGGTACAGCAAGCTGGCGCAGAACAGGTCGGCGAGAGTGACACGCTCGCCAACCAGGTAGGTGTGGCGCTGGAGGTACTTTTCAACGACACCAACGGCCTTTTGGACAATCTGAGAGGAGTCCTCGACAGACTTCTTGTTGTAAGGAAGCCTGCCCAGGAGAGGCAGGAACCAGTTCCCCATGGGAGGGACAATCTCGGAGTTGAAGAAGGACATCCACTTCAGGATGGAAGCATAGCTGATGGCTGTCAGATTTCTTTTTCGCAGACATCAGAATGAAGCTTTACTTACTCCTGCTTGGTCTTGCCGAGAAGAGTGGTCTTCTCGTTCTGGGAGGTGACTGTCCATTGTCAATTAGCACAGGGTTGGACCATGGTTGACTTCAGGACAAGAGGGGGAGGAAAGAAGGGATCAGAAGTTAGACTTTGTCAACAAAAACAGTTCAGACAGGGATAACTGTATAAAATAAAAGCTTGATCATCATGCAAGGGTGTCTCGCAAAGGCCAGACGGACGTAAAACAGAATAGAGTAGACGTACTGTAGATGGCGATGGCAATGCACTCGGACAGAGCATAGCCGTCCTCGCCGAGGAAAGCTGGAACCTTGCCGAGCCCGTTGGCCTTGAGGTGCTCAACAGTGGGCTTGGTAGTGTCGACCTCGACAATCTTGAGGTCGATGTTGTTCGCCTTTGCAACCGCCTTGATGGCGGTGGAGCGGGGGTTGTCCTGTAGAGCGAGGGGATCAGCCACGGGTGCGGCGGGAGATGCAGATTAGAAACATGGCGTGCACTTTCAGCTTACCGCGGTGGTGAAGAGGGTTCCGAAAGCCATTTTTTCGGTGTTCTGTCTGTCAACTGACGAGCTGGTGTGGACAGATGGTGGTGGTTGTGATAGGAGGTTGTGGGAAATGGGGAGAGGAATTTTTTTGGCGAGAAGACCCAGCTGCCCCGCGCGTGGCTCCTGGAGCAAAGGTGGCTTGTGGCCTGTGGCTCATAATTTGGTCGGTCTATCTTATCTGCGCTCCACGTGACTGAAAAGCTCGAAGTGGCACGCAAGCGCCAGCTCTCCAGCTCGGCAGACGACCGAAGCTGAAGCTGGGAAGCTTCTCGGCAACTCAAGGCGACAAACGGCACGCTCGACGCGAGTTGTGTGCGCGGGCCGACCGTCATTCACGACACCCGAGAGCCACAATGGCGTCATTCACGAGCAACTTCCGCCATTTGAGATGCCAGAGACAGTGGATGAGTGTTCAATGGCATCAAATTGCCCTGCCACTATCGAGCCCGGTGATTCGCGCGCGAGCAATTTCCACGAAACCGTCTGTTGAAGAATCCGCGGCCGAGGCGGAATCTCTGGCAGAGTCGGTCAAGATTCCCTTTCAAGACGTCAAATACGCGCGCTGCGTGCCGGCAACACCGTCCTACTTCTCGCGAGAACCGCAGTTCAACGACCTTTACATCCGCATCTCGAACCTCTTGGCTCGATATCGACATCTTCCGATCGTCAAGAATCACGAAGCGCCGCTAGTGCCATGGACCAAACTGGAGGAGTTGCGCGCGCAATTGGAGGAGCCCATCAAGGCATCGCAGTACGCCATGGTTATCCGAATTGCCAAGCGACTCAATCTTATCGTCCCAACCCTCATGCCGGACGAGGTCCAGATTGCGCTACAGCGATTTACACGCAACATCAACCCATTCTTGAACAGGCCAAGGCCAATCAAACTCGACAAGTTTGGTCGAGCCGTTGGAGCTGGAAAGAGAAAAGAGTCCACGGCGCGTGCCTTTGTGGTCGAGGGGTCCGGGGAGGTTTTGGTAAACGGCAAAACGCTGGACCAGGCGTTTGGGCGAGTGTATGACCGCGAGAGCGCTGTCTGGGCGCTGACGTCTACGAGGAGACTGGACAAATACAATGTGTGGGCGCTGGTTGAGGGCGGCGGCACGACCGGCCAGTCACAGGCTCTGGCGCAGGCCATAGCAAAGGCTCTGGTTGCACACGAGCCAGCACTGAAGCCTGCCCTGAGAAAAGGTGAGAGTGAGGGAAGAGGAATTCGAATCTCGGCCCTCAGAGTCTCCGACGCCTACAGAGGACCCTCGTGAAGGTTGAAGTGCTAACATGATTCTGATGCAGCCGGATGCATTACACGAGACGCCAGGACGGTTGAGAGGAAGAAGCACGGCCATGTTAAGGCGCGGAAGATGCCTGCCTGGGTCAAGCGATGAAGCGCGAAGTCGCGGCGGATGCCGGGCGCACTGCAAGTTGGTCGATCGGAGGGGGAAGCACACGACAGGGCCAGCAGCGCCATGCCCGTTGCGGCAACTTTGGCCTGCGAGCTTGGAATGTATGTAGCATTAGGAGGAAAGTGGAAAGTCAATTGTGCCGACTCCGACTGACAACAAGAAACTACATTATCGCCGTCGGCCAGCCCAGGTCACCCCAGGATAGAGATTGGGGCCACGAGCAGTAGACAGAAACTCTATTTCACTTCTGAACATGGGTGGCTGCTCTCCTTGGGCTGCGGGATGAAGCAAACAGCGCGGTTCCGGTCCGGACCTCCCTCGAAACGATTTACCCGCTCCATTCTCCATGGTCAGCTCTGATGGCTAATGGAGAAGGGAAAGGCCTCGACGGCATCTTTTCGACTCCCAGCGTCCGTGCACGAGCAAAGAGCCAAGGCACCACGGGTAAAGAGTCCAGGTGATTGTCCGGGAGCGCATCACCCCTGGCGAGAGGACAAGGCCAAACGGACTATATGTGTCCCGACAATCCGGGTTGTTGGGATATCATACACAACTGTTTGGACTTCGGCCGACGTGACCCAGGGCGTATGAGGGCGCCGGCGACTCTGATTCGGGAGTTATGCAGGTCCTAGTGCCGACGACGTTTCAATCGGACCGGGCATGCCGAATCTAACAATGCCCGCATCGACAATTTGCTCGACCCTGGGGCAATCTTCTAGAAAGCGTCGCTGACATGTCGCCTGAAGCTGGCGTCGGGCCGCCCCACTGATCGCATTACCCCGTCATCTCATGTGCAAACCGGACCGGTGGTTGGCATGCATAGTCGAGGCAAAACGCGGCGTTTCGTGAGCATCGACTCGTAACAGCGAAGAGAGCAGCTGCACATGAGACGCGGCCCAAGCCCAAGCAACACGCATATCTGGGCGACTACAGCCAAGTCGGGCGGTATCAAAGATGAATACCGTGGCCAAGAGCGAGGTGAGGGGCCCAAGAGCGCCCCACGGTGGTGATGATGGCTCATGTATGGCACTGTTCTGGCCGACGCAGGAGGGTCAATCCCAGTTCAGGGTCCCCGGTCGTCCATTTTGCTCAGTCATGGTCCTCTCGGAGCGCCATGCATCGACATGGAAACGTTCCTGTTGGCCAATGGCTCCGCCGGGAGAAATGATTGGGCGCCAACCAAATTTCTTTAGCGCGTGGGCCGGAGCCCGACAAAGGACATTATGCAATCGATGATGATGCACATGCGCCGCCGGCGAGCGCTCAATGGCGGCCACATGCGCCGCGGAAAGTGAGGAGGGGCTGTTAAGGATGCGCTAGGCACCGGCTTTGGGCAGCCCATGTCAGGCGCGACGAAACGCGGCAAGTAGGCGATTGATTGCGCTTGACCGGACGCCTGCGTGGCTTGTGTGCGCGTGGTCTGAGGAATCGACTCAACAGGCAAGTTGAGCAGCAAAACCCACTTTCCCGCCATGTTATTGCCACTTTCGGATAGTGCCTGTTAATATCCTCAATTACGGATCTCTCACGCAAATTTGGCAAGGTGCCTGCCTGCCTTGCCTGGCCTGCCTTCCTGCCTGCCTTCCTGCCTGCCTTCCTGCCTTCCTGCCTCCCCGGCTGGGCAAGTGTGGTTGGGTTGGTTGGTGCCTTCCGAATGGACGGACGGACGGCACGTGAGCAAGCCGCATTTCTTGCTCTCCTTCGTTTCGGCCTTTGACGACAAATGAGGCTCCGTCTCCGTTCTCCTTCAGCTTGGCCGCCAATTGGTGACATTCTGCAAACCCTTTTGCCGCAAAGCCCGTTTTCTCGAGCGCCCCGGCCAGCCAGCCAGCCAATCACCGCACCGCCCGCCCATGGGCCAAGCTCAACGTAACGTCCAGGTTGCTTGGCTCATCGTTTCTCGCGATTCCACTATCGCCCCCCACGGCCCCGCTGGCTAGTCGAGCGCGCGTATGTTGCAATGTGTCCCAGCCGCTAGCAGTCTCGACGTCGTCTTTGTTGCAGTGCGAGGTGGGTAAAACGAGGAAAAGTCTTTGCTTCTAGCAACAGCCGAGGTCGGCAATTCATGCCCCGTTATTGGTCTCGAACCATTTAGCTTTTCACCTTGCTGCAGCTAATTTCCAGTCCTTGGTTTCTCTTCCGCCTTCCAATTGCGTGCGGCCATGCCTTGGAGACAGCGACGGGCTGGACCACTGCCGACCAGGCAGCATTCGCCTGGCCTTCTGCCGGTTTTCGAGCCCCGTCCAGCCATCCAATGACGAGCGGCTTCCTGCGAGATCGGGATCGTCCCTGATGGGAAAGGCTCCACATGCCCAGAACGAGCCTGTCCTCTCCACGTGCAGGCTTGGCAATAAAAATCCCAACATGACGGTTCTTGAGAGGGAAATTGCTTCATTGACGGTTGTCGCATACTTTCCCCACCAGAGGCTTCAGACATGGTCAGTCTCCAGCTACCACCTTTCGGCATTTGCCTCGTCGACGTCTAGACCTCTCTCTAGTGCCGCTCTGGTTCAGCTTGCCGCGCGCTTCTCGTCCAAAGTCCTGGCTTCGGGCAGCCAGAATTGGCCCATTTGATTGTCCCTTCCATTGGGCACCAGCCGGTTAGCAACTCCGTCCATCGGGCAGCCAGCGCCGCTCCAGCCATTTCGCATGACTTTGACAGCCCCGGGCTCTTTTCCCGCTTCTTGCCCTCTCGTCCGCCCGCCCTTCAATGTGCGCCCTGAGCCTTGCTTCCTTTGCTCCCTCCCTTTCTCCCTCTGGTTTCTTGCCATAGGTGGCGTCAGCCAATGTATTCAATTGTCTCGGATCCGCAGCTTGACCTGTCTACGAATACTTCTATTTATTTCTTGGGCTTGATGTTCGGCAAGCTGCTAATCGGGCACCAAGGAGACATGGCATGAATCAAACGGCCCAGTGGCATGCAATTCCAAGCTCCTGGGCCGCCTCCCCCAAAAGGTTTCGGCTGCTGGAAACTGCCATGCGGTCTAGATGCCGTCGTTGGGGAGCATCACGAGGCTGCAGGAGCCGAAATGTAATCAGCTGGTGGCGACGGAACCGTTTGTCGCAAGTGCTTCGCAATTCATCTCGTGAAGCACGGTGGTGATCCGGCCCTAAAGTGCCAGCGGTCCAAGCCACCCGAGGCTACTTTTTCTTTGTACATGGAGTTGTGACGTTTGGACGCAGCTCTCGCCTGGGGGAGTGGTGGTAATAAAGGCGGCCCGGGGTCTTGTCTCAAATGGTAGGATTCCACCCATACTCACGATGATGAGTCGTCGGACTGAATGCTCTCCGAGTATCGGTACCCACCTGTACATGTATGCACGCGAATCGAAACCAACCCCCCCCCCATCCCCTTGTTCTCTCCCTTGTCTTTCCGCACCCCCTGCCTGTCACGGAAAACCCCTTTCTCGGTGAGCTGTCGGTAACAGCCCTCCATCCATTCCTCTGCCCGCCCCCTAAACCACACGGCACTTGGTACTTCGTACCTATCTGTGCTAGGCCCTGCTGGCCTGCGGCGTCGCGGCGTCGCGGCTGGCTCGCGGAATTGGACCCGAACAGCCTCCCCAAGTCGCGGGTAGGTTGTTTTTGCACAGACAAAGGCCTAGTAAAGGGCCAGTCGGGCGAGGTATCTTTGCGCAGGCTGATGACAACGGCGCTTGGCTTTGCCCTGTTTCCGTCCTCCGGTTTTAGCTGTGCCATGCGTACTTGGTGCCCCCGAGTTTCAAGACACGACTCTGGCCCTGTCTGCCCGTTTCCTCCCTTGTACCAACTTGCCAACTTTTCTGCAGCAGTACCGGCACTCTCAACACGTCTCGGACGGCTCATGTCGAGGTCTCTCTGCGCCGGCTTGGTCCCCGCAGGCCGCATCAGCCCAGCTGGGGCACCTCGAACGCTTCGCACGTTTGTGTCCAAAGGGGCAACGAGAGGTGACATGCTGCCTCACGGACTGGATCACGCCAACGGGACCGGCGCTGGCTGTCGCTCGCTTCTAGACAGACGTCTGTGCTTGCTCGAGTGCGTGTTGCTTGTTCGCCCAGGAACAGGCATGCCGGCCGGTGTTAGATTATGTACTTTGACTCCTCTGGCACATCTCGGACCTCCGCGACCAGTGCCGTGCACGCCGGTACGCACCGCTGGACGACTCGGTCTTTGTTTAGCGTAGATCCAGCCAGGCATGCGCAGCCATCTGCCATTTTGGTCAAATGTATAAGACACCTCGGGACACCATGACTGTCGTCCCCAACACATCATACCTTTTTTCTTCTCCCCATCTTTTGCCGCCTTGCTCATCTACAGATTTCGCAAGCCACGGACGAACCTCGGCTGCCTAATCATCTCGCCACTCTCTCTTACTCGAATAAGCGACATAGAGGTTGACAGAGCCTGACTCGGTGCCTCTTCGTCAGCCACTGAGACCCTGGTGCGGCTTCGGTCCCTCCCCCCCTCCCCCCCAGCAGATCGAGCAGGGGCGAGGTTGTCGTGCCTGGGGGCCGCCGCATGGGATGTCCGGGATCCTCCTAACACGACTCGTGACAGCGGCTCTGACAACTCACTGGCGGTGGTTGGATTTGAAGACACGCCTCGCCTATCCTGTCACAAGTACAGCCGCGAGCCTCGCGGAGGCCCTTGGGCAACTCTGTGGGACCTACACGTCTTCCCATTTATTCCTGGTCTCTGGGGCATGAATCAATTTACAGTAGCTTGTGGCTCCGCTGAGCCTTTCATCCGGGCACCTCGCCCAATGACCGACACATCTGACTCGATACTTGGCGCAAACCCTCTGCGTCTGCCTGTACACGGATAGTTGTTATAAGTCTGGCACGGCTTGAACATATACTCCACCACCGCGACCTACCTACAAGGATCGTGCTAGAGCCCGGCTCATCTCTCTCACCCACGCCCTCCGTCAGGGACCAGGACGCGAACCGTACACAGAGCGCACAGTCGACTGGCCTCGTGGCTCCCCATCTCCCCCCGGACTGTCAACGGACTCACCTTGCCCGATAGCCCGACTCCCATATCGCCCCGGACGTTGATCAAGTCGTCGCAAACTCGATCGGAAGTGGTATTCGACATTTCCAAAGCCCCCCTTTTTCATTCCCGGACTCGCTCGCGTCGGCGCATGTTGTGAGCTTGGCGATTGGGCCCTCCGGAGAAGAAAACCGACGGGGCATGGATGACGCCAGTCGAAGAAGGAGGCAGTATGAACCGCCTGCCCAGCGCGCGCCGAACCAGAGATACCAGCCACAAGTCCCCTCGTCGCATGGCAGTTCGTTCAGCAGCAGCGGCGCCGCCGAGAGATATCGACCGGCACCGCTCAACACGTCTCCATCGACGCCACGGACCATGGGCGTCGCGGGCAGCTATAGCTCTTACTATCAAGAGCCGCAGTCGGCCTTCTCGACGCCCAACATGTCGGCGACGGCCATGACCTACGGGGCAGACTATGGCTCGGACACGCGAGGGCAGAACCAAAGCTTTGGAAACTACAACGCTGGCATGATGATGTACAACGTTCCACAGCCGAACACACAAACGCCCGTCTACGACACGCAACCGTTTGCGCAGCGCCAGCAGCAAACCGCCATGCCCATGATGGCGCCGGACGTCGCTTCCACGTACTTTGGCTCCGAGGCGGGAGCAGCGGCGACGTCGGGCTTGCAGCACGCCGGCCAGGGCACGAGCGCCTCGACGGGTGAGTACCAGCAGCAGGGCGCACACATGAGCTACCCGGGCAACATCAACGCGATGCAGCAGCAGGGAGCGGCCGGCGCGAACGCGGGGGCGGCTGAGGGCCACGAATACCGCGACGCCGCGCTGGAGGAGAAGTGGCTAAACTATCAGCGGCAACTGGGAACCGTCTTCCAGGATATCAAGAATGGGTCCCTGGAGAGCGCGTCCGAGACACTGTTGGGCCTGTCCAACTGGCTGTTGACGCAAGTTGCAGACTTGGGTACGCATGCCCCCACGGGCCCCCCATCGAATGACAGGCAGGATACTGACGGTAGATGCAGGGCTAAGCCAAGACGACGCAAGCCTACACGACGAGCGAATCAAACTGTGGAACGACTTCAACCACGCTTGGCTGGCCTTGGGTTTTCAGCAGAAGCAGCTGATGGAATCCGGGCAGCAAATCTCCAGATCCCAGGGGCTGATGTCGGAGGAGATGATCAAGAGGATGGGCGACGAGCTCGTCCGGCTGTGCGACGGCATCGAGCGGCATGGCCTGGTCGACTACCAGTACGGTGTGTGGGAGGAACAGATTGCGAGCAGTAGGTGCCCGCGTTGACTGATGGACCATCGGAGCAGAGCGTTAACACGGGAACCAAGTTCTCGAAGAATGTCTAGACCTTTACGAAGTCCGCAAGGCGTCTAGCGGCGGCGACGAGTCCCGTTGAAGCGATATCGATGTGTTTTTTTTTGGCGGCCAAAACCTTGCCATTCCTGCGGATACCCCCCTCGCGTTCGAACGAAAGAAGAGGGAACTTTTTCACTTGTCAGAGTCTGTACGAAGAAACGAAGCTTTACTTTATTTCTGTTATATCTCTACACGGCGTCTCGACGGAGTCTGGCCGGGTGCTTTGGGTGACGAGGATCCGTCGGTCGAGGAGGGGAAGTTGCAGCAGCCGATTTGCGCCATCTTGGGAGCGGAACGGAAGCGACTTCGGAGAAGTCTACGAGTAGGCATCGAGCACGGCATGGGGTGGCTGGATCTCGGGCAACTGTCTGGCCAAGTACCCTGTTCATCGACGCTACGTGCCCCGGGCAGCTTGGAGGGAATCTACGGAGTAGCACGAGCGGTATGGTTCGATGGAGAGACCACGGGAAGCGAATCGGGGATCAGGACAAGATTAATCTCTTTCTCCTTCCTTTTCCTATTCGCCTGTTTTCTTTTTAAGGCGGCGGCGAGAAAGGCGCGTGAACAGAGATGCATAGACGGCAGGGGCGTGGCGTTTGCTCCTTTCGGCGGGGGGCGCAAAAGGGACGATGGAATTGCATGTTTTACACGGCCAGGACAAGACGGGATGGGATAGGGCAAGGCAGGACAGGGGCGGGCGGACTGACGGACGGCGTCGGTTGCCTGTTGGTCATTTGTTTTCTTTTTTTTCCACTTCGTTTCTCCACTTGTGTTCTTTTTACCTTGTCGTCGTCACACTTTATTCCTCTGAATCAGTTGGCGAGAAACAATGACTTTGTTGCGAAATCAAGCCATGCATGACCTGTATCAGCAGTGGCAGCCCTAGGCTTCGGCAGGCGTTGGGAAGAGACGGTGGATGGCCATGGGTCAGGCCAGCGCGGACCATGGCCGGAGAGGAGAGGTGTCACTCGACGTGGCGAGGCTCGACGACTAATCATGGCCCTAGGCCACGGCGAGAATTACCTGTCGGCCGGGCGGGATGACGAGTCGTTTCCGATGGAGAGCGGCCTGGGGTCGGGACAGAGGAACGCGGGAACTCGCCGCTCGTCCATCAGGTCTCACTTTGGCACTGATCCGCCGCGGCGGGCCGTCGAGTCCCGACAGGTCGGAACGAGTGTCGCGGGTCAGCGGCCGGGGGGGCGTGAGGCGCCAACAAGCAGAGATGTGTGTTGACTTTGGTGGCAAGACATGTGTGTCAATGTCTTGCGTAGAGGAGTTTGGTTGAGTATCAGTTGACGCTGTATACTCGGTACGGTAGGTACCCCGGCACCGAAAGGAGCAGAGCTCGAGAAAAGAGGAGAGGGAGGGCCGCCATTCCTTAGCGTAGCCTCGCACGCGCTCGGTAGAATACATGGCGTTTTACGGATGCATGCGAGCTGAACGGCGACGCCGGCCGGGATGGGGGGGGGGGGTCAGGCGGTCGGGGGGTCAGGCGGTCGTCGGGACGGGGGGCCGAGGCCGACGAGACAACGTCATGGTGCATCTCGTGCGGCAGGGGAAAGAAAACGAGAAAAAGGCTACGTCGGCTCCGCAGTCGGGCACGTGCCTTCAGACGGACGCGAGATGGGGGGGAGTCTGCTGCATGTGGGTGGATATACGCGAGCGTTCCCTGGCAATAATAGGCTACAGATGACCAGGCATGAATTCATGCAAGATATACTTTTAGCATTTTTATACTACTGGACCAGCTCCTCTTGGCGACTCTCTGATTCCTTGGCCGCCCCGGCCTTCCGACTTTGTAAGTCGATGCCTGAGGGAGCAATGATACCGAGGCAAGAGAGAAAGTTGCCTGATCAACCCGGATGTATGTCCGGAGTACAGCGTGCATCGTGAAGTACACCATGTGAATACTTGGCTCCAGGACATGATACACACACGCCTACCCGTCGTCCACGGCTGCTCCGTCGCCCGCCACACTGGCTGCCGGTAACCAATCGCCAAGCAGCCCAAGAGGGCATTGCTTTTGCTTCGGTCCTCGGGCAGACTCTCGCCTTCCTTTTTCCCCCGTGTCTTTTCCTGTTCTTGTTTGCTTATCTTCAGGCTGGATCCCAACCCCTACCCCCCCGGCTGGAAAAAGAGACAGCGTTGTCTCTGATCCAATCCTTGGGGTGCCAGCTTGCCGGGAAGGATGGCCCGTCTGGGACTTGGAGAGCTGTCGTTTCCGGTCTGGGCGTGTTTCTTGCTCAACCAGGCAGGGCTGGGCTTTGTTCCAGCCCAGCCCGTTGTCGCCGAACACGTTGATTCTAGCTCCCCATTGGGTCATGGTGATTCCTGTCTTGGGGGGGGGGAAGGGGGGGGCGGTGGCTTTCAACAAGCTTGCCCGCTACATTGTTGAGCAAGACAGATGCTCTCACTCAGCTCACCCACCCGCAGCCGTTGTCGACCAGCACCCTCCACAGCTCTGCATGCAGGTACACACATGCGGTAGCGAATCTGATAGGCTTGCTCACGAGCCTTGCCTCCGAGGTAGAATGTACCGGTGTCTCCCCCCCGCGCCCCCGCCCCTGTTTTCCCCCGGGACTTTGACTACGTCCGTGATTGACAGACGTCGGCCCTTTTCCCCCCGTCTCCAAAAGGAACAACCCGGGGGGGGGAAGAAGAGTCAGGTCGGAAGGTCAACAGCTGAATGCAGGGGGGCGGAGAGGGGGGCGTAGACTGTCTTTCGTGCTCGTGTTTTACGCAAGAATTCTTTTGTACTACCAAGTACGTGGAAGAAAAGGGGATGCGTGGTGGAAAAGCAAGACAAAAATGAGGCAACTATGGGCTTGTGAGGAACGCAGAGAAGGAGCTTATTTGTCTTTTTGGCGGGCTCTGCGCACCCCCCCGGCCTCGGCCCCCCATCCACTCACACATTCACGCCCCCCCATTTCTCCGTCTCGCGGGTCCTGTCCCCGGCCCGTAGGCGGCCCGCTTCGTGCGCCTCCGCGCCGACCCGAGTCCGGCCGCGGAGGTACGTACCGCCGGGCCGGAGCGGGGCGACTCGGAGGCGTGGCGGGTCCGGGTTGAGTCGACACAAGACAGACTGCCGTGCCGCTCGAGGCTTGATAGTCTCCCTCTTCTCCACCCCCCCCCCTTTGACCTGCTTGTTGGCCGGCTTCTTGAGCCGTCGTCGTGCCATTTCTTTCCCTCTTTTCGTACCCCGTCTTTCTCTGCCTCTTCGAGGGTGAGTGAGCCGAGGGGCGGCACACGAGGAGCTGCCTGTCCGGCTTTGTCTCAGCCCATGCCCGCCGCCCATTCGTGAGTCGGCCCCGCGAAAAGTCGGACCGCGCGCTTCGCCCCCCCTTGCGATGATGGAAGGCAGGGGAGCGCGTCGGTAGCGAGAAATGGCGGCCCCGGCGACGTCAACTCGGGTGGTCGGCGCCGTCGTCTCTCGCTGTCCAAAGTTACACCCCTCTGAATACATAAACCGCCAGCGTCAGTAATGTTTCGGAGCGAATGGGCCTTGAGATACTTCTATTCTTTTCTCTTCTCCCGTGGGTTTGCGGGATGGGCGGAGAGATGGTGATGGATACAAGCCCCCCGGGGGGCTGCGATATTTTGCGGCCCCCATTCATGTGCGCCGAACGGGACTGTTTGCCGAGGTAGGATGCGTGTGCTCGTGCAGGTGACACTTGGGACTCGCACGAGTGTACGGTTTTCTTTGCAGGTAAGACCGAGTGGGATGCTCGGGCTGCATGCAGGAGGTGAGGAGGTAAATTACTTCCTGATGGCAGCTTCAGCCCGGCTGGCCCATAGTCATCATGGTCATCTTCCCAAGCAGCGTAGGACCGAGTGGGATAGCTGCGTGCAGGAGATGGCAAGGGCCAGTTGCTCCTTGTCAGCCCAATTGGTCTATACACAGTTTTCAAGGCGAGGCAGAGTGGTGTTGGATGACCCTAACAGGTCATCCCAACGGCCGAGCTCCATCAGGAGTCCAGGACCAATGGATCAAAGGACCAATGGATTTTGTACAGCATCAGTTTCGCTGACACTCCGCTGACCGTCAGGGTCCACCAGATGCTGACGGGTGGAAAATTGCAACCGCGGCCTCTCATAATTAACCCGCCAACCGGCGACGGTCCCGCTTACTCTCGAGCGGCCCTCGGGGGCCTCGAACCATACGATACCCTCGTCTCCGGCATTGACCTCGTGGGAAAGACCATCGATCCAAGCCGTTTGTTGAGATACACGAGGAGCCATGTCCTGCATCCGCCGTAAGCTGACCGACGATGAAGCCGTCTGGCGTTCTTCCGCCTATCACGGCGTGGCCCGGGCCTGGCTGATTCTCCGCGCTCAATGTCGTTTTGTGGGTGACGAGCCTGGGTCTCCGTGATGAATCGAGTGTCGTTTTCAGGGGTTGCCTCGCTAGTTGACTGGTAGAGCATCGCATTCGCTTACCTGCCTGCCTTGTACAACACTGCGTCGGAGGATATTGCTGAGTTCCGGTGCTCCGCGGTATCAGGATTCAACATGTATAAAAGCATGCCGTTGTCTCGACTTGAGATTCGACATGACCAGCAGCTTCATTCAATTCTCGCTTCTGTCCTCTCGCCTTGAGTCTCGACCTATCCATTCAACCCTCACCTTGCAATCCATAACCAAGCAGCCCAAGACCCAAGTCCGTCCAAGCACTTTCTCACATTCCTCGCTACACGGGGGCTAACAAGCAAACACCAGAACCACCCAACCAACATGCGCCTCACGCAAACCCTCGCCGCCGGCGCCGCCCTGGTCGCCGGCGCCTCGGCCGAGGGCATCAACTGCCACGGCAGCAGCAACTGCGGCAACGTGGGCTTCAAGCTGTCGGGCCTGCGCAACACGGCCCAGGGGCTCGACGACAACCGCTGGTACCAGAACGGGCAGAAGATTGCCTGCTGGCAGGCCCGCGACGGCTCCGGCTTCTGCGCCTTCCTGCAGAACACGGGCGGCATCCCCGGCCGCGAGATCAAGCGCCTGCTGCAGGAGCTGGTGAACCACGGCTGCGCCAAGTGCGGCAGCGTGCCCGTGTTTTTCCCGCAGGACAATGATATCAACAGCCACGGGATTCTGACGGTCAACTATGTGAGGTCGACGGGCTGCAACGGCATCTGCTGATGTGGAACGAGGAAGGGCAGGGCTATGTCGATGACGGGGGTTGATCACTTGGGGGAGCATAGTTAATGTAGTTGAAATCCCACGCGTTGTCAGTTGATATATGCAAATGCAGTGAGCACTCGACATAAGCAGTGCTAGGAAACGGCAGTTCTACTTCGTCTCAGCCCTTTCTACTATATAACGAATTGATGCCCGGGGACAATAACCAGAGGCAAGTCCTTGAACCATTGACAACTTGGCTTATGAGCGACATCACGCAGAGTCTCTCAGGGGGCGCGAATTGATAATAGATCCGTCGTCTTGTTCGCTCGGGCAAATGTCCAGGTCTGATAATGTCGAGGCGAATGCTATGCCCCTGCATGCACCTACCCTGAACCCAGAGCCATGAAACAAGCAAATTATAGAATACATGCGTCATGGAGAGAAAAAGCAAACTAGTCAAACGTCATTCTCACGTCTCCAAACGTCATTGTGTGCCGTACGCACTTGGTTTGGCAGTTGTCTCCCTCTCCAACACCAAGTAACGGAACCCTCCACCAACATTGATCGATGATGCTCCATGTCTCCCCTTGCCCGGCCAACTCTCTCAGCCGGGCGCCAAAATCACAGGCCTGTGACGGCCCCCAAGATGCACAGACAATCAGCCATGATGTGGATGTGATTCATCCAACCGCCGCTTTCACGCTCTGCTCTGCGTCAAGACCCTTGCAAGCGTAGGCTGGCCTAGGTGAGGCTCGCCTGCAGGCTATGCGGAACGCCCTGGTCGCGGGAACGGGAGCCGCGTTGGTTGGCCATGGGCGTTGAAGCCTCCTTTTTGCGGGACGAGTGGACGATGTCATCTCTGCGTGCCTCGACCGAGGGATCGACATGTGCATATTGTGTCATGGTGGCTGCGATCGCCATCAACCGGCAGGGCTGAAACAGGTGAGCCGTGTAATGAATCATCATCGAAAGACGATTCTCTAAAGTCCCGATGCTTGGGCGCCCTTTGACGAGTATAAAGACCATTGGAGAATCTCCCATGGCCTAACTCCAGTCTCTTACCACGCAACACTTTACCATCTCAACCACAGATTCAAACGCAACATTACAAACCACCCCCCAATCACTTCATCATCTCCACCCTTAACCCATCATGCCTACCGAAGCTCAGATCGCCGGCGGTCACAAGGCCACCCTCAACAACCCCAACGTCTCCGCCGAAGCCAAGCAACACTCCAGGGAAGTCCTTGACAACGAATTCAACGGTGGTGACGGTAAGTCTTGTGACGGTCCTTCCCCCAAGACATCGATGCTAAGAGCCGTGTCTACAGTTCCCAAGAGCGGCGAAGACGGGAACAAGAATCCCGGCAACGTCGCCGGTGGACTCAAGGCGTAAGTTGCACGATACCACTAAGACAGGACTCTGTAATAATTATCCATACCCCAGGACCCTCAAAAATCCGAATGTATCTGAGGAGGCAAAGGAAAGCGCCAAGCAGCGTCTAGACGCCATGTAACGATATCATGACTTTACTTTTGGCATCGCGGCTATCGCACGGTATGAAGCGTTAGATAGAACGTTTTGGCAAGACTTGTCCGCGTTGAATGTGATATTGAAATAAAACTATGAACCAACACTTATGAGAGACTCGTATATAACACCGTGACTTCCCATGCTGTACAAGAGCAAGACTGGAGTTTCGAAGACGATGGGCGTCCAACATTGAGGCTCCAGCACAGCCATGCAATAATCCGTACGCACATATAGAGGCTGTGTCAGTATTCTCATCATACTCCAATGACATGGTTTTGTCCTACAAAAGCCGCTGGATTTGAGTTGGGCACTTGAACTGAGAATAGCTTCATTCAGACAGGGGCATCTTCCTTCTGGAAAACGGGTAAACAGCTGCCGCGGCCTTGGTACAGGTACTTCCAAATATCACTGAAACAGATCGGCATGGTCCTCCTTGATCATGTCCGCCGCCTTCTCGCCCACCATGTAGACCGAGTTCTGGATGCGACAGTCGGGAATCACGGGGATCACCGACGCATCGACGACGCGCAGCCCCCAGACGCCGTGCACCCTGAGCCGAGCGTCCACGACGCCCTGATCGACGCTCCGCGACAGCCGCGCCGTGCCGCACGGGTGAAAGGCCGTCTGGCAGCGGTCCAGCACGGCGCGCTTCATGGCGGCGTCGGAGTCGAGCGGCATGTCCCAGGGGTACTCGGCCTCGACGAGGTCGCGGAAGCCGTCGCCCTTGGTCAGCACGTCGTAGCTGAAGCGGATGCCCTCGCGCATGGCCACGATGTCGAGGTCGTCGGCGAAGAAGTTGAGGTTGATGTCCGGCTGCTCGCCCGCGTCGCCGCTGCGCAGCGTCACCGTGCCCGGCGCCGACACGGGCCGCACCAGGTCCACGACGACGGTCGTGTAGCTGCCGCGCTTGGGCACGGGGAAGTGCCACTGGAAGGCGCTGCCAAACATGCACACAAAGTCGAGCTCGAAGTGCGGCTGGCCCTCGGGCGACAAGGGGTCGCGCCCGCCGTTGGCTGCCTTGGCCACGCGGTACGCCGCGTCGCGCTCCAGGTAGGCGTCGATGCGCGGGAAGCCGGCGAGCTCCAGCAGGCCCGAGCCCAGCGGACCTGATCGGTCGTCGCGGTAGGCGGCCACGGCGGCGTCGCGGGCCGCGCCGGGCCGCAGCAGCGTGTCGTCCATGCCGAGCCCGTCCTTGACGCGCAGCACAAACGGCACGGCCGGGTGGTCCGACAGGTTCTGGCCCACGTGGGGGGAGTCGACGACGACGTCGATGCCGTGCCGGCCCAGCTCGCTCGAGGGGCCGATGCCGCTGAGCATCAGCAGCTTGGGCGTCTCGAAGACACCCTGGGACACAATGACCTCGCGTGTGGCGAAGAAGCTGTGCTCGGTCCCGTCTGCGTCGACGACGACGACGCCCTTGCATGTCTTGTCGTCGCCGTCGATGATGAGCCGCTTCGACTGAACGCCGTGCACGAGGGTGATGTCAGGCTTGTCCTTGAGGAAGAGGAAGCTCCCGGACCGCTTGCCGGCGTAAATGGAATCGACGCAATGCGTGAGGCCGCTCAAGTTGCCGTCATAGACATCCTCGCACAGGGGCTCGCCGCGCGACGTCCACGCCTTGGTGAGGGCATCGCGGAACCGGGCCATCTCGGGCAGCGCTTGGGCGTGCGACACGTGGATCGGCCCGGCGCCGGCCCCAATCTTGGCCAGGTCGGGCGGGAAGAGGCCGTCGTCGTCGTGATAGGTGGCGCTCTTGCGCAGATACGGCAGCAGCCGGTCCCAGGTCCAGGCGTCGCCGCCAAACTCGCCCCAGCGGTCAAAGGTGGCCTTGCAGCCGGGCACCCAGGTGAAGTAGTTGAGGGCGGAGCTGCCGCCGAGCACCTTGCCGCGCGTGTTGGGCTTCTCGATGCGCTCGTAGTCGTCGCGGCGCACAATCGTCGACTTGTAGGCCCAGTCGTACTGGCTGCCGCGCAGGTCCATGGCCGCCGACGGCGTCGTGATGTCGGCCACGTCCTCCGGGTTGCCCGGGCCCGCCTCGATGATGAGGATGCGGACGCCGGCTTTTTCTGCGAGTCGCCCGGCCACCGTGTTGCCGGCCGTGCCGCCGCCGACGACGACAAAGTCGAACCGGCTTCCGTCGGGGACCATAATTTCGGGCGAGGGCGTGTAAGTGACAAGGTAGAAGAGATGCTTTCGTCTGCGGTATATAAGAGGGAGGAGTCGGTCTGCTCACGCTTCCTCAGCTGGTGGTGATGATGATGATGATGGTGATGATGATGATGGTGATGACTGTGAGAGCAGACAGTCCGAGGCAGAGCGTCCGCCCATCTTATACCTCTTCTCCCTGACTCGCTCTGCTGCCCACCAACCTCGGCCACTTGCAAGCAGCGACGCTCGTCTCCGCGCCGAGGCGCATCCTGCCTATGCCGTCCCGTGCCATCCCCTCCTTTCTCTCGAGGGTAACCATGACGTGCAGACGATGAGGTTGCATGCGAGAGGGCGAGGCCGAGAGACTATTGGCCTGCGTACGACACGTAGAATGCATGCCCGATGTTGCGCTCGGTAGGTCCGCGGCATCGCCGCAAATGGACGCCTGGGAAGCATCATCACGGCGTGGTGAAGGTTGTTTGATTCCGAATGTCGGTGGAAAAGGGTCGGCAGTCTCCAGAGACGATGGGCGACTCCAGTTTCCCACCAAACGTTGCGCGTTGCCGAAGCCCGAGCATCAGGTGTCCTTGCCGAGCGACGCCGGAGCGATACGCTTTCTCGGCATCTCGACATCGGCAAGGTCCGGCCGCTGCTCGGCATTCAACCCCCGCCCGGTGGCAGCATGCAGGCAGGGGTGTGGCCATGCGTGGTGGCCTTGCTGAATACTGTAGAGCCTTCAGCGCCTCCTCTTCTCTCTCTCCGCACGCAACCCAACAGGGCGCCTTTCCATCCAATCTCGGACTCGTCTGTGTCTCGCCCTCTGCAGGTCGACTCTCGCGCTTACACGCCTCGCCGCAAATCCCCCCTCTCCGCCATGCCCACTCTGGCGGCTCCAGGCTCACTCTCAGAGGCCATCCTCTGAGCAACTCGTTCCTCAACCGAGGTACAAGTATCCTCAATGGATCCATGGAAACATCATTCCGTGCGAATCGTCGCCAACCTGCTCGCTTCCAGCCGTGCCCTGACGCGACGCCCCAAGCCTCATCATCCGCTCGTTCTCCTCACACCAGCCAGCACACGCGCGCGTCCCTCTGGCGTTGCTTCCATCCTCGAGCTCCGGCGAACCCTGGCCACCTGCCCATCAAGTCGAGCCTCGAGGCCCTCGCGTCCCTCAACGCCTCGCACCATGGCCGCCAACGACACCATGGGCAGCTCATCTCCACTCATTCGCAATAGGAGCACCAACGCCAGCCGCCCACAAGCCGTAGACGCGCCTCTCACCCAGTCAGCCACCTTCCTCACCCTCTCCGTGCTCCCCGACGCCCAGGCCCTCCGCACCGTCCGCTCCGCCCTCGCCAGCATCGACGGCCTAGCCAAGACTGTCGCCGCCCGCGACGCTCACACCCGCTTCGCCTGCACCGTCGGCATCGGCAGCGACGTCTGGGACCGCCTCATGGCCCTGCCGCGCCCGGCCGAGCTACACCGCTTCCGTGCCGTCGAGGGCGCCGTGCACACGGCCGTGTCGACGCCCGGCGACCTACTCTTCCACGTCCGCTCCGACCGCCGCGACCTCTGCTTCGAGTTTGAGCGCCTCCTCATGGACCGCCTGACGGGCGCCGTCGCCGTCGAGGACCTCACCATTGGCTTCCGCTACTTTGACCTGCGCGACCTCCTCGGCTTCGTCGACGGCACCGCCAACCCCGTCGGTCCCGCCGTTTCGGCCTCCGTACTCGTCGCCGATGAAGACAACACCTCGGCCGACGGCAGTTATGTCGTCGTGCAAAAGTACCTCCACGATCTCGCCGCCTGGCAGCGGCTCCCCGCCGAGGCGCAAGAAGCCATCATCGGACGCTCCAAGCTGGACAACGTCGAGCTGCCTGATGCGACGGCGGGTCAAAAGTCGCACAAGACCCTGGCCACCATAGAGGACGACGACGGCAACGAGCATCAGATTCTCCGCGACAACATGCCCTTTGGCTCACCTGCCTCGGGCGAGTTCGGCACCTACTTCATCGGCTACTCGCGCCACCTCTGGGTCGTCGAGCGCATGTTGCAGCGCATGTTTGTCGGCGAGCCCCCCGGCAAGCATGACCGCATCCTCAACTATTCCAAGGCCTCGACGGGCGTTGTTTTCTTCGCGCCCTCGGCCAGCGTGCTAGCCAGTCTCGACACCGACTGAGCGCAGCACCCCGAAAACGAGCCCCTTTGAAGTGCCGTCTCCGCCGGCATGGAGAGGGAGGGGCGTGCATGGTGTCTGTTGGCCGTTCTGTGGACTCTCATCGTATCGTCGTTACTCCAGCAGAGCTTGTGTGACAGCACTTTTCCACGCCGCGCCACGCCTCGTGACTCCAAGACCGACGAGGGTAGTAATATTGAAGTCTGCGCATAACATCCGTTGTCTGCATCTCATCAGGAACATGTTGGGGGTTTTGGGACAGGTATTTAAGAGATGTGACTATCGGGTTGCACCTTGTTTGTCTGCTGGGGCTTACCACGTACTGTAGGCCCGTCCGTTTGGCGTTGAATGTGAATTAATCTAGTCGCGCATCGGTGAGCGTTACATCCCAGCCCGACTGGAGCCGGTATCTCGTTCGGCAGTGCCGCCATGTTTCCACCAGTCAGTCTGTGCTTCCGCCAGTGGCTGTAGAAGGGAAACAATACCAGGTTCTAGAATCCACCGGTCGACGCCAAAGCAGAGCCAACGGTCAACCAGTGTTTTCGGTAACGCCCGGGAGGGTGCATCTAGAGCTGCTGAAGCAAAAGACTGTCACAAATGGACCACGCTTTCTTGCACGCCGGTGCGTCCAGCGAAGAAGCCACCTGCGACCGCATGACACCTCCGCGGGCACTGCGAGAATATATGTGACGGTGGCGTTCAGCCTCGACATTAGGTTGCCCCCTGCACAAGGTCGGCATCTGAATTCGATACGTGGGATGACCGTGTTGATGAGCCCACGACTCGTCCTCTTCTCATGGATGATTTGACGACCGAGTATTAAGAAAAGGCTGTCGCAATTTCTGAGATATGGTCGGTCAGCTAAACGTGAGCCTTGTGACGAGGCATTTGCGAATTAGAAAAGCGCCTGGAATCTGAGAACTTAGAGTTATGAGAATCTCGTTTGGATCTGGACATTGGACAGCAATCAGCCCAGCTCACAGGAGCTTCGTTTTCGGCCCAAGCCCAGCACTTGCCCTAGACGATGGTATCACCTAAGCCCGCTATTGAGAGCATCCAGGGCTTTGATAGCAATGCTTGGGCAACGGTACATCCACGCTTCGCGTACTCTCGACCCGCACGTCCAAACGTCACTTGGTGGTCCAGGTAAAGATCGACAGGCAATGCCCGCTGAATGCTGATTTGGGGTAATCATTATCATGATACTAATTGTTTCATATCCAGTAAGCGCTGCCACGGACGTCTCCCAGCGACTCCAATGCTTCGGGCGCTTCAAAACTGATCTGTATGCCGTCGTCAGCTGCCGTTTCGGCTCAGCGCGGCGGCGGAAGTGCATACCGAGAGTCATGCTCATGCTGACGTCGGTGTTCTCCACCATTTTTGTAAACTCCTCGAAGCTAATTTTGCCATCCTTGTCGAGGTCGGCCTCCATGATTGTCTTGTCGACGATTTGCTGCAGCTGCTGGTCCTTAAGGTTGCTGCCGACCATCATCTTGAGTACTATGAAGAGCTCGCCGTTGCTGATGTAGCCGTCGCGGTCGATGTCGTAGACCTTGAACGCGAACCGCAGCTTTTGCTCCTTGTTTCCCTTGCTGCTAAAGGCGCTGAGGCCCGACACAAACTCTTGAAAGTCGACGTCGCCGCCGCCGTCCTCGTCGAAGATGGCAATCATGCTGCAGCACCCCCACGTTAGCGCATGGCGGAGAAGGGGGTATCGAGCTCGGGCGTACCGTGTTGCCAGGGGGTTGGATGAGATTTGCGGTAGGCTTAGAAACTCGTCGCGCTCGATAGTGCCAGAGTTGTCCTGCAGACGGGGTCAGTGCGAGTAGAAGCAGAAGATCGAGGGCAGGCAGGCACCTTGTCCAACTTCATAAATCGCTTGCGTAACCGGTCAACCTCTTCTCTGTCGACTGCGGCGTCTCGGTCAGCGTCGGCGCGGGCGCGGGAGCACGAGGGAGACCTCACAGTTGGAGCCCTGGACGATGTTGTCCAGGACTGCGCTCGTCGTGTTGCCCATGGTGGGCGGACAGCACAGCACGAAGGAGATGAATCGATGGTCGTCGGCCGAGGACGGAGGACCAAGGTGAGACCACGTGCGGGAGTTGGAGATGCGTTTTGCGCGGCTAACTTCGGGGGCGAGACGTTTAGGCGGCGGCAGTACGGGGTTCGTCGGTGTTTGATGGTAAGGCTGAATGCGATTTGCACGCGTGGTCGAGGAGGGGGTCGAGGAAAGCTTGCTTGGTGAAGCCCCTCCACCGAGCCGCACCACCGCCGTAGGGTATCTATTGGCCCCCCATGGTGCACGGGCCACATGCTCACCGCGAGCGCAAGGTGACGACATTGGAAGACATGGTCAACGACACGTGCGAAAAATCACTGCCAAAGCAACCACCAATGTTACGAGCATCGTCGCATCATTCAAATTCGCACAAATTTTATGATGCACACGAGGCGCTGGCGAGGCGGTGCAGCGCCGTTTATACCCACCCGTTGTGATGCTGGACCAGGTACAGGTACAAGTTACAGAGCAAGGCAGAAAGAGGTCACTTCGATTGATGGCACATCCTCCACCCATCGTGCCGGGCGGGTAATGCTCGGCTGCCCTCCTGGTGGCGGCCATGCCTGAAGCAGCCGGTCGCGCCTTGCCCGTAGTGGCCTCTTTCTTCCGCCGCTCTCTGGCGCAGTGGCGCCTGGAAAAAAGAGGGGAAAAGGGAGGCAGCGGCCCGAGCGCGTCAGGTACCTTTCGCACCAAGCCCCCCGCGGCCGGTGACCTTTGGGCTCCATGCCACAGTGGCAACCCATCACACAGGCGCTGCTGCGGGCAGCAATCTTCCCACGCCCGCGACGCCAGTGAAAAATCTTCGCGCGGCAAAACAATCCCAACGTCACCCCATCGATCGCGACACTTCAGCCATCAAAAAAGGGCCCCCCCAACGTCGTTTGCATCTCCTTTTGGGCAAATCGCATTCGTGCATGCCTCGATTTATGACTTGATCGTTTTTTCTCGCGGGTTTTCCGCCGGCTTTTCGCCATCCTCGTCCGCCCCGGCAACATGTCCTCCCGAAAGGTCCGAGTCAAGAAGCTGAGCATCAAGACGACGCTTCCTGTGCTCAGAGAGGACCAAATCGACCCTTCCGAGTACGAGGCACTCACCACCGACATCCAAATCGCAACAGGTGTCGAACAGGCCGAGGAAAATGTAGGCTTGCCCATCCCCCCAAAACCCCTTCTGATATCACGTGCAACAGCACGTGATATGGCTGCATGTACCAAGTACACTGCATGGCTGCCTCCCGGTCAGAGCCAAAGCCCACACTGACATGTCCCGTCCTGCAGGAATACCATCTCCAGACCATTCTCAAGGAGGCGGGCACCAGCAATGACCAAGAAATCCCCGTCCCGCCGCCCCAGGAGAGCGCCATCAACTACGATGAGCTCTATCCCAGCGTCTTCCACCAGCCGTCCTCCTATATCCGGTTCTCGCAGACCGTAGAGGAGTGCATCAGCTGCCAATATGACATGACAACCGAGGACGACGAGTTTCTCACGACATACAACGGCAGTGGCCCTGCTGGCGGCCCCTTGTCCGAGGATGACTTTGAGCGTATTATGGACGTCTTTGAGGAGACGGCAGCCGAGCAGACGCCCTTTGCATCAGTCGACAACACTGTTGTCGCTTATGACATGATGGTGCCGTCCCTGAACCACCTCGGCTCTCCCTCCATCCTCCAGCACGCCAAGGCGATATATGAGTACTGGAAGACGAGTCGACAGGGCACGGGCAACAAGCCGTTGCACCCGACTCTCAAGTTTGAGACGCACCAGGAGACCGACGACGCCGACCCTTATGTCTGCTTCAGACGCCGCGAGGCAAGGCAGACGAGGAAGACGCGGGCTCGCGACAATAAGATTGCAGAGACGCTCAAGCGTCTCCGGCGCGAGCTTGAGGACGGTCGTCAGCTCATCCTCATGACCTATGAGCGCGAGCTCATGAAGCGAGATGTCCTGCAATCAGACAGGGCCCTCTTCGAGGAGAGAGCCCGGCTGAAGCATATGAAGATCAAGCTGGGCATCAAGGGCGAGGAGGACGACCTGGTCAACCAAAAGGTAAGCAGTCAGCGCCGCGCCCGCCGTTGTGACCACTTGGCACTGACGCAGCCTCAGCCTCAGAAACGCAAGGCCGCCGAGCCCGTGAGCGCGCCGAGACAGCCCGGCACGCAGTTGCGAGCGCCAATGCGCCCCGACGGGCGGACTGTTGAGCAAGAGCTCGTGTTGCTCTCCGACTTGCTGACGCAAAAGGAAAAGGAGCTCAGGGAGGAGATTGAAAGCAAAGTGCAGAACCACCGGCGGTGGAATCAAAACCATGTTGATCTCACCAGAGACCCCCTGTCCCCACTAAGGGAACGGGGCATGGAGCTCAAGTTCCGTCCGGCAAAGACTCAGTATCTGATGACGCCGCCGGCTTCGTCGGCGTCGGAATCCATGGAGGTGGACTATGACACGCCCGAGCCCATGGCGCTGGACAAGCAGGAGCCCCCCGTCTTCCAGTTCAAGGCAGGGGGCGTGGGCAGCGACGAGGCGCCCATGCGTCAGCCCTCGTTCCGGCGGCGGATAGGTCGTCTCCAGCGGCTGTGGATCGACCGGAGGGGCATGGCGACGCCGCCGAGAGAGTCGAACGGGCACTCGGACCGGTGGAAGTACGACTCTGACGACGACGAGGCGGAGCCGCCCGTCTATGAGGTGGACCCGTTCGACACGCTCGCCCTCAAGTTTCGAGCGACGATTCCGATGGGGCAGTACATGTACCGGGGCAGCCGGCCGCCGATGCCTCTGGACGGCGGCCCGGTGGGAAGCAGAGTGCTGGCACCGCCGCAAGCCGCGGCAGCACAAGCCCAGACACAATCTCAGGCCCAGGCAACTTCATGAAGGGGTTCGTCGCGCAGTGTATGATGTGGTTTGTCGACGACTGTATATATCCCCTTTCCTTTTTGTTTTTGATTTCGTGTTGTTCTGCTGCAGGAGACGGCGAGGGCAGGTTCGCAGGAGACGCGCGAGAAGCGTGCTGGTCAGCGTTGTCGAGATGTAACAGTAGCGGGCGCGGGACGGGATGGGCATTTGCGAGGAGTTGGGGAGTCGAGCGGTACTTGAAGTTTAGATATGTTGAAGAGCCCTCATGAGGCAGCAATAACAGACGTCAAAGACGGTCCGCTTGAGGCCAAAGCAAGCTCGTTGGAATCGCATCTGTAGTTGTCCGGGAGGGTAGCCGTGACGAATGGAAGCTGATGGGCCGTCTCCCAACGGCCATGATCCGGCGGCGAGGACCAAGCAATGGCCAGCCTGTTGGCTTACAAAAAGAAGCCGGCGAGCCAGGTCATTTCATGATCCCTGGGGAAGCTTGCCTGGGAGACGCAAGTTAGGAAATTTCTCTTCCCCGGGGTCAGAGGCAAATGGCGCGGCAAAACGAGAGCCCAAGGCAGCGGCGGCAAGGGGGGAAGCAACGTCACACAAGCTACCCCGGTAGCGAGAGAGCGAGCGAGAGCGCGAGAGAAAGGAGAGGAGAGGCATAGCAAACGTGGATGACGTACCGGGCCCGACCTCCATGCCGGGCAGGCTCACAGAAAGGTCGTTTAGGGGGGTGGTCGACCGGACTGATAGCCGCCGCCGCAATCCAACGGGGGCAAGCAGGAGCCCGAGGACGCGAAGCTGTGCAGGCGAGTGAACGGCGGAGCTCAGAGGAGGCAGCAGAAGAGACAGGCGCGGTAGAAGCGAGACGGGAGAAATTTCTGACGGCGAGTGCGGCAGAGAATGGCGGCGGCGGCGGCGGCGGCGGTGGTGGTGGTGAGTGGTGGTGGTGGATTTACAAGCGGCGCGAAAGTGTGGTGGTGGGGATGGGCAAAATCCAAGGAGCGGAGCGACTGGGGGGGGCCAATCCGCGTTCCGTCTGTCTCTGCTCTCCACCCAGGTACCGCGCGCTACCTCTACAGCAGGGACTTACAGCTTGTTACAGCGCATGGTAGCCGCTGGAGGGGGGGGACTGTGCCCGGTGCAAGGCGCCGTCTCCGCTGGTGCGTGTTGCACAAACGCGATGCAAGGGTGCACAGAGGAGAGCAAGGGGTTTTGAGCGCTTGCATTGATTGTTCCGCTGCCCTGGGGATCGTGTCGGCATCTTCACCATCTTGAAGCTTGTCCTGTGGCTCAAAAATGGCCGTTGCGGGGGGGAAAAGGAAGGAAAATAGGGCAGCTACTGAACTTGAGTGTCTTACCTAAGCCAGCCCCCCTGGGCCTTGAGAGTTGGGCTGACTTGCTGTGTCTGTAGATGCCTTTGGGGGGCGAGGGACGAAGAGCGACAAGTGGTGCTGTAGAGGTTCGCTGACGATACTACACTTTCTGCCGCGATGTCATGATGTCCCGTTGCCGTTTCGGCGGCTATCCTGTGGTTCCGTAACGCACTTTATTCAGAACATCAGACGAACATGTCCAGAGTCGTGCGCAGCGGCAGGAAAGAAGAAAAAAACAGGGGTCCTCTCCCCCCCTCCAACCAACCCACCTCCCCCACCAAAGAAACCAAACACCACCATCACGACTTCGCATCCATACTTCCAAGAACAGATAAAGCCACCTTGCCCAGCTCCCGAGTCCAGCAACCGCAAGCCAACCCGCCCATGGCCTCGGCCGCCTCGGCCGCCATGGCCTCACCCTCGTCACCGCCCTTCACGCCCTCGAAGCAGTCCTACATCGCCATCGGCCTCGAGGGCTCCGCAAACAAGCTCGGCATCGGCCTCATCCGCCACACCCCCGCCGAGACCACCGTCCTCGCCAACCTGCGCCGCACCTTTGTCTCGCCGCCCGGCACCGGCTTCCTGCCCAAGGACACCGCCGCCCACCACCGCCGCCACCTCGTCGCCCTCGCCCGCGACGCCCTCGCCGCCGCGTCCGCCGCCCACGGCGCCGCCCACCCCCTCACCCCCGCCGACGTCGACTGCGTCTGCTTCACCCAGGGGCCCGGCATGGGCGCTCCGCTCTCCGCCGTCGCCCTCGCCGCCCGCACCCTCAGCCTCCTCTGGCAGAGGCCCCTCGTCGGCGTCAACCACTGCGTCGGCCACATCGAGATGGGCCGCCACGTCACCGGCGCCCACAACCCCGTCGTCCTCTACGTCTCGGGCGGCAACTCCCAGGTCATTGCCTACGCCGAGCGCCGCTACCGCATCTTTGGCGAGACGCTCGACATCGCCGTCGGCAACTGCCTCGACCGCTTCGCCCGCACCCTCGCCATCAGCAACGACCCGGCCCCCGGCTACAACATCGAGCAGCTCGCCAAGCAGGGCTCCCGCCTCCTCGAGCTGCCCTACACCGTAAAGGGCATGGACTGCTCCTTTGGCGGCATCCTCACCGCCGCCGACGGCCTTGCCGCCCAGATGCGCGCCAGCCCCGCCACCGCCGGCTTCACCCCCGCCGACCTCTGCTTCTCCCTCCAGGAGACCGTCTTCGCCATGCTCGTCGAAATCACCGAGCGCGCCATGGCCCACGTTGGCTCCGCCCAGGTCCTCATCGTCGGCGGCGTCGGCTGCAACGAGCGCCTCCAGCAGATGATGGGCCACATGGCCCGCGAGAGGGGCGGCTCTGTCTACGCCACCGACGAGCGCTTCTGCATCGACAACGGCATCATGATTGCCCACGCCGGCCTGCTCGCCTACCAGACGGGCTTCCGCACCCCGCTCGCCCAGAGCCAGTGCACCCAGCGCTTCCGCACCGACGAGGTCTACGTCCGGTGGAGGGACTGAGCTGCCGATGCAGTCGTTGCAGCCAGAAACAAAACACAGCCCAGCTTACACCAGACCAGGCCAGGTCGCCCAACATGCCCTCTGCCGTCACCCACCAACTCAAAGTGTACGAGACATCCACAGTGCAAGAGATCCGATGCGACCAGTCATCCACAGTGGACAGGCTTCTGGCATGTCCTTGTCGATTCGGGAGGGGAGATTGTCTCCTTGTTCCATTCATCCATGCGGCTGCATCTACCGACCCCTCCCCCCGGGCCGTCCAGAGATTGCACGCCCTCTATCAGCGCGACGCTGGGGCCAGAAGCCAGGGTGCTAGACCTTCAAGATCTCACTCCGTCCTGTGGGGCCAGATCAAAACAACAGCCGTCTCCGCCATGTGCGACGCGGACTTGAAAGCAATCAGGTATATGAGAGTGGTATGTGAAGAGAGGGGGCGAGCGAAGGGAAGGGGAGAGAGAAAAGAGGTGGACATGCGCCATAGTCAACTCGACGTCACCAATGCCACCAAATCCCGCGTGCCACCACTCCCAAATCCTCTAGCCTCATCCTTCGTCCGCCGAGGTCGGCTTGTACATGATGGTCGTAACGTACTGCAAGAAAACCAGACGCCGTTAGCAAAGCACGCTCCGCAGACCCTTTCTTCCAGGGGGAGAGAATCAACATGTCCAACTCACCTTGTTGTGATATCTCGTCGTCGCCGAGACGGCCAGGACATTGTTCTTTATGCTGCTTGTGGCGAGGTGGTTGAGGACCGTGTGGTTGGGCATGTTGAGCACGCTGTTGTCGTCCTTCATGAGCGTCGCCGCGTTGAGAATGGGCTTGCCCAAGAAGCCCGGCAGGCTTGGGGGCGTGGGCAGCTTCTCAATGGCGGCGACGGCGTTGCGGTAGGCCGGCGACTCCTCGGGCTGGTCAAAGTCGAGCAGATACTGGGGGATGGCGTTTTGGTAGCTGGCGGGCGGGTCGACGGCCCTGCCCTTGGCCGGCCGGGGCTGGTCCTTTGCCTGCGAGCCGGACCGCAACGCGCCCTCTGCCTCGCCCTCGAGCTGCGCCCCGCCGCCCCCCTGCTTCTGGGCCAGAGGGAGGTCGTCCGGGTTGACCTCGATGTAGTTGACGAGGTTGTTGCCAAAGTCGACCGTCGTGGGCAGGTCCGGCGACGTCTGCATGATCCCGTCGACGAGGAAGCGCACATGGTGTGTGCCGGGGAGGATGTGGATCGTGGCCGCGAAACATCCCGGTTTGCCTTCGCTGCAGGAGGCGGAAAGGTACTAGTCAGCTTTGCTGCTCTTGCTAGCACGGCAACCCAGATCTTGTGGGACGGGGTGACAGGCCCCTTGAAGCAGGACCGACATCCGCGTCGAGGAGCGCCACCGACACACGGCATATGTGCACAGCCGAGAGGGCGTCTCGGGAACCAGGGATCAGGGGTCAAAGGGGAACATGTTTGACGGGAGACTTACACGGGGTGCAACCTCTGCTTCCGATTCCATTGGAAAATCGTGCCCGTGACGTAGATCTTGTCGCCGCCGCGCTTCCACTCGAGGCGGGTGGGGACGACGGGCCGCGTCTTGTCGACGCGCAGCTCCTCCGACTCCTCGTCATCGACCGTATTTGCGCTCAGGGCGGAGCTTTTCCTGGTGAGGCCGTCCGAGGACTCGGCGCCGAGCTCGACATCGCCAAAGGCCTCGTCGGGGGCGAGGATGGGAGAGCCGGGCGTGTGCACCTCCTCCTCGATGGGGAGTGGCAGGCGAGGGGGGCCCCTCAGGTACATGTCGGTGACGCTGTTGTTGGAGACGAGTTGGGACTCGGAGGGGGGCGCCTCGCGCGAGTACGGATGAGAACCGTGGTGAGGGTGAGAGCGGAGAGATGACGACTCGGTGGGCACGTCGACGGGCTTGGTGGGCTCGTCACGGGAGGCGCGGACGTCGGCGGGCTTTGCCGGGGTCGAGAAGTTGCTGTGCGGCGAGCCACTCAGCGAGGAGACGGCGGTGCTGGGGAGGCTCTTGGGCCAGCTGACGACGGTCGAGCCCTGGGCCTGGGCCAGCGAGGCCTCGGGGGGTGCCGCGGAGCGGTGGGTGGTGTGTGGGGGAATGATGTTGCGGGGCTCCTTGCGGTGTGGGCGGTCGTGGTGATGGTGGCCTGGCGTCGTGGCCGAGGCGTTTTGCGCGGCAGACGGCGACGACGCAGCCGTGCCCGACTTGTTGGACGCCGACGAGTGGCTATTGCCCATGGCCGGCCGTTCCCGCCTTTGTGCTTAAAGATGGAGGTATTTCCCGACGATTCAAGTCCCGGGATATCAAAAGGGACCTTTTAACCCTCTTTTTTTCCTTTAGTGTATTTTATGGCTTCTCGTTGGGGGTATCGGGAAAAGGGGAACCCCGAGACGAGCCGTCGTGACAAGGCGCGAACAAGGCGCGTAAGTGGGAGTCGAGAAAGTAATCGAACCAGGCCCAGGGGGGTTGTCCGCGTGACGAGATGCAACGAGTGCCCAACGCAAGGGCTGCCTTTGGGATTCGCCGGGGGCCGGCCAACGGGAAACGACGACGTCGAAGCACGTCCGTCTGGAGAGCGTCACGGCGCCTGCATCTCAGCGCCGGGCCAGCGGGAGAGGACGACGAGGCGCGTGCCGGGTGCAGCCTTGTCGCTTTCGATGTGACTGCCGCAGGGTGTCGGGCGCAGTGGGTTGCCGCCGTGGTCGTTGCCGCCGTGGTCGAGGCGATGGTTGTTGTTTTCGGCAGCCGTTCGCAACGAGGCGGGGAGTCAAGCTTGTAGTGTCGTCGTTTCTGCTGCCTGTCGCTCCTCCAGCCGACGGAGGGCAAATGGGACGAGAGAGAGGGGCCGCGCCTATGCGGAAGCACTTGGCAGCGAGCAAGGGATCTGCTAGTCCGATACATGCCCGGAGCTTGCGCCCCACCCCGAAAGGCATGTACTCCACTATACCAGAGCCTTGCCGAAGCGCTGAAGCTCGGGTGCGCAGGTACCCCAACATGTACATTGCCAGGTTGTCGAAGCTCCCCTGCCCGTCTTCGGAGTAGCTGCTCCGCATGGCGTCAATCCCACCTACTGCCTAAAAAGGGCCTGAAGATATTGCCGACAGGACTGCAGAGGAGTCTGGTATTTTTATAGCTTGCTCAGTCACGAATGCCTTTATCAAGAGTAACAGGTACGCACAAGTCTTCAGAATAGGTACTTGATAAAGCTGCGGCTGCCACAAGCTCGATTGGTTGCGGCACGGGCACAAGTACCACCCACCTACCTACACAGAGCACAATAAACCCAGCCATTCTCCCGACTGCCGTCTCCGTCGCCCCGAAACCATCCATCCCCAAACCCCCATCGCAATGCGCCCAGCAAGCCCAAGCCACACGCAGCAACAACACCACCGCCCAGGCACATAAGCAGGCAGCCGCCGGCCCCCATGGACGACCACCACCTCCAGCGCAAGCAGTCCTCCTCCGTCGATGACGCCAGCGCCCTGCACGCCATCCTCGACACGGCCGCCCTCGTCGCCCGCGCCCTCTGGCGCCTGCCCTGGGCCGCCTCGCTCGCCCGCCTCGCCCGCCTGGCCGCCCTGCCCCTCGGCCTGCTCGCCTGGCCCCTGTCCTGCCTCGCCGCCGTCTTGCGCATCCTCTTCGCCCCGGCCCTCCATGTCGCCGCCTATCTGCTGTCGTGGGGCCGCGCCGTCGTCGCCTTGATCGCCAGTCTAGAGGTAACCCTCACCATTTGGTCTTGCCAGGAACCTGCAAGCTAACAGACCGGCGGCTCCGTAGCCACTGTACACGTTTGTGAGAGCCTTCATCCTTTGCTCCCCAACCCTCGCCCTGCTAACCTGCTCCCAGTTCAGCGTCGCGGCTGCCATCGGCATCGTCTCGGGCGTCATCCTCGGCCTCTCCTCCTCCATCATCACCACCTACCTGGGCATGTACGATGACCCGGAAACCGACGACCGACCGTCAGACAAGCTGACAGGCTACGACAAGCGGCTCCCCGCGCCCGGCCCGGCTTCGTGGGAAGCCGATTGGCATTGGACAGAGTCGTCCACGTCCAGGTTTCGACAACCATCGGGACTGCTGTCGCAAACGATACACGAAGAGGAAGACGACTCCGACCCATAGCGCAATCATGTATAAGCAATTGTACGGCTAGCCATATACCCCCATAGCGTTTCGCCAAGCCAGCCAGCATTCTCTCCCGCGGCCGTGGCGCTTGCTTGCTGCTGTTGCGTATAGTCCATCCTGTCTTGTCGATCCCTTTCGCCTCCCAACGCCGTGTAAGCGCGTCATGGCAAATTCTCAAGATGCATGCTCTCCATGCCGTGTCTCCTCGAGCGTGGCACGCCCCATAGTGTAGGGGCCCCTTCGCTACATCTCATCGTCGGTACATGTCCCGCTCGACTCGCTCCCGTTCCACTCGCTCCCGCTCTCGTCTGTCGAGGACCGGGGATCGGCTGCGGCTTCTGGGGTGCCGATCTCGCTCGTTCCACCGATCGTTGCTGGTGCGCCGCCGGCGCTCCTCTCGGGGCCGCTCAGCCCCGCGTCGTCCAGCTTCGTCGCGGCAGTAGCTGGGAATGTAAGTATCGATATCAGCCCCTCGAGCGGGGACGCGTCCACGGGGCGCTCCACGGTCCCGGAAATCCGGGTCGTCTCTATTACCTGGTCGTTCCTGCGGGGGACGCGAGGTGGGGCCTCGCTCTCGCTGCCACGCGGGCCTGCGCTCGTCGGGGCCGCCTCGGTAGCGCCCTCCTCCGTTGACGCCGTTTCGGCTGCCGTACCCGTCGCTGCTGTTGAAGCCGGCCGTGGCGCCGTTGGCATCCGGGCCGACGCCGACAGTGCCGCCCTTTGGCGCCGGCGGGAGCGCAGCCTTGCGGTCGTGGAACTTTCTGCGGTCCAGCTCGTGGCTCTCCTCGTACACGGGGATCTCGTGGGGCTCCATGGGGAGAGGGGCCATCTTGAAGTAGGGATGGTCCAATGCATCGACTGCGTTGATGCGCGTCCGCCAGTCCAGTTTCATCAGGTCTTTGAGCAGCGAGATGGCCCCAGAGCCGAATCTGCAAGCGTTTGTTAGCCGCGTTGTGTGGGCAGCGCGCGCTAGGCCAGACGTACTCCCGAAATCGGTTCTGTAGATTTCCAGCTCGAGGACGAGGTGACAGATGCTCGCCGCCAGGCAGTCTGTTCCACCCGGGCATCGTGTCGTCGTTAGGCGAGCCCGTGAGGTCCCAGATGAGCTCGAGCTGATGGCTGTCGCTCTCGCCAGCCAGGATGGGCTTGCCGACCAACATCTCGCCAAAGACACAGCTGCGAGCCTCGTCAGCACGCCACACGCTGCGGGGAAGGAAAATACGATGCGTGTTTGCACTTACCCGACACCCCACACGTCAATAGCAGTGGTATACTGTCGGAGTTGCAGCAGAAGCTCGGGAGGCCGGTACCAGCGCGTGACGACAAGGCCCGTGTAATCGCGCCGCCCGTCGCCCACGGGTCGGCCGGCGCGAGGGGTGGGACCGTCGTAATGCCTGGCCAAGCCGAAATCGGCAATCTGCAAGATGCCTTGGTTGTTGATGAGAAGATTGGCAGCCTTCATGTCGCGGTGAAGGATGTGGTTATCATGGAGGTAGCAGAGGCCCTGGAGTAACTGCTTCATGTAGCATTTGATCTGGGGCTCCTTGAAATGCACCGAGGGGTTGTCGAGAAGACCGGAGAGATCATGGTCCATGTAGGGCATGACCATGTACATGATTGGTTTCTTGCGCTTGTCGGCTGCAGAGACGGGTGAGTGAGAGAGTCGCCAAGGGACGGCGAGGACTTACTCGGTCTCGACGGGTGTTCGACGGCCATGTTTTCAAGGCGCAGGATATTCTTGTGCGACAGGAGCTTGAGCAGCTTGATTTCTCGAAGGGCCGTGATGGGAAACTGGGTCGACGGTTAGAGTTGTTTCGGGATAGAGTCGATGGGATCGGGGCACACTCACGCCATCCTTTTCGTGATGCATGATGATTTTCTTGAGGGCGACAAGGGCACCCGTCTTCTTGGAGCGGGCTCGATGGACCTCGCTGGCAGTCAACGAAGCGTTAGCCCAAGGCACACGGCCTGCAGGGAACAGGGACGCACCCAAAGGTGCCCTCGCCGAGCTTGCCCTGCAGCTCATAGTCGGCGATGCGCGAGCAGCCCTGGAAGCTGGACTTGGGGCGTAGGTGGTTGAGGGCAAAGGTGCGGGGCGAGGTGCCCTCGGGCGTCCTCTCGAGGGCCCTATCCATGGGGCCCGCGGCGGATGTCAGCAGAGGCGGGCGTGGGGGTCGGGGGTGGGCGCTATGGCGTCGTCGAGCGAGGCATCAGTTGGGGGCAGCGACGTGGCCGGGCATGCCCTCGTTGTCGCGATAGGATGGGGCGTTGTGTTTGCGTCGGCGAGGAGGCAGAGCGGCAGGACGACGCCGAGGACAATGAGGTGGCGGAGACGGGCAGCTGGCGGGCGGTGGACGGGAGCGTCGTGTGGACCGAAATAAATACCAAGGGAGCAGGTGGGTGAAAAGGAGAGAATGAAGAAGTGAAGAGGTAACACTGTGACGAAGAAGCGAGTCGGGCGATGCGCGAGAGAGAGATGGGCGGATGGATGTTTTTGGCGCGAAGGGGAAAGTAGAACGTTTGGAGGCGACTTTGGACCACCCCCCTCCCAATGGCAGGGACCCCAAGCTGGGGTGCTAAGGGGGGGTTCACGGGGGGTGGGAGTACATGGTGTTGCTCAGGGTACGGATACCTCCATAGGTACTTTGTACACGTCTCCCGTCGATGTTTGCTCAACGCCAGCCAAGTGCTTGAATCAAAGTTGAATGGAGCACGCTGCCACGTCGAGCCTTGGCCTTTTCATCAGACCTTCTTTTTTTCTCGTGTATATTTCGTAGCCAGATGACGACGTTGTGCAACTGCAGGGGTCTAGAAGTTGGAGCAGAGATGTACCGGAACTTACCTATCTATCTGGGCACATGTGTACCTAAGTACCTAAGTAGCCTGTACAAGCAAGTGCAGCAACAGACAGTCGTGGATAAGAAGGAATGCACTTGTTGGCGCGGCCGATATAGACACAGATGTCTGTATATTATCTTGAGAGAAGAGAAGAAGGGGAAGAAGAAGCAAGAAAAGAGGTTGCACGGCAAAAAGGAAACAAGGCCGTTGGCCAACAGGGGACGCATGCAACCCCCGGGTGTCGGCCGGCATTGCGCAGCGTCCAATGAGCTCGCGCCCGCCGTCCATGGCTGTGGACGGGTTGAACAATCATCATTGCTTCTTTCCCGCCTATTCATTCAGTATCATCGATACCCCTTCGAGTCAGCCGTCCACTCACCTACTTTTCGTCTCATCCCCAACCACACCCCGTCAGATCCTCACGATGCTCGCTCAATGCGAGCCGTCGCACGGCACAATGGCACCCGCCGCTCCACCCGCGCTCCTGTCTCGACCCTGCCTAGCGCTCTTTAATAGCCTTCGCATCCAGACGCCATCTCCCGACGCAGCACCATTTCCATGACTAAAGTCACGGCAATTTTTCGCTTCCTCGCCGTCCCCCTCACGCCCTCCCTCTCGTCGTCGCTTCCTATCCGCTCCGAGTCTCAGCCCGCTGCCAGCTTATCGTCACGGCCAACACCGACTTTCCGCTGCGTTATAAGACGGCTGCTGCTCACCGACGGCCGTCCAGGCTCGATGGGACGCCCTCTCGTCCCGTGAGATAGATTTCCGTCTCGGCCCCAGGGCACATCAAATCAAAAAAAGAATAATGTCCCCCGCACAGGTCGGCCCCGGCGTCGACGCCGGCCTCCCCGAGTCCCGGGTCCTCATCATCGGCACCGGCGGCACCATCTGCATGCAGGAGGGCCCCGACGGCCTGGCCCCGAGCGAGGGCTTTCTCGAGAGCGCCATGGCTCCGCGCCCGACCTTTAACGACATGTCTGGGCACGATGGTATGCTCTCTCTCTCTCTCTCTCTCTCTTTTCTGCTATCTCCTCTTTGGGTGAGCCCATTGCATGCCATGTGTGTTGGGTCAGCTGCTGTGTGTGTGTGTGCGGCGGTGTAAGTGGTGGGTGTGTTGCTCAGGAAAGGTGGTGAGAGCCTCACTTTTGACCCCCCCGCCACCCCTTTCCCTCCCGTACATACACTCACACCTACACCATGACAACTCTGCCACCAGAGAAGCACACAGGCAATGACCAATACCATGGTCAAGACGATGATGAGGAAATAGAAAAACAAAATAACCCAGAAATGCTAACCTCCCACAAGTCAAACTCCAGGCCGTCCGCAACGGCCGCCCCGTCACCATCGACTCTCTCCGCACCCCACCCACCGCCCACAAGCGCCACATCCGCTACGGCATGCTCGAGTTCGACCCGCTGCTCGACTCCTCCTCCATCCAGGCCTCCGACTGGTCCGCCATGGCCGCCGCCGTCGCCGACAACTACCATCTCTTTGACGGCTTCGTCATTCTGCACGGCACCGACTCGCTCGCCTACACCGCCTCGGCCCTCTCCTTTCTCTTCTCCGACCTGGGCAAGCCCGTCATCCTCACCGGCTCCCAGGCGCCCATCTTCGCCCTGCAGTCGGATGCCGTCGACAACCTGCTCGGGTCGCTCGTCATTGCCGGCACCTTTGCCATCCCAGAGGTCGGCCTCTTCTTTCACCACAAGCTGTACAGGGGCAACCGCACCACAAAGGTCTCGGCCGCCTCCTTCGAGGCCTTTGCCAGTCCAAACTGCGAGCCCCTCGCCCGCGTCAACGGCCTCGGCATCGACGTCGACTGGTCCCGCGTCCTGCGCCCGACCTCCATCGCCGGCTTCCGCGTCGAGCCCGCCCTCGACACCGCCCACGTCGCCTGCCTGCGCGTCTTCCCCGGCATCAAGCCCGAGATGGTCGACGCCGTCCTGCACCTGCCGGACATCCGCGGCCTCATCCTCGAGACCTTCGGCATGGGCAACGTCCCCGGCGGCGCAGACGGCCGCCTCACCCGCGTCATCCGCCACGCCGTCGACCGCGGCGTCATCGTCGTCAACGTCAGCCAGTGCGTCAGCGGCTTCGTCTCCCCCGTCTACGCCCCCGGCACCCTCCTCGGCCGCGCCGGCGTCATCTTCGGCCTCGACCTCACCCCCGAGGCCGCCCTCGCCAAGCTGTCCTACCTGCTGGCCCGCCCCGACCTGACCTCCAACGACGACATTGCCCGCGCCTTTTCCCGCTCCCTGCGCGGCGAGCTGACCGAGGTCGCCCGCCCGACCTTTGCCCACCCGACCTCGGACCCCCTCGAGGTCGCCGCCGCCCGCCTCACCCCTCTCGAGGCCGCCTTTGCCGCCCTCGGCTACGCCATCCAGGGCGCAGAGGTCGACGTCGTCCGCCAGCTGCTCGACGGCGACGCCTCGCGCCTGCTGCTCAAGACGGCCGACTACGCCGGCAACACGGCCCTCCACCTCGCCGCCGTCTCCGGCTGCCCCGACGTCACCCTCGAGCTGCTCCGGCGCGGCGCCGGCGTCCACGAGCGCAACCGCGCAAACAACTCGCCCCTCTTCCTCGCCACCCTCTCCGGCAATGACGCCTGTGCCCGCCTCCTCACCTCGGCCGGCGCCCACCTGTCCGTCGAGGAGGTTGAGCGCGGGCCTTTGGCCAAGTACCGCCGCAACCGGGACTGAATATCGACGCACAGCAGTCGCTCAGTGAATGTTGAACGGAAAGGATCCATGAGGGAGGGGGGCAGTGTGTTGGAGCGGGTGGTGGTTGGTGGTGTTGGTTGATGAGCACTCAAGAGTCTGGACACATCCCGGGTCGCCTCGGGTAGAGCCGCCGCACCCATGTTGATATTGTTAGACAGAGGCCAACCTATCACATGTTTCTCGCCAAAGACAGAAGACAGAGACTTGTGCGCGAGAAGATGGCCTCAGTCAACACACCTGTGAACATACACAACTCTGCATTGTCAAAAGGCTCCAAGACCCCACTCCGCCCTAGCTACCCTATATCAGCTCTCGGCCAAGACAGCCAACGTGTCACCAAATTCAAGTTCCCCGTGCGCAGCTCGAGGTCCCTCTATAGAATGAATGCTCGTTGTTCTAGGCAAGCCAGCTAGCTTACAGTGCTTCTTTCTTTTCAACCGCCAACTGAAAACCGTCTTCGTCCAAGCGCCGACTGTCGAGCCATCCAGAACTCATCGGCCGCTGCTGGTCGGCGCCGCAGACAGGCCACGACCCAAGACAAGATGCCGACTGCCAATCTCCGCATGCCCGGACGCCGACTGCGTTCGCAGGATCCCAGCCTCTTGCCAAGATGCTCTCCGTCTTATCCACACACGCACACCTAGACAAAACCCACACGTGTATCCGGTCCCGTCAACGAAGGAAGAGATCCCCAACGCCGTTCCGCAACGACCTCGTCCGGTCCACGTGGTCCAAGCCCAGAAAGTCGTCCTCGGATGAAGCCACGTTCCAAAGCTCGTCGTCTTGCACTATGTCAGCCTCTGGCCCAGCCCAGTTCACCAAAGGGAGATAAGGGGGACTCACCACTGTCGAGGTACTGTGGCTTGGAGTAGCTTGCCCGCCGCACCACTGCAAACTTGATTTTCTCGAAGCTCTTGCCCTTGAGACCCGTGCGCTTCTCAAGCCGCTTCTTCGTGTCGGAAAACTTCTCCCCCTGTGAAGAGTGTCAGCAAACGTCCAGCACTCCCTGACAACGGCGCGTTACTTGCCTCCTTGAGCAGGAATTTGAACGGAACCCCGTGCACCCGGTTGACTTCGGTCTGGAAATGCAAGACGTGAATGAAGTTCTTGTCATCCGCCCCCACCTCCTCTTCCGGCACCCGCTCGGCATATATTTGCGTGTACTCGTTCAAGTTGAGAACAGGGTGCTCGCGCTGGGGCTCGCGATAGAACCGGTTGGAGCTTGTCTCGTATACCCGAATTTGCCCGCCCTCGGCCTCATCCGGGATCTTGGCCTTCTTGACGAGGGCCTGGATGAGATCTTCAATTGTCCCAGTCTTGGGAACGAGCAAGTCAAGGTGGTCCTGTTTCGACTATCAGCAAAAAGTCATCCAGGACGTGATCAGACTTTCTCACCTCCTTGGTGATGCCCTCGCTCAGCCATGTGACCTTGATGCTCTTCTTGGTGTCTAGCTCGGCGAGACTGATTTCTAAAACTTCAAAGTAAAACGCGTCGTTCCTCTGGCTCGAGTTGAGCGTGTTTGACCCCATTGGGTTTAGAATCTGCCGCAGGCTTGGGTTGGTTCCCCGTCGAACCGGAGCTTTGGGATTGCTCGTCGTCGCATTGACCGTCCACAGGCGAATGTGCGTAGGGGGCACTGAGAGGTAGGCGCCGACGCGCTCGGCCAAGGCGTCGTAGTTGATCTTCGCATTGAGAACGAGATCGAACGGCGGGTATTGGGCTTGATCGCATCTGGTCGTATGGGGATGGAACCTGACTGTCCTCTTGTGCTCGAGAAAATCGTAATACTCGCGCGCGTCCTCGAAATGCTCCGAAGCCCGAGTTCTGGAAATACCATCAGCAGCCGGCGAGCCTAGATGCAGCCGGGAAAAAGAGACGCACGATTCCTGCAGGGACTTGTTTGCAGCCCGCGCCTGGTCGGCCGACTTGTCAGAGGTCCGCTGAAAGCAGATGATGTCACCATCTTGAAGCTCCGCAACCTTCAACGATTGCTTTGGCTTCAGAGGCTCAATCATGGTCGGTTTGATTTCCTGACGAGGGTCAGCATCACTCACGCCCAGCGTTGGGATCATCATATCCAGTAACGCACCTCCCACAGTAGCAGTTTCTCATCCGCCGGCAGCTTCTCTCCCCAGCCCATCTTGTGCAAAATCAGAGGAACGAGCTCCTCAACCTTTCTCTCCTTGCCAATGTAGACGTGGCCAACACCCGTCAAAGTCTGCTGGGCATAGTCAAAGTGTTTGAGGAGCAAAAGAATAGTGTCGTTTTTGACGACGGCGCCATTCGCCTGGCTTTGGTACGACGGCCAGATGGGCTCGCCCTCGGCACTGAGCTCCTCGGCGACCTCGGCCCACACGCGCAGGCTCATATCGCGGTGTGCGGCTGATCGAGTAAAGACGTCCTCGACTGTCGGCCCGAGATCCATGATCGGCTGGTCGGGTCGAATCGTCTTATTTTGCCGGTTGACCATGAGCCAGAGCCGCACCTTGTGTCCGTCCTGGCCAATGTCGGCGGCCACCTGGTTTGCAAACTCCTCCATCGTCATGGTCCGGCGAAGCCTGTAGGACCTCGGGGCGGCGGCGTCGACTTCGGGATTGGCGTCAAAGACGCACAGGTCGGTGCCGCCATACTGCCGGAACGTGTCATCGGTGATGACCTTGGCCATCATGTACAGGTGCGCCTCCTTTTGCTCTCGTCGGCGCGTTTCTCGGAGCGCATTCTCCTCCTCGAACCGTTGCTCTGTCCCTTGTCCGTCAGCGTTGGGCCTTTCCACACGTCTGCAGAGGGGGCGTGTGCTCACGAAGATGCAGTGGAGTGTCTGCCTGGGTGACTGGGCACAGTATCTTGTCCAGCTTTGATTGACGGATGTAGACCAACATGTAAGCGCTATTCTGTCGCATGATGGGTGCCTTCTTCTGGAGCGGCGCTCGAGGGTACCCGTTGGCCGTCCGGTATTCGCCGCCAAAGTTCTCCTCGAGCACCTCCCTCAGGGTGGCCCGCGTCACCTTGTCGTCGTCGTACTTGTAGAACCAGCCGTCCTTTTCCGGCTTGATGAAGGCGTAGTAATGGCCGGCATTGAGGTCGCCGCTGTGGACGAGGACGCCGTGCAGCTGGTAGGTCCAGGGCTCCGACCTGCCGGCGCCCTCGGCGAGGTAGGGCGCGGCGTCAAAGATCTCGGGGAACTCGTATCTGTCATTAATTTTCATCATCATGTCTCTTTGGATGTCGTACTCGAAACGCTTCAGCTGCAGATGCAAAACGTCGGGGAAGCTGGTGAAGATGACGCCCTTGTTAGCGTCCTGCAGCTTGTGCTGGTCGCCGGCAAAATACTGGTTCTCGCCGTCCATCTTCTCTACCTGGATGTAGTCCTGGAAGCTGTCGAGCACGTTGTTGTTACCGCTCACGTTGAGCTGGATGTCCCAAAAGTCCTCGATGCGGCTCGACTCGTAATCCACGTTGATACACGAGATGTACGTCTTGATCTTGCCGCTGAACATTTCGGGGAGGACGTTCTCGGCCTTTGTGCCCTTCATCCTCTCCTCCATTCTCTCCATGAGCTTGCGCGACAGTTCCTGGACATCCTGCTGCTCGAAGATGTGTCGCGTCTCCCAGCCAAAGGACTTTGTCAGCTCATTGGTGCCGACCGCCTGCTCCGACGTCTGCAGCTGGTAGAAGAGGCGCTGCAGGGTGTATGCCGAGTTTTGCATGCTCTCGTCGTTTTCCGTGGGGATCTCATATACGGCCTGTGCGGGCAGCATCAGCATCCACGACGGCCAACAGGGTTACGGATGCAAGGGTCAAAACGCACCTTGCGAAAGGCATTGGTAAAGTACAGCGATTGCAGGAGGGAGTTGAGGTAGCAGGTGGCGCCCTGGTTCTTGAGGCCGACGTATCCCGTTTCCTTCTTGGAGTCGTAGTTGACAAAGTTGTGCCACAGGACGCCCGTCTCGTCCTCGACGAAGCGGAGATATGCCGTGATGTTGGCCGTGTCGTTTTCGCAGAGTGGGCGGCTGCCGTGCTCCCACGGGACGTTGAACATTCTCCGGTGCTCGACGAAGCGGGTGAAGCCCCAATCGCCCTCCTCCTTTGTGAATCGGTGGTGAGCGGCATGGTGAACGTATAAGCTCGGGTCGTTGGGGTTCCAGAGAACGAGGGCGAATTGGACGCAGCAGCTCCAGTTGTCTGGGACGGCGGAGGCATCGAAGCCGTGTTCAAGGTAGATGGAGCATTGGTCGGTGTTATTCCCGTGGGGGAAGAGGAGGATACGCCTGCGGGAAGACGCATGTCAGTAAAGGACTTTGATCTTTGCATACAGAGGCGGAGGCGCCGGCTGTTTGGATGGGAGAGAGAGGCAGATGGACGCACCATGGGAAACCACCGGCATGGAAGACAGGACCATGAGCCTTTTTGCCAAGATTGCGCCAGTTCTCGACGGTCCAGGTATGCGCGTAGTCCTCAATGATTTTGGGCTCATCTAATAAAGGCGGGAGAGCGAGCTCCTTCATGGCCTCGTCTATGATGGTAGCAAGGTTAGCCGACGGGGCGGAATCGGCGGCGGCAAGGGGGAGACGCACTGTCGTTGGCCATGGGCAGGTCTTGAAGCTGGTGGCCCGTCTCGGCCTGGTCGAGGTGGTCGGGGCTGATGATGGCGACGGGGTCCTTTTCGGGGGCATCGCCAACGCCGACATAGTCGTCGGCGTCCACCACCATCTCATTGGGGGAGTCGACGTTGTAGCTCTGGTGACGGAATTCAGAATTAGCCAAGCTGCGGTAGGGCAGACGGTGGGAGACGGGGGCCATGGTAAAAACGGCGGCGAGACGAGCACTGGATATGGCAACAGGGGATAGGAGGAGGGAGGATATGGGGAGGGGAAATGAACAGGCGTGGAACGTGTCGAGGACAGAGAGGGTCTCGAGGGTGATGACGAAGGTGCCGTGGCGACGGGCATGGGGGTCGGCAGCCAGTCGCAGGAGACGAAGAAGAAGGCTCTGGCGCGGCGTGCAGCGGCAAAGGCAAGCAAGAGCCAGACGAGCAGGTGAAGGGCTCAGCCGCGGCGACGGGGCAGCAGCAAGGGAAGCTTACCATGGCAGGCAGCTGGGCGTGTCGACCGCTTGCTCGGGTCGAGGTCGGCCTCTGGCAGCGGTTGCCGGTCGCAGCGCGCCCAGTGCAGAGGCCGTGACGGCTCTTTTGCTTGATCTGGGCCTCGAGAGGCGTCGCGGGCGGCAGTGGGCGGCAGTGGGCGGGCAGCAGTGGCAATCGGGCGAGCGCGTACAAATGGGATTACAAGAGGACGACGTCAGGCGCGACAATGACGGGGCGCGGGAGGAAGCGAGCGGCGGCGGCGGCGGAGGCGGCGGGCGGGCGGCGGGGGCAGTGACAGTGGGTGGTGGGAAAAGGTGAAGGGGCAAAAAGTGGAAGAGAATCTAGACCCGGGCACGGAAAAAATGGAACCAAAAATGGGAAGCGGCGAGAGTTGGAGGAGGGGCCGATGTTCTCTGGGAGGCGATAAAAAGCGAGGTAAGAGGTTGAGTTTATTCCAAGATGAAAAATCAAATAAACTGGGAAGACTGACGAAACAGGCCAGAGGCTCTGCTGCAACGCGGAGCGAGTCTCGTTCAGGATGGTATTCGACCTACGCTTCCCTACCTACTACGTATTATGAACAAGCCGCTGTGCTGTGCGTGGGCGAGGGCAGAGGAGAGCCAGGTCAGGCAGGATTCGAATGCGGAGTGGTGGATTTCGGCCGCACTTGGTGGGAGACAGGCCGCCAGAGGAGCCTTTTCTTGGATTCCTCGTTGCCTCGTGGAGACTGAGTGCCGAGTCGAGGGGGCGCTGGTGGTGAAGGCAGAGGTTGGGTGTGCTAGGGCAGGACCTGGGTGTGCATGGTGCAGGCCGGTTATGACATGTATCGCACTAACAGGGCCGGTGTATCCTCACCTCCACCGGCAGTGGGTGGACGGAAGCCTGAAGAGAGGGGCGGCGCTTCAGCTGCCTGGAGCCGGTGACGTTGGCGCCCCTCCTCACCTTGCGTCGGTAAGGCGGCCCAGGACCTTGCAAGGCATGCAGCTCTGAGCTTCCAGCTTTGACGTCCACTTCTGTTGCCACACGGCCAACTTGGCATGTGTTTTTTGTTTTGTTTTTTTTGCACTGGGCAGCTCTCGCATATATATATATATATCTCTCTCTATTTCGAGGAGAAGAGCAGGGGGCCACGCTGCGGGAGCTCATGTCCATCAAGTCGACATGACACGGCTTGCTTGGTTCAATCTGGTGAAGCCTCTTTTGACGGATGATTAAGGCATCCATCTATCCAGCCGCATGAGCACTGACACGTGCAAACCATCTCCTGTAGGCAAGCGTGTTGTTGAGTCGAGTCGACACACTAATACCCGTCTCCATACAGGCGACGCTCCCCGTGCGTGCCCATCCTCTCCCGTATAATCCCGCTCCGGCGTTGCAGCACCAGGTCTCATTGGCAAAACACCCCCTCCATCTCCCTCTGCCGCCAGAGCGCAGAAACAATGCGGGACAGGAGAGAGGGGATGAGGAAACAGGCATGGACCGAGTGAAGCAGCACGGCTCGCAAAAGTCTCCCGCTGACCTGACGCTTGCAGCAGATCAGCGCTCGCATTGCGACTCTGTACTCAAAACTCTCGCGCTTGGCCCAGATTTGCATCTTCAAGCCCGTCGTTTTGCGCCTGTTGGGCTGTGCCCGTTGCTGCTCGCTCGTTAGGCTGCTGCCGATACCGCTTCATGTGGGGAAAGCTTGAACGCTAGGGGGGGGGCCTTCGATTCGATAGCCTCAAGCTTGCCTGCATCTTGCATCTTGCATGTGCGTGCCTGTCTTGCCGTGCAAATCGACATCGCTCTCCTCCGCCGCCTCTTCTTTTCCCCATTGCCCGCCCTCTAATACCTCGTCTCCCCCTTTTCTTTTTCCGCCAACCTTGTTCTCTCGACCTTGGAGCAACTCACCACCCCCCCGAGATCGCTCCTGGGCCCCACCACCGAGGAGAAAGCTATCCTGCGCCGAAGCTATCCTGCGCCATCCATCCATCATCACACACATATTCCCCCTTCTGCATGGAACCGTGGGCATGTTCTCCCTCTCGCTGCCCCAGGCCAGCAAGCGATGCAGATTGAACGCCGTCCCTTTGGCCTCGGCGGCCTCGGCCCTTGCCGGCCGTGACTCGTCCTCCCCCATACCCCACCACCATCACCAGAACTTCCAGAAGCAACAGTCCCGCACCGCCAGCAATGGCGCCTGGCGGCCCGTCTCCGTCTTAGACGAGTATATAATTCCCCTTCATCTTCCCAGCCGGCTGCTCTCGTTGGTCCCGCACGCTGACGCTCCTCCTCGTCAAGATGGGTCGCTCGAGAGGCCCGGCCGATAAGCCTCCGACAGCTCATGGTTTTTGGCCGCTCTCTCACCGAGTCGCGCCTCATCAGCTCCGCAAACTACGTCCGCACCGAGTTGCCTGTTAGGTGAGCCCCGATCGCCAGCCCAACCTCGCCCCGAGCTCCCCGCTGACTCTAGTCTGCAGAATAGCCCATCGCTTACGCGACATGCAACGCCTCCCCTACGTCGTCGTAACCAACCAGCACATCAACGACGTCTACGATCTTTACTACAACGCCTTCGACACCTTCCGCAGGCTCAAGGAGGTCAAGACGCTCGAGGATAACGACAAACTTTGCAGCATCATCAGCCAGAACCTCAAGGGCCACTTGACCGTCATCCCCAAGCTGGCCCAGGGCATTCTCGAGTGCGGCGAGCTGATGGACCCCCGAGAGCTCGACCAGTTTATGAATACCATTCTGAGATCGGTGAGTCTGGTCCCCCCACCTTTACCTGCCTGGCTAACTCGGCCCAGCGCATCTCCCGCCGCGTCATCGCCGAGCAACATCTCTCCCTGACGGAAACATACAACTCGCCCTACTTCTCCCCCGGCGCCAAGCTCTCCGAGTCCGACTTCATCGGCGAAGTCTTCATCAAGTGCTCCGCCAAGGACGTTGTCGACCGCTGTGCAAAGGCCGTCCGTGCCCTCGCCCGCTCTACAAATGGGCCCGACGTCGCCATCCCCGAGATCCGCGTCGTCGGCCACCTTGACGCCAGCTTCCCCTACATCCTCAGCCACATCGAGTACATTGTCGGCGAGCTCCTGCGCAACTCGGTCCAGGCCGTCGCCGATCGCCAACAGCACAAGAAGCCTGACAACACCGCCTCCTCCCTTTCCCCAGCCACCACCACGCCGCCCCCCCCCGTCGAAGTGACCGTCTGCGAAGCCCAGGAGCATGTCATCTTCCGCATCTCGGACCAGGGCGGCGGCATCCCCCGCGACCAGCTCCCCCACCTGTGGTCCTTCAGCAAGGGCCCCCAGAGCCAGCGCCGCCTCGAGAACCTCGGCCAAGTGCCTCGCATGGCCGCCACCATGCAGGAGCTCCACGTCCAGGACGAGCTCGCCCGCGCAGACCTCAAGACGCCCCCCTACCAGAGCTCCCTCTCTCCGCTCACCGTCCGCCCCCCAAACCTGCGCCTCGGCATGGGCCTTCCCCTCAGCCGCGTCTACGCAGAGTACTGGGCCGGCAGCCTCCACCTCCACAGCCTCGAGGGCTACGGCGTCGACGCCTTTCTCCAGATATCTCGCCTCGGAAATAAGAACGAGCAGCTCACAACCAGGGCCAGCATGGACGCTGTATAGAATACCGCGGGCCTTCGCTCGTGCCTTCCCATCATGTACCTCGGCGTGTATCAAGACGTGCGCGCCGTGACACTGGGAAGCGTGCCGCCACAGTGCATGGTGAACATCTGGTCTGGGCAGGGAGCAGGACTGTTTCCGCCCACGCCCTCTAAACACGACCTTATGGTGGTAAACGGGTGGACAGAGGCGGGCCATGTCTGCATGCGCTCCAACGCAACTTGCACGTCTTCCGTCGTGAAACATGAGGAGTCGATTACATTGGCCTTTCAGCTGCCTATCTGCGAGAAACCGGGCTTGAAAAGAAAAAGGGAGAAAAAAAACAGACAGATGAAATAAGGCTGCGTCACAGATAAAAAGGACTCGCCATCGCGCGCCACCCCGCCTGTCCGAGGAGAGCCAAGCCGTCGGCTGACCGCCGACTCAACCGCAAGACTGGTGGAAGAAAGACTTGGAAGAGCACGCCTGTGATAACTCTGTAGCTGCGGCCAACCGAGGGCGACGCGCAGAACCACATCAAATGTACCGCGCCCCAACTCCCGATACAGCTGTTAGCAGTGACACGAGTATCCATAATATCCTCTCCCCCTCCCGCGGTGGTATCCGTCGTCCTCTTCAACTCCTGGCCCCAAAAGTGGAGCGACGAGCCGGTGAAACAACCATAGACTGCCCGACATCATCATCGGTCGCTGTCCACGTCGCGCCTGGCTTAGCGACGGCCGTGGCTGCGGACGGCGCTGCCCTGCATCGCCTCGAGCTCGCCCTCGAGCTGTTTGATCTGGGCATGGGTCTGCTCGAGATCCTTATTGAGGCGGTCGCGTTCGGAAATGAGCTTCTGCTCCCACTGGCGGAACCGCTGCTCCTCGATCTTGACCTGCTCGGTGAAGCGCTTCCGCAGGGCCTCTTCCTCTTCCTTGAACTTGGGGTTGTCGAGCTTTCTGGGACGAGCCTCGCCGAACTTGCGGGTCTCCATCTGCTGCGCACGGTAGGCCTCATAGTGAAGCTCCTCGGTGGTGTGGATGAGGTCGAGCATGTGCGTTCTGATCAGGATCGATCGCAGCTTCTTGAAGTCGCAATGATCCTCGTTTTCAACCTCGGCAACACCCCACGAATATTGGCGGCCCTTGACGATGCGGCCGTCGCCCGTCTTGACGTCCTTTTCGGAGCCGATGACGGCAAACGGCATGGCAGCCATGAGGCTGCGGGCGTGCTGAGCGGCAGCCTCGTCATCCTCCTCAATCGGAGGCTGGTAGATTTTGATGTTCTGTGCCTCGATGACGGAGATGATCTGCAGACGTGATTAGTGGACGCTTGCATAGAAGGCCCTCGAAGAAACACACTCTTTGCTTGAACTTGGCAAGGTCGGCCGAGCTGAGGGTGTCTGCCTTGGCAATCACTGGAATGAGGTTGACGCGAGAGCAGAGCCTCTTCATGACTTCAATGTCGAGAGGCTTGAGAGTGTGGCCGGTAGGGCGGATGAAGTACAGGCAAGCATGGACACGGAGGTCAATCTTGTCCTGGCGACGGGGCTGTTGCTCCTGAAGCATGTAGGACTCGTGCTGGTCGTCGAGAAACTCGATGATGGGCATCCAAGAGTCACGGTTGTTGACATAGTCGCCGAAGCCGGGGGTGTCGATGACAGTCAGGCGGACTGCACGAGGGCACGGTCAGCCACGGTGGTGGAGCAGGATAGAGAGGGAAATGTGGCTACCCTTGAAGAACTTCTCCTCGAGCTCAGCCTTGGTGATCTCAATCTCGACAGTCTTGTCGACCTGCTTCTGGTGACGCTTCTTGTGATCGGCGTAGTTCTTGATGGTGGTGGAGAAGAGTGTGTTGATAAAGGTGGTCTTGCCCAGGCCCGACTCGCCAGCGACCTGGAAAACAACACGTCAGTCACGCGCGGGCGACGAGGAAGCGTCTCGACGCCAAAGTCAGACGAGGCAGCGAGAAAACACACCATGATGGTGAAGCTGGCACCGCGCTTGGCGACAATCTTGTGCCGCTGGTTGGGCAGATTGGCAATGCCAATGGGCGAGGCGCTCTCGGGGGCCGGGGGAGCCATCTTGGAGAAATCAGCAAGAGAGAAGAGATAGGGAGTGATGCAGGATATCCGGCTCAGAGGCGGAGACGAAGAGAGCGATGTCTATGGCTGCGCTGCGAGGGGAACCCAAGGGAAGGGGGGGGTTTGAAGGATGCTGGAGCTGGCCAGAGAGTCGCAGCTCTGCAGTGAATCGCACTCAACTCAGGGGAAAATGAGACCAAGCCCAAAGGGGCTGGGCAGGGTCGTGGCCTCCAGCCCTTGCCTGCCATTGCCATTATGTAAGGTGCATGCTGCGGTACCACAGGCAAGAGGAGAAGTCGGTCAACCGGGCTCCACTTGCTCCTCGCCCAGCGGCCCTGCAGCAGGGTCTGTGCGCATGGATCGCCTGGTAATATGGACTAATAATTACTGTAGTCTTGGACATGAGGGGCGTCGGGATTAATTATCTGCCGGCATCCGTCTAATCTACAAGAGGAGCCTGAAAAAGTTGGGCGCATCAGCTAATCGATAAGACAAGAAGCAATTCGCAAACCGAAATTCTATCACTGATCCATCATCCACCACAGGATCATGGCCTGCCGTCAATGACAATGAAGACCGAATTCAAGGTATGTCTCTGCGCCTGGCTCCAGTATGCACGCGTGCTTGGAAGACTCCGACTCTGACGCTGCGACTGGCAGTTTTCAAACTTGCTCGGCACCGTCTACTGCCAGGGCAACCTGCTCTTCAGCCCAGATGGCACCCACCTCTATTCGCCCGTCGGCAACCGGGTGACGGTCTTTAACCTGGTAGAGTATGCATCCCGTCAGTCTGTCGCTGTATTCTGAAGTCATGCTAACACCGGGATAGGAACAAGTCATATACACTCCCCTTCGCCCACCGCACAAACATCTCGAGAATAGGACTCACGCCCCGCGGCAACATTCTCTTTACCGTCGATGAGGCAGGCCAGGCCATCCTGACCAACCTGTTTCGCCGGATACCCGTTTACTACTTTCGCTTTTCGTCGCCCGTCACGGCGCTCGCCTTTTCCCCTTCTGGGAAGCACTTTGCTGTCGGGCTGGGCCGCAAGATCGAGGTGTGGCGCGTGCCCTTGACGCCCGACTTGACTGCCGATGGCGAGCTCGACTTTGCGCCGTTTGTGCGGCATCACACGCACATGGGGCACTTTGATACCATCCAACACATTGAGTGGTCGAGCGACTCCCGATTCTTCCTGACCGCCTCCAAGGATCTCACAGTGAGGATATGGAGCCTGGACCGCGAAGATGGCTTCACGCCGACGGTGCTCTCGGGCCACAAACAGGCCGTCGTGGGCGCATGGTTCTCCGAAGACCAAGAAACCATCTACACCGTGAGTAAGGATGGCGCCGTCTTCGACTGGTGCTACGTCAAGCCCATCAATCGTGTCCTCGAGGGCGAACAGGCGCACGATGATGGCGACGACCAAGACTTGCGGTGGCGCATTGTTCAGAGGCATTACTTTATGCAGGGAAGCGCGCACGTGAAATGCGCGACATTTCATCCCGAGACCAACCTCTTGGTCGCCGGCTTCTCAAACGGCATCTTTGGCCTATACGAGATGCCTGACCTGAACAATATCCATAAGCTCAGCATCTCGCAGAAGGGCATTGATCATGTCACCATCAACAAGAGCGGGGAGTGGCTGGCCTTTGGAGCCTCGAAGCTAGGCCAGCTCCTGGTGTGGGAGTGGCAGTCAGAGTCTTACATACTCAAGCAACAGGGCCATTTCGACGCCATGAACTCGCTCGTCTACTCGCCCGACGGCCAGCGCATCGTGACGACGGCCGACGATGGGAAGATTAAAGTCTGGGATACAGAGTCGGGGTTCTGCATCGTCACTTTTACCGAGCACACGAGCGGAGTCACGGCTTGCGAGTTTGCGAAAAAGGGCAACGTTCTCTTCACCGCCAGCCTGGACGGCTCCGTGCGAGCGTGGGATCTCATCCGGTATCGAAACTTCCGCACCTTTACGGCGCCGACCCGGCTGTCGTTTTCCTGCATGGCGGTGGACCCCAGTGGCGAGGTGGTGGCCGCCGGGTCTCTGGATTCCTTCGACATCCACATCTGGTCCGTCCAGACGGGCCAACTGCTCGACCAGCTGTCCGGCCACGAGGGCCCTGTCTCTGCCCTGGCGTTTGCGCCAAACGGGACGTCTCTGGTCAGCGGCAGTTGGGATCGCACGGCCCGGATTTGGTCCATATTCGACAGGACGCAGACGAGCGAGCCTCTCCAGCTGCAAGCCGACGTGTTGGATGTGGCCGTACGGCCAGACTCTCTTCAGCTGGCCGTCTCAACGCTGGATGGACAGCTGACGTTTTGGTCTCTGGCCGACGCCGAGCAAGTAGCGGGGCTTGACGGACGCCGCGACGTGTCGGGCGGACGGCATTTCTCGGATCGCAGGACCGCGGCCAACGTTGCGGGGACCAAGGCCTTCAGCTGCATTCGCTACAGCATGGATGGGAGCTGCCTCCTTGCCGGCGGCAACAGCAAATACATATGCCTGTACTCGGTGACGACCATGGTTCTGCTCAAGAAGTTCACCGTCAGCATGAACCTCTCCCTTTCGGGGACGCGTGAGTTCCTCAACAGCAAGCATCTGACAGAGGCCGGGCCCATAGCGGAGCTAGACGACCAAGGCGAGGCGTCGGACCGCGAGGATCGCATCGACAGCAGCTTGCCGGGGTCGAAGCGGGGCGGAGACCCGTCGGCGAGGAAGAAGCTGCCGGCGGTCCGGGTCACCAGCCTCGGCTTCTCCCCTTCTGGGACGGCCTTTTGCGCCGCCTCGACAGAGGGGCTCCTCATCTACAGCGTGGACGCGAGTCTGCAGTTTGATCCATTCGATCTGAACATGGAGATTACGCCGGCGTCGACGTTGGCCGTGTTGGAGACGGAGGGCGACCATCTCAAGGCGCTGGTAATGGCATTTAGGCTCAACGAGGCTGGCCTGATCAAACGCGTGTTCCTGGCCGTCCCGCCGGGGGACATTTCGCTCGTGGTTGGCGGCTTGCCGACGGTGTACGTGTCGCGGCTGTTGCGCTTCGTGGCGCAGCAGACGGAGGAGTCGCCGCACATGGAGTTTTGTCTCTTGTGGATCAAGGCGCTCGTGGACAAGCACGGCGCGTGGCTGATGGCCAACAGGGCCAAGGTGGACGTGGAGCTGCGGGCGGTTGCGCGGGCGGTGTCGAAGACGAGGGACGAGATCCGGAGGCTGGCCAACGAGAACGTGTACATGGTGGACTATCTACTGGGGCAGGCTGGGCAGTCGGCGCAGAAGGGGGCCGGCGGGCTTATGAAATCCGGAGACGAGCCACAGACGGCGAGATGGGAGCTTAAGGGGAACACAGGGTCTGGCGGAGATTCGGACAACGGTGACGATGAGTGGATTGGACTAGACTAGACGGGGGCCAGGTCAGATGCACACACGCTGTACATGAATATCCCCTTGGAGATGCTTCCCAGCAAGCCGAAAGAGACGGATCTCGGCGTGGGTGGAGTGGCGGGAACTCGGGCCAATCCCCCGCCTGACCCCCTTTCTTCCCTTTGGCATAAGCAGGCTTGCCGCGCGCCTAGAGAGACGCCTTGGGAATATCCTTCCACGCCTCATCAAAGCCAGCAGACCTGACCCAAAGCTGCGCAGGCTTCCCCTCGACGCTGGCCAAGAGCAAGTGCATGACGCGACGCCAGGCGTCGTCGTCGGCGATGCGGATCCACGGACGCCCCGGCCAGGCCTGCGACTCGCGCTGGGCGAGCAGCAGGGCGCGGACGACCTTGATGGTGTGGCCGTCGTCGACGACGCGGTGGAAGCGCGGGACGAGATGGCTGCCGCCGGCCTTGTCGTGGCTGTCCGGGCCGGGGGTCTGCAGGGCTTCCCGGCGCAGGGGCGGGCAGCCGCGGGCGAGGTACTGGAGAACGTCCATGCGCAGCTTCCACTCGAGCAGGCGGGCCTTGGAGGCGGTGGGGACCCAGTCGAGCTTGTTGAGGGTGAGGAAGAAGGGGGCTGAGGTGAGGTGGTGGCTGCAAGGGAGCATCGAGTCAGCCATCCATCCATCTATGCACCAACGCCGGACGCAGCAACAGGGACTACCAGACGCACATGAGGAAGAAGTCAAACTTGGGCTCGTAGGGCGGATTGCACGCCGCGGCCGCCGCAACGTAGGCGGCGCAGTGCACCATCTCGGCGGTGCGCTCGGCCAGGTCGTCGTCAGGCCGGACGCGGATGCCGGCGAGCAGGGCGACGGCCTCGGGCTCGGCGCGGGCCAGCACGCCGTCGTAGATGCGGTTGGGGTCCTCCCAGCGGGCGCTGGCGGCCAGCTTGGGGTGCTCGGAGCGCATCTTCTCCAGCATCTCGGCGAGCGGGCGCTGCTGAGCAGGGGGCGGAGACGCGGCGGCGGCGTCGTCCACCTTGGCCATGAAGTCGCCGATGCGCGCCTCGTGCACGGCCGCCTGCGCGAGGCCCTCTGCCACCATGGCCGGCTGGTGCCACTCGATGCCGTACATGAGCTGGATCAGCGGGTGCAGGAAGCCGGCATAGAGGCGGCCGCGCATGTCGAGCGCCGCGGGGGTGTCGGCCAGCAGATGGTCCTTGACGACGGCCTCCCAGCCGCCGCGGCCTTCGGAGCGCTCCATGCGGCGCTGGAAGTAGCGCAGGAAGTCGGCGTAATGCTGGTCCTGGCCGAGGTAGCGCGGCGCGTGGGCGGGCCAGTCGGCCTCGAGCTCGTCGACGACGGCGAGGCCGCGCGTGGGCTCGTGGGCCTTGAGCTGGTACGCCGTGTTGGCGTCGTAGGCTTCCTGCAGGGCGGCGGGGCTGGCGCCGGTGCCGTAGAGGGTGAGGAGGTGGTGGGAGATCTGGCCGGCGTCTTACTTAGTAGGGGAAGAAAAGGGATATAGAAGAAGGAGAAGGAAAGGGGGGGGGGGGGTTGTCAAGTACGTGGTTATGGAAGCCCTCGTCGTTGAAGAAGACGTGATGGCTCTGCGGCACGGGAAGAGTCAGCACGAGAAAGCACCGAGAGGGGCGAGAGACAACCTCGAGATCCTTCTGCAGCAGCTCCGAGACCTTTGCGGCGGCGGCCTCGTCCTGCTCGACGGCGAGCAAGCCCGTGTCGCGCGGGGAAACGCGGATTTGATACGGCGTCGCCATGCTGGGCATACGGCGATGGGGACGACGACGGGCGTCAGTGGACGACGGCGAGGCAGACTGGGTGGACAGGCTCCGAGGCGGCAGAGTAGTAGTAGCAGCGACGACGGTGCGCGGTGGTGGGATGATGGGGGCGTGGACGGCTCGCAGCGGAACCCGCGCCAGGCGCATCAGAGGGCGCGGCCTTTGGAAGTCTCTGATGCCACGAGAGATGGACGGGCGGGAGTGGGGGGGTGGGAGAGAGGGCGAGGGTGAGGGCGAAGATGTTGGAACTTGCGGATGGATGGGCGGAGGGTTATCACTTATAAGTGGCTTTCACGATGTGGCTCTGTCTGGAGATCCGGGACGGACGGGCACTATATATGCGCCCGCGATTCCTTTTGGGCAATGGAGCGCTTGCCTCGCCATCAGACCTGCCACGCCCGCTTCCCTCCCCCCCCTCCCATCTCGGTTCACACGCTCCCCCTCCGGCCCGCGTCCGTCCGCCCAAGCAGCCGAAACGGCGGCGAGACGGGGGCTCGTCGAATGCGCTGACAAATGGGCCCTGAGCCTCGCGACGCGATGTGCTCGGAGGTCCGAGGGAGAGAAGAAGGATAGAATGACGGCGCTACAGTGCATATTACAGTACTGTACGTCCGTGATGCCAAACCAGGTGCGCATGGCTGCAGGTGAAAGCCGTGCTTGGAAAATGCCGCCCTCGGATTGGTCCGTCGCTCGGCTCGGCGCCTGCGCGCGTCGAGTGGATGCGCCGGCTCGTCGCCGCTGGGCGGGTGACATCACCGGCCTCGTCTCCCGCCTTGTCTGCGTCCATTTGCGGCTGCACGAACGAAGCGTGCACACCAGGGAAAGCCCTTCTCGGTGCCACCGGGAATGGCGGGGGTCGGGATTCGGGGAAATCCATCGCCGGCCCGGCTGTCGGACGCGGAGACCCAAGCCGATGTGTCCTGCATTCCTGTAATATGACATGACCAGCATACTTAACTTGCTTGACCGCGTGCGTGTAGCCAGAGCCAGCAGACGACATGCGACGCCGGCTGAGGCAAATAGGAGAATCACCGCCATTAGATTAGGTTCTCGTCTCTCTCTATCCGTGGAGCCGATATTTCCCTCCGCTGCCTGTGCCGACGCCGAGCGCTTCCTGCACCCTGCTGCCGAATCGTCGTCGCCCCGAAACCGAGACACCCCGTGTCGCTTTTCGCCATGGTCAACCCGAGCCTCGTGTCCAGCCCCAAACAGCATCTTGGACGCATAGCCTCCGGCGACCGAATAGGGGAACCATGCCCCCCAACCTGCGTCTGGCCTGCTTCAACCCCCATCACCGTGTCTCCTGGCGCGGTGATTAGGACTGGCCAGCAATCGACCTCGCCCGCGTGCATTACATCTTCTCCTTCTGCTTCTCGCCCCCGGCGTCGTCCATGTCCTCGTCCTCGTCCGACTCGAAGTCCATGTCGCTCATGGCGTCCTGCTCCTGGGCTTGGACTGCACGCGCGTTAGCAGCCGACTTGACGTCGATGATGGCCGGCAAAACTCACTAAAGTACTTGACGGCACCGGGCCACAGGTCCTCGGCAATGGCAACGGCCAGGTCGTCGGCGGTGGGGAAGATCTCGAACTCGTACTCCTCGTCGTCGTCGTCGTCGTCGCCGTCCTCATCCTCGATCTCGACCTCCTTGCCCTCCTTGCGGGCCTGGCGCCGCTCCTGCTGCACCTTGTAGGCCTCGCGGTCCTCGTCGGCCGAGACGTCGCGGCCGCGGAAGCCGAACCAGGCAAAGAAGCTCATGCCGCCGAGGCCGGTGCCGTCCATCTGCTCCTTGAGCTTCTTCTTGGCCTCGGTCTCGCCCGTCTTGCCGGCCTTTTCCTCCTCCCAGACCTTGCGGGCGAGGCCCAGCATGCCGCCCGTCAGGTCCTTGTCGGCCTTCCACTTGATGTCGACGGGCTCGCTGACGAGGCCCTCCCAGCCGTCCTTTGCGCGGCGCCACGAGAAGCGCTTCTCGAGCGTCGTATTCTCAAAGTGGTCGTTTTCGGAAAACTCAAACTTGATGGCGATGCTGCGCGGGTCGCCGGCCGGCAGCTCGAAGCGTTCGACGGAGAGCGACTGGAGGGAGCCGAGGAGCAGGGCCGCGTCCGAGGGCTGGATGTACTCGTCAATGTCGGGGGGCGACTGCTCGAAGACGAGGGGCCAGAAGTGCGGGATGTCGGCGACGAGCTTCTCGCGCTTGGCGTAGAGGTCCTTTGTGAGCTTGGCCTGCTGGCGGACTGCGTCACGGGCGGCGTGTCAGCGAGGGTGAGGACGGCGGCAGCAAGAGACACGCGGGCAAATGAGTCACTTACGCAGCTCCAGCTCTACCTCCTCAAAGTCATCCTCGAGGTCCTCGAGCTGCTCGTAGGAGATGGGGGTGTCGAGATTCTCGGCCGACATGGTGACTGGTGAATCAAGGTCGGAGACAGCAAGCAGCCAAGGAGGATATGGAATAACAGGGCCTGGAGGAGAGGCGGGTCAGGGGATGGGTATTCTTTTATAAATCTTGTCAAACACGAGACTCACCGAAATTCTCTGCGCGGCGAGGAAAAAATGCAACGGGTATGACAAGGGGGCGTGTGTTGAGTGCTTGGCTGCAGCGACAGGCTCCGTCTCTTGTCCTCCAGAGGGATGCTGGATGGGAAAAAGTGGCCTTGGTGGATGAAATTTATTCTTTGCTCACGCCTCTGTTTTTCCCTTCTCGCTGCGCGGTGGGGTTGATGTCATTTCAGCCCACCGCAGGACCCCTGCACACTGTACCCTGGTCTCGGCGTTGGATAGGGTGAAGGTTGAGTCGGGGGAAAAGGAAGAGTGCCGTTTTGGACGAGAAGAAAATGAAAAGAGGCTCCGCGGAGCAGCTCCCTGCTGTACCTCTTTGGCGGCCAGCTTTTGAGTATCCCGAGGAGCCCTCGGGCGTCTCGGCCAGAGGGTGAAGAAAAATGTTGGTTAGTACTAACTTACCTAGCTCAGGCCTCAGGGTCTTATTACAGGCGGGTCTCCACCAAAGCGCACCCCCCAGGCGTTGGCTGCGGGAGCCAATAGAGGCGCGGACCCCCGCGCCTTTAAAGTCGGCGCGGACGTCCGCGCCTGTTATGTAAGCCTGGCAGGCCATTTGGGCCGCCGCCAACTGCGCTCGCAGTCGGCCTCACCGATACAGCATGCTTGCTGCATACATATAGCTTCAATTAATTGCAAAGGAGGATATCCCTTAGGTTCGAACCCATAGCCTTCCCTATTTGGTAGATTGACGTGACGCAAAGGGCGCCGCTGTTGCGTGGCAAGGGAGGGTGCGCGGAAGTTCACCGCCTTAAAATTGGCCAGCTACAGTGCTACACGCCGGTGCATGTCGGTGATCTCACGATCTGCCTCACATTTTCGCATCGCCGGCATCATCACCACTTATATATGAATAAAATGCCTGCTGTTCCTCTGAGTCTCTCTCGCAGTCAGCCCATATACCTGCAGTACCTCTTTCTCGTGAGAAAGGCTGCACCTGAATTTCCTCGGCCACCCGGGCATCTAATCGCTCTTCTTCTGCCTTATCCCAATCAAGGTATGCCATCATCTCTACCTTGGTCCATTGCCTCGAGCCGCAGCTCCTTGACATTTGCTTCCAGTCGAGGCACCAGTCATATTCAGTCTTGCTGTAGCGCAATGGCAAGCCCATTGCCTTTCGGTATGCCTGGTTGGTCTTGAGACTGCCGCGAGGCTGTGCTCTATACCAAGAGTCTCTTTCCTGACATACCTCTGATAGATGGCTCGTGGGTCATCATATAATAGATTCTCTGTAGTCTCTGTAGTCTCTGCAATTGCTGTAGAGACTGTAGAGACCGTAGTGACTGCAACTGTCATTTTCTCCATGACTGCTGCAGTCTGCGCAGTCTCTGGAACTGCTACCGTCTGTACAGTCTGTGCAGTCTGTGCAGTCCCTGCAATTGCTGCAGTCTCTGCAGTCTGTGCCGCCCGTGCCTCTGCCCGCTGCAGTATGTCGCTATAGCGTAAAGGACAATTGCGAGATGTCATGATGTGCCCTTGCTGGTGGCATTTGCTGCATGTAGGCGGCGCCTTTGGCCGTAGATCTGACTCTATGGCTTCAAATGCACTTGGCTCGCGCTGTGTGGATGACTGTGATATCCTTGATGCGGCGACAAGTTGGTCTAGTCGCCGACGAGGCTCTATGAGGACCTGACCAATCTCTTTGTTATCCCGTCGAAGGCGCCAATGTGTATGAAAATGTTGTAGCCGGAGGGGCAGATCTTCCACTATGAGAGACTGTAATGCGTGCGCACAAGGAGACCGCGAGACTTGGTGAAGCTGCCTGTGCAAGATGGGGTGTTTTTCTCGTTGAGGCGCTTGTGTTGCTTTGCAACCTGTCGCAAGGCTTCGTGTGATACCCAGCCACGTACCGTGCTATATACGGTTCCAGAGAGCTCAATTGGCATCCGTATATGCTGCCTGGCTTGGTTGGCTTGTAGCTCGGCCAGTTGGTTGAGGAGAGCTTGCTTGATTGCCCTCGTTGCCTCGAAGAGGTCTAATGTTGACTTCTTAAGGTGACTCTTCAATAATGCGTGGATGCCTTCCACCCGGAAGTAGCCACATTGCCGAAGTGAGCATATTGGTCGACCCAGGCCTTGACGAGCTTTTCCTTATACGGGTCCAACCAGGTTTCCGTATGTAGCTAACCTCCTTGACGTATCGTGGCACAAAGCGCTTCTCGAGCTCTTCAACTTGTTGATCAAATGTCTCCTCATCTTTCGAGCCCACGATTGAGTGCCAATACCCAAAGAACTCAGCCCACCTCTCATCACTATTAGAGTCCTCATCGTCACGGTCGAAAGCTGGTTTGCAATAGCTAAGCACCGCCTTATTCGCATGCCAGATGCAAAGCAGAGACTTGGACGCAGGAAAGCACCGGAAATTGCGTTTATGCAGGCGAGGCAGCGATCTGTCAGGATAACCGATGGCTGGCGAATGTCATATAACTCGTATATCGATTGGAGTTGGTCCAGTGCCCAGATATAGTCATTTTCGTCTTCACCACTGAGGAAGGCAAAGGCAATACAGAATGACCGCTGACAGGCATCAACGCCGATCATATCGAGCAGTGGCATCTTATATTTGTTCGTCTTGTATGTGCAGTCTAGCAGTAGTAATTCTGGGTATGCGTTGAGGTATCCTAGAGACGCTGGGTGTGCGAATAAGACTGCTGTGACTCGGCCATCATGATCAAGCTGTATGCGGCTCTGGAACCCTCGTTGTCAAGCTCATTGGCAAGGGCATGCATTGTGCTCTGGCCAGCAAGGAGCTCTCGTCTGCGCTGTGCGATACAGTTATATATGTCTTGCTGTGTCGCTCCTTGGGCAGTCTGAGAGCTCTGGCGCATATATGTCCGGATATCCTTTGGTGCTATGCCAGCGCTTGAGAGGTTCCCAATAGCTGACTGGTCAGTTGAGGAGAGGGCACGATGAGCTGGATGTGCTGTAATATGCAGACTGGGCTCATGGTTGTGGACCGACTTCTCTCGCCTGGGCGATGCCTGACATACCAGTACGACTTATCAAGGCTCTCTTTCGCATTGATGGAAAACTGGCATCCAGTGATACGGGAGCTTGTAGACCGTTGCCGATCAGCTGGCTTCTGGTCCTTGCTTGTATGAGCCCCAAGTCTACCTCCACGATCGCAGGCAAATATGACTGTGCGTCTTCCGGACCGCGGGTCTCTCGTGGACTTGCCTGTGGTGAAGGCATAGCCTCTGGAGCCGCCCACGCATTAATTGAGGCAAGAAGAGACTCTCGCGAGTCGAACTGGCCCTCAGGAGGAAGGCAATCGTCAGGGAATTCAGTAAGCCCCATATTGAATTATCTTGAAGAGCTAGCTGTAGTGCACGACAGTGAGCAGCTCTTTATACACAAAGGAAAGGAAACTCCTGCTTTGTGGACGTGGTGCAGAACCCTTGTAACCGAGGCCGCCTGCGAGGTTTAATGCAGCCTGCGTTTGAGCTTTGGCCTCAATGGGGTCCAAGCACCACGCATGCAGGCGCTCGACCTTAATATGCGGATTATAGCATCGCTTCCGCGGACAACTACTCTGAGCGCAGATGGTATGCTATATGAGGCTGGCTCTCTGTGCGACAGTTTGCCACATGCAATAGAAAAGGAGAGTACAGGTCAGGGGGCGGCCCGACTATCTTCCGCCTGGGCTTACATAACAGGCGCGGACGTCCGCGCCGACTTTAAAGGCGCGGGGGTCCGCGCCTCTATTGGCTCCCGTTGGCTGCTGGAGCTTGACTAAGCAGCCGGGAACCAGTTCAGGTTTTTCCCCAACCGGAAGCCAGCTTTGTTGATGCAGGCAGGCCAGGTGTTGGCGACGGAAACACATACTGTACTGCTCCTGAGTGATGCTCGCAAGCTGCCTACCAAAGTTGACTCCAACGCTTAAGTACTGTAATTACAGTACCTTTGATTCAGGACCAAGACGCAAACTCACCCAATCAGAGACAAGTGACAATCCGACAGCTTCCAGGGCAAATGCGGGGCTCCAAGCTCACCCATCTTATCTATCTTATCTCCTCGACCCAAGCTCCCCCTCCCCCACCTTTTCTCACGACAACATCACGTCCCTCCACCATCGGCATCATCATCATCACCACTGCACCACGCTTTTCTATCCTCGTCGTACAATTACACCCCTCAGAACCCACCTGTACCACCGACCATGGTTACCCGCCGCCCCAAGGCCCGCCGCATGCCCCTCGAGGTCGCCGTCTTCTCCGGCCAGGCCGCCCTCCAAGCCCAGCTCCTCGGCGCCGAGCGCGTCGAGCTCAACAGCCCCGGCTCCTACGCCCTTGGCGGTCTCACCCCGCCCGTCGACGAGCTCGTCCGCGTCTCTGCCCGTCTCTCCATCCCCGTCCACGTCATGATCCGCTCCCGCCCCGCCCCCGCCGACGGGCGCCCGGACTTTGTCTACGGCCCTCGCGATCTTGCCCGCATGATCCTCGCCATCTGTCGCTTCAAGGCCTCCGGCGTCATGGACCCCGTGAGGGGCGATCGTTTTGTCTTGGGTGCTCTTCGCGAGGTCGACGAACAGGACGATGACGGCAGTGACTTTGGCATCGACGACGACCAAGAGCACCATGACGACGCCCATGACAGCGACGCTGACAGCACCCGCCCCCGCAAGCGTCTCGTCATCGACGAGACCATCTGCGAGGCCCTCGTCGAGGTCTCCAAGCCCTTTGGCTGCGTCTTCCACCGCGCCTTCGACCCCATCGCCGCCTCCTCCCCGCGCCGCTGCGCCCACGCCCTCGAGCGCCTCGCCCTCCTCGGCTTCGACGCCCTCCTCACCGCCGGCGGCCCGGCCGGCTCCTGCTGTGACAAGCCCAACGTCGACACCGTCGACCACCTGTGCCACCGCATGGCCGGCCGCCTCCCGCTCATTGTCGGCGGCGGCCTGCGCAGCCACAACGTCGCCCGCGCCGCCGCCCAGCTCGCCGTCTACGCCAACGGCGACGGCGACGCCCGGGACTCGCCCGTCTGGTTCCACACTGCCGCCGTCAAGACCATTGATGGATTTCACACCGAGGACCTCGACCTCGACGAGCTCCACGACCTGCTTGTCCAGCTCGGCCACATCGAGCCGGCCTAGAAGGACCCGGCTGGCCACTGGATGAAGCACTACGGCCCAGGTTCGCACTAGCCATCCACACCCCTCTCCACACCCCTCAGACAAGAAAAGAAAGAGATGGAATCAAAAGAAAAGAAGGAAACCACGACAGAAGCACCTTGGACACGCAACGGTGCACCTCCTACCTTGCACAGACTACTCCCTCATCTTTATCATTTTCTTGGCTAACATCCTTGTCCTCGCTCCCTCTTCCCCCCTTTCCCCCGACTCTCCAGGCCATCTTCGCCGCATCAACTCGGCGCCCGTCGGCGGCTTCGGCCTCTACGCCAACACCGGCTTCGCCGTTGATCTCGTCCTCTTCCCCACCTACTTCGCGGCCATTGTCGTCCCTGGCCCGCTGCGCGACCTCCCGCCCCGCCCCGCCACGGCTGCCCTCTTCTCGCACGTCGGCAGCGACCTGCCCGAGGAGCTTTGCTGATGCCGGGCGCGCGCGCGCACATGTGGATGCGGCATATTGAGTGGTAAGTGTCAGGAACCCCCCCCCTCCCCCCCCGCCCTCTTTGCTCCTGGCTCGTGCTTCAAAGATCGATCTCTTATTGACATGTCTCGAGGCCTCCCGCCTTTCAACACTCTTCTCTTCTTGTTATATGATTATTTTGGGTCTCGTTTAGGAGATCGAGACATGACACTAGGATTCGTCTGGGAACTTGGCTGAACGACGCCCAAAGAAGTTGGCAAGATGGCCCGGACGCATGGAAACACGGCACAGGGCTTGTCTGTGAGAGGGAATTTCGCTGTTTGCTCGTCGTCTCCTCACGTTGTTGCGAGGCGAGCTCGGCTTGGCCGAGACGACAAGCCCCAGAAGCGGCCGGTTTCCCCAACACAGCTCGTCTCTATCCTGAATCTCCCTGCTGCAACGCCCTGGTCCCTTGCCGCCTGCGTCCCTGCAGATGCATAATTATCGAATCGTCCCATCATCAGTATCATCCGGCTCAACTCCAATCTTTTGGTGTCCATTCCCAAAATCTTGAAGGGAAGGCGTAAAACTAAAAACTCCCAACCTCAAGGCGCCCGCAATGTAACAAAGATGTTAAAAAAAGAGCCAGGTCCGGCTTCCCACTGGACCCCCAGCCACGCCAGCACTTAGTATGCGGCGCCCCTCTCGTCGGCCTTGGTCTCGTGGTGCGGGTCGTGGCAGTTCTTGCGTGCCAGGCCCAAGCAGTTGGCGATCTTGTAGAAGATGTCGACGTTGTTGAAGGTGCCGCCAAACGTCTCCTGACAGGGCCCCATGGCATAGAGGGGCACGTCGGTCAGGGAGTGCACGCCCTGGGGCTCGTTGGTGGGCAGCGTGCCGTTGATGACGATGCCGTCGGGTGCGTCCTTGGGGTTGACGTAGTACTCGCCGCCGACCTGGACGGCCGCCTCGCGGGGGCCCGCCTTGTGGACCCGGTAGTCTTCGCGGCGGTCGGGCGCGGCGCCGGGGCCGGCGGCAATGGCGAAGCGCGGCTCCCAGTTGACGGGGAAGTTGGGGCCGGTGCCGTAGTCGACGTCCGGGACCTCTTCCGTGTAGTGCGACAGGCCTGACTTCTCGTAGACGCCAATGGCGTTGCGCTTGGCTCGGTCGTCTTTCTGGGCGGCAATGTACTTGGTGTCGGCGGAGCCCCAGACGCTGCGGCAGTGTTAGCGCGTCGCCATGGCTGCCAAGGCAAAGCTTCATCGAGGGACAACCAGCGTCTCTTTAAGCAAGGGAAAGGGAGGCCCACTCAAAACCGTGGCCGTGGTCGGCTGTGACAATGATGAGCGTCTCGTTGAGAATGCCCATCTTGTCCAGCTTCTTGACGGTGGCGCGGACCGTGTCGTCGAGCTCGAGGAGGTCGCCGAGGGCGCGGTCATAGTCGAGAGCGTGCATCTGCTTGTCGATCGAGGCAGCCTCGGACATGAGGAAGAAACCCTCGTTGCCGCCGCGCTCGTGCAAAACGTCGACGGCCTTGAGCGTCATGTCCTTGAGCCCGGGGAGATCGAGGGCAGGCTCCTTGCCGCCCTTGGGGCTATTCTTGAAGTCCTTGAGGTTGCTAGGATAAATGTTGCGGTCCAGCCAGACAGGCATGACACCCTGGCAGAAGACGCCGAGGGCCCTCTTGGTGGGGTCGGCGGCGAGCAGCGCCGTCTTGTTGAGGCTGACGGTGTAGTCCCTGTCGGCAAACTCGGCGTAGTAGTCCCTGCCCTCGTAAGAGGTCTTGCCGGGGTAAAAGTGCTCGGCGCCGCCGCCAAAGTAAACGTCGGGGCCCTCGTGCTGGGTCCACGTGTAGTTGGTGAGACCATTCAGAGCCTGGTCGATGAGCGGAGCGTACTCGGAGCGCGCGCGGGTATGGGCAGTGAGGGCAATGGGAGTGGCGTCGGCCAAGAAGGCGGTCGAAACGGCACCCCAGGCTCCTCGCTGGGCAATGGGCATCAGTCAGTCGGGCGATCAGAGGCCTGCCAAGAGGGAAGGGGGACCAACGCGGACGCGGCGGAAGATTTCGACAATGGTCTCGACCTTGGGGTCATCGAACTTGTCGGGGGACGAGTCGGCGTGAACGCTGGCGGACAATGTCAGCGAGTCTCTCAACGAAGCCAAGCAAGCCGGGGGAGAGGCACCCCATGGCGTTGACGGTGCTCTTGTGGCCCGAGTACAGAGCCGACGCCGAGTTGGCCGAGTCGGTAATGTAGCTGTCAATCGAGTGCGTCATCTGGTGGCCGACGACGGGGAACTCGTCCATCTTCATGCGCGTTTGGTATTTGCCGTTGATGCTCTTGTGCCCGAGGAGACGGGCCGCGGTGATCTGTGTGCGTGTGAGCAAGCGGGGCCGTCCATGTCAACCAAGGCGCCGCGTACCATGTTCGTGGTCATGCCGTCGCCAATGAAGAAGATGACATTCTTTGCCTTTTGGGTCTCGGCCAGGGGACGGACGATCCACTCGGCGGTCGTCTTCTTATCGTTGTAGTATTGCAGGGTGACGGTATACTTGCCGGGCTCGTTGAGGGCGAGCTTGCGGTAGACGTTGGAGGCGACGTTGACGAGCGAGGGCGTCTTGGTGTCCTCCGCAAAGAGATCCTCGTACCACTTGAACTGCCATTGCTCGAGCTTGGGCTGTTGTACGGCGAAGAACTTGGCCACGTCCTGGGGCTTGCCGCCGTCCTTGGCAATGGTCAACTTGAAATGGTGGTCAGGCTTGCCATTGTACGCCGCCTCGGAGCCGTTGACGGGAGCGTGGACCTCGACACGCAGGTCAAAGAGCTGGCCGGGCAGAAAGTCGCTCTGGTCGGGCGGCAGGACACAGCCGAGGGTGGGACATGTTCCGAGGCGCTGGTAGGTGGTGGCCGAGACGGCGGACAGCGAGGCGGCGATGCTGAGGACGGCGAGCTTCATGGTGTCCTGGGCGTCGGTCGCGAGGCGGGTGAGTCGTCACGGGTATGAGAGAGAGGCGAGTAGAGGAGAAGAAAAAGGAAAAGAGAGGGAGAGGGAGAGGGAGAGGGAGAGGGAGAGGGGAGAGAGGAAGACAGGGAGAGAGAGAGAGAGAGAGAGAGAGAGAGAGAGAGAGGCTTGCCGCTTGCCTGCAGGCTAAGAGGTGCTTTATTAGCCAGGTACAGTAATTACAGGCCAGGCCAGGAACGCCAACGGAAGCAGCCGATATGATAGTTCGTCCTCGTCGATGCCTTGGGGCGGTTATCGCCGCCACGTCGGCCATGGCGTCGCGATTGGCTGCCCACTTGGCACATGAGGGCAGCAATATCGGCATCCTTGGGGCGCGCCGCCTCGAGTGACGCGATGCCCTGTCATCACCACCACGTGCCGGCGCCAACCGCTGCGGTGGGCAAGCGGAGCAAAAGTTGTTGAGAAGATGCTTGTGCAGGGATTTGCCCGTTGGTTCTGCCGTCGGGGCGGTTTGCGAGGTCCTCGGCGACCCATGACGCTGGCATGTGTATCCAGAACAGAAGCTTACTCCAGTCTTCGGTGGCTGCCCACGTACCCTATACTTGGTCATCCCAAGTCGTGATGGAGGGTCGGATGCAGCAGCCAACCAGCCCAGCTCCACCATTTCCTGCACGCAACCTACTGTTGTACCTTAGATTATCCCCACACAGCCAAGGTCCGTCCCCGCCTGCAGAAGAAGCTTGCCTGGCTCTCTAGACCCACCGGGGGTACAGAGTAACTTACAGGCGGCGCTTTGCAGGCGGGTCTCTCACGTCGCCCACCCACAGCACATTTGTGCAGCGCAAAATTACGAATGAAATGCGGCATATTACTGTAGGCGGATGTAATTACAGACGCAACTGGCTCGAGCCTTGAAGGATGCCATGTCATCTACAGGCACAGCACTCACGCGCACGAGTCTGGGGCAGACGACTCTGTCAGACTCTGTCATGGCATCTGCGGGCATGTCTGGTGATTCAAGTCACCCTCATCCAGCCGACCGAGGAGGAAACATGAGCAGCTTGATCAAGATGGCGATCCTTGGCCTTGACATAGGCGTCCAAGTACCGGTATGCTGCAGGGTTGGCAGTCGGCAAGTTGTTGCTGATATCAGTCTCCTTGTACAATATCATACGGACTGCACGATGAGCTCATTTGCTCGAGCGAATCATCTAAGTTGAGCGCAGATGGCATGGCTTGCAAGCCACGTCCATGGGACACCGCAGCACCTGGCTATGCTGACCCACGGCGAGTTCCATGTCTACATTTCCTCCTCTACAAGCAAAGCCCTTGCTTGCCCCCTCGGTCCGAAGAAATGGCATTTGTACACACTCGACGTTGGCACGGGACTCTGCCACCTCTCCCAAGCTGAAGGACGTCGATGATAAGTAGGTAGATGAACCCTCTGCGACCTGACGCGGGAGCCGGTGCGTAAACGTCGTTACCTTACCCGAGGGAACAGAAACAGGGCCTACCTGGCCTGGAAAAGACATCCAAAATTGGTAGCTCCTCTCTGAAGAGCGGTGTCATCCTTAGTGCAGGGGCCATGCTACTATAGACATTGTTAGCATCTACGATTGAGGCACCGCACATCTTCTGCCTGAAATACTGTTAGGCTCCCTGCCCACAATGAAATGCTCATCTGGATTGGAAAGGCACTGACATCTTTGAAATAGACCGACTTGCCCAGAGGCGGTGATTTGCGCAACAGTTTGAGGTTATAGCCAGAGCTGCTGCACTGGAAGCTTTGGGGGAGCGCGCCGCTAATGCAGGGCAGTCTTCGTTGGTCCGATTCGAGATACGTACGTACTCGGTAGCTTCTCCACGATTGAACCAAAGACGATGCACGTCATGCCCCGTCTGGACAGAGCTCGCCCCAGGCCACTGCCCCAGGCCACTGCCCCAGGCCACTGCCCCTGGAGAAGCGCTGAAGGCCCCTGGGGAGGCGCTGAAGGAATAAGTAGTACGTTCCGACAATCCTTCGGCAGGACCGCCCGACTTGTGCACCGCCTTGACGCCTCATCGGCGGCATCCGGCCTCGAAATTGGTAGAGTCTGGATCCTCTTCCAGTCCAGAGCAAATGTACTCGTACATGTATTGTACTGTAATTACATGACTTACACGCATAACGTATCAAGAGCTCGGCAAGCAGCCGTTCGCCGCCCCCGTGCGCCGTGTCGACCGCCCATTCGCAAGCCGTATCCGGGCATCCGGCCGGCCCTGGCCCTGCCCCCCTGGCCCTGCCCCCGGTGAGGTATTTATTTCCGGACCCCGTTTCCTCGCTACATCATTTACCTGTTCCACGGCAACTGAGTTTGTCCTTGGCATGGAACAGTATATCAGCCTCTATCGAAGTATAGGTCTATAGTATTCGCACATATGTGCTCAGCCCTCTGTTGGTATCCTCTGCGTCCCCAGTCCCTCACCGCACATGTTCGAATAGAGTAGCACGCCGAAGGCAGTCCAATCCTCCTCGGTCCCGTCGACCAATCAATAGCCGCGCCTCAGTCCGCCGCATAAGCAAGCCCGGTCTGGCAGCGGCATTAATAGCTCAACCAGGCCTTCACGTCTTTACAGGGCCGTCAAGTCGTCATCTCGCATGTCCCAGACTGTCCTGAACCCACGTCCTTTGGGCTCCATCCGCCCACCCGCGTCACGCAGGCTCGGCCACCTTGGCCTCGAAATCCGTCCAGCTCGGCTTGTTCATCCTCTCCTGCGCAGCCTCGCTCTTGAAGTGATAGCCCCTCGCCCGCGGTCTTTCCCCAGACCCCTCCGGTAGTTCGGGCTCGTATGCCGTCCGGAACCGTTGCCTGTCTTGCTCAAACTCGCCCACTCCATTGCCCAGGCTGCGCCGAACGCCCGCAAAGAACTCGCCGAAGACGTGCTGGTTGTGGATCTGGAGCAGCACCCAGCCCAGCATCTCCTTGGCGTTGAGCAGATGGTGCAGATAGGCGCGGTGGTGGCTCGTGCAGGCATAGCATTGGCAGCCCTCGAGCAGCGGCGTTACTGATGTGCTGTGTTCCGGCGACCACATGTCCACGCCCAACGACAGCGTCTCGGTGGCTGCTGGCGGCGGAAAGGTAAAGACGAGCGCGACTCCCGCGTCGGACACGCTGTTGACAAAGGGTATCGCGCAAAGATCGACCCCGAGGGCAACCTGGCGCAGCACCTCGTGCGGCGTCCTCGGAGCGTTCAGGGACAGCCTTGGCAGGGGTGCCAGCGGGCTGTAGCTGGCGAGCTCCGGAAGGATGTTGACGTCGTAAATGGCCAGCCCGGACAACTCGTCTGCCACGTCCTCGGCGAGGTGCCTGAGATAGTCCCACTGGATCGGGTGCTCGACGGGAAGCACGGGGGCAAAGAGGGAAATGCCGAGCTCGTCCAGTCGCTCGCGGCCACCAACGTGCTGCAGGAATTCATCCACCCACGTCTCGGTCCGTTCGACCATCCTGAAGAGCTTCTTGGAGGCCGGGGTGGCGCTCGTGTGCAGCGCATCGCCCAACGCGACAACCACATCTGGCTGCAGCGTCTCGACGGCCGACGCAAACTGCGGGACGGTCAAGCCTGTGTATCCCGTCGAGGTGAGAAGGCTGACGGTCTTTACACCGTTTCCCATGGGGGTCATGACGGGCGGGCAGCGCCGGGCCGCCAGTATCGTCGTCCTATCCGGCGGCAGGGATGTGAAGCTGTGGAAGCGGCCATGGTCTCCCGCGGGGGAGTTGTATATCGGAGGCTCCTTTTTCTCAATGACTTGCGGGAGAGGTCAGCCGCGGGCCGCGCCCGAGACGGTTGAAGCCAACTCACAGTCCTCGAGCGCCAAGTAAGCTGCGCCCACCGTCGTGTGCTTGCTCAGGTTGTCCGGGGTGAGATGAGGCACGGCTCCTCGCGACGTAACGGCCGTGTAGTTGGGCGTCTCGATGACGCGACGGCCCGGGAGAGCGAGTCGACCGAGACGGGCTGCGCAGCCGTTTGTGGCCGGCGAGCTCAGTAGCTGAAACGTCTTTCCGAGACGCATGTCGGAGGAGTCTTGGCTGGTCATCGCGACGTGTCCATCAAGGACAGTGTTTGGAATTGGATGGTAGCCGAGTTGGGTTGTTGGATGGAGAAATTCGACTGCTGCATCGAGAGAGGCCTGCGTCTCCGACTGCGTGTTCCAAAGGGTGGCATGAACGTTGGTCTGACCATCGAACTTCGCTCATCTCAGGCCATTGACAAGCATCGCCGACGACCGCTGGGCAGAAAAAAGTAAGACTGAAGATGTGAGTGCGCGTGCCATGCAGCCCGCACTGTGAAGCGGCCGAGGTTCTTCCGGGCCCGAGCACTCCTTCAACGCCGACCAATGGCGTCGATGGCTGTTGGCCGGATGCGTCGATACGAACTCACTCCCCTCGAAGCGCGGCAAAAGGCGACCCTGTCCTCACAATATTACACAGTCTCCAGAGCACCTCTACGTGGACAATGGCCAGCTCGTCATCCCAATCTTGAGTGAGACATGGAGCAAGGGAGGGAGGCGGAGGGAGACGAACTAAACCTCAACGTTGGCACTATAATTGGCCGCCAGCTCCTCCGTCAGCACGCAGAAATCCATCGCCGAAACACTTTCCAGACCAAACCAGACGCATCCGTATTGCGCAGCCTCTTGCTGACCCACACTCGTCCCGAGCCGGCACGGACCCTGGCTCCCTCTCTTGCCCCCGTCGTCGTGCTCTCTCCCCTTGTCTCTCTCGTGTCGCCATCATCATGAGCATGGTGCGCGGCCATCGCGACGATGAGACCCTCCCCCTCATGACGGGACAGGAACGCCGCGAAGCAGACCCCGGCGATGCCGAGGGCCGCGAAGCCGAGGGCCACGATGCCGAGGGCCACGATGCCGTCCAGCGCGGGCGCGGACCGTCAGACGCCCAGCCGCATCCCGACGCGCCTCTCGACAGCGATGGCACCCTCCAGGTCGAGGATGACAGCGACCCCCCAACGCCACGCTTCGTCCAGGATGAAAATGCCTGGAAGGAGTGGAAATGGGTTCCATATCCCGTCCGCCGCCTCATCCGGGCCGTTGCAAAGTGGTCCGCGGGACCCCCGGACCCTCAGCCATATCGCATCCAGCCCTTCTTCCCCGCCGTCCAACACTATCCGCTGCGGCTCGTCGAGCGCTTTCTGCCCAGGCGCAAGCAACGCGCCTGGCTCCTCTTCTTCTACTTCTCTATCTGGCTCATCACCTTTGTTCTCGTCAAGCGCAAGGGCACTGTGGCCACCGAGATTGCGGGCTGGGGCCAGCCGCGGACCATTGGCTGCGGCTCCTCGTACTGGGGCGCCGGCAATGCCTGTGGCCTGGATGGCGCCGAGTGTCGGCCGTTCAACAACAGCGGCTTTGCCTTTCGCTGCTCGGCCAACTGCTTGAGCTCCATGGTCCTGAACCCGAGGGCAGTCGGCGCTCAAGAGGTCATATACCAACCACTCGTCGTCGGTGGCCCCCCCAACGAGGTGCGGCCAGACCTGGCCACGTACCGCGGCGACTCGTACATTTGCGCCTCGGCCATACACGCCGGCGTCATCACCAACCAAAACGGGGGCTGCGGCGTCGTCAACCTCGTCGGACGGCAGCAAGCCTTTATCAGCTCGCAGCGGAACGGCGTCTCGAGCGTCGGCTTCGACTCGTACTTTCCGCTTTCGTTCCGCTTCGTCCCAGACACTGGCTGTTCGTCGGAGGACTCGCGGTGGTCGCTCCTTGCCGTGTCCGTCGTCTTTACTGCTGTACTCTCGCTCTTTACAGCCTCGCCGGCCCTCTTCTTCTTCCCCACCTTTGTCGGCATTTTCTGGACAGTCGGAACGGCCCTGGACCCGCCTCCGCACCGGGACGACGCCGCTCTCTTTTCCAACGTCATTGGCAAATTCCTGCCTGCCATGTTTGTAGCCTGGGCCATGTACGACAAAATGGGCGTCGGCCGCACGCTCAAGGACCTGACTGCCCAGGTGGAAAAGACGGTTCTGTGGCTCGGTGCGTGCTGGGTGGGAGCCATGTCCAACTACACGCTCGACTTTATCCCCATCCAACGGCTCAACAAGCACGACCTCGACCAGCAGCCCGGCGCCAAGGCGGCGCTGTCCATTATCATCATCGTCCTTGTCGTCGTTGTCGCGACGCAGATTTGGTTCTTCAGGAAGGAGGCGCGGCTCATCAGGTATCTCGGGCTCTATGGGCTTCTCCTGGCGGGTATCATCATTGCCCTAGTGCTTCCGGCGCAAAACTTGCGTCTGCACCATTACATCATTGCGCTCCTCCTGCTTCCAGGGACAAGCTTGCAGATGCGGCCGTCGCTGCTGTACCAGGGGCTGCTCGTCGGGCTCTTCATCAACGGAATCGCCCGCTGGGGATTCGACCCTGTGCTGCAGACGTCGGGGGCGCTGCTAGGCGATGCGCAAAAAGGGAGCCTGCTGCCGACGATCCGCCCGCCCATAATCAACCTCGGCAACGCCACCAGCCCAATCTCCAACATCACGTTTGCCTGGGATGCGCCGCCGGAGGGGAGCATGTACGACGGCGTCAGCGTGCTGGTCAACGACGTGGAGCGATTCCGGACCTACTTTGGCGACGTGGGCGAGAAGAAGGAGTTTGCCTGGTCGCGAAACCAGACGCTGAACCTCCCGGAGTACTTTCGGTTTGCATTCATGAGCGGCAGCGATAGCGGCGACTACACAAAGGCCGGGACGTGGACGGCCGACGGGCAGTGGAGGGAGATGCGGCCGGGGCCGTCCAAGGTTCGCCGCGCGGGTCCAGGGCTGCGAGCGTGAGGTGGTAAAGGGGGGATGGATAAGTGTTTATGAGAGCATGCTGCTCTTTCTTTTAGATGAGATGGAGTCTTGGTTACGTGGGTGATGCTCGTCAACGGCTGTAGTGATGTTGCCTGTCCATCCCGCCTGTCCCTCAACTCAAGATGTTCCATTACCAGCTAGAAGCTGCCTTTGTCTTGACTCGATGGTGGAAGTAAGCACATTGACATTCTTACTTGCACCTGGGAATGCGACGGTATCTGTGCAACGGTTCTCGTGCATGGGCGATGCCAGACGTGCCGCCGGCTCACCAACGGATCAGTATCAATTACCCCACCACCAAAATCGTCTTCAGCCTCCACCAACCTCCATCCATCCTCACTCTCACAACCCCCGCGCATCTAACCTGCCGAATAAAAAGCCCAACCCAACCGCGCCGCAAAGCATCCATCCTCACAAATTCCACCGAAAGGCAAAAAGCGGCAAAAGAGAAAAAGGGAGCAAAAGGAAAGGGGGGGAAATGCCGCCACGCATCCCCACCGAGGCCGACTTCGCGCCCCTGGCCGCCACCCTCCCACACACGCTCCACTTCCCCTCGCCGCGCGAGTCCACCACGGCGCTGCTGGTGCTGCTCCACGGGCTGGGCGACTCGGAGGCGCCGTTTGCGCGGTTCGCGCGCGGCGTCGCGCTGCCGGGGGTGCTGGCCGTGGCGGTGCGCGGGACGGCGCCGCTGCCGCTGCTGGACAACGACGACGACGACGACGGGGGGCATTTTCACTGGGGGGATGATGTGCGGTTTGACGCGGGGACGGGGGATGTCGATGCTGATCCTGGGTTTGGGCGCGCGGCGCGGGCCGTCATGGATGGGTTGGTGAGGGGTGTGTTTGTCGAGCGGTGTGGGTGGGAGGTTGGCGATGTCATGCTCTTTGGCTTCGGGCAGGGCGGCTCGTTGGCGCTGGGCATGGCGTCGCAGCTGCGCGCCTCGCCGGCCGTCATCGACGTGACCGACAGCGCCAGCGCCAGCCCCAACGGCGGGAGCGGCCGCGACGAGGCCTTCAAGGGCGTCGTCTCCATCGGCGGACCCCTGCCGGCGTCCATGGTGCCGACGACGACGGCGCGGAGCAAGAGCACCACAAGGGTGCTCGCGGTCCAGCTCGACGAGGACCAGGTCGAGGCCATCGAAGCCGAGTTCCGCCACGTCACGGCCGTTCGGTGGCGGCGCCGCGACGTGGCCATGCCGCGCGACCGCGACGAGATGCTGCCCATTATGCGCTTTTTCGCAGACTGCCTCGGGCGCGTGTGAGGACTTCGTGCTGCTGCTGCTGCTACGACACTTGGGCACCGGCACAGACGCGCTGTTCCTTGACCGCGAACAGCCATCATTCATCACTGATACGCTACCGGGCTCATCTTCCATCGCCAATGCCCGCCTGCAGCATGTCGGCCAGGATATCCCACTTGGCCGCGTGCGCGCTGCTGCTCGCCCTCGCCACGCTCCTCAGCCCTCCGCAGATGAAGCGCAGGTGCCTCTCAAAGTCGGCCGCCGTCTCCCGCAGGACCCCCAGGAACAGCCCGTCTGCGCCCCCCCGGCCGTCGCCGTGCTCGAGCTTGATAGCCAAGTCCAACACGTCGAGCATGCCCTCTCGGATGGGCGCCAGCCGGCTGCCAAGGCATGCCTGCTCAATTATGTGTTTCATCGCGCTGGCGTGGACCGCAATCATGGCGTCAATGTCCTCGGCGGCTTCCAGGTCGTGCCTCATCTGGCGCTCGATGGGCTCCAGCACGAGCGTCGCGAGATATGTCTGTACGGTGCTGTAGAACCAGAGGAGCTTGTGCCTCATCGAATAGAACAGGCCGCGCTCGTCCCAGCTCTCCCGGTCTGTCCAGTAGTCGTCTAGAATCTTGCGTTTGTGCATGGCGTGCATTGCCCTCCTGATTTGCAAGAGAAACGTAAAGATGGACTGGTACAGTGCCAGGCTCTCGGCCGTCACAATCATCCGCACCGGCCACGGCAGCCTGTAGTGGACCCTGACGCTTGGGAGCGCCGCCCTGACGGATACTCGACCTTGGGACGCCGGCAGCCGATATCCTGCACTGTCGACGCTGATGGACAATCGGCTGGTGTCGAGAAGAGACGAAAAGGCCTCGTGTCCTGTCGCGGTGAGAGCGTATCGGCCGTGCCAGCCCTCGTCCATGGTATCCAGCCGGGCAAACAGACCCTCGCAGAGCATCGAGGCCGCACGCCCCTCGGACATGAGGTACAGAGTGCGCAGCGCATCGAGCGACGTGGACAGACCCCAGGTGCCCAGCAGCGCATTCTTCAGCGTCCTCGATGTTTTGCGGTACTGGCTCTGGATCCACCGGTCAAAGGCAGCGCCGAAAAGGTCCGGAAATGGAGCAAGCTCGAATCCTCGGGGGCAGAGGGAATCGTAATCGAGGGGCTCCTTGTCAACGTGCCGAGACGCGGCGGCATCGTGTTGTCCCAATAGCCCCAGCACTACAATGTTCTTACCAGCGTTGTAGATGTTGCTGACGGCCGGCTGGAGGAAGTTTGGCCCGTGTAGTCTCCCATCCGGTGTTTTGCGCAACTCGAACCGGCTTCGCCACGTGTCGCCCAATGGCACGTCGCTGGACGATTCGGATATGAAGAAGAGTTCGTTTCCGGGAATCAGCTTGCCCTCGTTCATCCAGCGTTGGATCGGGCGTAGGTACACGTTGAAGCACTCGATAAAGATCCGGGCTAGAAACTCAAAGGTGCCGGGCTTCCCCGTCAGCTGCGCCTCGCTCGTTTCGACAAAGATGAGTTCCAGGTAGCGAAAGGTGTCCGATTCGCGAGCTTGTCGAACCTGGACGATGATACTCGACAGGGCAAAAAGCGGTTCCAGCCGGGGGGCAAGCTCTCCCATCAACCCCATCAGGCTGACGACGACCTCTCCCTTGGGCGAAGCGAAGCGCGCCTCGATCTCGGCGAGCATGCGATCCAGCTGGCCAAGATGGCGGGCAACGCAGTCCTGGAGAGCCTGGATGTGAGGGATCGTCTGTGGCTGAGTTGCAAACAGCCGAAGCACGCGAAGCCGCCGACCAGATTCCGCAAGGGCGCCCATCAACGACTCGTGGGTTTCCCATGCTGTGTCTGCCAGCTGAAAAGCGGGCGAGGGGGACACTGCGCCGTTGAATAGAGAGCATTCGAGGCCATGGAACATGAAGAGGACTTCGCGCACCGCTTGCGCCTCGGGGACGGCGATTTTTGGTGCAGACGCCGGGGGTCTGTCTTTTATCCGCCATGCTTGTTCTTGTCGGATCGAGTTTAGGGTTCCGTGGTCGTCGGGGTGAATAATGCAATCTTCGGCCGACCTTGCCGTGGAGTCTCCATCGCGAGCAACCGAGGTGGCATCGGAAGACGCGCTCGCCGAGCCATGGTCGTCGTCTTGGCCGGCGGAGTCGTCGCTGCTGTAGCTGACGGCCTTCCAGAGTTCCTCGTCCTGGTCCCAGCCGTCTTCTCGAGCTACATCTTCCCAGCGGAGAGGCGGCGCATCCGGCTCTTGCACGACCTGCTGGCCGGGAAGCTCAAGGTCACTAAGCCTGGTCTTGGAGGCGGGCTGGTCCGACAGCTCCACGAGCAGATAGAGTATCTCCGGGTGCCACTTTGCGGGAGACCGGCGCAGGGCATCTAGTCTCTGGCGCAAAGCATCGGCCAAGGCCTCGCGGTGGCTGACGCGAAAGCGCTCGTCGAGGCCATCCAAGCAGCTGTCCACCTCGAAGGGGTTTGTGCGAAGGTAAGGATGGGTCCTGAGCTTGCGCAAGGAGGCGTCGCAAGCTGAGCGGAATTTGTCTGGGTTTGTCTGGGACGGATTGTCAGCCAGTCTGGAGATGATGCATGGATTTGCCATACCTGGGCCAGCGACTGCGTCAGGCTCTCGACCAGCTCTTCGGTCAGGGCTCCGAAGCGTGCAGCAAATGCCATGGTTGTGGGCCATCCATTTTCTTCGAATTCCGCTTCCAAAGTGTGTCGATTTCGTCGGCATGATTGCTGTGAAGTCGGTCGGTCAGTCCTCGGCAATTAATAGCCGCGTTCAACGGCTGACGCGTCTCCACCACAGCTACAGCGGTAGCGCCAGAGTGGTTGGCGGCGCGCGCCTGACAGCGAAGCCCCCTGTGCAACTTCTTGTCTCAGCTTGCTCCTCCAACGACGCATCGCATCCTGGCAGGCCATCGGGCGCGCAACGAGAAACACATACACACACATACACACACGGCGCAATCGATACTCGACCGCCTCTGCCCTCTCAGGACGCTGCACCCATGGCCTCCTGAAGCTCGCGGAGCATCCAGTGTCCTTTGCCCGTCGACGACAGCCATGGCGATTGCGCGGCCCGTCCGCGCGCTCACCATTACGGCCGTGGTTTTATGGTTCCTTGTTCTGTACCGCATCTTCAGGGCGCCTTCGTCCATCCACGGGCCCGGCGAGCGGTACATCAACTTTGAGCGGGATCCCAACCTCGACCGTAGGCTGCGCTGCTCCCGCGACGCTCACTATGCTCTGGCTAACCATGTCCTCTAGCCACCGACGAACCCGAGGGGATACTGCGCCGCGCCTCCGAACGATATGCCCCGGACGCCAAGGACAGCGCCCGGATCCCTGCCACGCTGCTGGCCCTGGTGAGGAATGAGGAGGTCGACGACATGGTGCAGTCCATGAAGGACCTGGAAAGGACCTGGAACCACAAATTCAACTACCCCTGGACCTTCTTCAACGACGAGCCCTTTTCCCAAGAGTTCAAGCGCAAGACGCAGGCCGTGACCAAGGCCAAGTGCATCTACGAGCAGATCCCCCGCGAGCACTGGGCGACGCCGTCGTGGATCGACCAGAAAGTCTACGACGAATCCGCAAAGATACTCGAGGAGAGCGGCGTCCAGTACGCAAAGAAAGTCTCGTACCACCAAATGTGCCGATGGAACAGCGGCATGTTCTACAAGCACCCGGCGTTGCAGAACACGCGCTACTACTGGCGCGTCGAGCCCAAGGTTCACTTCTTCTGCGACATCGACTACGACATCTTTGCCTACATGCTCGACAACAACAAGACGTACGGCTTCACAATTAACCTCTACGACGACCCCAAGACGCTGCCCACCCTGTGGCCCGAGACGGTCAAGTTCCTGACAGACAACCCCAAGTACCCCGTCCACGAACAGAGCGCCCTCAGGTGGTTGACCGACGACGTGCGCCGCCCAGAGAACAACAAGCGGGCTCAGGGATACTCGACCTGTCACTTCTGGAGCAACTTCGAGGTGGCCGACATGGAGTTTTGGCGGAGCCCCGTCTATCAAGACTACTTTGACCACCTGGATCACGCCGGCGGCTTCTTCTACGAGCGGTGGGGCGACGCGCCGGTGCACAGCATAGCGCTCGGCCTCTGGGAAGATGCGAGCAAGGTCCACTGGTACGTGTCGTCCTGATGTTGCCACTCTGCCAGCTCTCTCAAGCTAACCGGCAACAGGTTCCGCGACATCGGGTACCAGCACATCCCCTTCTTCAACTGTCCCAACTCGCCCAAGTGCAAGGGGTGCGTCACGGGCCGCCTCACCGACGGCGAGCCCTTTCTCCATCGCGAAGACTGCCGGCCCAACTGGTTCAAGTACGCGGGGATGGGCTGAGCACATAAGCCAGCAGACCGCTCGCCGGTCTCCGATGGCGGACAGTGTGCATTGTATACTTGGTGCCCCCGGGCGGCTTTAATATTGCCTCTTATTGGTTGGCTGCGGGCTAGCATGGGACGATATCGAGAGGGGCCACGCGGGAGCAGTCTTCATTCTTATGCGCTGGTTGTTTCAGATTGGGCGCGGGCGGGTGATAGGTCGCTGCGTTTCGGTGTTGTCGCGAGGGTATCATGGACTGCCGCGCGTGGTGTATTGGATCATGTCTCGACGGTAGATGACTTTTTTTAACGAAGCACACGCCCCCCATCTCGGCTCTCTGGCCTGTCCGACCTGAATATACAAACACGGACATTATAACGCGCCAAACACCGTCACCACGCCCGACGTCCCGCCCACGCAAAACTGGTCCCCCCAGCCGTCGTCCCTCCACGCCATGCAGCTGACGACGTTGCTGCGCGTCTTTTCCCTGCCGTCCTTGCCAATGACCTTCTTCTTGGGCTCGTACCCGCTGGGGCCCCAGGGCACCTCGACCTTGGCCACCAGCTTGCCCGTCAACAGGTCCCACGCCCAGATGCGTCCGCTGCCGCCGCCGCCGTCGTCGCCCGTCATCTCGTCGCCGGCGAGGACGTACTTTTCCCTCGCGCCGAGCAGGGACTGGATGCGAAGCTCCTCGTTCTTGAAGCCGGGGGCCGAGTACGCCCGCAGGCACGCGCCGCTGTCGCGGTCCATGAGGCGCACCTTGCTGTCCAGCGTGCCGACCAGCGCCGCGCGCCCGTCCTTGGTAAGCCCGAGGCTCGTGACGCTGGCGCCCAGCACGTCGGTCGTGCACCGGCCCATGCGCACGTCGTAGCCCCTGACGCGCCCATCGACGCTGCCCGTGACCATCTCGGCCCCGCGCACCGCCAGGGCCGTGACGGCGTCGCGCGCCTCGCCGAGCACCTGCACGGGCTTGAGGCTGCGGCTGCGCACGTCCCACACGCGCGCCGTCGTGTCGAAGCCGCCGCTGACGACGAGCGAGTCGCCGTCGCCCGCGAAGCGCACGCAGTTGATGCGCGCCGAGTGGCCGTGCGCCGTGCCGCCGAACCGACGCGTCGTCACCGCCGCCGACACGTCCCACAGGAACACGGCCCGGTCTCCGCCCGCCGACACGAAGCGCTCGTTGTCCGCCGCCACGTCCACGCTGAGCACCTCGTACCCGTGCGCCGCGTACGTCTGGATCAGCCGGCCCTGCGGCACCCCCGCCTTGCGCGGCTCGGCGACGCTGCTGCTGGGGAACGGGTTGTACAAGCGGACCGTTCGATCCGCCGAGCCCGTCAGGATATATGTCCCGGGCGACGCTGAGTACGCGACGGCGTGGACAGGTCCTGCGCGCAGTCATTCATTAGCGGACTCGGGTGACGTGTGAGTGTGTGTATGAGAAAAAGTACCATTCGAGCCGAGCAGATGCGCTGTGGGCTTATCGGGAAAGGCCATTCTCAGGAAACATGTTTAGCTCCTCCTACCGTCTCTTCACCCCTTTTCCAAGCTGCCGCCACGGGACCGCCTGTGGTCATAAACGTTTTCTTCGGGGGCCGCTGGCTTGAGGTCGCTGGCGATGAAGCTTGCCATGAAGCCCGGCACCAGCGACGGCGGGATAAGGTAAGCCCATCGAGGGCCAGTCACGTGCTCTGATTGGCTAAGATTCAAGTGACGTTCGCCCGAGTCCGAAAGGTTTAAGCTTCAACAGTTGAACAGACCATCATTATTGCGCGTCGCCACTGCTATGGTACAGCTCCATCTCTCCTCTTTACTGCAATATTCAGCAGCCTGTGCCTGCATCTCTATATCCAGCGCTTCCCAGTCCGTAGGCATCATTCGTCATCGGCATCGACGTCTCCTTATCCCGCACCGTACAAAAAGCCAATCATGCGTCGTCCCGACGTCCCTTCTTCCCTCATCGAGCCCTGGAGTACAAACTCTTTGTTACAAAACATATCTTCTTTTCTTGGATTCTGTTCTCTTCCAGTCGTGGCTGTAGGGAAGGGGCAGGGGAACCCCAAAGTGCCCGAGGCCGAGCGACCCCGGCTAAACGTAAAGTCATGGTACAACGCTCAAGCAAGCGTGCAATATACAACATCCATATCCACAGGATACGGCCTTTCTATCGGCGATGGGATCTGCCATCGGAGGTGTCTCTGCTCGTTGGATTCGTCTGCGCTCATGACGACCCGGTACCCATCCGCCGGGCTCGCCGACCGAGATCCCTGGCTGTGGTAGATTTGAATCAGTTTCTGGAGCCGATGCTCGATGGCGTCTCGGGCCGCCTGTGAGTGTTCCCACGTCTTTGCCGTGCTGTCAACGGCAGTCTTGCCCACGCGAATGCTCTGGATCAGCTCGTTGATTGACGCCATGGGGCCGCACGCCGTCAGCACATCGACGGCGGCCATGATTGGTACCGATAGTGCCGGCGGAGAGGTGCTCAAGATGGTCGGGCGGACGCGGAGAATACGGTCGAGACAGTTGATGATGTCGAGGATGCTCAACGCGTGGTGGCGGCACTCCTGAAGGTGGCTCGCTCGAGCCTCGGAAGGCAGCCGCGCAACCGACACGTGGAAGCGATTGAGCTGGATTAACGCATGGTGATAGAGCAGGTGCATGGTCAGAAACGACCCGACCTTTCCAGAAAAGGCTGCCGACTCAAGATTGGATCCGCCGAAAACCAGGCGAGGGGGCAGCGAGTTGTACCAGTCGCGAGCTCTTGTTGCCACGTTTCGGGCCTTGGCGTTGCTCGTCCCAGAGGGCATGGATCGGGCCGCCAGTCTAGAAATGACGGACTGGCAACTCGACCAGATGTGAACCATCTCCACGAGGTAGCCCGTAATCTCCAACGGCTTCTCGGCCAACCTGGATGCAACCGTCTCGTCCGGGTCGAAAACAGGCATGTAGGCCTCGACCTGCTTCTCGAAGCTCTCCGAGTCGGCCGGGAGGCGCACGTATATGTCATCTGCGTTGATTAGTACCGGACGGTCCGGAAGCACCATGTTGATTCGTTCCAGCATAAACAGAGACCATAGCGTTCTCCTCCTCGCCTCGCAGTAGCCGACCTCGTTCATGCCAAACGGATAGGCCGAGGCTTCCTCGTCTGCCGACTTCTCAAGCTCCTGGTTGAGCTGCAGAGACGCCGCCGCCGTAGCTGCCGAGGAAATGAGCTCGTTGGCCTCCCGGAGACGAGAGGTCGAGATGTGGTAAACGGCAAGCAGTATCCTGCTCTGGACAAGCTGGAGGCAGGGAAAGACAGCCGTCTTTTGCGCGTAATACGCCACTTGGGCGTACTCGTAGGCGATGTGCTTGGGTCCGCCAGCCAAAGCCACACCAATGGCCAGCACGCTGTAGAGGACCATGAGATCCTCGGCAGACTTTTCGTGCGCCGAGCTGGCGGCCCACGATCGGAAGACCTTCTCGGGGAAGAATCGCATGATCATGGTGTTGTCGATTTGCCCAAAGAACTGTGTGAGAACGGCGCTGATGGACTCGGGATCCGATCCGTAAGGGTCTGTCCTGCAGGCTCGGCTCAAAACCTCATCGGAAATGCGAGGCAGAATCTCCAGGGGGGGGGGCTGCGACTTGGAATGGTCCATGGCCCGGACAACCGGGGCGGGGGGCTCGCCGCCGGGAATGTACGCTTCAGGGCCCATCTTGAGCCGCTTGCTGTAGCCGCTCTCGGGAGGGGACTGGTGGCGGAGGCTCAGTTGAGGCGACGTTGCAGGGCTGGAGCCGCAGTCCGAAATCCTGCCGTTTGTTTGACGCGACGGTCCCCCAACCTTGCGCAAGTCATCGAGCTCCGCCGGAGGGGTTGTGGGGGAGGTGTTGTGGCCTCCTCTCGGTCTAAAGGGCGGCATCGCCATCAGCGTCTCTGTTCCGATGCGAATGAGGACGCAGGCAGTGAGGGGCAACTTACGCGTTCTTGAACTTACAAACGCGGCCAAATTTTTCGCATTGGACGCAACGCGGGTAGTCGGGGTCGCATTTGATCTTCTTCTCCCGGCACGTCACGCAGGCAATGGCCAGTCTCTTGCGAGGCTTTCCGGCCTTGGTGACGCCCCAGTGGGCGTTGACTGCTTCGCCGTCGATGACCGTCTTGCAATGGCTCCCATCGTCGTAAAAGTAGCACATTCCCTCGCCTGGCACCTCGGTCGCCCGCACAAATCGAGGAAGAAAATGCGTGCCGGTCCAAATCTTAGGGCCCAGGCCATCCTTTGCAGGCACGCCTTCAGAGATAACGGCACTCGCGGTCTTGGGGGCGGGGTGGGGGCCTTTGTGCGTCGACCTGTTGTCAGAGCAGTCTGAGCCGGAATCCTTGGACCCAGGTAGATGGTGCCTTGCGTTGTCCCTAGGAGAGCGGAGCGAAGGGTCGCGCGACGCAAAGGAATACTCATGCAGGTTCGACCACCTGACACTCTGGTCAAGGTCGGATCGAGATGCTGGCCGGCCGTGGATCGGATGTTCAGCGTAGCTCGGCGATCGTGGTCCGGTAAAGGAACGAGCAAAGGCGTGCAGGCTCTGCCTCTCGGGGTCAAACTTGACGTCGTAGGTGCTGCGGGGCTGCGTCAGTCGAGGGGAGGTGGCGCGAGGAAAGCCGGAGGCGAAGCTGCTGGAGCCGATGCCAGGGGAGAGGCGGGGCCGTTCCAGGGGAGAGTAGGACAGGTAGTTGCTGTCGCGCTCAGAGGGCGAGCGGAGATGACGCATGGAGGAGGGGGGCCCAAACAGACTGCTGAGCGAGGGCAGCCGCTGGCGCGAGGACGTCGGGCTGGTGGAAGTCGGACGATCTTGGATCTGCGCGGGGGCGCCCAGGCCAGCCGCCATGTCGACGGCGGGGCCCTTTTCATAGCCGGACATGGAGAAGGGAGCAGAGGCTCGGGGTTCCCAGGCCTGCTCGGTGGAGGGGGATGATCGGGACGAGTAGGACTGGGCTCCGGGACTGGCCAGGTCGGGCGGGCTGTCGGGAGGAAGCAGGTATGGACGGGAGTAGTCTAAAGCTGCTGAAGCACCCATTGAGGAAGATTGTGCGGCGGGGACGGGGGTTAACGACGGCAAGGTGGCAAGCCCCGGAGGCGACTGGTAAGAGTAACGACTGGCCGGCTGGGCAGAGATGACCAGTCCGAGGAGCGAGCGATTGGGCGCTTAAGCGTCAAAAGGAGTTGGTCGAGAAAGGGTGTCGACGAGAGGGGTCGACGCGAACATGCCCAGGCTTCCCAGTTGACCTTTCAGCCTCTCTCTCTGTGTTATCGAGGCGACGACAGGGGACGTTGGGGGACAGAGGCAGCTTTGCGGTGTCCGGATGCAGAAGGTGCGAGCTTGTTGCCTAGGGGTAGTTTCGAGACGACGAAAGCCGGGTTCGACAGGTTGTAAGAGCCGAAGGCAGGGAGACGGAGCAGCAAGTTCGAAGAAGTGCGTGGCTGACCGGGGGGGAGGGAGCGAGAGGGGGGGCGGGAGTTGCTTTTGAATGAGCGGAGAGAGGGCGAGATGAGGCGCAAAGAGATGTACAACGGCGCATTTCCAAAGGAGCGTCCAAAAGGTACCGGCGGGCTGAGCGTAGCCCATGCAATGCATCCATCCATGACAACAGCTGGATGGAGGGCCAGTCGGAGCATGCGAGCGCGGCCTGGGCTGGTTAGTGGGTGGCGGACACGTGCGTTTACCGTCCGGGACCCTGTCTCCATTAAGATGACTTGCGGACGCTAGAGGAGGTTCCAAGATGGTGGCTGTCGGCAGCGTCGGCATACGCTTCCCACGAGCGACTTGTGCGCCAACGGCTGTCGCTGGGCGTCAGACTCTGCCATTGTCCACGCCCCCGCTCATCCCGAGGGGTGTGGAAGCCATGACGCTGGCTCCGATGCAGCGTGGAGCAGAAGAAAAGGGCTTCCCCACCCGAGCTCCAACCACGGGGCGTGCGCGTCGGGGGCGTGTCGCAGGAGGGGGGCTTTTGAAGACCGAAGACGAGCGAGATGCAGTCGAGGGACTGGGGCCGATTTCTCCCCCAGAGCACATGACATATGGCACGATTCGGCGGCTTACGGCGGCGTCAGCCCGAGGCCTTTGTCCCGGCGAAAGAGCAGAGGATGGAGGACGCGAAGGGGCAGGCAGGCAGCAGCAGATGGGGAAGAAAATGTCGTTACTAGACACACGCCACGTGACGGCTAGGGTACAAGCATAGGGGTACAAGCACTTTTGCCTGTGTGCCAAAAAAAAAGGCCCCTCCTGTCGGGGGGTGAGTTGGCCGGCTGCCGAGGCTACTGTCTGTACCTAGCAAGACTACGTGTGTGTGCGCCCGAGGGGGCGGCGCCTCTTCGGCAGGCAGCTCTGATGATAACGGCGAGGAAGAGGCAGGTGGCGGAACGGGCGAGTAAGATTTGGGGACCGTAGTCCGGTCGCTGTTATAGTGTAGAGGTGCGATATATGCTTCTTTGGCAAGGGGGCCGCCGTTGGTTCGTGCCTCGGAACGCAATTGCTGTTCCGAGTACTCCGTATCCGGACTCCGTACATGCTGGGCTGCCATGCAATGCCATGTACGTAGATGGCCGAGGCGGCAAACAGAAAAATACGATAAACACGGATAGTCATGATGGTGAAAATAAGCAGTACCCGAAAGAGAAAGAGCCGGATCGAGGCAAACGGCCGCCGTGGATTCAAGCTGCAAAGGGGAGTTCAACGACAGGTACGTACCGAGTACGGGGTACGGGGTACGGGGTACCTCCCTCGTCCGGCACCTACGGCAGCGGCAACAAGCTGCAAGGGTCCGGGATGCTGTTGTCTGACCCCAGTGGGGCCACAGAGATACGGTACAGTACTGTAGAGAGCAGGGTGTTCGGAGCATCTAAAAAGAGAAGGGAGCGTCAGATGGATGTTCGGCAGCTCATCCGGTCCTCTGGGATCACGGTCGCACCGCCGGCGGACCGCTGATGCTATACCGGTGTCGACGCGGTTGGCCAAAGCAGGCGAAACAAGGGCAAGGTGTAATGGCCCGACACTTGATCCCGGTGATGACGGCCAGTGTTTCCCTCGTCTCTTTTTCTTTACACTCGCTGGTGGGTTTTTTCCGGCCGACTTGGCTCGCTTGGCTTATTCGTGCCGGACGGACAGCGGCCAATGGGGGTCTAAAAGATGCCGGCCGCGAATGACGATGACCACCACCACCACCACCACCACCACCGGGCCACAGACGACGTGGCTTGGGACGTCGAGGGAAGGAGGGGAGGGTCGCTACCCCGGCCGGCAGCGGTACATGCTGCTAGGTATCTTTCCGCAGTCGGGTCGCTTGTCGCTGCCGTTTCAGGCAAGAGCGTTGGGCTGGGCTGGGCTGGACAGGGCAGGGCAGTGCAGGGCAGGGCAGCAGGGCAGGGCAGGAGCCGACAGGGCCAGGGATCCCGTGCGGCTTTAGACAAAGAGAAGTCCCGAATAGCATCGCCATTCACCTGCTGCTGCAATGGGCGGTCAGGAAAGGGCCTCGTCCAGCAGCACAGCGCACGGCCAGAGGGCGGTTCGCTTACCGGTTGCCCAGAAAGCCGTCTCCCCAGATTCGGCCTCATGCATGCGTGACATTGCACTATCTGTGGATGGGGGATGGTGCGAGGAAGAGGGAGGGGCGACGAAGAGAGGTCGAGCTCATGCTACTGCTGCTGCTGCTAGTAGGGAATCAGTGAGTCGAAGGCGTCGTGTCAAGTCGGTCTGAACAGACTAGCCCTGTCCCACGGACAATGCGAACAAGCGTTGAGCAACATTCAAGAGAAGTGGGACAAGGCGGCAAACGCACCAAGAGGGGCCACCGTCTAGACGTGCCGTCTGCCTTCTTCCCCTCTCTCGCACGCTTCCGATGCAGACCTGACCTGAAACCTTCACTGCCACCTCGGTGTCTTCAGCCTCACTTGGTCTGTGATTCTCTCCTCGATGCATCATATGCGGGCGGGCGGTCCAGACGGAAATATGGGGAAGCGGAACGACCAGGCAAAACGCCCGCCCGGTCCCTTGAAGCTTGCTTAAAGCTTGTTTTTATCATTCTTTCTGGGGAGGGGGGGTGCCGCGCATCACAGACGCGCACGCGCTCACAGACACAGACGACGTGTGGTGATGGAGACGCGGATCTCCGAGGTAGGGGCGTATAGGGCCATTGCCGACAGGCAGCAGGCCCGGACGGTGGTGTTAGCGGCGGCAGGCCAAGCCGAGAAATCGCGTTGGAGGACCCCGAAGAGCTATTGCTGCCCTTTGACTTTCTTTTTTGTTTTGTTTCGTTTTGGTTTGTTTCCGAGGATGGGCTGAAGATGGTCATCATGATGAGGACGGACTCTTGCGAGTGGTCGAGACTTTGTAGTGTATCATACATAGCTCAGATTCATATTTCTGCTTTTGGTAGGTGGCTATAGAAGAAGCAAGGAAAGTGGGCAGGTGTTTGACATCATTGTCAATTTGCTCTCCCCCGGCCCAGGCACAGAAAATAACAACCCTCAACTCAAGAAAGGCTGGACCGAGCCCCTGGTAAATCTTAGCGGAGAGAGCACTTGGCCGTGGACGCATATGGCTGCCGCCTGCAATTTAAAGTACAGGTGTAGGCGTGTGCCTGGAGCGCCATGGAAGGCAACTAGAGCCTGCTAAAGCCTCTCGAGTGGTTGTAGGAGAGTAGGGGGAAGAGAAAAGCTCGGTGCGGGCGAAACCAGCTCAACCAGCTCTAAGCGAAAAGGGGAAGGGGGCGAAGAAACGGCTCGGAGGTGGGTGGCACAAGGTACTTTGTCGTCGTTTAGCCAAAGGCCCGCCAGCTTGTCTGTCACGGGATGGACTGCCGGGGAAAGAAGGGACAGCAGGGGTCTGACGGCCAATCGGGGGGCGAGAGGAGCGTTGATGCGACGGGGCCCAGGCCAAGATCCCCCTGTCGCTGCCCTGGAGCCGATGGCACTAGGGGGCGACTACCGACACGTTACGTCAGGTTCCGTCGCATGGCTTTTTCCTCTTCCTTTGTTCGTCCTCCGTTTTTTTTTCTCCCGTCTCACCCCCCTGCCCCTCTCTTTCCCTTTCCGTCATTATATCTCGCTTTCTACCTTTTTTTTTCTCCCACCCTGCTGTGCCGCTCCTGCTGCCCGAAACTCACAGTGCACAGGTAAACATACACTAGGGCGCCATGTGCAGTGCGCGCTGCAGTGCGCGCTGCAGTCTGCAGTCTGTTGCAAGGAATCCCAGGCTCTTCCGGAAGAGAGAGCCGCGACGGTCTGCGGCATGTGGCGGGTAGAAATTGGAAACCTGCCTGCCAAATCTGGGGCCGCTCCCACATCCTTGGCCCCTCACCCCCTTGCGCCATCCCTCTCCTCGACATGTGCCGTGCCGGCAGCCTACCGTTGTGAGGCCTCTTGTATTTCTGCTGGATGGCTGAAGAAAGCAAATGGAAGGAGAGAAGAGGGCACCGGGGCCTCTAAATCAGCAACTGCCGTTGGCATTGTGTAATGGGCCATGCCATGTACTTACTCCCGGCATCCACCCTGCATCTACCCATCTCCCGCATGCACGAAATACCGTGCAGGTTCTACATGGGTGGTTTGCTTGCTTCCCTGTGTTTTCTTTTCCTTTTAGTGTAATAGAGCCGATCCGGGGTGGGTACGTAGCAGATACTGTACTGGCAGCAGGGTAGCAGGCGGTTTTCGATTGGCACGTGAAAAGGCCGGCCCGTGCGGCTAGCGATCCAAGGTGGTTTGGCCTTGCGAGGGCTTCCTGATAAGCCACTGGCTGAGGCGTCCGATTGACTGGCCAACGCATGAGTTGCACTAGTGCTTTGGTGTGAAGGAATAAGGGGGGACCATCAGGCCAAGAAAAGGGCCAAGCTTATTGGCGAGGGAGGAGGAACGATGATGACGATGCTGGATGGATGAGGGTGGGTGGGATCCGCGCTGACCGCCGCCACGGCAGCGCCATCCCAGGCCACATCCCAGGCGAGAGCGCGAGAGAAAAGAGCCTCATTTCTCTGGCCCGGCAGCGCAGCCAACCATGAGCCGTTTGTTGGCGCTGAGCTACCG